GAAAAAACATCTGTTACACCTTCCCAACGAGGTATACCTGTCGCGCTGGGTCATGGCCACCTCTTTCAAGGCAGCATACTTTCCGTTCCAGTGGCCAGGACAAAGTTGAGCTTGTAGAACACATGGCAATGTCGCAGGAGAGCCCGTGTACGCATTACCCACGGTCGGGCATGGTTAAAGGCTTCCATAAGCTCATCCTTGACCTCCTCGTCTTCATTCTCAATCTGTTGAACCTCTTCCTCAACTCTCTTCAGGTGGGTGGTTATCTGATCCAATTGATCGATGGTGATCACGGTGGCGGTGTTCTGATCAATCAGAAATTTGGTGCTGAAGGTATGATACTTCCGCGAATTGATGGCCGTCTGGTAGGATTGCAGACCTCTTTGCGTCATACCGATTCCCTCAATCTCACCTCTGATGGCGTCGAGGAAGGCCCGTTTGGTCTTGGGAACGACAGATGGTTCGTCGAATGATCCGGTGAAACCGAAAGCACACACAAATCCAAATGGATCTCCAGAAGTTGGCGCAGGCACATTGGTGGGGAGATCGGCCGCTGTCTGTCCGTGGGGAGGCACTGTCTCTTCAGCCAGAACAAGGGCCTCCAGTCTTCTGTCAAGCTCATTTTGCAGTGCTGTGGTACCTTCGCTGAACAGAGACACACTAGTCTCGCTTTCGGCAGGAGTGGAAGACTGGGCACCAGCAGATGAGGTGGGAGTGACAGCCTCAGCACTGTCACTATCAGAAAAAGCCCGAGCCTTGGTGGGAGAAAAGCCGATATGGTATTCGTCGCCAGGGCACGGGGCCAGGGGAGACATGGCTGTGTCCGAGATGGAAGCAGATGGTGGTTAAGCAATATATCGACGCAATGGTAGATGCACTGATGACGCGCCAGCAGCTCGGTGTTGAGGAAGCACGTGTAGATTTGGGAAGAAACAGGCAAAGAACAGGATAGAAACACAGCAACAATGGTGACGACAAACAGCAACCAACAGGCGGAACATTGTATTCGTGTGAAACAACAAAGCAGGTCCGGTAACAGACGCGGCAGCAGTGACGAGGGAATGATCAACAGATAACTTGAACACACAAGATCCAGAAGTCGAGAGGATGCTAATTCCACCGCCACAAAAACTGCCATAATGAAGCAAGAGTCATGTTTGTAGTCTTTCCGGCGTCCCTACATTGTCTGCTGTTGAATCCCACGGTCCGCAACATTCCGAATGCTAAAGGATCTAGACAAAGATCCCCAGAAAAACCCTATTTAGGCCAAGTTTGAGGCAAATCCTCGCCAGGATGGAGAAAAGAATGCAACTACCCATCTTTTGTTCTTTCATGTCGCCTGCCAGGCGAAGACCGCAGGTTCTGTTCCCGTCGACTGTCTAATTCAAATGTGACCACCTCTTGCTTGTGTCTGCTTTTCATCATCGACCAGCCTGCATCTTGCACGGATTGAGGGAGCGGCTAACAGTGTAAGGCTCGGACGGTCTGCCTTGAGACAATGTGGAACATCGACTGTGCTGAAACAAAAGGAGACTCTGGTTCAGGGCGCATGATGAGGAAGTGAGAAAACTGGTTGCCTTTCACCTGATGAATCGAAAGCCGCCAAGAGAAGCACAACAGCAGCGCATCCAGTGAAGCCACTGTGCAGGGAGCCAGGCTTGTCAGGCAGGTCGCTTCTCCCGCCACTTGAACCTCAACCACTGGCACCGCTGCAGTGACATGTCCATCTCTCCTCTTATATTCACCTCTTTTTCCCAATCATTACCTACACTTGTGCGCAATCGTGACCACTTTGCTTCTCTGCTTACAAGTGAGAAGTCTTCCATCCATGTCTTGTTGCAACTTACCTTGTTAGCTCTAGCTTGATAAGGCTGAATACCCGTGCGCTCATTACGCCTCGACCAAGCTGAAAAGAATGCTCTCTGGTTCTTCTTGAGTGTCTTGTGACCTGTCTTCTTCGTGTCTACTACCTCCAGAGTCCGCCCTTCCCTTCGACCCCCTCAGACCTCGGGAGACGCTCGAGTTTACTTTCCTTCCTCCAATACGCCACGCATTGCAGCCGATGGCGCACAGTGGAATAATACAAGGAACAGAGGGCCAGACTAGCCATACCTCGCATGAGTTTGCTACGAAGGAAGCCTCAAGCCACCGTGTCTCCGCCATGCCTGCTGTAACCTTACGCAGGACGGGAACGAAAACGGGCACGGGAACGAAGGAGAATGCTCAAACAACGGAGGACCAAATCAAGCCTTTTCTCAGATTCATGAGCGGGGAAATTGACACCTTGACCCTGGTCAACGTTGAAGTTCTCGAACAGACCATGGTCAACGTCGAAATTATCAAAGAGACAACAGACCCAAGTTACAGAGTCACGAGCCAACCACGGCAGGACTTAGGCTCCTCCACCACTGGTGTGCTACATTCTAGGGCCGCCGTCAGAGATGAAGTTTTGCCAGAAGAGTCTCTGGGCAGACTGTCGGATACTCATTCGGGGTTGTATAGGCAACGTCGGATGCATGAGCGGTCCACAATGACTCGAAAAAGGAGCAGACTGCCGCGCACTGGAAATTCCATCCCCGAAGGCGACACTCTCATGAATTGCCGAGCATGCCTCGACTCCATGAAACATCCCATTTATCTGGATTGTGGGCATACCTATTGTCGACCTTGTCTTAATGAACTTGTCAGGGTCGGCACCGCCAATAGGATCCAATGGCCACCGACATGCTGCTTTTCTGGGCGGCCCATGGATGTAAGTTCAATCCTACAGCATCTTGACGAGGCAGTCCTTTCCCGCTACCTTGAGGTCAGCGAAGAGTACTCAACCCGCAACCCAATCTATTGCTCCAACAAATTCTGCAGTCTTCACATTCCCCCAAGCCAGATTGAGGACAACAAGGAAAAGTTTGTCTTGTGCAGCAAGTGCCGGGCCGAGACCTGTGTCGAATGCAAACAAGGACGTTCGGACCATGTCGGGATTGAAGGAACCACCTGCAAGAGCCCTGAGGCGCTGATGGATGAGAGGGATTGCAAACTTGCCAGAAGCAAGCAATGGAAACAATGTCCTAGCTGCAAGAATCTGGTCGAGAGGACCGAGGGATGCGACCAGATTCGGTGCTCGTGCGGTGCAAGTTTCTGTTACAAGTGTGGAGTAGATACATCCAGCTTGTCTGCATGTCAATGTCTCCAAGCCTTGTATGACATGGAAGAGAGGGTGCGACGCCTTTCCGGCGTGATATACCATCAACCACGATGGACACCTGCTGCTGACTTCGACTATACTGAACCGGACGCACGTTCATCATCGACTTCACTCGATACAGAGAACTTCTCTTGCTCCCGACGGTTCAAGAGGTCCAAGGTACTTCGCCGTTCCGGGAATGCTTCTCCGATTGCTTCACGAGTAGCTTCAGGGAAGGCCATAACAGGATCTTATAGCGACACAGGAACACGAACGATACCGGAGACGACGCAACCTCTGTTCCATTCTCCTCTTGCTCGGACCTGGACCCGGCATGGAGACAACAAAACGGATATGACAGAGGCCGGAAATAACGAGGTTGGACCTCCAGAACCCATATCTGGTGACTCTGGGCCGATTTATGGACCTCCAAGCACCCCTGATCTTGTCCCGAATCCCGACAACAGTCTTGCGACTCAGGCGACAGCGTCTTCCAGATTGCCTGTATTAGAGCCATTATTTAGGCCCTTTTCTCAAGACCAACACACATTTACTGAAATAGCATACCGTGTGGGAGACACGCCAATGCTACCTTTGTTTTTCGGGTTACCGCAAGCACCTCCGCCGTGGCCAACACCCACCCAACACCGCAACCACCAAGCTCGGCTATCTTGGCAAACGTTCCAAGCAACGGCTGAAAACTCCGTTTATCAGTATTATCAAGGATCCAACTCGAGACAATGAGAGCAAGAGCGAGACAGAGTCATGTAGGGAGGTGAGGCCGGTGTCTGGATTGAACAGATTGTAGATCACGATCCCAATGTCCGCTGGGATTATGTGGTCAGGAAACTCAAAAGACTAGGGAATGAGGTAACAGGGACGAACTTGGTTTTTCTGCTGGACCGGGATTTGCGCAAGTCTGTTTAGGGGATTAATCGTCACTGAGTGCACGGCAATGCTGGCTGGCACCTTGGATCCTTCTGGATATCAACCGGTACTTGGAGACGAGATTTCGACGGCACACACAGTCATGGTTTTTTCGGAGTTATGTCTTTTGTAGCTGGCAGTTATTCATCGTTATGTATCCGATGGCGTCCTCGTCGGCGACCGAGTCAGAGAGAGAGAGCTTGGATCAGAAAGCTTATAGCCGATCTTACAACCCGTTCTCGGCACCGTTTAGTTCAGTTCACAAGTTTATCAGCCACACCCAAATAAAGCGCCGCAGCCAGTGGACACCCCCCCCCCCACAAGAGCAGGTTTTCCAGCCTTGTATCATCTCTGGTACACAGCCCAGGGAGGTACAGTAGGTCATGACGTCGACGACTCTTTTTAGTCTCTTTTTCACCCTTGGCAGCCTGGTTACTCCTAGATACATAGGGGCAAAATTAGATGCACAGGGGTCGTGAGCGTGGTGGAATAGACGGACGCATATCTGGGATTCTGGGAATCCAATATACACATGTCCCTCGCTCGTACTTGGTACGTATGTACATGTGCTTGTGTGTGTATATGTATGTAGGTCTATATCTAGGCGCTTTGTAGCGACACAAAAGAGCTCCATCAATCAATCTGTACCTCGTACAGCGGCTTGATTACCTGGTGCCATTCATTCATTCATTCATTTGTTCAGTCATTCCGTCTCGTCTTGATTGGTATTTTGGCAAGAAGGGGAAAGGGGAGACATCTGGGATAGCAAGCACAAGGTTACCATCACTGTTGTCATTACCGTCCCGGCATAGAAAGACACGCATTCGACCTCGATCTACATACCTAGATAGGTACGTGCCTGACAGCCACTCCTCCCGCCATAGCCATCGCCATGGCCGCGGCCGCCGTTGCGACTGCGACTGCAACAGCGCCAGCGAGGGCAGAGAACCATTCGAGAAGCGAGTCCCATGGCCAACAACCGGGACCGGGACTGAAGCACCTCGGCCGTGGTGGCGGCGATATGCAAATCACCACGCGCACCGACCTCTCGCTCCTGTACCGCGCGCTGCGCGCCGTCATGAAACCACTGCGTCCCCGTCTCGTTCAGCTCGACGGGTCAGCGCAGCCGGCGGGGTCGCCGCGCCTGTCGCCGCCGAGGAAGCGGGGTGTGCGGATCACCGAGACGCGGTGTGCCGACGTGTGGATGTATCGGTATCGGATTCGCGCTCACGCTCGCGCGGGCGAGGCGGGGAAGGCGACTGGACGAGATGAAGGAAGTGGAGGAGAGGGAGGAAGACGCGTCCACCACGTCTACTATTTCTGCGGCGGCGGGTTCCAATCGCCCCCTTCTTCCGAACACTGGCGCTTCGTGGCACAGCTTGCGCAAGACCTCGCGAGACACCGGTCCAGTAGTAATCCGCTCGTTGTCGACGAGAATGATGGTGGCAAACACGCCTACGACCCACACAAAAACACCGACACCGACACCGAAATCGAGCTGGTCCTCGTCAGTTATCCACTGGCCCCCGAAAATCCGGCGAGCGAGAGCTTGAGGATCCTCCGGAAGTGGCTCACGACGGTCATGGACGAGGCGGCAGCGAAGGGGAACACGCTCGGTCTGGCGGGTGATAGCAGCGGGGGGAATGTCGCCCTGAGTCTGGGATTCTGGGCAGTGCAGAATTATGGGATTGGGCCATCACAACAACAACAACAACAACAGCAGCAGCAGCAGCAGCAGCAGCAGCAGCAGGGGCAGAGCCAGCAAATCCATTCTAGAACGGAAACACCTCTTGCTGCTGGCGATGACGGCGACAACGACTTGACCAAGCGCACCAACAAGGGACCTGGAACAAGGACGAGAGAGGGTAAATTCCCGCTCACGGCCTTGATCAGCATCTCAGGTCCCACAGACTTGACCAACACCAACCCGGAAATCCGCAAGGCGGATCAACTGGACTGTCTCCTGACGGAGAAGACGACACGAGAAGTCGCGCAGGTCTGGACCGCGAACGGTGACAGCAACGGCACAGCGAACAAGAAGAAGCAGAACTCTCCCTCCCACGAACCCACACCGCTCACCGACCCCAGCGTTTCGCCCCTCCTCAGCCCCGACGCGGCCTTCCACGCCCTCAAGGAACGAAAGGTACACGTGCACGGGGTCTTGGGCACGCACGACGTGTTGGCGCCGGACGCAATAGCATTCATGCACAAGTGCCAAAGACTCGGGCTGACGGGGCAGTGGCTGGTGTGGGAGGGCCAGATGCACTGTTTCCCTCTTGCGGGCGGAGAGGGCTGGCTGGGGATCCGGGAAGGGAGAGAAGCGCGCGAGTTTATAGAAAGTGTGCTTCGAAGAGAATCTGGGCGGGAAGATGTGAATCATGTATAAAGTCAGCATGCAATTTCCATGTCGTTGTTGAGGTCATGAACGCTTGCTTGGTAGAATTCTGTACAGTAGTAAAACAAAGTCTGAGAGAACGGTTGCACACCTATTCAATGCCCTCTGCCTTCTGTGCTGGACTCTCAAGCAGTCCCTTCTCTCCTAGGCCAATGATGGCACTGAGCAGGCGTTTCCTACTCTCTTCTCGCTCCTTATCCACCATGACCTGATACAATCCTTTCCTCCTTATATTGCCGGTACCCGTGGTTGTTGTAGGTTTGCGCTGGCCTGTGGTAGCTCCCGTGTCGCTTCTTCCATGCTTCCGAGTTATATCATGAGAATAGCGGCAGCTTGATCCCCATTTGCACGTTTTGTACTTGGCGAAATGCTTGCATACTTGGGGCGCATGTAGTCTTGACTGTGGTTGTAACGGGAGAGAGACATGTGCACGAGAGGCCTCTTTAGTGCTTGTAACCTCTGGAATCGAGTCCAAATCAGAGCTAGCATCCGAGTCGGTATCGGAGTCAGAGTCGGAACTTGCAGACGAGCCAGAGGATGAGGTGGCGTCTGAGTCTGTGAGGTCTGAACTGGACGTGACGTCGCCTGCTTCTGTGGTAGGTGGCCGACTGGGTATCGTGGCAGCGCTCGAGTCTGGCGATGTGGTTTCTTTCATCTCTGCAAGTCTCAATGCTTCCTCCGCTTTCTCCAACTCCTGTTGTGCTTTGAGAGCTCTCTTGCGAAGTTTATCGGCCTTCAATTTCGCTCGAGCGGCGGCATTTGGATTTGCGGATTCCTCACCAGCCTGAACGCTTTGGTCCTGTTCGCGTGGCTGTTTCACCTTCCCAATGGCCTTGAGTCTTTCGGCTCTTTCCTGTTCTCTTTTGGCCAGGACCTCTTTTCTGGCCTCTCGTTTCGCCTTCTGCTCCTCCTCCCATTTTCGTTTCTTCTCCTCGGCTTCCTTCTTCGCCGCCGCGATCCGCGCTTGTGTCGGGTAACGCCGTCTTCTTTCTCCAATCCAAGCCAATATCTCTTCTCGAGTCCGCAGAGCTAAAGGATGCCCTCTGTATTCGAATATGTAACCAGCCGCGCCCAACGTCGCCGTGTGCGCCAGACGCTGTTCCTCATCTTCGTCGTCTTCTGGATCGGAGTCTTGGTCAAATTTCGCCGGGGTCAATCCGAGGGCATTTTGTTTTCTGGGTTCTACCTTCTTGGGCTCGGGTGGTATCTGGCTAGTTTGGTCAATGGATGGCCTGCGAGTCAACAGGTGTTCGATCGATGCATTAAAGCTAGGCACTGCGGGCGCAGCCGTAGGACGTGGGCGATGTTGCTGTGCCGGAGCAAATGCGGCGCTATGATTGCGCTTCTGCGGGGCGTTGAGAAAACTTCCTCTTTGTGGACCATTGTTCAAGGGCTTCTGCGACCGATTCTGATTGTATACTGCAGACGATGTAGTTGGTCCCGGACGGTTGCTGCCATACCCTCCACGTCCGCCTCTTGTATATCCTCTGGAAGAGTGGCCGCCTCTAAAAGACCCTCGGCTGCTTTGAAAGGCTTGATTCTGCTGAAAAGTCGCCTCCGTTCGTTTGGGAGGAGGTGGAGGCGGAGGAGGGAAGGAAAAGGGCTGGCTAGACATCCAGAGAGCACAACGATATGTGCAGGTATCAACGCTAAAGTATTCCGTAAATCATTTGGGTTCGCGGAAACCAACACAAGTACCTGCACCCGGAATTTCAAGCAGCAAAACTTGTATATGGTTCGATGGCTGCGGAGTCGGGTGGTGTTGACTGATACAAATATTTATTTGGCGGTGCCCGCCATGCAAGGCTGAGCTAGTAGCAAGGCTGAGCAATGAGGCTAGAACCCGAAACCCTTGCCGCTCTGCACATCCCCGGCTGGCCCACTGTCCTGTCCACTCAGCTACTACTGCTATTGAATACAATTTCCTCCATCCTTACGTATCTGCATCATTCACCGGCTCGACAGCTAAGGTATTGATATTTGCTACTGTGGTGGATTTAGATGTAGAAGAAGTCTTTGGTTTGTCGAGTGCTACGAAGCAAGAAAGCCATCGTGATACGGATGTAGACACAAGTACCGAGCATATACAGATATATGCAGCAAACCCGACCACATTGGTCTCTTTGCAATTGAAAGCCTGCTTGCATACGGCTGGTCTGTCACGCGACATTGAACGCGATCGTCACACAAGTATAAAGAGGCTGCATGGATCGGACGCGGTGAGAACAGGTGAGAATTAAACATCACCTGATTCCAAGGCCTCAAAACCAGTCAAGTATATAAGGCAAGGAAGTCAAACTACATCCAGATCCCTACAACATTCAACACAACGAACAATTTCTCAAGAGTCAAGCTCAGCAATCACACATGGAACTCAAGACCATCCTCATCGATAACCCTCAGGGCCTGAACCTGATTCTCGGCCACTCCCATTTCATCAAAACAGTCGAAGACCTCCATGAAGCTATATTCAACACTGTTCCTGGGGCCAAGTTCGGCCTTGCCTTTTGCGAGGCCTCGGATGTCTGCTTGGTTCGCTACTCGGGAACCGATGCAGAGCTCGTCACTCTGGCCCAGCGAAATGCCATGGCCATTGGGGCCGGCCACAGCTTTATCATTTTCCTACGCGACATGTATCCTCTTAATGTCCTCGGCGCTATCCGTGCTGTCCCCGAGGTTTGTCGCATCTACTGCGCAACGGCGAATCCTGTGGAGGTGATTGTGGCCCAGACAGAGCAAGGCCGGGGAATCCTAGGCGTTGTGGATGGCTTCAGTCCCAAAGGCATCGAAGGTGAAGCGGACATAGCAAAGCGCAAGGACTTTCTGCGGATAGTGGGATATAAAGCGTAGGACAAAGACACACGATAGTAGCAAATGGTGGCACAATATCGTTCAACGTGGAATGCAGGTTGAGGATGAAATTCGCTCCGGATGGTGGCGAGGAAAAGCAGCTGCCAAGACCATATTGTAGCTAAAAGCGGCGCGTGAGCGGATCCTCTATCAAAGTCTCTCCAACATGCAGGAAGATTTTCCCAAGCCTCACCCATAGCACTCGCTATTCCATTGTTCCAGCATTCCAGTGTACCCTGATTCTCAGAGTCCCAGAACATGCAACATTTCGTCTTGTCCGAATCCCAATCACGGAACCTTCTGCGCATACCGTAGGAACATGTTCATCCTCGTACGGACACCTCACTACTCCGCTCGGTCGGGAACACAGAGAAATACTAATTCGGTAGACCACTTTCGACGACCTGGTGCAGATACCGCCACATGGATTTGTGAACAACCAAATTACTCGACAAGACCTCGAAGACCGCATCAATGAAAAATATTCAAACAAAGTCTGCTCCCCAGTGCACTTGAACTCCAGTTTCTAATCCTTGTGGCAGGTTGTGCAGAAGGTTGGACTGTGCATTTGCATGTATGACCTTTTGAAGGCTTCCGATGGCTTGATCGGTAATGGCACTGGAAATGCCAATGTCAATGGTGCTCGAGAACCCCTGCTGTGTTCGTTTCGCGGGGCTAATGGGAAATCAAAGTTCAATTCCGCATGATTGTGTTTCGACCATTCAAAGGCGAGATCATTACCGGTGTTATCCAGAAATGTACACCAGAAGGCATTCGGAGTAAGTTCCAAGCACCAGTTTCAGCATTGGATGCTAAGTCTACGGCGCCAAGTTACAACACGATTCTTCGACGACATTTTTGTCCCACCGACCATGCTTTTCGAGGGGTGTGTCTAGTGAGTGGATTCACAGATGAAACAAGTGCGAGCTCCATATTGAACCGTCAATAGCAACGAGACCGAACAGACCTGGGTCTGGGAGACTGAAGGCGACCCAATCTATCTCGATGAAGGCACCATCGTCAATGTCCGTGTCGAGGCTGAAAAGTGGAATGACCAAGCACCAACACCTCCCAAGATAAGGAAACCTGGCGAACCTGAACCTGCCCCGGTGGTAGAGTATAGAGTGCCCTACTCTATCGAGGTATTATATCCAGACCATAAGCTGAGAGAGCATTTCTAACCTGGTCCAGGCATCCATGGGCGAGCCTGGGTTGGGCGGCGTGGACTGGTGGTGACAGAAAACTGCGACTGATCAAATGAAGGAGCGCTGTACTTTTCGTCGATATTATCTGACAGCGTGCAGTGGCCCATGCGTTTGGCTAACCACACTTAACCACTGGAACGTCGGTGCAGTCCTCATGCATTCGGCGTATTGGTTGGTTCGAGGGAAGCACTCGGTGTCGGCGGTTACAATTGCCCAAGCACTTGGTGGGGCTATCCGTGGTTAAGCGGCGACTACTGCAACTGCCCCTGGAATGAGTTTGTCATCAACGCCCTTTGGATGGCGCGCATGCTGGTCAAGCTGGCGTAGGGGCAAGAGGAGCCACTAATTTTAAACGCGGAGGAGCCTATCACCCGCTCAGGGTCTGACGGCGCAGGTGGCAGTCGCCGTTCTTGGGCTTACAGAACTGCCTGTTGTGCCTGTGGTGCCTGGAGCATGCCTGGGTCTTAAAGCACGTCATCTTTGAACTTTTTGTTTGATTGATTATTTTGATATGATGACCCGCGGGTCAAACCAGAGCATTCCATCAGAGAGGAATCGATGACCAAAAGATGTCTCTTCTTACAAACAAGATGAACCAGTGCTGAACCAGTGCTGAACCAGTACATAACCTCTCTCTCTTCCACCTTGTGCCCCGTTCCATCTGTGTCGTTTTCCCTGTGCTTCACCTCCAGCTCATCCTCGTTGAACCCCGCAACAAGGATTCCGACTTCCCCAAAACACACCGCCACCACCCGGGTTTTCTGGTTCTCTGGTAACAAAGCAGAGAAAAACAAACCTCATAGTCGTCATGACTGTCCCAGCCCAAGTCCCTCTGTCGCCCCGACCTCTCAGACCTAACGAGCGTATCCTGACCAACGAAGATGGCGGCATCGTCACTCCTGCTCGAGCCCCTTCCCCCGTCTACAATTTTGGCACACTTGCCGTCCATGCTGGTTCCCCGCTAGATCCTTCTACAGGCGCCGTCATCGAGCCTCTATCCCTGTCTACAACCTTTGCACAGACGGCTGTGGGCAAGCCAGTCGGGTTGTATGAATACAGTCGCAGCGCCAACCCAAACCGTGATAACTTTGAAGAGGCTGTGGCCGCACTTGAACACGCTAGATTCGCTCTGGCATTTGCCTCCGGCTCAGCTACCACGGCGACAATACTCCAGTCGCTCGCTGCGGGCTCACATGTCATATCCGTCTCCGATGTCTACGGAGGCACTCATCGTTATTTCACAAAAGTGGCTCTGGCACATGGGGTGGAGGTCACATTTTCACCTTCTATTGAACTGGATGTTGAAGAGTTGATTAGGGAGCAAACCAAACTCATCTGGATTGAGAGTCCTTCGAATCCTACACTGAGTCTCGTTGACATCAGGAATGTCGCCTCAGTCGCACACAGACACGGCATCCTGGTTGTGGTGGACAATACATTCTTATCGCCCTACGTGCAGAATCCTCTGGACCATGGAGCCGATATTGTTGTGCACTCTGTGACAAAATACATCAACGGACACTCAGATGTCGTCATGGGCGTTGCTGCATTCAACTCGGACGAATTGAAGGAACGTTTGACCTTTCTCCAAAACGCCATTGGAGCTGTGCCTTCACCATTCGATTGCTGGCTTGCTCACCGAGGGCTGAAGACACTGCATCTTCGAGCAAGAGAGGCAAGCACAAATGCGCTAGCTGTTGCTCGAGCACTGGAGGCCTCGCCACATGTCATTGCAGTGAACTATCCTGGTCTGGATTCTCACAAGCAGAGGGCGATTGCCATCAAGCAGCACCGCGAAGGCATGGGTGGTGGGATGCTCAGTTTCCGTCTCAAAGGTGGACACGCTGCTGCGGAGAGATTCTGCCAACAAACGCGCATCTTCACGCTGGCCGAAAGCTTGGGAGGCGTCGAAAGTCTATGTGAAGTTCCTAGTGCTATGACGCACGCGGGAATTCCCAAAGAACAACGTGAGGCTATCGGTGTCTTTGACGATCTTGTCAGACTCAGCTGCGGTGTTGAAGATGCAGAGGATCTCAAGAAGGATGTCCTACAGGCACTAGAAAAGGCAGTTGTTGCATACAAGATTTCGAATGGTGTCAATGGTGCCAGCAGATGACCTCCTGGCATGACACCATGACTATGCACCCCAACTGCTGTCTCTCTTTACAATTGCGATGTAGTGGATCAGGCTCTTCTCCTGCATTTTGCTGCTCCGCATGTCCACATCCAGCTTCTGGCGGCTGGCGAGGAGGCAGATTTGCTATTGACGGATGAATATCACGACAGTCAAGCATAGTTCAAGGTTGTGATGTGCTACAGGATACACCTCTCAGGTTTCAAGCCACCCATAACCTCGTTGCTGTGTCTTGTGTTCTCAAGAATATTCTAGTCTCTCCCTTCGAGGACTATTGTCACTTTGCTATCAGGCACACTCAGCTCTTTACAACATCTCATGCGGTCAAGTCAACTGATCTCTGCTGGATTCCGGCGCAGGGGGAGAATCGTCGTCGCCTTCTTAAAGGAAATGTATTATCCGGTGGAAATGGTCTGCACATGATTTTCCCCCTTGGGCCTTTTATATCACACGCGCTGAGGTCGTGGGTCGTTTCTCAATTTAGGGGAATCAAAGCACAATATCCCTGCCTAAGGATGCAGGAAATTCGTTATTGGTGTGGTAAGAAGGGAGAGAGGGAGCTCCGGAGATGTCTCTCTCACCTCTCACATTGTACTGCTGGACTGGATGAATAGATATATGAATAGAAATCATCGTGTCCCAACGACACACACACACACACAGACATGCATGTATTTCGGTTTCTGTTTCTCTCCCCCTCCGGGCTTCTCTGATGTGTCTCGGTTTACTGTAGGATAGGATAGGAATGGATAGTAAAGGGGGAAGATTAACCGGATATAGTATTTGATAGATCTCTCTCCCAAAAGAGAAGGCAACGGAATGTTTCTTGTGAGGGACAGGCTAGATGGGGGGTATCTCTCTTTCACAAACCAAAATATGCAAATATGTAAATATGCAGAAGGTAGAAATCAACGACGCCTGCGAGCAACGTACATAACTCAACTCCATCGCTTCGAACGCTGTATTTCGTTTCCTTTTCCGATTCCATCCGCAGAGGAGAGGAAGAGAGAGATGAGCTGGAGAACTGCTCGGTTTATCAGAGCTCGTCCAAGCTGGCCAGTCTCGGGTCTTCACGACACTGGTCTTCCTCTGTGTCTGTCGTCAACCGAGGCGTCCCAAACACCAAGCTAGGAACCTCTGGGAATGCCTTTTTCCTCCTGTAGTTCCTCTCAGCGATACCCAAGAGAATCTCCCTCACGTCGTCTGGCACGTTCAGCCTCTTCTCTTCACTATCGGTATCATTCTCGCCGCCGCTGGCGTCGCCAGAAGGGCTGCCATCACCACCTTCACTGAGTCGAAGGAGCCTCTCGTTCTCCTGACCCCCCGCTGTCCCACCCAGTCTCAGGCTCCGGTTCCAGTTCCCTTCACCATGCTGTCCCAGCCCGGCCTTCACGGGATCTCCATGGAAATACCATTCCTTGCCCAGTACCACAGCTAGGACGATAACAAGCACCGCAATGCTCGTCCACCACACGATTCCCCACACACGGTCCCATGCCTTGCGGAATTTCTCTTCCCGGTTCTCCCATTCCTCCACTTTCGCTCGAGCTTTCTCCAATCGGGCAGATAGCTCTCTCGCCCTGGCGCTCACCTTGTCTCCACGCTCTGACAATTGTTTGGCCTTCACCTGCCTGGCCTCGAAGCCCCCCTGCAGAGTTTTGACCCGTCGGCGTGTATCTTCATCGACCCTTTTGCTCTCGCGCTCGAAATTCCTTATCAATGTCTCACTCTGTCGTGCTAGGGACTGAAAACTGCCGATCATGCTGACGAGGCTTCCAACCTTCTCGAGCAAATTGTAGTATCCATAGTCTAATCGACGAGTTATTTCGACGCCTGTGGCGGTTATCTCTGCAACGCGGGATCGGAGTTCTTCTTCGCCAACTCGGAGTTCGGTGTCGCGGCGCTGGAGATCCTCAACTTTGACATGGATACGCCGTGCGACGCGTGCGGCGTCACCGCGATCGAGGGCTTCTTCAAACGACGTCTTAGGCCGGAGGGGATGTGCTGGAGCTGGTTGAGAGATTTTGTCACGAGAGGCGGGATCGGATGTCGCACGCCGGCGTAGTTCAGGAAATCCGGACGCATTGTAATCATAGCGACCGCCTGCCTGGAAATCGCTTGATATTGCGGCAGAAGGACCGAAGAAATGCGCACCCGTGCTGTTGGTGCCGTTGCTGCCAGCACTGCGATTTGTTGGGTTTATCGGGTTGGGCACATTTCCCGTGTGTATTCGCTTGTCTCGCTCCGCGTTGAGTCCTGCAACCAAATGAGGGAGGGTCGAGAGAGCCTCCTTTGAAGCGAATCGACGGATGGGATGTGCTTCGGATTGCGTGGGCCGGTGACGTCTGAAGGTGAGGCTGTGTGTTGAATCATTGTTATGGTGTGATATGTGAGAATGTGATTGGGAGTGTTGGTGTCCGCTGGAATTGTGGTCTTTATCCTTCTGATGGTGGTGTCGATGCGAGGTTCCTGGTAGGTGTAGGCGCGATGCCGTCTTCTCGAACGCACTCGTTGCAGTAGGGAGCGTGATGGCGTTCCGTGGTTTAGGATCTGCAGGTGAGAGATAGGATTTTGATCTGCCATGGGAGGGTCGTGAAGGTCGAGCACTCGGCTCTGCGGATTGAGGTTGGTTAGATGACGGGTGATCGTTCTTGTTCGAGGAGTTGGCATGGGATTGAGAACGGTAAAGAGACGGTCGCTGTTGCGGCGGGGAGGAAGGAGTCACATTTGACATTGTGGACCCAAAGCGACTCTTATATGGCGAATGGAATAGACGAAGTCATTGTCGGGCCACGAGACTTTGTAATATTCCAGTCACCAGGTCTCAATATATGCGAGAACAACGGCCGTGCTACCGCAGGACGAGGCGGGGATGAAGTGTAGACTGATGACTTGGAGAAGCACTCAGCCCGGTCACGTGCTCGAAGCCTCCAAGGCTGTCTATTGTCACGTCTGAGCCAATGCTCTGACGGACCGCGACGTCTCTGCCTCGAATATTGCGAGATGATTCTCATTTACTACTTAAGATGCCACTTTGGGCTCGCAGTCCTCTAAATAGTGTCACCAATCCTCAAGAATTTTGGTACCTCTCATGGTAACAATCAATATTTCAATCTGTGTTATCGACTCCCTCGCTGCCGTGACTCGTCTCATGCTTTCATATCGTGGGCTAATTCACTCCGGGCACATTCTTGTCAACGATCTGCTTCTCTAGTCCAAAGACCATATGGTTTCGTTCATACTCTGCATGACTTGGAGCTCCGTGATCTGCTAATTGACCGTGTCTGTGTGGTTGCAAATGAGGAGGTTCCGGGATTTCATTCACTTAGGTCTTGGTTGGATGACTCAGTACTCGGCGCCAGTCTCGTCTTCTGCCTCAAGACTGTCGCTTGCAACTTCCTCATAGTCCTTTTCCAATGCCGCGAGGTCTTCCCGAGCTTCGGAGAACTCGCCTTCCTCCATACCTTCGCCGACATACCAGTGCACGAACGCTCGCTTCGAGTACATCAGGTCAAACTTATGATCGAGTCGACTCCAGGCCTCGGCGATGGCGGTGGTGTTGGACAGCATGCTAACGGAGCGGTCGACTTTGGCGAGCTCGCCACCGGGAACGGGCATGGCTACGATAGAGTGTTAATCAAAATAGAGCAAGTGAGAATCACCGAGAAACTTACGAGGTTGATAGTTGATGCCGACTTTGAATCCAGTGGGGCACCAATCGACCAAGTGGAAGCTTGATTTGGCCTTGAGGGAGGCAATAGCAGCATTTGTATCGCGCGGAACAACGTCACCACGGTAGAGCAAGGCAACAGCCATGTATTTTCCGTTGTGAGGATCACAAACGACCATCTGGTTGTTTGGCTCAAAGCACTGCAGTGTCAGGTCGTGGACCTTGAAGCTCTCGTGCGAGGATCGCTTGGTGGACACGACAGGAGCATAGCTGATAAGCGGGTAATGGATACGAGGATACGGTACCAAGTTGGTCTGGAACTCGTTCAAGTCGACGTTGAGAGCACCATCGAAGCGGAGACTTGAAGTAACAGAGGACACGACTTGGGCGATGAGGCGATTCAGATGCTCGTAATCGGGTCGAGGAATATCCAGGCTGCGACGGCAGATGTCGTACACAGCTTCGTTATCCACCAGGAATGTGCAGTCAGCGTGCTCAATGGTGCTGTGAGTGGAGAGAACGGCGTTGTAGGGTTCGACGACCGACGACGACACCTGTGGGGCCGGGTAGACAGCGAATTCCAATTTGCACTTTTTGCCATAGTCGACCGAGAGTCGCTCGAGAAGTAGGGCGCCAAAGCCGGATCCAGTACCTCCTCCGAAGGAATGGAAGATCAGGAAGCCTTGGAGTGAGGAACAGTTGTCTAGCAACGGGTCAGGATTTTCGGCGTCTTTCTCGGAGGATGTCGCGTCAATACTCACCTGCAACGCGACGAACCTTGTCCAAAACATCATCTACGAGCTCCTTGCCGATGGTGTAGTGACCCCGAGCGTAATTGTTTGCAGCATCCTCTTTACCACTAATCAATAGCTCTGGGTGGAAAAGTTGTCTGTATTGACCAGTTCGGATTTCATCAATAGGGGATGGATCGAGATCGACGAAAATCGACCGAGGGACGTGTTTGTTGTTGCTGGTCTCGGTGAAGAAGGTCTCAAAGGCTCCAGGATCACCGACGTTGGCATCGGGATCAGGTCGACCATCAGCCTTCAGGCCGTGTTCGAGGAGATACCTGGGGGAAGCGGATTAGCAATCGCGATGCAAAGTAGCGGTGGGCGCAAGGTTCGTTCTTACAACTCCCAGGCGGCATTGCCAAGCTGAGTGCCGGCCTGCCCAATATGCAAGTGGCAAACCTATAGAAAGATCAGTACATGCTGATTCGGAGTAGAGAGCTGTAGCTGAGTTGAAGGACGCATGCATAGAGAAAGATACAGTGGTGCGGATGTTTTTGGACAGGGATCGATGGAGGGGTACACAAAACAACAAAGGCCGATGTTCGAAACTTACCTCCCCGTGCATTCTGTGGAGATTCTGTGAGTACGACGCAGTGAAAGTACAATAGGGATGCGAGACTATCCAATGCCGACCCTCTGAGAGATCTGTCAGTGCAGAAGATGAAGGAGAGGACAAAGGAGAGAATCAAGCCTAAAGTGCGCGGATGGTCAAGTGGTGTGTATCGATTTACAATTGGCGCGTCCGATTAGGCAAGACGGAACAGGATAAACAAGCCAAGACTTTCAACCGGCCGTCCATTCATTTTTCCGTCCACGTACCGAGTCCCCGAGTACCTCGTACCCTCACACAGTTTTGTACCTGCAGCTGTCAGGCTGTTTTCACTCGTTCTCTGCCTGCTTGAGTTATGCCAAAGGAACTCGTACACCTAGCAACGACCGAGACGCATTATTCAACCCAGTGACAACCGACTCCCCGTTCTAGTCAGTAAAGCATAGTAAGCCACATTTGGTATCAAAAGGCTACCTGGGTTCCATCAAGACTTGTGCATCGTGCCATCTGAACAATCCATGACAATATAAAGGACGAACAATCCGTTTGTGGTCGCCATGAACAAAGAGCTTTCAATAAGTTTTTAACTGAGCCTCGGCTGCACTTTGAATTTTGGGGGCCTCTTGATCTGATCCCTGGCGATCTTACGAGGTACGAACACGAGATTGTTGACGATCAATAGTGCGTCACTCTCGCTCTGTCCTCCCTCAAACTCGAGCTATCACTTTCGTCTCCTGCATTGACCCGAACTCAGGGGTTGATCTGGTGTCTGGGAATGTTGGCTACCGACATTGTTTCAGGGCTGCCGGTTCTCTGGGCATCCTCGCATGATAACGACACCGCAAATTAAAGCCTCTCGAGAAGCAGCACATGTCAAAGATGAAACAAGGCTTGAAAGACAATCGCCAGGGCCACAACGGCGCAGGCGCCACACACAGATAAGAGGCCGAAATAAAATTTCGATCAGAGCTGGGCGTCTACTCCTCCAGGGGCGCCACAACATGCTCGACGCTTGGTTCAGATAGTCGCCCTAATGCGTACAAGGCAATAGGTATCAGGGACGAAATGCATTTCCATGTACCTCGTACTCGGCATGCGAGGCCTACCTAGACACAGTTGCACTCGTAAGCGAGCTGAAAGACGGCTGGTCTGGCCATGGCTGATTTTATTTAAAGAACCTCGTACTCATACATGTGTAATCGATTTCAACTACAAGTATACTGGGGGACCTGGCTCGCGTGGAACGACGACCAACCAGGTCATGCATGGGGGAAGTCAGATTCTCTTTTCGGAAGAAGTAAAATATCCATCTGTATAAGAGAGAACAACAGTGTATAATGCACAAACAGAAGCTTTCGGTCATTCAGGTCTGTAACTCTCCGAGAATGCTCAGTCTTCATCTCGATCGTCCAACAAGCTATTGGACTGATCGACATGTGTGCTGTTATGAGAGATGGGGCGACGGTGAAGAATGATGCAACAAGGATGGGAGTTCAACACTCCACCTGCGCCACCGTCAGAAAATTCCCAGCGAAGATCAAGCACCAACATTTGTCTTGGGCGGTCTTCCAGGGGTCAACCACCTATGACAAACGGCTTGGGGCGGCTTCGGGTGGCACGATTGGCAGTTCGGGGGATGGGAATCTGCCGCCCTTGCAGTGGCTACCCACCAGCCATGGCGCCTATTCCTTTATTTCGCCATGGAACCCGCCCAGTGGAGCGCACAAGCACTCCATCGGGTGCCCACCTCGTCCACCCTTGACCTGGTCCCCAAGAGCAAACGCTGCCTATCCCTGTCAATCGCTCCGTTTTCGCGGTATCTATCTTTTTCTTGCCCTGTGCTTATTTTCTGGGCCATACGTAACTACTGATACAAGTAAGAGTTGATTTTTATAACCAATTGTGCCAGTCCCCAGCTTGCAAGGTAGACGTGCAGCATGCATAAAGGGAATGAGGGGGGGATGCGCAGCACGTCGGCCTCCGTCACAGATGCAATTTCTTCCATCTCATCTCCATCTCTTATATTCCTTCGTTTCAACATTCTATGATCGCGTAGACCCTCTTTGATATTCATACCTAGTCTTCAGACATATCGTTTCCCCAGTTCTGACATCTCACGCCTGTGTGACTCCATCCACCCAGGATTGGTACCCATATTTTGCGTCATATACGCCCACACGTTCGCTACCTTGTCTTCAGAGCCGCTGGCTGGCTTCTGATGTACATATGATATTGGAGGGGTGAAGAGGAGGATCGTGTGACAGAGAAAGAGTCCTCTCCATACCTGTGCCTCTACCCAACATGACCACGCCCGAGAAAGAACTGCCTCGCTTCGAGTTCGACCCTTCCAGCAAGAGACCCTCCGACGACGATCTCACGGCTGTTGAAAATGGACGCGAAGACTCTGTCGACGGTAAACTGTTACACGACCGGTTGAAGGCGGAAACACGTCGTCGAGATACAGGAACATCCTTCGATGACCCGCGGTCGCCCAGCAAGACGCGAGAAGAGGCCCATCGTCTTGAGGACGAACTAGCCGTGCAGAGAGCCGAACGACTCACGTCAATAGAGTCCCAGCAGTCAGAAGGTGGTCGAAATTCAGCGCAGCTTCATCGATCCCGGTCGAGAGCACCCGAGCCACTCGATGAGTTCGATACAGCCACGAACCCTATTCACGAACGTACCGCCATCTACAAGCCTCCCGAAAACCCCAGCACTAAGATTGCCAAATTCTTCAAATACATCCACCAGTCTAGCTTCGTTATCCGCTATTTCACCTACATCGTCCCCCTGTTTGCCCTCCTGCTGATTCCTATTCTGGTTGGAGCGTTCTTGCCTGCTGCCGAGCACGCGAGTGTTGGTGGTGTCGATCTAATCTGGTTCGGAGTATGGCTGGAAATAATCTGGTTGACTCTCTGGGCCGGCCGTATCGCTGCCCGGATGATCCCATATCCCCTGGGTCTCATATCAAGCCTCTTCACGAACAATTCCAAAAAGTGGCGAGATCTGGGCAAAGCTCTTGAAATCCCAGCGACAATCTTCTTCTGGTGGCTCGGCATTGAGATTTCTTTCCTGCCTACCATGACTAACCATCATGTGAATGGCTCCAAACAGACCAAGCATTGGGAAAAGGTTCTCAACAAAGTCATCATCTCTATCTTTGTGGGTGCGACTTTGAATTTCATCGAAAAGATTATCATTCAGCTGATAGCTATTTCCTTCCACTTGCGAACTTATGCCGACCGGATTGAAATCAACAAATTCCAGATTGGCAGCCTGACGAAACTCTACATCTTCTCCAAGGCCAAAATTGCCATGGAAGATGTAGAATTCGAAGAAAAACACCTGGACCCAGGGTCGGGCACAAAAACACCTGCCCTTTATGCCGCGCATGCTCAGGAAGCTCTCACCAAGGCCTTTGCTAAAGTCGGTGATGTGGCTGGCACAGTCGCAGGTGATTTTACTGGGAAGAAGGTGGCAAAAAGCGGCCACCCTTCTCAGGTCGTCTTAACCCTGCTTAACAGCACCAGCGGCTCGCAGGTTCTGGCTCGACGTCTATATCGAACATTCGTGCGCGAGGGCTTCGAGACTGTGTCGTCAGAAGACCTGAAGGCGGCCTTTGACAATGAAGAGGAAGCCGAGGCAGCGTTCAGCATGTTCGACAAAGATATGAACGGAGATATTTCCATGGAGGAACTCGAAGCCGTCTGTGTCGAAATCGGAAGGGAAAGAAAATCAATCACTGCTTCCCTCAAAGACCTCGACTCCGTCGTCAGCAAGCTTGACGATGTTCTGTTTTTCATCGTCTGCGTCGTCACTATCCTGGTCCTGATCTCTCTCATTTCCACCTCAGCAGCCGGGGTCTTGACTTCAGCTGGCTCAGCCGTCCTCGCATTATCTTGGCTATTTTCCGCTACTGCCCAAGAGTTTCTACAGTCTTGCATCTTTGTCTTCGTCAAACATCCCTTTGATGTTGGAGACCGAGTTTCAATCTACGGCAACACTGGGTCTTCCCTCAAAGGAGATGACTACTTCGTCAAGGAAATCTCGTTGTTGTATACGGAATTCAAGAAGATGGAAGGCCACATTGTCCAAGCGCCGAACTCCTATCTTAACACGTTGTTCATCCTGAACATGCGGCGCTCTGGAGGCCTTGCTGAAGCTGTTCCGATTGTCATCCGATTCGGTACCACTCTGGAACAAATCGAGGCCTTGCGCAACTCGCTACTCGAGTTTGTGCGATCTGAGAAGCGTGAGTACCAGGGCAATATTTTGACCGAACTTAGGGAGGTGACCGAAGCGTATTCTCTCACTTTGAATGTTGTTTTCTTCTACAAGTCGAACTGGCAAAACGAGCTGCTTCGTCTTCAGCGACGGAACAAATTCATCTGTGCTTTGATGGTGGCTATGCAGGAGATTGGCATCGAAGGTCCTCGTCGCAACCAAGCTGGTTGGCGACCAGATGTGCCGTACTTTATGCAGTTGCCTCCTGGGGCTCCACCTCTCATCGGCGGAAATGCCAACGAACTGCAACCCGGTCATGCTTCAGGAAGTATCACTGGAGATCCGCTCCACCATACTCCTGCGGCTGCGGCGCCTCCGCTTCAGTATCCTTCCATCCTGCGACGACGGCCTAGCACTGGTCAACTCGGACGACCTAGAGGCGAGTCTCTGTCGGCCATGGCCAGGAGAGTGGATTTTTCGTTGGGTATGAAAGACGTGAGTTCCGGAGAGCAACTCTCGGATGTATATGAAGACCGCAGTCGCCCGAATTTCGAAGAGGTGATTCGCGAATCCAACAGGATTGACGAGGAACGAAGGATCTCGGAATCCCAAGAACGCGAAAGCCACGGAAGGTCAACATCCCGCGAAGGACACATGATGAGTGGCATTCTGCGGCGCTCGACCACTCAAAGCTTGGGCGGTAATAGCAGAGTGTCTATGAGTGGTCATCATCGGGCCTCGATCAGTAGCACCGAGACACATCGGAATCGCTTCCTGGGCCGCTTCAACCGCCCCGGTCGAAGCATTGATCTTCCACGCGACTCCCTAGCGGAAGAAGGTCAAGCTCCGCCCATCTCATCCCAGCCGCCCCTGGATGCGAGATCTGGTAAAGTCAGCTCGCAGGCAGTACGGGTAGACTCGATCGCATCTCAATCCAACGAGAACGAGCCGTTTCCGTCCATGGCTCCAGTGCGCAGCAGGGCGGAGGACTTTGAGTTGAGAAGGCTAGGCGGTGAGGGTCCGTCCAGCCACCCGCACTGAAATCGCAGACGTCCTCTCCTCTATCCCATTCTTTTGTCTGATGGTGTACATTGATCCCCCTCGGGTGTGGAAGACTCGGGTTTTCTGGAAACAAAAGTTCTGCCGCTATGGGTGGCCTCCACGGGTGTCGGGCCTGGGCGGGCCTGGACTGGAGGCTGCGGTATATATTTACAATCTTCGATTATGTATAGACACGTTATGAAGTGGTCTGATTCGACTACGCGGTTATGACTACCTATAGAGATAGAATTTTATGAACGGACGAGATTTGGCGTCTGACAAATTCACAAGGCCACAAAAAATGGTGCTGTTTTTACCTGGAAAGATTTCCGAGGACCACGATTTTAAGACAAAGACGAATGGTGAGACGAGACAACACGAGACGAGGACCAGAAACACTTGGTCTAGCGCACGATTACCAATGAACATATCGACCATGAGCTGTCGGTGCTATGTGAGTGGCTAATCTGACGTGTATCATCGATGCTAAGAAAGAGAGAGGCTGACTCTATCTGTCACGTGCGGACCTTAATGCCAAGCCCGGCAATATATCTAGATCCTGCCTAGTTTTCGCCTTAACAACTTGTCTTCGCTGCCTTTCTTTCAACGTCCGGGTCGGTGAAACAAGTTATGACCGTCCTACACCGCCCCCAGCATTGGACCCAACTGCCTCTTTCATCCCATGTCACCGTGGACAACATCCCCTGCGCCAGCTTTCCCGTGTGCCACGCCTCGTATGTAACCTTTCCTGTGGGCTGGATTCGGTCAGTCCTGATGGCCGTGCCCACGGCGCGTCTCTGATATTTCCTGTCTGGGTAGCCACAGTACTTGTTTGTCGAGACCTAAGGGGCCCTTCTGTCTTTGGCCCGCTTCACGATAGCACCGGCCACCCCGCCAGACCGATTGTGAAGGCGGGTGAGTTGGCGATTTCGTCAGCTCTGGCCTTCATTTCGTCCACGTCCCAGTTCGCCCAGATAAGCTTGTTCTTCAAGAACTTGGCTTCGGGGCTGCATGCCCAGACTGCGAACGAAGCTGGCAAGTCGGCTGGTATCGAAGGACGTAAAAGTTAGCAAGGGGTTGATTCCGACGTACTTCGGGCGGGATTGAACCCGGCTCTTTACTCAACGAGAGAGGGGAGTGACTTACGCGTATCCATAGGTGCCATGGCACCATGCTTGATATTGATATCGCTTGAAACGACGCCCGGCTGGAAACTGACCACATGCAAATCCGGGTGCTCACTCTGGACGAACTCGAAGACCCTAAACGATGCGAGCTTGGAGGAGGAGTATGCTGACAAATTGGTCACCATGGCAGTGGGGACGTGGATAGCGGCCGTCGAGACGTTGATGATTGTGGCGGTGGGCGATCCTACAGGGAGGAAGGCTCGCACGGAGTGAAATGCCCCAAGGATGTTCACTTCGAAGGATGTCCACCATTCCTTAGCATCAGAGGCCGTAAGGGTCGCGGGCTCAGCCAGATGGCCCGCGTTGTGGACAAAGATGTCGATCGGTTTGTTGGCCTGTTGTCGAATGGTTTTGAAGGCAGCTTCGATACTCGAGGGAGAAGCTATATCCGCTGTCACGGCGACAAGCTTTGTATTTGGGTACTGAGACTCGAATTTGGCCTTGGTAGCGTCCAAGGTCTTCTGTGTTCGTCCCACGATGCCAATAAGACTGACACCTGCCTTTGCGAAAGCATTGACCATAGCAGAGCCGATTGCGCCCGCACCACCAGTCACGATTGCGGTCTTGCCCTCGAGTGAAAGTTCGGGGCGTGAAGGGTCAATACCAGGGTAGGTATCATTGTGCCAGGTCGGGAAGGGAGATGGGAGTGGAGTGGCAGCGGCGTCGCCCATTTTTGTTTAGAGATGCCGATGATTTCGGGTCAAAGGTACGCAACTTCGAGGTATGGTTTTTTTAATTTTTTGAAAGAGTGAAGCGCACTTGATGAAACACACTGGGCTGAGGAGAGGACATGCCGGCGATATATAGCCTTGGACAGGCTGACAAAGCTATACAACTTAGGAAGGCATTGCCTGTTATCATGCAGACAGTCATTTCAAAGCTGGGGGAAGGAACACCTGGACGGAAAGAATCCGGTCATCAGCTGACGCCCTCGGAACCTCTTACCTGGTCTGTTCTATGTTCCACACATGGCTGTCATACATACACATACGATGTGGGCCGTTATCTTCTAGGGCAAGGCTGCAGCCTCGTCAGGGTCGACCTGATGGGGCCAGATGTTGATAAGGCTGGGACTGGTGTCATTCAGCCTTGACCTGATCAACCCAACAGACGAGGCTGATGAATGGAAAGGTTGGCTTGCAAATTTCCCTGATGACATGCCGGTACACAACGTGAATTGCATCTACGAGAAGGCAATATCGCCGACAAGGTATTGAAGACGCCCACTTGGGTCATGATGGGGATGAGAAGCCACCACCACACCATGAATATAACCACTCTAATCAAGCTCATGGTTGGGACTCTGGATGGTTGTACCTTTTGACCTCTGAAAACAGAGAGTATCCAGGGTTTGAAAGTAAGAGTGATGTACAGTCTCTGGTGAAAAGCAGTGACATGACCTGATCTCTGAATGTCTTCACTTACGAGCTGCTGCCAGACCTCAAGGTGAGAGAATCCGTGAGTTTGGGCAAAGTGAAGGTCGTCCTGGTGACACTTTCGCCAAGTGAAGTTGATGTTGCCCTCAATTGATTTTGACGCGTATAAAGCTCCTTCTTCCTCTTCATTCCTTCTCTCTTCCTCCTCATCACCCTCACTGCTGCTTTCTTCATCAATCGCTTCTCCTCTCGCAAGTCACTCTTTTTCCCTCAAAACAACACCTTTTGCTCTGAACTCGCTCACTCTTGGGGCAAGCCTCTCCCGGGAGCTGCCTCACCAACATCATGGAGGTCAAGATGAAGGGTGCGTCTTCATGTCGACGTCCTGTGATGGCGCAGAGTAAGAGACTAATGTGACACTTTGGCAGGTTGGCCTCAAGCGGCAATCCTTTATCTCATTTTCATCCTCTGCTTCACTGCTGGTTTCCTTGATGCTGGTCCTCTTCAGCCCGCCAAAGGCCACACCTCCATCGTCCGCAGCTGGCATCACACTCCCACTTCTCACCACGGTCATCATGTTCCTACTCACACTGCTTCCAACGAGATTGCAGTTCATCCCGCTCATGACATGGACTCGTCTGCCTCATCCCTCGAGCATCTATCCACCCTAGAGCATCGAGACACCGACATGGCTCTCCACAACTATGCCCTGGTCTGCGATGACAGAGTGTGGACCACCATGTGTGCAGGTGTTGGTTACACTTGCAGCTCTTCGGGCAAGTTGAAATACAAACATAAGGACATTATGTGTCATGACATCTGCTCGTGCGTTGATCTCGTACCTGCGCCAAAGATTTGTGTCGTCAACAAAGCCTCCAAACAATGCTCAGTCGTCAATGACATGGTTCTGGATGCAACGAATGGCGAGCTCCTTGGAAATGTCACTGAGTCAAGCATTCTTCCAGACGGCTCCTTGGACTTGACCACGACAGTTGCAAAGCGTGATACAGAACTCAGTCATGACCACGCACTCGTCTGTCACGACCGTACTCTTACAGGTCTGTGCCAGGCCTCGGCCCATGGCTATTTCTGCAACGCAAATGGGGTCGTCAAACACAAAGGCCAGGCAGAAGTCACTTGTGAGAGCCACTGTATGTGTGTCAACATCAGCCCGAGGCCCTGCTTCAACTTTCTAGCCAAGCATATCAATTGTGGGTTCAAAGATAACACTGTCTTTGATACAATCGATGGTACCGCCCTCGGCAATCTCTCCGACGCCCAAGTCCTTGACAACGGCTCTCTGGACTTTTCGCACACCAAGGCACTCGAAAAGCGCCACGACTACGGACTGATCTGCGAAGACCGCGAGCATACTGCCTGGTGCGGCTCGTCGTATCAGTATTACTGCACTGCAAGAGGTCAATTGAAGTTCAAGACCACTGGAGAACACTGGTGTGAGGAGCATTGTTTCTGCATGAACCTCAAGCCAGCAATTCAGTGTTTTCCAAACGCGGCTCTTCTCACCACATGCCTGCTCAAAGGGAAGTTAGTCTACAATGAAAACGGCACTCTTCTGGGAAATGTTAGCGACGCATATGCCTACCCTAATGGAACCTTGGACTTCCGCAAAGTCGTTACCAGAGATTTAGACGTGGTATCAGCCGACCCACAAAAGATCATATGCAAGTCGCAGCAATCCACTCAAGTGGCCCCTTTTTCCGGCGGATTACTATATGACAAGAATTTGACCACGTTCTGTGCATCCCATGGCTACTCATGCACAACCGATCCTACGCGTGCAGCGTTGACCTTGACTTTGCAGCCTGGCTCAAAGGTCATTAAGGAGTGCGCTAACTCTTGTGCCTGCCAGTCACAAACTTGGAAGCGCGAAGGGAGCGAGGTACTGTCGCAACCTCCACAAAGCACCGGCGGAGTTACCATTCAGGACCTTCTCCTTGGCTGCAGTTCAAACAATGGGTTGACCAAAGGTACCTGGTCGTTCGATGAATCACTGACCCAGGACTGCAAGAACAAGGGCTATAACTGTGCCATTCTGCCTGGATCACGTTTTGTGTTGCAGCATTCGGGGGCCGTGGTTGCGTCTTGTCAAGCTGGTTGCAGTTGTCCGGCATCACCAACGCCCGCTGAGTCTGCTGTATCATTGCATCTGACGACAAGAGCCAGCACAGAGTCTGAAACAAACGACATCGCAGCTGTCCGGGCAGTTAACAAATTCGATCCCTTTGGCATGACCTGTGCGTCGCGTGGCAGAAACAACGAGACTCTTACCAATTACTGCCGAAACGAAGGTTACTCATGTGTTAGCCTGACGGGTACTTACCTACGAACTCTTTCCCACAATAGCACCGACATTCCTGAATGCACTCACAGCTGCCGATGCCGGAATCCCTTTGCTCGCGAGAAACGCTCTGAAGATGTGGAAATGTCGGCGACTGCAGATGAGATTCCAGACACTACAGCCGTTGCCCCTCCCAGCGGTGTCCCAAGCCAATCATCCAGCAGTTTCGATCTCAATTGTGGCAATGTCGCGGACGGCCCTGGCTTCTGCCAGCAGCCAGACCTGGGGTATTTCTGTGCCTACAACATGACGGTCATGCGGACGTCCACTGTTCAAAATCAAGGTGTGACATGGTGCGACTATTACTGCAGCTGCATCTTCAAGAACCCCGTCCCGTGTGTCAACGAATGGAATGTTCCCCTTTGTCGTGAGATGCCGGATGGGACCGTCCGTGATGCCTCGAGAATGCAAATTGTCCTTGCATATATCGAGAATGTGATCATCTTGCCCAACAACTCCATCTTGCTGGATCGCGGCCAGGACGGAGGCTTCCCGTTTGTCGTTGCATCGCATGGTCGACATGGGCCTAGCTCTAATGATTCTAGCCACCATTGGACAGATTGGCCGACAAATGGAACGAATGGAACGAATGGAACGACCGACGGGTGGAATGAAAGAGGACAAGGTGATAACTGAGCAATTTCAGTTTCTCAACATTGTGCTCGACTTTCACAAAAGACATAACCAGATAGCTGTGTCAGCTCGGACACGCGCCTTCAAGCGTACCAATTTTGCCGCATGAATAGCAAGCTTGATAACAGTCGATACAATCACCACTCCACGCCCACCTCGAACGTCAGTTACTCTGGGGATCTCCACATCGATACCACCATCAACAAGAAAACTCCATCTCAAGGTCTAGGATGAGGACTGGAGATATTGCGGGTCATTTGGACCTACAACATGAAAGATTGGTATGATGACGGACCATTATGGGAGAGACTGAGGCATACTGATAGATATGGCATTGGGAGAATGGTGGTTTGTTCTTGTCCATACTGAAACAAAAGAAATAGCCCTGAGAGACAGTCCAGGTAGTATGGAATGACAATACGAAACTAGATAACCAATATTGCCTGCCTCTACCCTTGATTCCTGTTGCATGTGTCGCAGTGTCTAAACTGCGATGAAGCCTTGAATAGAGACTGCTTTCTACACGCTCATACGCAGTTGAGGGCGATGAGACCACGAAGGCTCTGTCTACAGAGATATCAGGCTATTTCGGCTCCAACACAGATATCTACCATACGTCTATCTCCATGTCCATACTCATGCTCACGCTCACGGTCTCCTTCTCCTGCGCCATCACCACCTAGTGTATCTTGTAACGACTCTCCTCCCTCGTCTGATGTCCTGCTCTGTAGCGGACACTTTACCACGCTGCCATCTCAGCTCAGCTCATTCTCATTCTCATCTGATCTGATCTGATCTGATCTCATCCCATCTTGTGGACGCGCGACGGGTCGGCATATCCTTTCGACCGTACACCGTGCTGATCGTGTCACAGTGTGACCGTGTCTTTTGAAGGATTTCATCAAGGCTTGGGTCTGGGTCAGGGTCAGGGTCAGCAGCAGCGGCCGCCGCGCCCGCCAGCGTCCAGCGTCCAGCGTCGAGCGGCGATTTTGTTGGTATCCTATTTTATTGATCACTTTCAATCCGTTTTCAGTAGAATAGGTCCAGGGACAAAAGTTTGGGTAAGTTTCGAGTATATATGGACGTACCTCCTGGGGCTGTTGGGATACATACCACTGTGGGGAGGTTAGCGGAAATGGAAATGGATCGATCGACGGCAGGATGAAGAAGCTACGAGTTCCGAATACGGGCACAGATAGCAGGGACAACTCTTCTTGTTGTTCGAGGTTGGAAAAAAAGGAAGATACAAGGACAAACAGAACCGGGTACATAACGCTGAATACCGTGGGGAACATTTGAGCAGGCAGGCTGAGGCTGGCCGGCATACACACTGGGACCTTCGAGTGTTCCAACGTATAGTTCTCTTCCAGCAGTTGGACGCTTCACTCCGATAACCCGCGTTTTCACAACAGACGCCAGCAATGTCATCTCCTGCGCACTCATTCTTGCGAATAACCGAATAACCGGCATCCCAACCAGTCCTCAATCATCATGCTTTTTTCTTTCAATTCGTGACCGGCATCTAGTCATCTCAAGAGCAAATGTTTACCAGTCGTCATCCTCGTCACGATCCTTGTCTCTTCCACTCATCGCGCTCTGTCTTGCTCTCAGTGCCTCGGCCAGTCCACCAGCGAGACTGCCGCCTCCAAGACTGCTCGGCGTAGCCCGCCCAGAATTGCTCCCACTGTTCGTGCCCAGACCCACGGCACTATCTCTGGCGGGGGAGAGGTCCGGTTTCCTTGCTCCTGGGACCGGTCGTTTTGCAGGTGGTGCTGGCGGCGTGGGTTTGGCCCTACCACCAACGGGCGGTGTTCCAGGCTTGTGCCCACCGTTGACCACAACCGATGGTGTTGGAACAGGACGATGATGTTGAGCTGGAGGTGGAGGTGGCGGAGGTGCGGCGCGCGCCTGCTCAATTTCTTCAACGTAGGCAGACGGTGTCCAGCCTTGCGCCTGGGTGCGAGGGTTCTTGCAGAGCCACCAGCCTGAGCGATTCACGTTAGTCTGGGTCCCAAAATGTGGTCAAGAACGTCAATCATGCTTACCGTTGTTTTCTTTCTGCACAATCTCCACAATTTCCCCCGCCTCGACAGACAGCTCGTTCTCATTAGGAGAGTTGAAGTTGTACTTTACTTTAGCTTGAGGCTGGGAAGGCACTGCGGCAGGGGGTGCAGCTGGAGGCGGTGGTGGGGGCGGCGGAGCTGCTGTTCGACCATATGATGATGCAGAGTCATTTCGGGCGTGCGACGATGCGCCATTGAGCTGTTGAGGAAGTGCATGCGCAGCAGCAGGAGTGGGAACAGGACGCTGCGCTTGAACTGCGGGTTTAGGTGCCGGAACAGCTCGTCTCGCAGTCGTCTTGGATGGTTGGCCTCCTGGTCCCCCTGGTCTGAGCAGCTTACCAGTCGTAATAGGTCTGGCAACCGCTTTAGCTCGCGGAGTCGGTTTCGAGACCGAATTGGCTGGTTCTCCTTGCGGCACGTGGATCGTTCCTGATTTATACACGTCGTCGCGAGTGACGCCTGGATCTTTCTGAACTTTGACCACCGCAGGTTTCCCTGGTTTCTTGTTGTACTCAATTTGAGGTCCGATTTTGAGGTTCATGCCGCCGACTGCGACCGTCTTGAATTGCAGGAAGAATTCAGTCTTGAAAACACAGTTGATGAGAGGATCTGGCTCCTGGGCAGACCCAACACCCAGGGCAAACCAATCATCCCGCAGGTTCGAACACGAGACGTATTTCACCGCGCCAATGGGTATCGTTCTTTCGGCAGAGATCTGGAGTTGGTTGTTCACCACGGCTTGCACAATGATGTAGACCGATTTTGGAGTCAGGACAAGAATCCGTGGCATCCGCTGCGACGATCGTCCAAACTTGGTGACCAACAGCTCACAACGCGCTGAAAACACACAACGTTCCTGAGGATTGAGGTGGATGGCATCTCTGAGGACGCGACCTTGACCACCCGGCATGTTGAGACCAAGGTAATCGCCAAAGAATCGTCTGGAACCAAGCAAGCTGTATCTGCGGCGTTCCTTCCGACCTGCCAAAAGCCTGTGTCCCTGATCTCGGAATTCAACCTCTTTAACGCCAACCTTGGATTTGCGCCAGAACCTCTGAATCCTGGTCGCTGCCTCGGCTCGATATCGCAGGTAGTTTCTCCAAGCTCTCTGAATGCGGACGGCCATGTTATGCCAATACCGGTCTCTCATATGCTCAAGCCCAAACAAAGTTTCTGGAGTCTTGATAAATGCTTTAGTCACACCCATCTGATATTCCTCTTTGGGAATGCTGGTGTCTTTGAAGATAATTTCCGACGCAGTCCTGACATCTCCTGTGTAGGTGTATTCTCCGGCGTAAGAAAGTTTAGGTGATAACAAGGCGAATCTTTCCACGAATTTGTCAAAAGTCTGACGATAGGCGAAACCAGCGCGCCTGATGCGAACGTTTTCTTGTAGACCTAGATACTTGATCTGGTGGAGCACATTAGGCTCGTTGTATTCTTTGGGCGACTTGTTCTCGTTGGGTTTGATGGTTCGGATGTACGACGGCTGCGCTTGCATCAGTGTATCCACCAGTTCATTGGCAGATATCTTGATCTTGTCCCCAGCAGTTGGGGGTCGTCGCTTGTCGTCCTGGTCCACCTGATTGGGAAATAGCTCGTGGACAAATCCATTGGAGCTCTCGCTGACAAGATTCAGAAGATCTTTCAGAAGTTGATCCTTGTTCTTGTCCGTCATTCCTGCAACCTGATAGCTCACGTCGCCAGCATAATGCTTGATGATGAATTGGCCTTGCCTGCTCTCAAAGTTGGGGTTGCTTGAGAGAAAGTTCAATCGGCCAACAAAGGTCTGATCGGCAGCTCCGGAGTCTGCATGGGCTGTCGCACAGGCGTCGTTGAGGGCAGCAAAAACACCCGGGGGTCTCTTGTCCTCGATCAAAGAGCAGACAACTTTGTTGTCGAAATATTTGATCGGAGTCCACTGGATCTGTTCTCGGGCGTACTCTTCCTGCTCGGCTTTCAAGGTCAGTTGGATGAAGATTTGCTGCAACTTCTCGTTGACGTAGTTGATACACAGCTGCTCGAACGAGTTCTTCTCGAAAATTTCGAACCCATAGATATCAAGAATACCAATCGTGTTCTTCACCACGCCCTGTGATCTCAGCGAGACATTGGTACGGGCGACAATCCAATCGAACAGATTGAAGTATATGGCTTTGGCAAGCGCATCTCGGACAGCACTAGCCTGGACTGGGTTCAAGGGCGACTCGTAGATGGAGCCTCTGCGTCCTCCACCGCGGGCTGTTTCGACGATTCTGATGGTCATAGCTTTGTGCACATGAGATGATTCCACCTCTAGCAGATAAGCGACAAAATCCACCACGGATGTATCTGCGATGTCGACACCTCCTTGATCATTCTCCCTGAATGTGATATTCCCGATCCACAAAATGGCAGCCAGAAGACGGAAGATATTGTCCTGCTCAGCCTTTGTTAGACCAATAATCTGCATGGCTTCTACCGTCTCTCGGAAATCGTTCGCGTCGTCTATTCCTGGCACATCGAAGCATTTCGACCGGCTCGTATATACGTACGACTGAGGTTGCTGTACACCAAAAGAATCTCTGTACTCCTTCGGGGCAGCTTTCGTGAACTGATAGAAAATGTGGAAGTTCCTCTCGTTTGTGATCTGTCCCACCACCCGGCTCTTTTCCAGCAGGTAGTTTGTGACCTTGGCCCCCACAGGCTCACCTTGTTCATTAAACTCGAGCTCGAGGTATTTTCCGAAACGAGAGGAATTGTTATTTCGTAGTGTTTTGGCGTTGCCGAAGGACTCGAGGAGGGGATTTGTGGCCAGGACCATATCCTTGGTCCTCTGGATTCTAGAGTCGGTTCCGCCAGAGACACTGGCAATGTACTGCATCAAGCGCTTGGCGGCTTCCGTCTTGCCTGCGCCCGATTCACCAGAAATGATGACACATTGGTTGTCTTTGTATGCCTTCATGTTGTAGTAGGCCGACTCTGCAACGGCAAACACATGCGGGGGGACTTCGAGACGATTGCGCCCACGGTAGCTCTGGACGACCTGGTCTGTGTAGATCCCCAAGTCTCGGAAGGGGTTGACTGAGACCAACACATGGCCGATATAGGTGTAGATCTCGCCATGTTCAAAGCGCTTCTTGAGGTTGTCATTGATTGACTCATTTGAGACTTTGCTCAGCAGTGTGAGATCTGAGACGCCCACTTCCTTCTTTTTTGTGATCTCAAAGGTCGCTTTTTTGATCTGCGGTTGCCCGGAATCGGCGTGTGAAGACTTGCCGCCGCCAAAAAGAGACGATTTAGGTGCGCGAGAGGTCTTGCCTTCGCGGCGCTTTGTTTGACCCTACGAGGTAAAAGTGAGTGTGTCGGTCTAAGCATGAAGAGGGCGCGGGGACACTGACCATGGTGACGGTGTGAAGTGATTAGGACATAAGCGCGGAGAGGGTAGATAGGATGAGAAAGAGTTTGTCGGTTCGCGCGAGGGACATATACTGAATACGAGGATAGAAAAACCCGAGAACCGTCAAAGCAAAGAATCACGCAAGAAGGACAATTGGAAAAGTGCTGGGTAGCCTTTGGGCTGGTCTGATGAGATTGGCAAGTGAGTGCGGCGGTGCTTTTGTCGATGCTTGTAACCAGTTCAGGCACCGACACAGGCGCCGGAGTGACTACCTGGGTATGACATACCAACGGCGCTATAAGCGGATGCTGCGGTTAGTCAGTTCCATATTGCAGCCTCACAACCTCTCCACAACCTCTTTTCTCCTCATCAGTCCTGACACAGGCACTCGTATCCTCCAATCTCCATCGCCACGCCTCGCTGTGGCTGTGAGACTACGACACGCAAGCGGCGTTGATGTTCCGTCATCTCTCTTGGCTTCACCATATCAGCCGCGCACTTCAAAAATGTCCTGCGTCCTCCACGCGTACCAAACCTTTAGCCTAGATTGACGCGAGCCTACTAGATATGCCACATATTCCTAGCATCCCGCTCAAAGTCCCTAGGTATCCGGAAATTGCCTCAGCAGCATGGGCACTAAGCATGAGCTTTGCACAGGCAGATGTCAATACAAGAAATTTGAGGGGGTTTTTAATGCCCAACGGACGATCTCTCAAGAGCTGACCATGCCTGCCCTACCTCCGATCTCAGTTACTGGGAGTTGACCCTATGTATATGACGGAGAAGAGGAACAACAATGATGTCGCGAGGAATTGTGATCTTGCTGTACCAGGCAGTACTGAATACCGAGATTTCATCTACTATTAGTCCAACATCGGGCTCGGATTTTTACTTTTATGGCAGGTGAACCTTGAATATTGCGGTGTGCTTGTTCAATGCTTGTCTCACAACCTTGGTCCATATTGTTTCACTCCAGCCGGACATATTGTCATCTCATAACGTTGCAAAGACCATGGTTCTATCTCCTTCCTCACTTTCAAATTTCTTGAATTACTCCCCCATCACCTTTTTCGAGTCAGCGGCGTTGACATAGGCCGGATATGCCTCAACAACCTCCTCGCCGTCCGCACCTTCAAGATATTCAGCGGCGAACAAGCGCCTCTCAAGATTGCGTGTCCCCTGGACAACCTCTGCCAGGTTGACAGCCGCGAAATTTGCGCCTTCCACCATTTCTGCTCTTTCGGCAACCCCAACATACTCTGCTGCAGAGACACGCTTCGATTGGGCTTGTATCATATCGTTGAATTTGTCGACTGGTAGTGCCAGGACAGGAATTGCTGAGAGGAGCAAGGATGACAATGTTGAAAGCAACATGGTGTAGCAGGGTGTTGGTTGATCTCAGATGGTCTAGGTGTTGGGCAGTAGAGAGCATGCTGGGACTTTGGCTATGAGAGCATCGCTAACTCTTATACTTGATCTGGGATTGCCTGGAGGCACGGACAAGGCGAGCCCCTATGCGCTTCCACACGATGGAGGAAGCCTGCATGCCTAGGATGTGTCAGAAGTAACGGTAAGCAGCTACCCATGAATGGGTACACCATCAACATGCTTGTCCTCTTGAGAAACAAGGTCATTGATCAGCAGGCATCCGGTTCTTCCACTGAGAAATGGCGATGGCCGTACAGAGCACCGAGCCATTCATCGATAAACTCATGGCCACGATCTTTTGCGTTTTAGGCGACTGTATCTAATTGGCGAAAAATGCTGGCGACCGGTAATGTGACGCAAAGGACCAACCCGATCTTGCTGTCGATAGGGCTCTTCTCGCTTAGAAGAAGTAGGAGTGAGCGCGACGAGTCTGGCATCAAACGAGATAGAGCGGGCCGCAGCAAAAGCGGCTTCAAGTACGCTCTCGCCAGTACTCCCAGCTTAGGCGTACGCTCGATCTCTCTCTTCGACATTGAAATCGTCAGATTGGCTGCAAGCCTGATATCAGCGGCCGACTTCTTGTAGCTTTCCACCATCAATATGGGCTTCTTTCGCAGGACACTGAACGACGGTCACTTCGAAGGGGAGGAGGTTCAAAGCGAAGGTATAATTGAAGAGGTCGCCCCATTCCTCTGGAACGAAGCAGCCAGGAGAAAGCTGGAGAAAGGAATGCCACACAAAGTCAGATCTGCCTCGCTGCCAATTCTTCTCACCATCATAGTAGCGCTGATGGCTTCCGGCATCACCTTCTGGATCACAGCAGAATGGTATCATGGGGCTTGTAATAGCACAAACGACCTATGGTGTGGGTATCAGTCTGCGAGGCTTTCGTTTATCGGACTGACGTCTTGTATGACAGCGCCAGCGGAAGAGCAATTAGAGTATTTCGACCTCGACATCGACAATGACTTCGCTGCTGAGAGCCGATACCGTGGACCGCCGACCCCAGAGCTGGATGCTGCGTGGGAAGAGCTCTGGCACTTTGGCTACGTCGCCATTCCCCGCGACAAGCTGTCAGCGCTGAATAGACAAGAGCAACTCCCTGATGGCCGTACTGTGGCAAGAATCAACGGAAGTACTAACCACTTCCAAGCGTCATTGGAGGTCTTCCATCAACTCCATTGCCTGGTAAGCACCTGACAAGACCACTGGTAGACTTTGTGACTCGGAACCGTGGCTGACGTCGTGCTTCATGGGCTTACAGGATGTAGTCCGCCAGCACAGCTGGGTTGCGTACTATGCCCGACACACCGACACGGTGCGCACGCCGGCAGACCTCAAAGTCTCGCCGGTTGGGCTCCGCATGCATGTCGACCACTGTATCGAGACACTGCGCAAGACCATCATGTGCCAGAGCGATGTGACGCCGCTGCTCATCATCAACGACCCCGCCAAGCCAGATGGGTGTCCAGACTTCAGCGCCTTCCACCGCTGTCGCAAATTCCACAAAGTGTGGGCGTGGATGAAAAGAAACCAACGAGACGTGCCGAGGAGGATGGATCACACAGGTTCAAAGGTCCATAGTGTTGGTGAGAGCGGATGAAAGGGTAGTCACACCTGCATGAATTGATGAGCCATGCATTGAAGAGTTCGGATTCCATCGTATTTGCAGTGTCCACCTCAGGCGCTGTGCAATCAAATTATCCATTCATCCTCCCAGAAGTCAACAAGGGTTTTTGTGACCACTGGTCCCAGATACTCGGCCAATCGCTCCCTTCCGTTGTTTGTCCTGGTAGCTTCCTCCAAACCTCGAATGGAAGGGCACAGGTCAGTCAATACATTGGCATCGTGTGCGGAGAGGGGCTGAGCTGGCGCTGAGGTGCTGGCATGAGCGACCAGGGTGGTAGGCATCGGCATTGGCGGTATCTTGATCTCGTACTTCTTGTTCAGCTCTTGAATGTAGCGCTCGATTGTAGGTACGATGCTTTCGATTGACAGCGCAGTGAGAATGGGGACGGGTGAGACACCTAGCATTCTAGGAGGTAGCCCACGAGGTTAGAACGGCGAGCAAGCCGCTCTTCAGTGGGAATTGCGAGCACCCTTACCGATGTTGCAGAGACGAGAGAACGTGAGCGGCGCACATGGAGGGCTTCTCCTTGTCCTCAGTCACCATAGCCACATATTGATCCGTCGTCCGCTTCGCCCGCGATAAGAAACGACGCAGTTGTTCTTCGGTGGATGTCATGGGATCGGAGGTCCACAATAAGAGAACGTGGACCGTGGATGGCTGCTGTTGTCCGGAGAGCGGAATGACAAGATCGCAGTCGGTCGTGTCGCCTTCTGCTATATTTCATCAGCTTGCTCTTGTTTCGGTGTGTTCAGGATTGACCTTGGAAGCTGATCGAAGTCGAGGCTACCAGCGCAGGCCCCAGCGTGCGCCATTCTGGTCGAGTTCGAAGCAACACAGAAATCTTCGCGTGCATCATATTGGAGGACTCTTTTTTTCAATCAGGGGTATCTCTGTATCCAGGTAAATAAATGTACAAATGTTGAGTCGGGAGTTCTGGTCAACATCATTCTGGTGCCAAGAAGGCGGGCACCTTGTATGCGCGTCTTCGTCTCCTTCACCTCCTCACTTTTTCGGTTTCTGTTCAGCAGCCGTCTTCTCTGCCTCTTCCAAGGCCTTTTGTTGCCTATGCTTCTCCTCCAAAGCCTTATCGGACTGTACAAGGATCTTCTCTGCCGGTCCTGGCTCGTTCTTTGATAGGGTCTCCTGTGCCTCGTTGTCACCCTTGGAGAAAGATATCAGAGATGTCAGGCGTGACCAGTAGCCAAGCGGTTGTGCCGCCTTCTCGTCCTCTTTGTCTTTGTCTTCTTCGTATATTTCCTTGGGCAATAATCTTATTGCGGTAGTTGGCTTTCCATTCTTCTCTTGTGCTCGCAGGCGGAGGACTTCCCTCTCCAGCTCGACCAATGCTTTTCGGGCCGCCTTTTCAGACTCCTCCAGCTCGTTCAGTCGCTCGGCGATATCATCCCTCCGCTGGGTCGCTTTCCTGCCCGACCGCCACGACTCAAATAGGATCAGACCAGCCGCAACACCAAAAAGAAATGCCTCGCTTATGAAGTTGGCGCCCGACTCGATGGCTTTGGCTTCGGATAGGGGTCTAATCTTGGGTTTCGGCCGCGGCTTTGGGGGCTCTTGTGCTTCTTTGGCGGCCTTTTCAGCAGCTTCCTCTTCAGCCTTCATCTGTGCTTCTGTCTTGACGGTAGGGATGTTGGCATGTTTATGCCTTTTTGCAGCTTCTGCAGCCTGCTCCTTCGCGACCTGTTTCTCCAGAGCTGCAGCATCTTGTAGCAGACCGATGCGCCATCGCATATCAATTCGGTGGAGAGTCTGGGCAAAGGAGATGCACGTTCGGCGGAAGCCATCATGCTCCCGGGCTTGTCTCTTGATAAAATTCTTCGACAGTTAGGCAAGAGTTGACAGCACAGAACTCAAACTCACAGCTATTGGTTTGGAAAGGGTGCGAACTGCCAGTGACGTGAACTTGAGAGTCAGCGACATGTCGTTATAGATGCCTGTGTAGAGAGAGACTTTCAAAGTCCGCCATTAACCGTAGTCGAACAACTCGGCCATTAGCTATCGTTCACCATCCTGTCGTACTTTCAGGCCACAGAACATACTGACAACGATCGAGCAGTTCAAAGAAGAAACCTGGGTCAAGTCGTGAGTCTCGAGTTTGAGTGACTTTTCGGTCGGCCTTGTTGCCCTGACTCGGGGCCGTAGGCTATTGAGCTCCAGTTGGGTGCCTGTGGGGAGCTCGCAGGCCCAAAAGCCCCTCACCGGAAAAATGAAATTTCCGCATTGTCGACAAACATGCCAAGATATAACCAATCTTTGCCTGTTACGGTTGGTCAATGTTTACTTTCCATCCCCTTTCGTCACCAATGAATTGCATGCTACATCTGGCCTGTTGTTCCCATAATTCAATTACAACGGCCTCTCTCATTGTCTCACCCAAACATTGGCAGCCTGAGATAGAACACTGCTGTGTGGCAAGGCCTTCACATCTGACATGGAGGTCCTCTCGCCACGGTCAGCAAATATCCCCATGGCGCCTCCTCCAAAAGCTACAAGAAAGCCCAAAGTCGACTCCAAACCAAAGACAGACGTAAAACTTACCAATCCCGATCGAATTGATGACATATGGAGACCACCGCCGTCAATAACAGAGCCTGGTCCCTCACCGGAAACCTACATTATGGGCAGGAAGCTGGGAAAAGGCGGATTCGCAGTTTGTTTCGAGGGAAGGTCAAAAACAACATTTGAAGTATTTGCCCTCAAGGTCGTCAAAGCAAAGGTTGAGCAGAAGAAGATGATGGAGAAGTTCCGAACTGAGCTTCAGATTCATGCCAAAATGCACCATCCAAATATTGTCGAATTTCTTCGTGCGTTCACCATCGACGAGCACACCTACGTCGTCCTTCAGATGTGCCCCAATGGGAGTCTTACAGAAATGGTCAAAGCGCGCTCCTGTCTCAGTCTCCCTGAAGTACGTCGGTACATGATTCAGATCTGTGGAGGGGTCAAATACATGCATAAGCGATCTGTCATTCATCGAGATCTGAAGATGGGCAATATTTTCCTGGATGCCCGTATGAATATCAAGATCGGAGATTTTGGATTGGCTGCGGTCATGGCAGATGAGCATGATCGTCGGACCACACTATGCGGCACCCCAAACTACATCGCCCCAGAGATCTTGAGCAAGTCCGGCCACCGTGGCCACGACAACAAAGTCGACACTTGGGCTGTTGGGGTGATTTGTTACGCCATGCTCATGGGCACTCCTCCCTTCCAGTCAAAGACCCAACAAGAAATCTACACTAAACTGAGAACACTGGAATATGAGTGGAGGATGGACAGCAAAAACTACATTCCACAACAGGCGAAGGATTTTGTGGCTTCATGCTTGAACCTCAATTCTGTCGAGAGACCGGAGATGGACGAGCTAGTTGAACATGACTTCTTCACAATGGGAGCGATTGCAGACGAACTGGACATTTCTTGCCTCAGAGCGAATCCGACATGGCTGGAGAATGCTGACCCCCGTGGAGACAAAGTACAATCGGGCTACGGAATCAGTCACAGCAGAATATGCCGCGAATGTGGCATCGGTATCGGCTCGGATGGTCGACCTCGCGCGGGAGTCGGGACTGGTCTAGACATCTCGACCCTGGTGGAAATAGAGGCTGAAAATAGAGAAGGGTGTGCACCAGCCGTCCCCTTACCGCCTGGGACGCTATATAAACAGTTCTCGGACGCGCACGCGGACTGGACAGCACGGCAGAAACATCCACTGTTAACGACACGTGTCCGCAGTCGAAAACCTTTTCCGGAACAGCCAGAACCGTCTTCTTCACGAAGCGGCAAAACCGAAACAGAGGCACTACCAGTTGGCGGATCTAAGGTTCCTTTACCACCGGCGAGCGCCACATCCAGACCGTTTCAAAGCTTCGCGGCCCAACAAAGGCAACAAGCAATCCCATCGGGAGCAGTGCGACGAGGTCCACTTGCGCCAGAGGAGATCCCTAAGGCGGAACAACCGAAAATTGTTGAGCCTCCTCTTCAACCACTTTTGAGAGAACGGCCGATGCGTGCGGCCACTATCCGTACCACAAGAAGTGCGGCGTCGCGTGATGCAATTCCCCCGATATCTAGGACGTTACCACGATCGATGACTGCGCCTGACTTTACAAAAGAGATTGTCAAACAAGAGCTGAGCCAAAATAGGCCAGAGGTTCGGAGGATCAGAAGCGGAATCACCGCCATGGCCTCGAACACTGAAACCCAGCGGGCAAAGTGCAGTTCACGGTCGGCCGTGGCAGCAGAAGCCGCGTCTGCGCGTTCGAAGTCGTCGTCTTCTCCTGACCCGACAGGGTCAATGGGAGATGTAACTTCACATGTCTTGCAACCCACCAGTGCAAATGACAGACAACCCGTATCAGGGACGGGAGAGAAGCAGAGGCCAGCCAGCACCGAACAGAAACAACGGGTAGGATCGACGACGGAGCGCGCGCACACAGTGGTTCTCCGGAAACATCAACCTCGAATCATTGGCAGAACAGACCGTGCGGTATTGGTCCCGCGGTCTTCCAATATCGACGTTCTGACATCACTGCAAAGCCTTCACAAGGCTCTTGATCCGCGCAGGTTCGACGAGGCAGGAAGGCGTCCAAGATCAGCATATGGCACCAGAAAACCCCGGACCCGATCCACATACCCTCGTGTTGACAAGTGGGTAGACTATTCCACCCGACATGGCATTGCATACATCCTCTCGGACGGCACGGTAGGCATGATACTCAAATCATCGGAAGACAACTCTTTGCCGAGTAGTTGTGTGGTGGTGCGCCATGCCAGCAGCCACACCATCCGGCGCGCCAAGGGTTTGGAGTATCAATTTGTGCCACAAGGAGCCGATGCCGCGGACGTCGAGTTCTATGAACAAAGTGATTACGAAGCCGGGATGAAGCGACTCGACGTCCCTGCACGACAATTCCTGCTGGACCTGGAGACACACCCGAATCAAGTGGCGGCTGCCAACGCGATCCAGATGCGGTTGGCGGGCAGTGAGGCTGAGCGCATGAAGGAGGTTGCGCTTTTGGACAAGTTCGGAAAATACATGAACAAACAGGGAAGGCATGACGACTCGACCAGTGGCAGGGCAGCGGGCAAAAGCGAACGGTTTGTGCATTTCTACCAACGAGTGGGGAATGTTGGGGTCTGGAGATTTGCAGATGGAGGATTGCAATTCAATTTTCCGGATCATACTAAGGTCACCATCCTCGGGCCGGCTACCGAGGAAGAAGGTGAGGACGGGCAGTACCGAGTTAACTGCGTCTATCTCATGCCAACTGATGCTATTGGACTTGCAAACCATGGCGGACTGAGCGGGGAAGCAATGGAGCGTCGCGATGAGTTGAGCTTGCCATTGGAAGACATCATGAGCGACACGCTGCGTCGGTCCGAGATGGAGATTGTGCGCACAAACGAGATCAAAGAGAAACTCTGCTGGGCGCGCGCGGTGATCGGATGCTGGATCAAAGAAGGCGGACTTGGTAGGATGGGAGAAGAGAGGTTGGGCTGGAGCGGATTGCAAGAACGACGAGACGACAAGAGGATCAAGCTGCAGTGGGTGACGGTGGGGAGGTATGGCGGCGATGGCGACGGCGACGGCGACAACGAGGGCCGAGTGCGCAATCACGGCTTGAGCAAGGCTGGCAACAAGTCTTGATTGATGGAGATCAACCATCAAAACTGGCAGTATTTTGGCTGTTTATAGGGTCATCAAGCAAGCAAGCGTTGGTGTATTTTGCAAGAGCGGGGGAAGGGCATCCATCCAGCATTGAGCATCCAGCAATCGGCATTGAGGTTGGAGTTGGTATTATTGAACCGTGGTACTTACGATCGTATGGTATGGCATCGTAGATTATCGATACTGGCCCATGTATGACCTTGACCTTGACCTCTGACGGCCTCGTCTTCTTGTCTTTTTTGCCTGTAGCCGTTTTCGGAGAGGGACGGGTGGATTGGATTAGCAACGCATGTCGCCATGTAGCATCATTCTTACTCTCTCTCTCTCTAATTCCCTTTCTTTTCCTCGTCGGGTTGCCCGTTATCTATTTCTCCCAGCTTCAGCCGCCGTTCCCTCGCTGCTTATTTTTGGTGAGAGCATTTCTTGGAGACTTTCACCTCTTGAGACACAGTCGCCACCACACAGCCAGCCAGATAACAAACAAAGAAACAATGGGAGGCGGCCCCGAAAAGGAACACCTCCTCATCGTCCTGTGGCAGCCCGAGCCCAAGGATGTCACGGCCGAGATTCAGCGGCGATTCCCGCATTTTGAGATTAAATACTTTCAACAACTTCCCCCCGAAGGAGGGCAGATTGTGGATAAGAGGGAGCAGGTTCCGCAGGGTGAGTGAGTCGTGTAGAGGTCAAGTCGTTATGTTTTGTTTCTATTTGCTGGTGTGTAAGGGTTCAGTGTTGGTCTGGTTCATGATGAGGATGAGGAGAAGGGGAGGTGAAGAGTCAGAATGGGAATAGAGAGGTGGGAAGAAGAGGGAGATGAAGAGGTGGTACTCGTTGTCCTTGTCTCACTCGCAGCGATATCGTCACCATACATATGGATATCGTCGACTAACCACGTCTCTCTTCTCGACACACCCTCCAGAGCTATGGCAATGGGCCACCATCCTGATCACCCTGTCATCCCTCCCCGCGCGAGCCGAAGATGCTCCAAAGTACGTGATGACCACCCCCTTTGACTGTCCACCTTTTCTCCCAAAAAGAGGGCGACTTGATTTTCTTACCGTATACTCCAACAGCCTCAAACTCATCCACCTCTTCATGGCCGGCGTCGACCACTACAGCAACCATCCCATCGTCACCGACAGCGACATCCCCATCACCTCGTCCTCGGGCATCCACGGGCCCCCGATCGCCGAGTGGATCGTCATGACCACCCTCGTCCTCAGCAGGCGCTACGCCACCGAGTACGAGTGGCAGAAGCAGCATCACTGGGGCACCGGTCGGGAGATGTTGATTGATGGCACGGATTGGGTGGGCAAGACGGTCGGGATTGCCGGGTACGGGAGTATCGGGCGTCAAGGTCGGTGTTTTCCCGCTTCCTTCTTCTCCTACTTTCTATACTTTCTATCTTCTGCCACCCAGTGGAAAGGTGTATCGAGCCTTCAGCTGATATTCTCGGTGGGGGGGGGGGAACAGCCGCCCGTGTCTTCAAGGCTCTTGGATCGAATATCCACGCCTACACGGCGGGTGCGCGCGCAACACCCGGTGAGTCTCTCGCAGTGATTCCCTTTCAAGTCTCCCTTACTCTCCTCTCCCCCCCTAGTAGTGAGGAATAAAAGGCCCCTCCTCCCCGCCCTAAAGTTCCCGGAAAGGCCACTACTAATACACGCCTTGGCCCATGGGTCATGGGCACGAGGAAAAGAATCGAGAAGGGACAACGGCTACATCGTCCCCGGCACGGGCGACCCAGACGGCACGGTCCCGCGGGCGTGGTACTCCGGGACGACGAAGGAATCGCTGCACGCGTTCCTGTCGTCGGGGCTGGACGCGCTGGTCATCGCTCTCCCACTGACGCCCTCGACACGCCACCTCTTTTCGACGCGCGAATTCGAGATCCTCGCCAACACGACCCACGCCGCCGACGGCACGCCCAAGAAATCCCGCTCGGCCTACCTCATCAACATCGCCCGCGGCCCCCTGGTCGACCAGCCCGCGCTCAAGGCCGCGCTCGACAACGGCGTCCTCCTCGGCGCGGCCCTCGATGTCACGGACCCGGAACCCCTCCCCGCTGACGACCCCCTGTGGGACGCGAAGAACGTCATCATCACGCCGCACATCAGCGGGCACGGCACGGAGTACGCGCTGCGTGCGTACGACGTCTTCATGGTCAATTGGGCGCGGCACGAGAGGGGCGAGAAAATGTTCAACCTGCTCGATCGGCACAAGGGGTATTGATCCCCTGTAGGAACCTGGCCAAGTGGTTGGATATTTGGTCTCATATGACCCGTAACCCATAACCTGCAACCCAATAGAACAAGCTCGTCATAGAGGGAGACAGACCTGGACAGGGACAGGGACAGGGACAGGGACATGGCATAGCAGAAAGCCCGACAGGAGGAAAGCAGATGAAGTGCCCTCGTAGATACCTCCCCATCCACACAGATAGGCAGTTCTCTAGTACAAAATACGACGGATATACTATGGTACCGAAACTAGATGTAGGTGTCTAGGTAAAATTCAATGATGGCCTGGGCAATGCCAAATACTAGGTAACATCCCCCCTCATTACTTCGGAAACAAGATTTACCGATGGCCACAATAACGGCAATAACGACAAACAAATCATCATTAGATGTCATTTCCTTGATTGATGCCAAAAACCTTTACACCTTCGTCGTGGTCGTTGTCGTTGGTCGTCGTGAGATGATAATAGTCGTAATCATAAAAGAACCCGTCGGGTGTCGTCAACAGAATATTACATGCGTGCATGCATCGTGTCATCATGCCGTAGAACGTAGCGTCGTAACATAACAGGTGGGTAGGTAGCCGCGAGGCCTGTCGTAGTTTTCGTGTCGGTGTTGGTATCCATCAGTGTCGAGCAGAAACTCGTGGTATCGGTTGGTATCGGGGTCATCGACAACAAACCATTCAATCGAATCGACCCAGCAAGTAAAGCAGTACATCCATCCCACATTTTCAATCTTCTTCGAGCTTCATTTCCCAAAGCAGCTCTTGAACACCCGCTTAGCAATTCCGGGCTTCTTCTCTGGGGGAGAAGAAGCACTGACAGCCACCCCATTCGGCGCAGCCACCTTCGCCGACCCATCTTGCCAAAACATCCAGTCGAGAAGTTCGTTTCCAAACCTGCTCCTCGCATCTTGGATTTTCCAGCCGTCTCTAGTTGCCAACCTCCCCACTAGGCCCCTCCACTCGGCAATCTCGTTCTTGAACCCGCCATTCTGGCTCTCTTCTCCTCTAAAGATTTCCTCCCACCGTCTCCCATGCACAGTATATCCATACCACTCCTTTGCCCAATGCGCGCGCACAGGCACCATTTTGCCTTCGTGGTCTTTATAGCTCGTCCACTTGTCCAAGACTTTCTGTGCATAAGCTGGCCAGATATCGGCGACGTTGTGCAGACTGAGGATCTCGATCGCGCACGTTCCCAGCGCATGACCGCGTTGTGGCGCAAGAGTCACCTGTGACCCAGCCATGATGCGCATCTCGAGAGGCATGCGTTGAGGACATGTTTTGATGGCGGCATAACAGGAGAGGATCGCATCCCACCAAGCCTGTTGTACGAGGGTCAGGTCAATCTCTTTAGTTTTGGGGGGTGGTGCCGCTGTTACTGCGCCGTTGGCGGCTCCATTGGCGGTGCCATTGACATGGCCATTACCAATTCCGTTGGCTGCTCCATTGACACCCGGCTTCACTTTCGGCTGAAGTGGGAATTCGACTTCCAAATCTCTCACCCGAAGATTCTGGACACCCCTCTGAAAGTGTAATGCATCAGGAACCCAAGTCTTGATGACCTTCCCACTCAGACCGACGTCATCCAAGTTCTTCATCGACAGCCAGGTGAGCAGCTTCGTCTGCGTCTCCGGAAGTGCCTCGGTCAATTTCAGCAGGATTGTCGCGTCTTGCGCGATTTGGACCATGAAAGTGCCAAAAACCTGCAAGATGGTCTTTGCGCTGCTCGGATAGGTCACTGCATTGGATGTATCGAGTGTCTTGTGCCAGGTGTTGACCCAGACTTCACTTGAATAAGGAAACCAGAACCACTCGGCGTAGTCGGTTGTCGTAGCGCGAGTTTCGAAATCTCGTTGAATCTCGGCTTTTCGTTCTGCGCTCAAGGGATTCTTCGCCCGCAAAGGGGCAGGAATGGCCGAATCTGGCATACCTGGTGGAGGAGGAATCGCTTCGATGACAGGAAGTTTGCGGGGTTCCATAAGAGCACACGACAGCGGGTCCAGCTCGAGGACGAGATGGGTGACGATGCCGATAAGACCGAAACAGCCTGCAGCGGCTCTGAGAATGTCGGGAGTAGACATGTCAATTTTGCGGAGCACGCCGTTGACGTCGACATATTCCATACAACGGACGAGATCGGAGATGGTTGGATTTTGAATACCACCACCATGGCTGGAAATGGTCGGTTAGTATGGCTGCTTCATCACCAAAACTTTGGCAGGGGAAACAAACCAAATCGTGGCATTGCTTCCTCCCATTGTGATTTCAACTTCCACAATATTCATTGGCATGGTAACTTTGCCAGTGTCAATGCACCATCTGCGAAGCTGCTCGTTGGTTGTCGATGTCCCGACTCGAACATACTTCTTGCCGCCGGTGAGCTGAGGACCTCTGACATAGGTGTAATCGACGACCACAATCGAGTTGAGGTCCTTCGCTCGAGGTTGGAAGATATCAGTCGGCAGGGATGTGAGATTCGGCAGGATCGAAGCGTCGATAAGCCCCAGCGTTGAAATCAGGATGTCTCCATTATTCTCGCTACCTTTCTTGTTGGATCGACCAAAGACCGGGGACCATGAATGACCTGGGGCGCAGTTCAGTAAGCAGACACGGCTGCAGTAGTCCATGCTTGGAGCTGACGGGGGACTTACGAAACCCAGAGGCACGAACACCCATGTTCTGCTTCTTCGCAAATTTGATGATATCGCACACATCTTGAGCAGTGTTGGGCACACATGTCAGTGCCGGGGTATTTTCCACCGTGCGGCCGTGGTTGAGAAACTCGAGGTTCTTGTACGTCTGTGAAGGCTTGGTGAGCGGCGATCACTGGGGCGAACGGCATGTTAGGACCATACCGGAATATACAGTGCGCGTCTGGGGTCTTTCAGAGATGGGAAGAGCTTTGCAAACAACCCTCGAATGCGAGAAGGGATGCTCGTTGGAGCTGCCTTCAACAAGTTGATCGGTTCGGAGAGGATGTTTGGCCCGTCAGGGATGGCAGCAGCAAGACCCCCTCGACGTATATCCCGCTTGAATACTGGGCCTTTGTCCGCAGTAGCCTGAGTGTATCGTTGACCGGCTTCTTTGGCGTCAATCTTGCCGTCGACAAAGTCGTTGAAGATTTCCTGCACGTCGTCGTCATAGTCGCCGATGATTTTCTCATAGGTGAAATCTTTATCGGTCTGTTTGAAAGTATGCAGAAACCGGCGGACGAACTGCTCTTCGTCCACCTCGACTTTTGGATCAAACCAGTCGTCTATCAGCTCCACGAAGCCTGGGAGTTCGTTGCTGTCGACCTTCTTTCTGAGGCCCAAGATACAGTCGGTGACAGATGCCAGAGAATCGTGTTGGTGGTCGCCATGGTCGAAGTCTAGATTATTAGCCATTGGGGCATTTTTCTCCAATTTCTATGTAAGAATAGCAAAGGAAAGGAAAACGCAGGCAATAAAAGCAATGAAATGGATCAAAATGAGAGCTGTTTGACCAAGGTGAGCTGGCCCATGATGAAACTGGCGGTCACGATCAGCTTGCCTTTTTTTCTTTTCTCGAGGCGGGGCTTGCGTCTGCCTTGCCGGGAGTGCTACAGTGACTACCGAGTAGAAGTCCGGAGACGATGCAGAGCCGTTCATGCGGAAAGCTGCAGGCGGAGGCTGAGAGGTTGGCGGATACACGACACCAGTCAGAGACGGCCAGATGTAAGAACGGCGGGTGCTGCGTTGTCACTCTGACTGGAAAAAGATGCTGAGGGTGACGATCGCTTAATGCGAATCCGGGAAATTAACCTGACAGTGACATGGAGACAACGTGGTCGGCCAAGTCGGTCTCGCTTGTCTATCTCTTTTTGACAAGGAGGCAGTTATCGCCAATGGCCTGAAGGCCCAGAGATTCGGGCAACGAGACAGAGTTTAGTTTAGTTGGGTAGACCGAGGCGGCCTTTATGTACGTCTCATGTCGCTTGTGCGTTGGCCTTTGGAACAGACTCCCGAGATGCGTCTGACCCGCATCAACTCCAATAGGCATGTCGCGCCATGGCGGACGAAGATGGCACGGAGAGGGTCCAGTTTGGAATGATGCAGGAGGCGTTGGCAGAGCTGAGATTGAAACATGCAATATGGGCGTCAGCTGGATTTGAAACCGGAAGAGGTCGAAGTGAGAAGTGAGAAGTGAAATGAAAGTGAGGTGAAAATGAAGTCAAAAAGAGAGAGAAATGAAATCTTGGCTCGCGATGAAATTGAGGGCGCGGGCGCAGTTACGCGACATTTACTGTGCGTAAGTATAGCTAGAGAGCATCTTGGGGGGGAGTTAAGGGCGTTAGGGGCGCCAGGAAAGTCATTAGTGGTGCTTAGAGGTGCCAAGCAGACTAACTACACACCTACAGCGACCCCAGGTACCCTAATATCCCTAGGCAGCTGCTAAGTAAGGGCCCTTAGCCAGTTGGGGGCTACTTCTAGGTAGCTGCGTAACCCAAGTTCTCGGGTCCCGTACGGACTTGGTATAGATCGTGTTATGTCCTCATTGGGCCACGAAGAGATCTCGATGGTCTTCCGTGCTCAACATTGAGCCTCATCAGAAAGAAATGGTATCTCAACTACCTTCCTTAGTTCAAGATGACTCTCCATGGACTAGTTCGTTCACGCTCACAGTCAAGCATTGTCAAAAGCAGCATTGGTAGCATAGCAGTGCAGCCTCCCTCCATGTCACCTTCGTCTATCCAAAGTCTCTCATAGCACCAGCCACACCTTTCACAGAGAGTTCTCGAGCTCAACAGCCTCCTTCAACATCTCCTCCCACTTGGCCACTTCCTCCTTGGTCGGTCTAGGTAGTGGCCGCCGGGTGTAGCCCCCATATCCAAAGTATGACTGCATCGCACTCTTGGTGCCCGTGATGCCGCCAGCGATCACTCCCCAATCGCCTCGCGCTACAACTGCTTGCAGCTTCTGAGCTTCCTCCACCTTTCCCTGTGCATACAGGTCGTAGACCTTCACACAAGCCTTGGGCACAACGTTCCCTAGCCCAGTTATAATCCCTGACCCGCCCGCAATCAGGGTCTGAAGAGTGAAGTCCGCCGAGCCACCCATGCACATCCAGCCTGATCCGACGTCGGTGGGTGTGGCGGCATTGACCGCATGAGCAATCCGGTTCAATTTGCCAGTGTTGCCACAAGTGAGCTTGCAGCCACGGATGTTGGGGTGCTTGGCCAACTTGATAATGGTGTCCGAGTCGAGATCCACCCCGGCTGCTGCTCCGGGATAGTTGTAGATGACGATAGGGATTGGTGAGCCATCCGCAACAGCTTGAAAGTACTCGACAAACGACTCTGGCTTGTATGCCGACTTATAGTATGAAGGGGGCAAAACCAGAGCACAATCACCGCCAGCCTGATACGCATCCCGGCAGAACTCGACCGTCTCCCGCACCGACTGAGCTCCACAACCAACGACAATGGGCATATCTGAGAAGCCAGCTTCGTCCAGCGCTTTGCGGGTCGTGCTCGTCACCAGTATCCGCTCCTCCCTGGTGAGATGTACTGCTTCTCCATTCGACCCTTGACAGGTAATGCTAGAGAGACCAGCTTTGGCAAGTCTGACGGCGTGCTTTGCGATCGCCTTGACGTCGACATCTTCAGTTTCTGGGTCGAAGATGGTGACCATAGGCACATTGATGCCCGGTCTCAGCGGTCTCACTGTGTGGTGGCCGTTCATCTTGCAGGATTGTTTGGTGGTTGCTGGCTGTTCGTTACGGATCAGAGGGATAGAGAAGAGCAAAAGTGGACTAACAGGCGTTGAAAATTGGTTTGCCGGATTCGTGACTAACCTTCCTTACTGCTCTTCACTAGGGTTCGATAAGGGACAAAACCAACGTCTGAACAAAAACGAAAAGCCGTCACAGTTTATAAAGTGTCGACCTCGCCCGGCATTATGCCGACCACTGAGCCTGAATTCACATCCGCAACGGAGACACCTCACTCACGCCCCGCACAATCTGGAGGCGTGGGGTTGGACTCCATCACGACGGTGGGTGAGCGGCGATGGCCGTAGAGCACTGAGCATAAAAGCATCCCATAGCATCGAGACACGGGTACGAATGTCTGCCCAAGGCAACGCGGCGTATTTATCCGGGAAGTGCCAATCACGTATAGTATCCAGCTGGTGAATAATGTGATCGCCATGTGGCAAAAGTTGTGCGCGAAGCTGATGGTGCAGACCCAGGGAAATCTCAAAAGCTCGTCGCCATCGCCATCTGCCATCCTGTCCGGGATTATTGTTCTTCCGCCCCGAGCCTCGTTCGTCAGTGGGGTGAGAGATCGTTCCCCCACGCCCAGCGGCAACCCTCACACCCTCCTTTCCAAGTCGTTGACGCCTTTCGACTGGAACGGCAAGGGATTTGGGCTGATGATCCATAATTGTGGCGATCGGGAGTACATGGCGGCTGTTGACTTCCCACGAGGATGCGGGACAATGCCCTCCGTCCGAGTGTGCGTGGGGTAAATACATACCTCGAGTGCCTCCAAGTGTCAGCTGCTTCTCTATATATCAGGTCTGGCCTTGCCGCCCTTCTCTCCGCCGGCTCAACAGCTCTGCAATGGGAACACTGTCTTCGTCGTAGAACTCAACATCTTCGTCGACGCCATAATCTTTCAGTCGGTTTCCTCCAGAGTCTTGCCACCCTTCCTCTCCACTCAAAGACTCGTCATTATCCAGATCAATATAGTCGTCTTCCACTGGCTCGAGATTCTCCTCTTCGAACCGGTCGTGAAATGGTTTCCGTCTCTGAACCCCGTAATAATCCGGGCGTAGTTCGAAGTCAGCCTGCTGTCGCCGTTTGAACGCCTCCATCTGATCGTTTGGTGAGAACGCATTGTGATCGTGAACAAATGCATTGTGCACAGACTCAAGCGGCCGTTCAAGTCGGGGCATCCGGTCAGGGTCTGGTGGCGGCCATGTTGTGCCTGGGTCCTCAAAGCCGTTGGTTTCGAATACCAAGCCGCTCGACGTTGGGGTTGCAGAGAATGGCCAGAACCAAGCTAGGAAGTTTGCTGTCCCCATTCCTTGGACGATATTGTTCCAAATTCCTATGTCATAGGGAAATTCTTGTTTGACGATCTTGACTCGAATACCGTCCGGACCGTCCAAGTATCCTCCGAGAGCGCGAGCTCGACGGAGTAGCTGTTCGTGGCGCTCAATTTCCCAGCTCTCGATAGTGGTAACATTAGCCCCAAGCCCCCAGATGGTGCGAAGGAAGGTAACCGAGACGAGGAAGAGAGTTAGAGTGTTGACAATGATCAAAATGAGAAGATGGACGAGCTGGGAAGCGGAAGGACCTAAATACTGACGCATTGGGTTAGCTTTTGCCGGGCTCAAGAGTGGACAGCCATACACTAGGCAAATTGCGGTTCTCCCAGACGACACCAGCTCGTACGAACAGGAGATACTCGAGATATACCATGGCAGAGACTGCATACCACAGAAATCGCATGAAATGAGGGAGGGTGAAGTGAGACACGCAGTTGACAGTCCAGGGGCAATGATGGTCCATCTTCGGAATGCATCTGATAGTGTCAACAAGGTTCTGGGGATAGGACAGAGCACTTACCTTTTACACACTCTGCAATGATGTGACCTGGGCGGTTTGACGGCTTCGCACTTGCGGCAAAATCTATGCCTAGAAGCGAGCCTATTTCCATACGAGGACGCTTCGGTTTCTTCATCATCGTCAGGTTTCCAGCCAGCCGGTACCCGTCCGGGATTGGTCATGCAGGCCCGAGTGTAACATATCCATATGCCAATCACCAACATGTTGAAAACGATTTTGTCCCAGGAACGAAGCGGACCAGGTTCAAGACTGTAGAAAAGGTACTGCGACGAGTACGATAGAAAGGCCACCAGGGTTACAACCGCCGGCACCGCGAATCTTGCCAGCTTCTGAGGGTCCATGGCTGACACCGATAGGAGACGATGGTAGATTGTATCGTAAACGGTCAGTCAGATCGGACTGCATGGCTCTATTCGTCTGGTTGGTGGTATGCTCACAGACAAGGACGGTTCGCAACCCCCATGACAGCGAGTAGCGGGAAGTTTAGGGGAGAAACAGCAGGAGCGATAGTAATAGGAGACAGAAGATGGTGTCTATAGGCCACTCATCAAGACCGAGAAAGCCACGAAAGCCTGGTTAACATGCCAAGGCGCTAGTGTCGAATGCGCACCCACGCGTTTCTGCTCCAAGTCACCGACGCGTCGTTTCAAGTGCCTGCAACCACCACCGCCACACATCATCCATGGCGGCGACATGCCCATTCAAGCCTTGCCAGAAAATACTACTCGACTTCTCGGCTCTTCGCTCGCCCTGACTGATGCTAGATCTGTCGTCAAGGAGCTCGTTGACAACGCTCTCGACGCACGTGCAACAGCAATCAGCGTCGAGATATCGAACAACACCCTAGATGTCATCCAGGTCAAAGACAATGGCACGGGCATCGATATCCAGGATCGGCAGCTCCTCTGCAAGCGAGGCTGTACATCCAAGATTACCTCAATGGAGGACCTTGAAAGCCTTGGTGGCTCCTCTCTAGGCTTCCGAGGTGAAGCACTGGCCAGCATCGTGGAGTTAAGCCAGGCCGTGGTCATTACTACTCGAGTGGATGGCGAGGTTGTTGGGACATCCATCAAGTATGCTGCCTCGGGAATGCTCAGGTAGGTACCATGGTCAGTTTCTCCCTAGACTCACTGTATCATGACCGTTTCAGTTCATCTTCGGCCTCACATCCCGTCGGGACCACGATTCGCGTGCAGGATTTCCTCTCCAAGCTACCGGTCAGAAAGCAGACGGCGCTCAAAGAAAGCATGAAAACTTTACAAGCTATAAGACTCCTTCTTTTCTCTTTCGCTTTCGCTAGACCAGAAGTGCGTCTTTCTTTGAGAGTACTGAAAGGGAAGAATGATAAACTCAATTGGACTTATGCACCCACCTTGCCAACTTCGATGACTGAGGTAGCAACAAAGATTGTTGGAAAAGAAGTTGTCTCTGAGTGTACAGCGCACAGTATCACTCCGAGTGATTGTGATGTGGACCTTGACAATGGTTGGAAAATTAATGCTCTTTTGCTATCGACCGCCCTAGGTTCGTGTGGCCGTTTTCGATGTTTTGAGATTAGGCTGACAACGCAGGTTCTGCCAATGCTCGCAATGCTAAACAATACATTTCCATCGACGGCCGCCCTGTCAATGCGGATCGAGGCACAATACGGGAAGTGACCAAATCTTACAAGCGTCACCTCCAGAAAACGCTCCCATCGTCAGAGAGCTCGTCGGTTTCGCGGCCATTTCTCTTCATGCAGATCCAGTGCCCCTCTCAAAGCTACGACGTCAATCTAGAGCCCACCAAGGACGAGGTCCTTTTTGCCCGACCTGACCAACTTCTGTCTCTAGTAGAATTCTTATTTGGTCGAGTGTATCCGGTCCTTGAGGATCACGGCATTGATGCAGCAGCGGATGGAAGAGCCACTCCTTTGGCGCCCATTGCCACATCCAATACTAGTCGCGAAGACCGTGTCAGCCCTGAGGAGGATGGACATTCATTGAGAGATGACAACGTCTCGGTTACAGCCGATAAGGAAGAATCACTGACATGCAGATCAGCACTGCGGAACCCCTTTACAATTGCTGCAATAAATGCACAAGTCAAGCCTCGAAGGATGGAGATAACCCATGCCAACGCAACATCTGATGGAGACCCCGATACTCTACCGGATGAAGAGACGGCAGAAAGGTTTGAGAATGGTTGCTCAACCGTGACGCCCTCGAAGAACCCTTCAGAGGCTCCACAATCAGAGGATTTGGATCTGAGTACCCCGTTCTCCCCCCGACCAGGTCCTCCGGTAAGACACCCTGTCAAACAACCGAGGACGATAGAAAGAGGAGAACCGCACAATTCAGAAGTGCAGAGGCGACTGACTTCAATCTCGAACGACCGGGACAAGACTAAAGTCTCCGATCCACCAAGGAACGCTCTTGGTGTCTCGGGGACGAGAGCAGAGTCTCACCTCGACCCGTTGTCGCCTCCGCTTACCTCTCAGACGTATCGAGGCTGGGGACCAGGCCAGAAGCCTTTCAAGGTGCCACTGATACGTTCAGGTCAAGCTGCATCCTCTGTGGCAGCGCCTTTGACTCCGCCTTCAAGCCTTCGCGATTATCGTCAACTGTCACTACAGAGGGATCTCCGAGGACTTCCTGTAGTGTCTGACGAGCACGGCAGTGATTCTGACCAGCATTCACAAGTGAGAAGTACCGAATCTAGTCGAAGGGGGTCCCCAGCAAATCACTTTCTGCAGCCTAACGCTGAATTGGAGGATATCATGGATTTCGAGTACAGAAAGAAAGCCGCAATAGCTCATCAGAAAAGGACCAACGGGAGTCTCACTGCGGCTTCTCTCAAGAAAGGGGTTGTCAGACCAGCCCAACGCGAGTCATCTCCTGCGTCGTCATCGCTTTCCACCGCGATGGAGTCAACAGAGAGCGCAAGCGTTGGAGATTATGGTGCGAAATTTGGCAACACAGGGTCAGGGGTCTCGATGCCGCTGACATCGAACCCCCATCGGAACCGCTACCTGAAGGCATTGAAGGACTTGTCACATTCCCATCCGCGGCCCGGACCTCGGCTCCGTGAAACTGACGAGCAGAGAAACTTAGCAGATACAGCCATATTAGACAATGATTTGGGCAAGTCCAAGCTTGCCGCCGACGACCCACGGGCTTATTTAATGAAAATTCAACAACGACACAAAAATGGGAATAGCAAAATCCACCGAACAAAGTCGTCCAAGTTGCCGCTCGAAGCGATCCCCGCGGATTCGACGACCTGCAATGTTGTGCTGACCTTGAATGATTTCAGAGACAGCAAAGACGTATATAAACAACTCCAGGCTTTGAGCTCTTGTGATCCCTACCCGAGCTCTGGCCGAACACAATACATAGATTTCGACGACTGCGCATCGATAGACGAAGAATGGCGACGTGTGCTACAAAAGATGGTCAAGACAAAGTTTCGCTACAAAACAGAAGATGGGGTGGAGAGGGTTCCGGAAGATCTGGTTATTGTGGTGACGAAAATCGCTGAAGAGTAGAGTGACAAAGGCCACTGTCTTTGTTTTCATGGGTTTCAAGTGGTGAGCGATCTAGAGGATTGTGTCCCAACGCTCAGATTTGACGGTAGATGGCGTTTTGTTTTGATATCTGAGCAGCTATGTTTTGTTGTCAGCGTTTGAAATTTGTTCCAGGCGGTGGAAACGAGGTATGTGTGTGGTTTGTGGCGTGTAAGATGGCAAAAGTTACCTCATACTGTATACCTATCCAGACACCTTGGTTCTCACACCTTGCCGCAGAGTTGCCATGTGAAGATGAACTGCAAATCCTCTGTGTGCCTATCGACTCTTTCACTCCCTTCCTGGCTCTCTTTCTCCATTCCTCCCTGCCCTTCCCGGGCTCCACCTCCTTTCGACCCCAGTCCGTTCTATTCCGCCAGGATACCAGCCGACCCTTTCATCTCCCACCATCTCTCCCTTGATCTCCCTCACGCCGTCGTAGCCTCCTTCGTCTCTACAGCCTTCGCTTCCGCTTCCGCCTCCTCCCTCACCCTCGCCAACACCTCCACAGCCTCCTCAGCCCGCTCCACCGGCACGAACAGATGGTCATGATAGAACCCGCTGACGGGGTTGACGCTGATGCCGCACCGCGCGAGCCTGGTCGCCAGCACGGCCATGAACCCGATGGCCGCGAGCGACGAGTGCACCGCGCACGTGATCATCCGGCAAGGGTAGGTGTAGCCGTACGCGGACGTGTGGGTGGATTCGGGGACGTTGTGCCTCTGCGCCGTCGAGAGGGGGATCACCAAGGTGATGGTATCCTCGGCGCCGCTGCTGTTTCCGGTCTGTTGCGGTTCGCGGAAGAACAGGCAGATGTCTCCCAGCGGGACGGGGAGGAGGGAGTCGATGTCGCGGGACTTCTCGGCCGGGACGGGCACGGTCGCAAAGACATATGTCTCCGGATGCAGCGTCGTGCGCAAGCTGGAGAGGAGGCGCGGGAGGGATGTTTCGCCGCTGTCCATTTTCACTCACACCCACGCATACAAACACACGCACACCAGAGAGAAAAAGAGATGGAGAGACAGATAGAGGAGACCCGATCGCCTCTGATTTCTTATTACCGATGCCCTCTTTTTTTTCCCTATCCTCCTCCTTGCCTTTGCCTTTCCTTTCCTCTTTCTCGTTTCTCGTTTCTCGTTTCTCGTTTCTCTTCCTCTGGCACCCTCGCTCTGCTATGTCAAATTATTCCGTTGCAAGACGTCTTATGTTTCAACAGGGGCAAGTGGATATTCTGTCAGGGAGAGATTAGTCATGATCCAACCCGTTGCCAGGCCTGTCAAGCCAATAGGGGCTCTGAATGAATACCTACTCACGTGAGATAACGCCGTCGTTCACGCGATGGTCGTGGTCATTTGGTGCTTTGGGGGAAGGACCCGGAAAGACACTCTTTTAGGTTACTGGTAAAGTATAAAGGTAGGGAGGGCACTAAGGAACTAGAGGGTCCGGGGTATCTACTTGTAGGGTATATATATCTGAGGGGTGAGGCGGGGAAGGGAAATGACCCAAGTAAGACTACTTTCTATCCCGACAGTACAGCCTTGAGCCAAAAGTCATGTCCTTACTTGTTTCGCTGGGGATTCTTTATGATACTCTGCTATTGCTGCTCCTGCTACTACCATTACTTACTATTCATGTCTCGATAGCTGAGCGTACATTGCTTGTACTCTCGGTAGACACTCTATCGCGTGTCCTTGTCTCACAATTCGCTAGAAACGGTGATAATGATACAGAATAACTAATCAGGAGACATCGGCCGGCTCTTTTCCCCAGCCTGTTCCCTTTTAGTAATTTCGAGATAACTTTTCTCTCCCCAGTATGTTACGGTACGCCCCTCCCAGAAACTTCATAGCATCATAGCAAGTCCACGGGTAGGTAGGTAACTGGCTTGCCCCGCCCGCATCACCTCTCACCCCAGTCCATTCGACACTGGCACTCGTAGTCCTCTGGCATCGGTCGCTGGCCCATCCCGTACCCACCGCCGTACACGTTCTCAGCCGCCATACGCAGCCTCATGGGCATGAAGCCGTCTTTGTAGTGCTCGACAATGTCGTGCTTCTCGACGGCGAATTCGATGTTGAAGTGCTCGTCCTCGACGGCCATACGCACGCACGCGCTCTCCTTGTCCTCGTTCCACCATCGGGGCAACATCCCCGCCGCTTTGGCACGAGTGAGGAAGTCGCGGAAGACGGGGAGCGCGGGTTGCTGGCCGTAGATGCCGTGGTAGTGCCTGCCGTAGGCGTAGTCGTCGTCGCAGCGCAGGCGGAACGAGTCGATCAACATCTCGTACGTCTTGGTTTCGGTGTCGAATTCTTGGAAGAAGTTCGCCATGCCAGGGTGAGGAGGGCGGCGGGGTCCCGTCCGGGGGTTGGAGTTGGTGCTGCCATTGCTAGCACCTGCTTCTGCACCTGTACCTGTACCTGTACCTGGTCGTCGACAAGCGGTTTTGTGTTGTGGCCAGTGGAATGTCTGACACTCTATCTAGCTACCGGTGAGCGATGGGCTAACAAGAGAGGAGATGACAAACCTTTGGAGCAATAGGTCATCTTCTGACAGCGGCTACATCTCTTCAAGGCCGAGCTGGTGGGCAAATCGGCCTCAGCCTTGTTGCAGGCTGCGCAGACACGCGGCTCGGCCGGTGGATTGGTAGAGTCTGCCATGTGGTTTTAGTATTGAGTTTTGCTTGCCGCGTGGATATGGTGGGTACGTATGGACGTTTGTAGGAAGCTAAAGTGTTAGGTTCGTGGGGAACGAGAATGCGTCTGCGCGTACAAGTACACTGCGTACGAGCGAGGTACAGTAGCACGTGCCCGCCAAGTGAACAAAAGCAGCAACGCCAGTAGCAAGCAACCTGAAGACTGTTTATTGTTCCATATTAGACCAACAATGATGCCCCCCAGGCTATTCAATATTACCACAGTTCCAGCATCAGAGTATGAGTCCACATCCACTCATTCGGGAACGGGACTAGAATTCGATCATCCCACACATTCCAATCGTCCTCAAACCGGTGCAGAAGAGAGCATCACGGAGGGGTCTGTTGCCCACGCTGCAATAAGCCTTTGGCGACGGGATTGAGCGGAACTCGTCGATGTATCTTTCGATTTTGGCTGAGACCGCTTCCTTCCCGTCGTGGTGCAGAGAAGGCCACATCTCTTGCAGAGTGGTGGTCCCCGTCACCCGTTCCATGATGATGTAGCATTTACTGCTCAACCCGTCCTGAAGAGCGCGTGGACCTTTGGGATTCGGCAAGCACGACGACGGTAATGTCTCGGCCGCCGCATAGAATGGTAGGTTTATCACCGCATGGGGCCTAGCTAGGAGCCTAGGACAAGAGAGGGAGAGGGAGAACTAACACAGTCACGGTCGAAGTGGCTGGAGGTGGCTGCCAGTGTCTAGGGCGATACAGGATAACTATAGGTGGAAGACGAAGTGAAGCAAAATGCGGTCACTGCGCCCAACCCAACCCAACCTGCGGTGTTAGGAGACACAATCACACACATCCAATACTAGCAACTCTCTAGCTTGACTGTCACCGATCTACTGTATAGGAGAGCAACATCTCGAACTCCTCCTGCCAACCCGACCAACTCTACCTACCCCGCCAAATCCTCCGGCTTGACCATCCCGCGCTTCACCATCTCGGCGAGCACGGGCGTACCGTCGCCATAGAGTGTCATCGACTTGACCTTGAACCCCTTTGGGCCACTCGGATCCTTGACGCAATTGAAGAGGAACGCGCCCGGCACGACCACATCCCACCGCCGCCCGGACAGATCCTCCTTGGTCTTCTCGCCCGGCGCGGCGAGGTTGGCAAAGACGTGCGCCACGCCCATCATCTCCCACCCGCTTCCATCACCACGCTCGTACACGCAGCAGTACCGCGGCTGGTGGAGGTGTTCCGTGAAGGGCGCGTAGCCCGCCAGCCAGCCCTGCCACGACGCCTCGCCGGGCGGAAAAACCGTGCCGTCGGCCTTGGTGAAGACAAAGTCGTCGGTGTGGTAGCCCGTGTAGGGCCCCGTCTTCATGTCGCCCTGGTCAAAGGCCTCTTGGTGGTCGAAGAGGAAGTCGAGGACCGGGTGCTCGCGGAAGCTCTGGCTTTTGTCCGGGCTGTCGATGTGGACGACGTAGGCGGAAACGGTGGGTTTGGACATTTTTTGCCAGATGGTGTCAACAAGCCAAAAAATAGACGCGGTCTCTGAGGGATGGTTTGAGTTTGAGATGAGAGAATATTGTTACCGGGCGGTAGCCACGAGATGAGGTGAGGTGAGATGGTCTTTGTAGCAGGCGTATATCCAGGTAGGAAGGCAACTGCTCAGCCGACCGAGAGCAGATGTATCATGAGAATAAATGTCACAGATATGTACCTACATACTTATATGCATACCTCTCCTCGTATCACTCTCCTTTGTTTTCCCCCCTCAGCCGCACCATTTCATTTCAGCCGTACTCACCTCTGTCCTCTGTACACCTCAAGCCTTGACTCCTCAGCCGCACGCCGCACGCTGCACGCCGGACACCCGTCCAGACCACGTGGAACAGGCCTTGACGAGCCACAACCAAACCGCATCCCGCATTCGTCGCTTCTCGCGTACGCAAGGACCGTGGCGGGCTGAAGTGGAACAAAACACAACAGCCACACCCAACAAACTGGCTCTGAGGATGATGGCGCCGCTCAAAACGCCATAGGTCGTCTTAGGCGCTGTGGCGTACCGCTCAGTCGGGGACTTGCACCGCGACATCGCCGTTCTTTGTTCCCCTCGTATCGACTATGCAACCCGTACCTCGTACTCGGTTACCGATACAGTAGTCTGGACGTTCTGGACGTCGGAGGAGTGAGAGAAAAAGGAATTCCGTTCCGAGGGACACAAATTCAAGGACAAACGAGTCCAATTTGAGTAGAAACCTATTAAATTTTCGCCGCTCGCTCACTCACTCCGATCTCCATAAAGTCAGTCGAGTCGGTGACATGACGCTGGTACATAAACTAGATAACCCGAATCCGTTTGCCAGAGATGTTGTCACCATTCGAATCCAACCAGGAAGCTTGGAATATCCCCAATCCTATCCTGGTGTAATATCTCGCCTCCTCCACGACACAACCTTCCTTACAAGCAATCTCCTCCACCAACAGGGTGATATGTTGCGGTCCATCACCTGCTTTTGGATCGATTTCTTCAGGCTTGGATGGACGTGGGAGGAGGCCCGTGGCCGAGGCAATGATCACCGCGTGGACGACATCACCCCGGCTGCTGCGTCTGTCGGAGCTGCACCCGTCGAAGCTCAACGCGCCGACAATCTTGTTGTCATCCCTGACACCAATCCACGCGTCCTCGTGATTGGCATCGTCTAGTGAAAATCCCTGCTTTTTGCAGAGTTTCGCCTCGAGTTGGCAATGCTTTTGCTGAGAAACATGGATATATTTCGCGTATTCATCCACTTCTTTATAGTCAAGTTCGATTTTTTCCTCGCTGAACCCTGGGGCGAGGTCGACATAGTCAATTTGTCCTTGGCGGCTCATCCAAGACCAAGAAGGAACGGGCTGTTTGGGATTTTCGAAGTCAATTTTCGTCAAAGGTTCCGCTCCACGTTTCCAGAGCAGAGTTTCATGAAGACGGGCGCGCAGGACACCGAACAGGCTGATGCTCTTGTAGTGCAATGCCAGTCTGTATTCGAGGCCTAGAATGGCAATGGGCATGTCTTCCTCGTGGGTGAGGTTGCGGCGTGAATACTGTCTGTAGGTTTCTTTCACGAGCCCGGTCGAGTAGTCGTGATCGCCCGGAAAGTCAGAACGAGCATAGATGTCGACGTGGCTTGTCAGTACGTCAGTGAGATGATCCGATAGCAGTATCGACGTTATCGCGTACGTACGTGACAGGAGCTTCTTGACTCTCGCAGACGATGGAATTCTCACACTCCCAGTACGTCTGCTGTTTGGTGAAATAGATCGAGTGACATGCCAAAGCACGCTCCTGAAAAGTCCATCCACGCGTGTTCCACGGTGCATCCAACACGTCATGAGCAAAGTCTGCACGTTTGTTCACGATTCGAAGCGAAGGCTCCTCAGTCCCGTCAGGTAAAGTCAACGGTGTTCCAGTCTCGGCAGAAGGAAGAAAGTTGCCATCATTGTTCGAGTCTGATACAGCGGCAATGACACAGAATGCATTGCTGAAGATGAGCTCCATTCGGCTGCACTCCTGGAACAGCTCTTCGGGGTTGGCTTGATCTATACAGATACCATCGATCCAGAGGTATTGCATCCCGAGCCTTCGAGTGACTATGGCTGCGTTTTGAAACTTGACAGGCAAGGCGTCGAAATCGATGTCGGTGATGACATTACCACTCCAGAATCTGTCGACTTCTTTCCTCTCTCTCGCGTTCCATCGGTGGGAGAGTGCAACGTAGGTTTTCCCGCCTTCGTGCTGAACAAGTCGCATCGCGTTCACATCAATCAACTTCAGTGGCGCGGGGGGCATGCGTTCGTTGGTACCTGCGCGTAGCCTCCGCGGCTGATCTGACAGACGGGGTAGTACATGGCTGTGGTTGCGATGGCATTCATCTATCCAACTGTTGAGTAATTGGAAATAAATCCAGCTGCCCACTCGCGGAATGACTGTATGAAACAACTCAGCTGTATGCACGTCTCGGCGGGAGAACTGTTACCCACCTATTGGGCGATCGTTCTCATCTTCACACTCACGAGCCAGCACGTTGCATAGACCACAGCCACTCTCGAGGTCGCCTGCGGTTGTGGGATTGATTCCAGCCATGGAGCGTATCAATTTGATCACTGGGATGGACTTGCATGGCTCACACAACGTTGTGTGCTGAAAGAATCCTGTGATTGCCTCAAAAGTCGGTGGCCGTGATGCCCATACGGCTCTGTTCTCCCATTGTCGACACTGCTGCAGCTCTGTCTCATCCATGTTTTGTGGTATCATCTCCCTGTTCAAGGCCCATTCATCCCGCTTCTCTAGGATCTGGCGCCTTTGTCCAATCATGTTTATGACAGTGTCCCTGTCATTTTGGCGGCGCTCATTTAGCACAAGTCGTAGCCTCTTCTGTAGGTCGTTGTATATCCTTTGGTATTTATGACCCCCAATCCTAGAAGGGGTCTCGTCGAATTGAAGGAATCGCTGTAATCTCGTCGATTAGTTCCAAGGCAAGAACCATATCGAGCCACTACCAGCTAGGATCAGGGGAATGAAATCCAAGCTTGCCTCGGTGAAAGCAGCAAACGCCATCTTCGAAAACACGGTTTTCGAGACTAGACAACTAGGTGGGATGCAACATAGCTGGATCGACCTCGTCTCTGAGTATTCAAGCACGAGGATATCAAGTGAATCTGCAATCGCATGGGCGTAGGGGTGCAACGAGAGAGAAGAAGTGTAATCACAGACAGGTGGGCAAAGTTGCCTGAACGCTGATGGATGCCTTCTTTAGAGGAAAGAACCTACACTCGCCCAACCCATTGTGTTGTGCAGCCAGTCATCAGAGCTGGTACAAGGAACTTCGTAACCTCATTTGGAACGATACGTAGCATGTTAATCAACGATCCCAGTCGTGGTTGCCTCACGAAACCGCCTCAAGACTCGGGCGCTTCAACAACCAATGTCAGATGTAGTCATTCTCCTCATCACGGTAAACCCCGAATCACAGCAGAGAATCGATGTACACCGCCCGTATTCTCGTCAACTAGAGTCGCCGCCTAGTTTCGAGGTGGGAAAAGTGTCAATTTCATTTTAGGCATGAGTGCAGCGCCCCTCGGGTTCAGACAGTATTATTCCTTGACACCTGTTGTCTCATCAGGCTGCCAAAGCAAGAGGATTCCAAGGCGCTCAAGGAGAAAACAAAGCCTTTTCCTGGTTTCAGAGTCGTGTTCCTTCATGGCGACCTCTGGAGATTCGTTTTCTCATAATCACTAGGTGTGCCAAAGTACCTGTCTCGTACATGTCCCTGCATCACATCCCATCATACCACCCATCACATCACAGTCTATGTATGGGCGTGAGAGCCCGTCGGATTTAGAGATCCTTCGGAAACCCCTCTACATCTTCAACATCCTTGGGCAACACACTCTCCGAAGGTACTTGTTCGCCCGCCCCCGCCTCCGTGGCGTCCCATTTGGCTTGATACTCTGCCATGACCTGCCTGCTGGAAGCGGCGGCCTGAACAAAGTCCCTCACGCCGGGCGCGGGGACAAAATAATGCAGCGCGACAAACACCACGGCCGCGATGCAGAAACCGACCAGGAAGGAAATGTAGTACAGGTGCGTCCAGCCCAGGGAGACGTGGATGTCGTTATTGACGTTGGAGATGAAGCCCGGCATCGAGGGGAAGACGCCGCATGCCCACTGCGATTCGGGTTGTTAGCTTCTCCAGAACAAGACAGAATACCAAAAGAAAAAAGAGTCTGTATATACCGCTATCGGCGCCCGCCAGTCGATCCCATACATGTACCAGTAGATGCTGGTCTTGTCCCCTCGGTACAGATCGTCCACCTTGATCTTTTGTCGATGCACGACGTAGTACGAGGAGATCATGAGCCCGATCATGGGCCCCAGGAAGACGCCATAGCTCGATAGCACGGCTAGGAACGTCGACGCCGTGGCGAGCAGCTGCCACGGGTTGACCGCCATGGACAGAATCGCCGTGATGTACGCCCCCCTGCGGATGTTAATGTACCGCGGGAAAGTCGCAGCAAAGTCAAAGCCCCCAGACAGTGCGTTGCCGGGGACGTTGATCCCCCATTGCGAGATGACCAGCGCGGCACCTCCGAAAAAGCCCGCAGCTCGAGACCTGGATCCCCCCGCGTGCATCATGGCGATCAGCAAATCGGGAAGACTCCACAGCGCAGCACCGTACCGCCTTTGCGTCGCCGCCGTCACGAGGATTCCGACAACAGAGCTGATGATTGAATACGTCGCGGCACTGACGATCTGACCCCAGATGGCATCCCTGGGCCGGCGAGCGAAGCGCGCGTAATCGTTCTGGTTCAGGATCCCCGCTGCAATGCCTCCTATGGCGCTGATGATGCCGTACAGAACTGCCCAGCCGGTCGAGGTGTCTTGGGTCTGTGGGTGACCGGTAATAGTGTCGCCGAACCCGTCCATCGTGGCCAAAGCCCATATCAAGAGCACAATCTCAAAGGTGAAGATCGAGGCCACGGCAACGTAGAAGAACACTTTTAGTTTGTGCGGCCGAATCCAGATCAGCGGCAGAGAGATGAGGCAGAAAATCCAGTAAGTAAGGAACGAGGCAGACGTCAGGCCCGTGGCGTGGAGGTGGTTGGGGATGCGCTGTTCGAGATTCGGCCATATCGCTTCGAGGCAGACGTAGACACATTGTCCCCCGATCCAGGCTTGCACGGCATACCACACCAACGATAAGAGAATACGGTTGTAGATGACGAAGGAACTGCCATACATGCCCCATACGTAACGATTGGCGATGGGGAATCCGAGGTGGTAGAAGGCGCCCGGCGTGCTGTTCAATACTATCTGCATTCGCCATAGAATCCCGAGCGGTTAGCACTGGCCAGGGCTTTCGAGCGCCATCTTTCTGAGGGAACTGAACGAGATGCACCGCTTACAAAGACGGTTGACAGGACTGCTCCGACAATTATGGCGATGATGGCCTGCCACCAGTTCAACCCGAGGGCGATCAGCGAGCTTCCCGTCATGTACGTCGAGATGTTGGTATTGGTCAAAACCCCTTAGGGTGCGTGGTCAGATGGGTTTGCATCAAGCTTGTGAGGCAAGCCTTTCAACATACAGAGGTTGTGAAAAGTCCAAAACGTCCATGTTCGCCGGCCCTTTTCGATCGGCTTGATATCATTGTTGATCCAGCGGTTTGGGATCGTACCGCCTTCGTATGGTACCTCGAGCTTTCTCAGGAGACCTTGGAAGTCCAACATCGTGCCAGAGACAGTCCCCGTGGGGTGGAGAGAGGACAGACGCAGCCGGCCATTGTCGATGGCACGAAGGAGAGAGCGAGAGATATAAACTGCACTTCTCCGTCGCTGAGGATTCTCCTGACCACTGATTAATCATGCACTGATAACAACTCTTGCGAAGATCAGTTGCATACCAGTGGCCTGCCCTCCTTGGTCTTCGATCAGTTGGCGCTTATTCATCCCACTCGAGATGCGATTTGGACTGACCCAGCTTAAGAGGGAACGACAGAGGCCAGGATCGCCTAGCCTGGACCTGCGGGGGCGTCGTGCCGGCCAAGCAGAAGGATGATAGGCGCATTCATAGACCTTAACCTCGACCGAAACCGGAGCATTAAGATCCAGAAAGAAGGGCCTAAGATGGGCCTCCAAGTACGCCCAGGTATCAAAGTTATCGATAAGCCTATAGCTGGGTCCCGTTGCTTGCCACCTGCCTGTTTTGATACTTGCTCCCGCTCTAGGTTTGCTGGAACTACTCTGGAAAACGCCTTTTGCGTCCGCAGATCTCCGTCCAGCATCTGGCGTTTGGTGACCTGGCGCACTCGGAACCCCAAAGGCTGGATATCCAAGAGGTGGTGGAGATGTTTGGAAATTTCGATGGTGTCTTGGATCCTCCCGTCGTTCCACTGCTCTTAGGAGGAGCAGATCCTGCAGCTTATAGGGCATCTGTGCTGGCTGCACGATCGACATGGAAAACCTCCTTCGGTCTTCGAGGCGGAGGTGTACCCGACTGTAACATTTTCCGTCAATCTATCAGGCACTGGAAGATATCCAAGCGAGCCCTTGCAGAATAATCACTTCGACCATGTACCGAATTGGAGTCGACGTCGGTGGAACGAACACCGACGCCGCCATCCTTGATATCAATGCCCTCGATACCGAATCGCGTGGGGTGCTCGCCACATGCAAGACTTCCACCACCTCCCATGTGACTCTGGGGATTCAGAATGCAGTCAGAGAAGTTCTCGCTCTCTCGAAAGTGGACAGGAGTAAAGTGTTGAACGTCGCCATCGGAACAACGCACTTTGTGAATGCCGTTGTCGAGAATGATGCCCGGAGACTTAGTCGGGTGGCCGTGATCAGGCTGTGTGGCCCCTACACCAGGAAGGTAAGTGCATTTCCTTTTCCGTTTCCAGAAAGACATGCGATGGCTGACAATATCTAGGTGCCTCCTTTCGCCGACTTCCCATATGCATTGAAGGGCATCATTGAGGGCCCCTCGTTCTACCTCGACGGAGGACTTGAGATTGACGGCCGAGAGATCTGTCCGCTCAACCCTGACCAGATCAAAGCTACAGCCGCGGCCATCGTCGAGGCAGGCATCCAGTATGTTGCTGTCATCGGGGTGTTCTCTGCGCTTGATCAAAAAGGCCTCCACGAAGAGCGATGCAAAGCACTTTTGCAGCAGTTTGCACCAGGACTTTCTGTCGTCTGCTCCAGCCAGATTGGCGGCACTGGGCTCTTGACCCGCGAGAATGCCACCATCCTCAACGCGGCGATTCTGGGGTTCGCCCGACGGACGATTCAGGGCTTCAGATATGCGATGTACAAGCTTGACCTCGCGTGTCCACTGTACTTGACGCAGAATGACGGGACTCTCACTGATGCTGCGGTGGCGGCGGAATCGCCCATCAAGACATTCGCCAGTGGTCCCACCAACAGCCTCATGGGAGCCGCATTCCTTCAAGGACTTGATCACGGCGACCGAAGACTGGCTGACAAGCAAGTGGTAGTCGTCGACATCGGCGGTACGACGACCGACATCTGTTCCCTCTTACCATCAGGATTTCCTCGGCAGGCTCCCAACTTTGTTGAGGTGGGTGGTGTGCGCACTGCTTTCTCCATGCCGGAGGTCCTTTCCATCGGTCTCGGAGGAGGGAGTCGCGTCCGCCAATCCGAGGATGGAGGCAAGGTCACTGTCGGTCCAGACTCGGTAGCGCATCGTCTCACAACGGATGCCATGGTATTTGGAGGAAACGTCATGACAGCGACGGATATTGTCGTGGCATCGAAAGCAGCCAGCATCGGTGACTATGAAAACGTCAAGGGCATCCCTGAACAGCTGATTGCCGGTGGAAAAGCGGACATGAAACGACAGCTTGAACGAGCCATCGACAGGATGAAGGTCTCGTCAGCCCCTGTATGTGTCCTTCTCGTTGGAGGAGGATCGATCATCCTCACAGAGGACCTTGACGGAGTAGAAGAGTGTCTTCGGCCGCCTCATCACGACTCTGCAAATGCCGTGGGCGCCGCCATTGCGAAGGTGGCAGGCGAAGTCGATGTGATTGAGATATTGGCTGGCAGAGATGAGAATGAGGCGATCGAAGCAGTCAGGAAGACCGCGATCGCGACCGCTATAGCGAATGGAGCAGACGAAAGGGATGTCAAAATTGTCGAGATCAAGAAAATCCCGCTTCAATATGTGACCAACAAAGCCACGAGGTTTGCCATGAAAGCCGTCGGAAGTCTTCGAGCCAGAGACGATGCTGTTCAAAATGGCTTTGCCAACGGAGCACTCGCCCATGCGCAGGAAGTGGATGATGACACGACGCAAGAGGCGACGAAACCTGAGGTGACAGACGTGCAGAAGGGCAGTCTGACGAAGCCGACATTGGGTGTCGATGTCGCAAAGTACCGTCCCAATGTCAAGGACGGCGTCTGGTACATCTCCCCCGTCGATGTGCAACTGATCGCTTCGGGCGCAGGCGTCCTCGGTACGGGAGGTGGTGGCTCGTCGTATCTGATGGCTCTGTACACGCTGGACATCCTTCGCAAGGCCGGCGAGGGAGCTATCCGCGTTGTTTCGCTCGAATCCCTCAAAGACGACGGTGTTTGTGTGTTTGGCGCAGGCTACGGCGCACCTTCGGTCAGCGACGAGCGGGTGAGTTCAGGCACGGATGTGTTCGCCGCCATCGACGCCGTCAACAAGATCATGGGGATCACAGACTTTGACGGCATCGTGGCCGATGAGATCGGAGGAGGCAACGGCCTGGTGACTTTTCCCACGAGTGCTCGCTACGGTCGACCGGTGGTTGACTGCGACTTGATGGGTCGTGCGTATCCGACACTGGAGCATGGAACTCCTTATGTTTATGGCCAGCCGGTGCTGCCCGTTGCCACGACCGACTGTAAAGGCAACGCATCCGTCGTTCTGGTAAGGTGTCTTCCCTCGCTCCCTCTGGCAAATCTCTGACATTGTGGTTCTATATCATAGACCGCCGATTCCAACAAGCGAGTGGAAGCGCTGATACGGACAACCTGTATTGAACTGGGCAATTCCACTGCCGCCGCCGCAAGACCTCTCTCCGGCAAAGTCCTCAAAGACTACGCCGTGCCCAACACCGTCTCCCAGGCATGGTATCTGGGGCGCGCCGTCCACCTTGCGCGGGAATCTAAGATTGATTTCATCGAGGCGATCGTGAGTTGTCCCCCCTCACCAGAGTGTGTGTGGCCGGCCAAACTGACAAGACCATCTAATCCATATAGTCGAACATCACCCCGGTCAAAGAGCTCTACGTCGGTAAAGTCGTCGACGTAACCCGCGACGTCTCCCGCGGCTATACAGTCGGTCGCTGTGTCATTGCGCCCTTGTCCGCCGACGAGGAAGACGATAGCTCAACCCCCCCGTCCACTTCTACCGCGAACCGCGAGACCCGCCACCTTGTCATCCCTTTCCAAAACGAATACCTCTCGGCAGGGTTCATTCCAGAGTTCCCGACCACGTCATCGTCACAGGGAGACTTCGAAGAGGAGATCATCTGCACGGTGCCAGACTTGATCTCCATCCTCGGCAGCGACGGCGAGGCTCTCGGGTCCCCCGAACTGCGCTACGGCCTCAAGGTCCGCGTGATCGGAATGCCCGCCTCGCCACTGTGGACCGGGAGCGCCGAGGGCCTGAGGGTCGGGGGGCCCGAGTTCTTCGACCTCAAGTGTAGTTGGGAAGAGGTCCGGGACAGAGGAAGGGCCAACGGGTTTGGAGTGGGCGAATATCAAAAACCCAGGAGTGTCATCGACGAGTTTAACGTGAGCTCATAAAGACATGGAGAGTAGTTGGCGACGGCGCGAGAGACCCCGTGTATATATCTGTTCAGGAAAGCATAGAGAGATCGATAGAGATAGAATGTCTAGTGTCTTGTGCACACCTCAACGAGAAGAGTTTCGGCAGTTGAATGACATCTTTACGTCTTTACCGGCGTTGCGCCGTCCTCGTCTGTAAGAATGATTGCTCGTTCTTATTGTCTCCTTCAGTTATAATGGTACAGAACAGCTGAAACTACACGCTCAATCCTCTTCCTCCTTCACCCATTCGCCGCTGCAAGGGCCTTTCTCTTTCTAGGATCCATGCTCATGGGCTCCGTTGCTTCCACGGTAGCGTCTGGAGCAGCAGGTGCTGCAGGAGGAGGAGGACTAGTGATCCCATTCGTCCTCATCTCCTGTTTAACATTTGCCTTGGACTCGACCTCCTCTTCCTTTACTGCCTTTTCCAGAAAGCCCGGTCTCCACTTCGACAGGACCTTACTTGTCGCCCCTCGAGCCTGATCATCCCCTTCTCTCCAGATTACTTCGATCGTATCCAACACCATGTCTCTCACCGGCGGCCGCATCAATAGAAGGTATTGCATGGCAAGAATACACATGTTGATCCTTTCAGGATCTCTCGCCAAGCTCTTGACTCGACTCAGTATCTCGCGATCAATGCTGGGAATTTCAGAGAGGAAGCGGATCAATAGATTCTTATCTCGCGCGTCGAGATAGGGGAGTAGGCGATCAATGAGACGATTCGCCCATCGGGTGTAGTTTGGTAGATGGCCAAGTTCTGGGTGTGTCTTTGCGGTTATTTTGTCGGCGTACCATTCCTCGGTCAACCAAGAGATGGCCATATTAAGGCGCGGTCGGAAGTCTTCGAGGACATACATGAATAGCGTCTGACGGATGCGGTTTGCGACATTGGGTGTTTCTTCGATGTTTTCTGATTTGATGATCTGCCTGGACCCATCCGCGTCGTCGTCGCTCAGGGTGTTGGCGAGGTCATCGAGGCCGGACGGGGCTCTGGTGGCCAGGCGCATGAGGATTGTTGCCCAAGAGTCTCGATCGTTACCACTAGCGGCTATTCGATTCAGGCCGAGTTGCTGCTTCGTATGAGAGTGTCCCGCGGCCTCGAGTGACGCAACCAGTTGAAAGACATGTCCAACCGTCTGATCTGACAATGTCGCGACTTCCGTCCCAGTTAACGGCGGGGGTTTTGGTAGCTCGAATGGGCCCAACTCAAGAGGTGGCTGCGCTAGCTCCTCCAATGCCCTCTCTGTGGTCGACACGGCCATCGGCTCTGTACCAGTGACAAACTCAGGGTCGTAATCGTCCTCATCATCGATACCTGTAGGTCCTAGCATGGGCACATCAGGCACAGGGGTGGGCTGATTGACTTTTTGCAAGTGAGTATATCTGGATCGAATCGCATCAATCGCAACATCCAGTGAGTTCGAGTCCACGTGTTGTAAGAAAACCGAGGTAACCGTGCTGACAATGTCAGCAGGGAGAAGGGTAACATCAAATTGCTGAAGGCTGGTATCTTCCGTGAGGGTGAATAGGTGGGCATAGGTGTTGGGCGGTGGAGGCATGGGTGGAAATTTGCGAATTCCTGCCGTGAGCCTCTGCCTCTTTGCATCATCCAACCCGTCGGTGGGTTCTGCCGGGCGTTTTTGTCCCGTAGGCTCTGCAAACAGCGTTGAACGTGACTGTTGGAGGCGCATGAGGTATGCCTGGATCTTCTGTTCCAGAGGGTGATTCGGGACAGCCCTCAAGGCCCATCGTAGCAAAGCCCTCGTTGTTCTCTCCATCGATCTTACAATGACCACCATTCGAGGGGTCAGTGGAGCATTTGCCTGTTTCATTGGATTGAAGTTGAGAATCGCAGACACAATCTTGGTGGAAATGGCGGGGCGTGTTCGGATGAGGACCGCGAGGCAGTTGAGCGTCGCATCAACAAGGATAGGATCCATCGTGGTCTCCTGGAACACGCTCAAGAGTCTGTCCAGCAGGCCGGATGCCTCAGCCTCCAGGTTGGGGAGTTGCAGGAGAGGATGTGTTCGTGGGACCAAAGCGATGGAAATCTCGTTTTGCTCGGGGCGCTGCGTGGCGTTAGCATGGACATTACAAGGCAGAGAGCGCGGCAGGTGAACTGACTCGAGGATCTGAGATCAAACCAGGGGTCTCTACATGGACGACCTTTTGCACGAATTTGATGCAACAAACCCGGACTGCGATGGGAGCAGAATCCATGCGCTGAAGAATGTTTAATTTGATCCGACTCATTTCCTGCCACAACGTCGTTTCTGTAGGGTGTGAAATTCTAGACGCTCTCGTTAGAATCGGGCCATCTAGTCTTGATACTATCTGTCCAACCACATACACTCGTCTGAACACCAGAGGGTATAGACTCGCAGCCGCTTGTATCACGCTCTTGATCACCGCAGGATCTTCACCAGGTGTGTCCAACATGGTTCGTAGGGTAGGCAACACGTCGGAGGAAAGCTGTTCTTTCTGTGCATTGGGGAGAGAAGGGCTCGCGAATGCCTCTGCTAGATATTCTGCACCCCATCTTCGCACTTCGACGTGCGCCGAGGGACCGATGATGGGTAATATCCCTGGGAGGACTTGATTGTATACTTGAGGATCTCCCAGAGCGAGTTTACGCGCCGCTTCAAGCTGGGAGATCATCTCCGCAGCCGAAGAAGTCGTCCCGGCCATGTCGAAGACACGCAGGGTGGGAATCAACGAGCGCAGCTATCGACGGTGGGAGATTCACGGTTCTACGAGAAAATGAGGTTGGGGATAAGGACCGGCCGAGGTTGCAGTGATTCTATCGAGGAGGGCGGCATCGAGTCAAAGAGGAATGTTGCGATAAAGAAACAAAAGAAATTGTTAAGACAATAGTTGAAAGTCGACAGGGGAACAAAGTCGAGATCAAGGATGATGTTATGGGGTTTGATGATGGAGGTGCAGGTTGCGGCTCCAACTGCGGACCGCATAACTCGTGCCCTCCAATGAGGTGCGGGTTACCTCGTCAGTCTTGGCACTCGGCCTTGGCAGAACGTAGGTTCTCCCTCAGGTGACCCTTTCGCCCTTGTGTACAGGCCTACTTCGAACGAGGTGCAAGGCAATAAGATTCTACGATCATGTTACAAATATTCGTCTCTAGTCCAGGTTGATTCCTGGGTAACACAGCCAGTATCGAATAACACGCCCTGCTTATCGTCTTTATGTGCTGACATTGTTGAAGGGTCTCTGACCAGAAGACAGTAATAGCAATATTTTATGAGAGGACCATACATGCCCGATGGAAGATCAAGCCCTGTTTGCAGGTTCGTAGCGGCGCCTCGCCCTCATTGTGCAGTCAATGCACATTCATCACTGCTTGGGGATTCCACACAACCATATCGGAGACCTGTGGTCGCGTCCCTGGAGAATATGTTACCTTCACATTTACCCTCGCAGCAGCAGATTCGACCGTCGTCTCGGTCCTCAGACGTGGCTATCATAGTCCTAGCGGCATGGTACTTCAGTACACAGATAATGGCACTAGACGCTCGCATCTCCTGCAAATTTCCTCGGAAAGATGAGGAAGATCTGGTGTTGAGAAGTGAATGTTCCTTTGCCAGATTCAGGCGAGAAGAGGAGATTTAGACACCTCACAGACAACATTCAATTGGTCTACCGGTATGTTCTGAAGAGAGATAACAGTGGTATGGCAGTATGGTCGCTTTGTTAAACTCTCATTCCCGTGGAGTTGCGAAAAGTCTGCAGAAAACTCTATTGAGAAGGGATTCCCGCTCGAGAAGAGGAAGTAGTTGTTGTACAATGCAGCGCTAAATCACAATTCGTTAAAGATTTGCGAATCCTGGCGGATCACTCCGTCTTGGCTTCTTCTTTGATCTCCGGTGTCTTTTCCTCGTCCTTCTTAGGTTTCTCTCTTTTCACCGTTTTCCACTCCATGCCGACGCCTCCAAAGATAGCCGCACAGGCAAAACCGAGGGCGACGTAGAAGACAACCACCAAGGCGTGGTTGTAGACCCGCAGAACCTCAGGTAGTTGTTGGGGGCTGAAAGCACGACGCAGCTCAGTGGCTCCGGTGTTGACAATGTCATGTGGGCTGATGTCGGCGATGTTTTTCAGACCCGATATGAGCTTATTGTCCAGGACGTTTTGGGCGAGTGAGACGGAGATGGTGCCGCCGAGACCCTGGCAGAAGAATACCAGGGAGACTCCTGTCGGGGCGTCCTTCTTGTCCAGGACGGCCTGCGCGGCGATGTTGGTTTGTTGTAGGCCCAGACCAACACCGAAACCATAAAGGACCTGTGCGCCGATCCACATAGGGTGCGCTGTGTGAGTGGTGAAGAGCGTAAAGAGACCGGCTCCAATAGGCGTCAAGATGCCGCCCGCCAGGATTGACGGGTTGTAATACCCCACCCTCGTGACGAAGGCTCCTGATATGATGGACGAAACGACGAGCGCGAGGATGAAGGGCAGCGTCGAATACCCGGACCGGATAGCCGACGCGCCTTTGATGGCTTGGAACCATATCGACAAGTAATACACTGCAATCATGAATGACGACCCGAGACAGAAGGCATAAAACCCTCCCGTGGCAATGGTCCGTTGCGTGGCGATTCGAGGTGGTACTGTACCGGCCTCCTTCCGCCATAGTTGAATGGCGACGAAAGTGATGAGAAGGACACCAAAGACGACAAAGAGTGCGATGATTCGGCCATCGGACCAGTCATATTTTTGACCACCCCATTGAAGCGCTAGAAGCAGGCAAACGATGCAGGGGATGAAAACAACGGTGCCGGGGATGTCGATTCGGGAGATCTTCTCCTTCAGTGGTAAATTACCCAGAGCTGGCTCCATGTCGTCGATGACCAGGAAAAGGAACGCGAGCACCACTGCACCGATTGGGAGGTTGATGTAGAAACACCATCTTAATTTCACTCAGCTTTGCGGTTCTTGCGATTTCTGTGGGAGCGAGAACTCACCTCCAACTGACCTTGGTCGTGAAGACGCCTCCAAGTAGTGGACCGGCGACGGAGGCCACCCCGAAAACTGCACCGAGGAGACCCATGTAGAGAGGTCTCTTCTCAAGAGGCGACGCGTACATCATCAGGATCATGGCGCCATTGAACAGTCCTGCGGCGCCCAAACCAGCGACCGCCCGTCCCCAGATGAAGGCGACCGAGTTCGGGGCGGCGCCACATATCGCAGAGCCGATCTCAAACACAAACACCTCAGTGAGGAAGATCCACTTGGGCGAGTAGAAGGTGTATAATCGGCCAAAGAGGAGTTGGAGGGCAGTCGTGGGAAACAGAAACCCGGCGTTGTACTGTCTGGAGCATTAGCAGCTTCTTTCTCCTGCCTGCCAGTCGCCGTGAAGCAAGGACATCGACCTACCCAGCCAACGTCGGCAAAACTTTGAAATTTGTCGGTGATTTTGGGAAGCGCAGTAGCAATGATTGTCCTGTCGAGTGCGACCAGGAAGACGGACAAGTAAATGCTCAGCAGGATCAGGGCCAGCTTGATGCCAGTGGGATATTTTTCGATGCGGCTCGTGGTTTGTTCGAGGGGGCTTTCGTCTGCGTCGTTTGTTTTCTGCCTTTCCAGCTGCGAAGATGTGCTTCTCACATCGTTCGCCTTGTACTCGGTTTGGTCCGCGCCTTCGTCAGTCGCCGATGCCGCCATCTTTGAGACTCTGTTGCTCCCGCTTGAGGACTTTTAGCGATCAAACACTCCGCAAAAGAAAGGGATTTGCATTTTTGATATACGATGGAAATATCGATTTATTCTGTACTTGGGCGAACTTTATGCACATTCTCTGGTGTTAAGGGTCGCATGGCACGTATCTCCGGAAAGGGGATTAGTGTGATTGTTATTCCCGACTAGTGCTGCAGTTGGCCAGTCACAGTCCATACACTACCTCAAGTTCGGATACTAAGTCTCCACTCGGAACAAATGACCCTCCGTCCCACCGAGTGGAAGATCCAGCCAATGATGTTACAGGGGATATGGCTGAAGCCTTGTGAAAAGACCAGGAGATCACCTCCTTAGCGAGGACTTGCACAAAATGCGAGTACGAGGCACGATTTTTCTCTTCTAAAGACCCTGTATTGCAACGAGCTAGTTTCGTTTGTCGCTCCTTGTTGTCATTGCAAATGATTTGTGTCTCGAAGATATGATCCCTTATTGGGTACGCCTCCACAATGCGAAGGTACTGGTTGATACGCTGCAGTTCGACGCTACATAACGTTAACGTCATCTCCATGCGTCGAACATTTCATCGTATTAACGGATCACGAACCCAGCCCGCATTCATAATAAAGACGGAGGCCAGATTCGGCGCCGACTGATGAACCCCCGAACTTTACCGATGATTCGATGCGGCACAGATCCCCGCCTGCAAACCTGGCACATTTCAATTGTGGTCCCAGATAACTCGTTAAGATTCAACAAGCCTTGCCAAATCTCATCTGAGTGGAGCAGATGTTGATTAGATTACGTAGCTAGACCGCGTCCGAGTACGAGTGAAGGAAAGGCCAGATTTCTCTGCACTTGGACTGAACGGGTAAAGAATCCACGACTGCAAGTTGACGTGCCTGCCACAATTATGACTGGTATCTTCGGTTGTACAGAGGTACAGAGGTAAATGTCTCTCTGTGATGGGGATTGTGCCGGACGGTCTCGCCACAACGATGTTCGTCGCTGGGAATCTGTCTGGATGAAGCAGCCTCACCGCACCAGGAAGGCGCTCACCTCCAGATGGTATCTTTAGCAAACGTGACAGTCTGGATCTTGAAAGGCCCAGAAAACCGTAACCCATTTGTTGCCACCTTTTCAAACCACGGAACACGCTCCTCTTGAAGAGAAAATTCCACCTCCAAAATTTTTCCTGAGGTGAGCAGAACGCCTGGGCTCGCTTTTTTATATATAACGTCAGCGTTGATGGTAGGTATTTCATCTCACTTTGACTCTGCCTTCGTCTCGGAATTCGAGTTGCAGATGCCGTAGGGAGAGAATATTGATTCGTGCATCGATTCTTGCCTACTACGTTGGGTGTGACGACATTCCCAATCAGGCAATGCCGAGGGAAAACTGTTCAGCCAATTATTATCTAATTAATACAAGCAGCAATCCAGATGCCCAATCGAGGTAAGCTTTGGGAAATCGACCGTGGACCTCGTATTTTCCTCGTAAATCGGCGAAGTTTCTCGTATAGGACCAAAGGCAGATACTCGGCATTTCTATGGTGAAATTGATATTTGATTTTGTTTGGGCAAAGAATATCAGATTTGGCAAGAAACTCCTTCTGTATTCGTTCATGTTTGCGACTTGAGTGAACCTCCCTAGCAAAGCGCACCTCTTGCCCAAAATACCAGAAATTGAATGGCGGCGACGAATTTTGTTAAGTAGACCTTTTTGGGGAACATCATCGTTACAAGGTTATAAGAAATGGGATGAGAGAATTGTAATAACGCTCAGCTCTTCCATGTTTCAGCAAGGACAAAACTTAACTTTCGAATAAATGTGTCAAGATCCTGTTAAGGCGGTGACGATGCACGACGGGAAGGGCAAAGCTGGAAACTCTTTTCGTCTATATTTTGATCTCTATACGAGCATAAATTGGAGATGGCAGGATGAGAAGAGCAGACCAGACCAGAGACAAAGTTCATTCTCGAGCCCTCCCACAGGTGCAATAGACCTGTCATGACTATGCAGACCATTCCGTTCCCTCCTCCAAGGACCTAAAGCTGCTCGTTGATAAACAATCCCGCCATGCCCATTCCGGTACCTAGACACATGCTGGTGAGCAGAACCTTTTTCTTTCTCCGCCGGCATTCGCTAAGACCTGTGACTATCTGTCGGACTCCGGTGCATCCAAATGGATCTGTTGTTTCAGTGAGGTTTGTCAGTCTTCATCGAAAAGATGACTCCACAAGAGGAGATGAAGGGGATGGACTTCACGAAGAAGTCATGTTGAGATTCTGGTTCATGTTCTTGTTCAAGGGAGTAGGTACTTACGGCCGAGTCTGCAAGAATCCGTTAGTGTGAATTGACCTGATATTGAACCGAGCTTTTACGACGAAAGAAAGAAGAAATCCAGGGGGGGAGAAAAAAAGGGGGGAACTCACGCAATGGCACCACCTCTAGGGTTCAATTTCGTCCAGTCCAGATTAAGATAATCCCGACAATAGACGGCCATGGAAGCAAATGCTTCGTTGATCTCCACCACGTCAATGTCCTTGTCCAGTGACAGGTTGTAGCGAGCAAGTAGTTTGGGAATGGCCAAGACCGGGCCGATGCCCATAATGCGTGGTGGCAGACCGGCAAGGGCTGTGCCAACGTATTTTCCAAGGATGGGTTGGTTCAGCTCCAAGGCCTTGGAACGTTTCATGAGAATTAAAGCACCGGCTCCTGTAGATCAGACGGGAGGATGAGTCTGGGGGGCATTGTATCTGTATGGTCCTCGATGAGCGACTTACCATCGGTAATCTGGCTGGAATTGCCGGCGTGCGTCGTGTCCCCATACTCTGCAAAGGCCGGACGAAGGTTCTTGATCCCGTCGTACGTGGTCCCCCATCGGATTTCGTCGCGGGCAAGGGTCGTGTCTTTGCCGTCCTTCTTGACCGTGATAGGGGCAATCTCGTCATCGAACCAGCCGCTCTTCTGCGCCAGCTCGGCACGCCGGTACGACTCGACGGCAAACTCGTCCTGCCGCTGCCGAGTGATGTTGAACTCTCTCGCCACATTCTCCGACGTGGCGCCTGTATTGTCGAAGCGAAATGGGCGTAAGTAAATGGATCAATTTGCCATATCTGTCCAGAGTGCGGAGTGTGGCTTACCCATTGGGAGCATACAGTCCCTCGCGTCCTCGCTCGCGTTCATGACGTCGTCGGCGAATGGTCGACTCAGACGTTCGTTCCCTTCACTCAGAGACTCGGCGCCGACTACCACGCCGACTTCAATCATGCCGGTGATGATCTCATTGGCGATGAATTGCGTCGCCGTCAGGCCTGAGGAGCAGAACCGCGAAACGCTCGACGCACCGGCTGTGTTGGGGAAGCCTGCTGCGAGAGCCGCCGCCCGGACATAGTACCCAGCTTTGCCGTCGCGGACCTACACAGACGGGATTACACAGTCAGCGGGATAGGATATCTTCCGACGCGGGACAAGACATCTTACATTGCCGAGACAGACATCGTCGACGAGGCGCGGGTCGAGCTTGCTCCGGAGTCGGACTTGTTCGAGGATCTTGAAGACCAGGCCATCAAGCGTCGTGTCCTTGAGTCCGCCTTTCTTGGCCTTGCACATGGGCGTCCTGATGGCGAGGGTGATGACTACATCGTCGGGGTTTTGCTTCGCACTGGTTCGTCACATCGTCAGTCCTGGCTGACATACGCACACAGAAACATCAGTTCCATTCATACATATTGTCTACCGCGCTCGAGGTAGAAGGTAGGTGTGAGAGGACGGCGGAAAGGCGTTGGGAAGCCATGGTGACAACTTGTTGAGCCAAGCTGCGAGATCCAGTAGATAATAACCAACGGTAAATAACTTCCTGACAAGAAACTTGATTCTTATTTTTCTGGTGTTAATTGGAGTTCCTGTGCAGCTATGCTCGAATCGGCCGGCTGTTGACCAGAATTAATAGTTTGAACCTCGGATGAAGGTTTGTATCAGCCGCCGCCGCGGGGTAAAAGCGAATAGGGAAATCGCCGAACTCCATTCACGAGAGCTGACGAGTGGCGATGGCGAGGCTCCCGAACGAAAAGGGACTAAGTGGCCTTGGTAATTATTCCTGCTACCATCGACTCGTGGACTCAATCCCGAGCCTTCAGTCATCTTGGCGTCTTAGTTCCAATCATGGGGAAGATACAGGTCGTATGAGATTTGACGAGGCTCCAAATGTGGGGCTGTAATAGGGGGGTTGATCGGTGTCAAAGCTGCATTATTTGGTGGTTGCTCCAACCCTGCAGAGCGTTTCGCCGATGAGATGGTGAGGACTGGGATGCTGCCTTGTATTTATGGGCGGGAAATTGTGAGCATATGCCTGAGCCTCAAACACCAGAATCAAATCAGAGCCACCAAACTCGAACCACGAAATCTCCTCGCCCTTCTGGACAACATTTCCAACCTTCGAGCCCCCTTGACAGGTTCACGGACGAGACTTGAGCCATCCCCATGGAGAGGACCGCCGCCATCCCGATATTGGCAATGCCAGGTGAAAAAGCATGAGCGGGGCTCAATTCTGGGGGCGAGCTGAGACAGGGAGGCATCACTTTCTAGCCACTTGGCTTGTAAAATCGACCTGTCTAGTATGGTCGTCCAGCCTGAACATGATATGTCCGCCTGACTGTGGGCAGAGGGGCAACTTCAGCTGATCAAGACAGGAGAAGCGCAGTTTTAGAGCAGCTGCCAGGAGACTGGCCGCCCCAACTCAGGCATCATGCGGCCTGGCTCAACTTCGGCCACTGCCATTGGACGTTTTGCAAAATCGTGCGCAACAACACACTTGATTGTCCAGCCTCATCAGCGCTCGCGCTTGCAAAACGCAGTTTGAGCCACCGAGACAAAGACAGCCTGATCGCAGCCCAGATGATTCTGCTTTCCATCTGCCGCTGTTGGCAAAAGCCCAGCAGATACAAACCTGAACGCCTCGTGAGCGTGGCTAACATTCTCACACGTCCTTCCACGGTCCTCCCGCGAGCTGTCAATGGAGCCCATTGCTATCCTCTCCGTTGCCTGCAATGTCCTCCAACTTATCGAACAGGCCATCGATGCCGCTAGAGTCTGCAAGAAATTCTACGACCGCGGTTCTCTAGATGAGAACGATAAGATTGAGAAATACGCTGAGGACCTCACGGCCTTGAACGAGGATTTGCTCCTTGTACTCAACAAGAACCCAACGACCCTACCTCCTCGTGCCAATAAGCTACGGCAACTTGCGAACGATGTCTCAGAGACAGCGGTGGAGCTCAAGAAGGAGCTCAGTCAACTGAAACTCGAGAAAAAGCAGGGCATCAGGGCCAAAGGCACCGCGTTCAAGATGATGTTCAAGAGCTTGAAGAAAAGGGGTACTATTGATAAGCTTCAAGCAAAGCTGATGCAGCAAGATGCCTCTCTGCAGTCTTGCCTGGTGAAAGATCTTCAGTAAGTCGGCACTTTTGATCTGTAGGCTTTCTATATGTGACGTTTGTTGTCATATTTTGCCTTTGCTAGAGGGTTCTGGGGCGTCGCTGGAGCAGTCTCTGCCGAGTTTCCAATCTTCTGCCACTTGGACTCTATCTTCTAATCTCTTGACCAGTATCAGGGACGACCAGGACAAATTGTCTCGACACAAGGAGTTCGCGGCCTTGTCGCAAGGCCAAAAGGACAGCATTACAAAACTGCTAGGTCACATTCAACAGGCCTCAACTGATATCAAGGCTTCAGTCACAGCTGCAGAGACAAACATAACGTCATCAATCACAACTGCACAGGCAAATATAACGGCACAGCTGAACAGCCAGCAAAACGCCCATACGAAATATACGCAAAGTCAGGAATCGATTGCTCTCAGGATGCGAGTCCTAGATGGCCTGGCTTTTCCCGAAATGAATGATCGCCGCAAAATGATTGAAAACCATGTGGGCGAGTTCGGGGACACCTATCGCTGGATATTCTATTCACCAACCCAGACCAATTCTTATCAGCGACATGAGTTTCTTACATGGCTTCGAAAAGGCAGGGGAATCTTTTGGTTTAGTGGAAAGCCTGGAAGTGGGAAATCGAGCCTCGTGGCTTATATTTACCAGAATCTTCACACAGGCCAACCTGGCTTTGATCATTTGAAAGCCTGGGCCCAGCCGCAATCTGTCTGCCTACTCAGTTTCTGGTTCTTCAGGCCCGCCAGCAGCGTACTTCTGAAATCTCTGGAAGGGTTCTGGAGATCACTGTGTTTTCAGATCCTGGAAGTAGACGAGACGCTGGTTGAAACGATCCGTAACAACAACGATGGCTCGGCTCCCGAAACCCTCAAGTCATTCTTTGGCCAAGTACTACCGCATGCTCAAAGTTGGACGAATACTGTGCTCGAGTCCTGGTTCATATACTTAGTGACACATTCGCGATACCGCTTCTGCATCCTGGTTGATGGTCTTGACGAAGTTGAGAATGATCGTGAGCGCAGATCTCTACTCGAGGTTATACAGCGTATCGGAAAACTTAGTGGAAAGGTCAAACTCTGCTGCTCAAGTCGACCAGAGCAACCGTTCCACGACACTCTCTGTCAGTATCCTTCGCTGAGATTACATGATTACAATTACGAAGACATCGAGGAACACTGTCGCAACCGGCTTGGAGGAACTAAAGCAGCAGATTACGCTTGGCGCATCGCCCACCGCGCCGATGGCGTCTTCCTATGGGCTGCTTTAGTCGCGACGCAAATTTTGTCTGGTATAGAACAGGGCGACAGCGACGCAGACCTCGATCTGCGCTTGGCAGAATGTCCTGCCGAAATGGATGAACTCCTCTTGCGTTTACTCAAGAGACAGGACAAATTCTATGCAAAGCATCCGAAACCATATCTGGCCCTGATTGCTGCGGCGGCAACGATCGATGAGGCAGAGGTCCCCGACCCTGGCATCACCTTGTTGGAACTACATCTTGCGTCCCAGGAACAGAACGAGCTCGCTGCCAATTTCCCAAACAACGTTCTTCAATATTGTCAAGAACTCTCCGAGCTCTCAGCTGTTGACCTGGATAAGAATGTGGTTTCCCGGTGTGCAGGTCTTGTTGAATGTGAGGATACCACCAAATACCTTTTACCCGACCCGTGCCATCATGAGTCACTATTCAGGTTGCAAAAGACGTGGGTGCAATTTATACACCGGAGTGTGTACGATTTCCTACTCGACAATGTCCGGTGCGGCACCGCGCTTGTTGATGCTTGTGGCATATCTGAGCAAGAAGCATTCAAACGGATGGTACTAGCCTCTGCCGTATGTTTCATCATCAACAGTAATGCTGAAGTGCCATGGAAATGTTTGGCATACAGCACAAGGGTACCCAAGAGCCACTGGACTCCGCTTGAGACAACTGTCCTTGATGCTGTCTTCACGGTTCAGCAAACGCGATTTCCTATGACTCTTCCCATGCAACCTGCCCATCTAGACGATGAATGGAGATATTCCTTCCGTGAATACGACTATAGGCACGATCAACAAATTAGGTGCCCTCATCTCTCCGCTGTCGACAATCGCCTACTTTACCAAACTGCAGACTACTGCGTATTGCCCTATCTTGAGGAAAAGTTGGTAAATTTCGACCAGAAATACAGGAGCCTCGCCATTGGATTCTGCATCCTGTGCCTGATCCGCACCGCAGGCTGCTATTGTAACCCTGGTGCTGTTAGCGACTTCCTGGGCGATTTCCAAGCACAGCTATCATTGAGTCAAGATCTCACAATCTTTTACATGTATGAAGTTTTATCTGTGAGGTTCTTGTCGACGTGCCCGTTCTATGAACACGTCCACCTCGCAACAGCTGCGTCACTCTATCGATGGGGTGCTCGATACACGACGAAGATCAGGCAAGATTTGAGGGAATTGTGCTCAAGTCTTCGGCCTGAAAATGGCATCAGACCACGCATTGACGGTTGGTCCTTAATTGAACCAAGTATTTTCTATAACATTGACGTTTTCCCTGTACCGGACCAAGGAGCAGCATTTCCGGAGGACTCGAAGCGGGAACATGTTTTGGCCACTTCTATGTTGCTACTCGAACCTGAAGAGCTGAGTTTTCCCCAGTATTCTCCCCCGGGATCTGATCTCTTCTTCGATGTCGAGCCGAGAATCAGTACGGCTCTAGCGCAACTTTTCACAGGAGCTTCACTGAGTGGCGATGCTGAATTCATTCTAGCAGGGCACTTTGCGGACATCCTTAATTGCCATTTAGATGTATTAACGCCCTGGAACATTGCGTCGATTGTCGTCAACACCAGAAACAGACATTGGAATCTCGCTCCTCTCATCTTTTCAAAAGGCCGATTTAAAGGCGTGAATGTGAAAGAACCAGAAGCAAAATTGTGGGAACAGCGTTTGAAGCATGGAAAATTTGACGAGGATTTCGAGTCGGGTCCTGAGAATGACCCTATTCTGAGAGAAATTATGGGAGTAATGGAGAAGCAACGCCACCGTTTTGCTTACGTTGATGGGACAAGAACCAGGGAACCAGACTCGAATGAGATAGGTAATGAAGATCAAGATGAAGATCAAGATGAAGATCAAGATGAAGATCAAGATGAGGACGAGGACGGGGACGGTGTGGGCCAAGAGCCTTCTGGGACATGACCTTATAGTGGCAGTGATAACTCGCAAAGTCAGGAACTACATACTGTGGATGAAAAACGAGTTGGGACGGCACGAAGCTTCTACGGGCTACAGCCTTACGGGAAAAGCCACGGACTTTTCTGCAAGCTCACTTTTTTATTTGGAAATTTTGGAAAAAGGCATGCACTGTACTGTTCTCTCTTGGAAATCCAGGCACAGATTGGGAAAATCCGCAACTCCTGGCTAGATTCATGGTCCTGAAAACTTTGCTTTTGTCGGCTTTCCAAAAACGCTTTTTTCCTTCCCTGTTTCCCTGTCGGTTGGTCTGCCTCTCTCTCTATCTTCAGATCCAGATCCAGATGAAGATCCGTATCGATCATTGATAATTCGTTTCTACAAATCCCCTGCACACGCTTCTCGAGCCGGTGTGTCAAAGGTCATGGGGAAAACCCGGTCATCTGTACGCACGCGCAGGGCGAGAGAGAGAGAGAGAGAGCTGCTCTCCGAATTGTTTGTAGAGAGGGTTACGAATGATTGATTAGTTGAGTGACATCCACCCACCCACCGCCCCCGAAAAAGAGTCGAATGAATCACCAGGTGTAATGAATGCTGTAATGGTGTACATACAAATCACGAGAATATCTTTTCAGTCTCGTCCTCTTTCCCCACCCCAGCCTTTTCCCGGCCCCCTTGGCGCCCTAGTGTGGAGGAGCCTCACACCTCAAGGAAGGCTGGAAGGCGAGATCCAAAGAAGTGTTTCGAGTAGTTAAGCAAATACTGCGCTGCTAATTCAAAACAAGGCTGAAGTATAGGTTCACGGAAAAATTTGGATGATCATAGCGCACTTACTTAGGTCGTGTACGGGTGTATTGGAAGGCATGGTAGGTCAATATTTTACATGTCCGAGGCCAGATAAGTACGCGGCATGGCCATACAATGAGGAGCACAATTCCACGTGAATATCCAACAGGCTTCCTGGCCTTAATGCTTCGCCGTAGTCCCATAAATATTATGTAATCGCACCACGACTAAGCGGCGTCATTTCTCGTCCCACAAGAGCCTGTGGAGACTTGAGGGGTGGGTGCCCTGCGACTGGAGTTTTGTTTCCCTATAGCCACAACTGGGTCTCACGAAAACTCGTTGTATTGGAGTTCCTCGACTGCTACCAGCGTATTCATCCCATTTCCAGATCCTCCGAGGCCCGTCGCTCGACGTCCAGCCATCAAGATGATGCACCCAGCGCGTCAGGCGTATGTGGAGGAGGAACGCCAGGTAAGATTCTTCGCCGCCAGCAAATTATTCTATGTCTCTCTATTTACATTTGCCTCCAAGGCCGCATCTTCCCTTGTGACGGAGCAACAGGTGGAGGCACGCAAGACTGACGGAAATGGCTAAGACGCAGGATACCGAGATGGGCGTGGATTTGGCCAACCTTCGTAAGTATTGTCATGTTTCGTCTTCATAGGCCTGGGCTCACTTTCCTGCCAGCTGTCGATCGGAATTATGACCTTCCTACTGGAGCCGGCGGTGTCGCTCCCGAAAAAGCATCTGCTATCCTCTCCCAATTCGACCGAAAACGAAGACTGGCTATGCTGGCGGTTCCCACGGACGATGGAAAAGTCAGGGCACGACTACGCGAACTCGGAGAGCCTGTCACACTTTTTGGAGAGGACGCTGCGGATCGGCGAAGTCGTCTACGGGAACTCTTGTTGGACCAAGAGGATGCAGCTGGGTCAAACGGAGCTGTTGCCGACGTACAGATGGGTGAAGCAGAAGAGGAGGCCGATCAAGAAGAAGAGTTCTACACCGAGGGCCTACCGGAACTGCTCGAAGCGAGAAGAGACATCGCTAGGTTCTCCCTACCGAGGGCAAAAGCGCGGATACAGAGGCAGAGAGAAGACGCTACCATTCCATTACGCACACATATCAAACATCGCAAGGAGCTCAAAGAGAAGTTGCAAGGGTTTGAGTTGTTTGGAACACAGATTGCTGGAGAGCGACCCGTCAGCATCACTCGATTTGCCCCCAACGGCGAGCTAATCGCCGCCGGCAATTGGGGCGGTGGCATTAAATTACTCGATGTCCCGAATCTGGACGAAAAGGTGACGCTTAGGGGCCACACAGGCATTGTCGGCGGGATTGCCTGGTATCCTGGTGCAACACTACAAGAATCCAATGTGTCTCCAGATTCTCTGAATCTTGCAAGCGGTGCCGGCGGCCAAGGCGGGGAAAGTGATATACATCTGTGGTCATTGAACAAGGAGACACCCATTGGCACTTTGCAGGGCCACACCGACCGTGTTTGCAGGGTCGAGTTTCACCCCTCGGGAAAATATCTTGCCTCGGCCTCATTTGACACGACCTGGCGGTTATGGGACGTGGAGACGACAACCGAGCTCCTGTTACAAGAAGGACACTCAAGGCAAGTATTCGCTGTCAGTTTCAACACTGACGGCTCCTTGCTCGCCAGTGGAGGATTTGACAGCATAGGGAGAATCTGGGATCTCAGGACAGGGCGCACGGTCATGATCTTGGAAGGCCACATCCGTGAGATCTTCTCCCTGGATTGGGGCATTGACGGCTATCGCGTCCTTTCCGGCTCTGGTGACGGATGGGTCAAATGCTGGGATCTCCGTCAAGTGCGCAACGTGGGAGGGATTGGTGCTCATAATGGCAATGTTTCGGACCTGAAATGGTTCAAAGGCCTGGACGGCGACAAGTCCTCCCTCGTAGAGGGCAGCGGCGTCAGGCAGGAGCACAATCCTCGAAAAGCGGGCACATTCTTTGTGACGAGTGGCTTTGACAAGAATGTCAACATCTACTCGGCAGATGATTGGTCGTTTGTGAAACAGCTCAGTGGCCATGCGGGCAATGTCCTCAGTGTGGATGTCACCAATGACGCCAAATGGATTGCTAGCAGTGGGCACGACAGAACTGTCAAGCTCTGGGGTCGTGATGATGGCCAAGGCATATGAAGTCCTGTTGCCCGGAGGCACAAGTTGACCTGCTCCTGTAGGTCCTGGCCTGCATGGAGTGTGCCATTACCGTCAGGAGTCTTGAGGCTGGTCACTCCATGTATATCTTGGTAAGGCAAGTTTTCCTTCAGCCATGGCCAGGTACCTGTATCTCCGTAGCCCTTTGGTTACCCCGCTATTTGTACCAATACTATGTACCTAGATACCCTGTGAATCGTGTTTCATTGGAGCCCATAAAGGCAAGGCTGCACAAGGCTGTACAAGGCTGCGCGAGGCTACAGATAGTCAATGACTCATCACTGACATCATGCCCAACCACCCACCAGCGATTGGCTGAACCACGTATTCGGACTCAACATTCCGCCGGCTCCGAAGCAGCTGCTTAACAGCGAGTCCGAAAACCGTGATTCCGGTCGACCCAAGATGCCTTTTCTCGTTTTTGATTTCTAACTACCCAGTACGCCACTCAGTTACCGTCATCAACCCCTAGATTGCTCTCCCCATTATCTATCCAGATCTACTATCGAAGTGGAGGTTGTTTCTGGTCGAACTGCGGACTCTCTTTGTGAAGTCCATGTCAGCCTAATCAGGATCCAGTTTGTCATCACGGGAAATGCCTTGCCTGTTGGGCGGGTCTGATATGACGGATTTTCCAACCAGGCATTATTGATTCACACCATGGCGCCTGAGAGACCACTTCCTGTGGAAAGCCTATTGCCTTTCCATCAAAACCGCTCCCCTGAAACACGGGCCATTCTCCAAGATGCCCAACTTCAAGACTCAACCAGCCATAGCCAGTCCCCAGAAAGTCTGGAGGAAGATGAAGGTTCAGGCACCGAAAAACCCAAGCGGCAGAAGAGGTCACGTGCGTGTATCGCTTGCAGAAGCATGAAAATCAGGTGTCTGCCCGTCGAGGGCCAAGATGCCTGTAATGCGTGCGCCAAAGTCAACCGGGAATGTATCATGCCAGGTCCCCCGCGGAAAAGACAGAAGACGGTCCACAAGGTCGCCGAATTGGAGAAGAAAATCAATGCCTTGACTAACGCTTTACTGGCCAAACAACAAGCGACGGATGGCGGCAAGCCTGAGGATGAGTCGCCGCCCAAAGATGCCCCTACCAGTGCCAGCTCAGAACCCGCCAAAACTGATGACACGTCTAATACCAGCTTGGACTCTTATCCGCACAATCCCGTGGAAAAGGCATTTGTGCCGACCACTCAACCAGAGTTTAATAGAGGTTGTAACCCGGTGCAAGTCGATGGTATCGCTAAAGACGAGTACGTCGACGTCATTGACCGTGGCGACTTGAGCATGGAGAGTGCGACAGCAATGTTCAATCACTGGATGAAGGAAATGTGCTCTTCTTGTCCATACGTCGTTTTTCCGCCAGACACGGACCCCGAACACATTCGGAGGGCCCGTCCTATCACGTTTTTAACCATTTTGGCAATAGCAAGCCCTGTCGTGCAACCGTCGGCCCAGGCAGCGCTCACCATCGAGATCAATCGGCAGATTGCAGAACGAGTGCTCTTCCATGGTGACAAATCTTTGGACATAATCCAGGCCGTGCTGCTAAACTCTCAATACTACGTTAGGCCGCGCACGGCGAGGGATCTTGCCTTTAACCAAAACATCCAAGCCGCCATTTCCATGTCTCTGGAGTTAGGAATCGGCAAGAGGTCAAAGCTGAAAAGGACTACACAAGAAGAGGTTGAACTGGCCCGCACATGGCTGGCGTGCTACCAGGCTAACATCAGGTTCGCTAAGCTCTTACTGTGTGACCGCGACTGTGCTGATCATTCCAACTTAGTGTCACGACACTCCTTCGTCTCCCGACCCTCATCAGGTTCGGCCCACGTATAGAAGAGTGCCTGGAGATACTCCGAACCAGCCCTCATGCTGCTCCGAGCGACAAATTCCTGTGCAGCAACGTGGGACTGGCGCGTCTTGCGGAGGAAGTTTCAGCGGCTTTCCATATGGACGATCCCGGTGCCGATCTCAATTTTATGGAGCCAAGGGTGCAGTATCAGCTAAAGTGCTTTGAACGGCAGCTACAACAATGGGAGCAGAGTGTCGACGTCTCGGTGGATCAGCGTAAGTCTCCTCATTGCGGTACAGCTGTTTGACAGGGGGCTGACTTGTGACAAGGACTTGCGCAACACCAAGCTGCTTGCCTCAACTTGTATATTCACGAGATCGCGATCCACTACGACCACAATGTCGATGACTTCCGTCCGGGAGTGTCTCAGTTGGAGCAGCGCAGAGCTCCGGATTTCGTGACATCTGCTCACATTGAGGCCCTGTCGACACTGCTGGAAAGTAGCCAGCGAGTCCTGGATGTCTACCTCTCGCTCGAGGTTAAATGTGCTCGAAACCTGTCCAATATCTACATTGTCTGGAATGCATATGCCGTGGTGGTCCTGATCAAGCTGCACTGGATTTTCAGCTCGTCAGAGTCCAAGTTTGGCTCGATCTTTGTCCCTGACTTGAAGACGGGCTATTATCTGGATGCCATTATCCACCGACTGGGCGAGGTGTCAGCTGGCGGCATGAACCCCTGCGCGGAAGCCTTTGGGTTCGTCTTCATGAAGCTCAAGATCTGGCACATGCATCGATCTGGACAGCTCTCGGACGATGAACAAGGCCAAGATGACCAGACACGACGGCAACGAGCGTCCAGCATCCTGCGGCAGGATCCTGCGAGCATTATTGCCTCTGTAAAACGGATGCCATACCCTGGGCCTGAAAACATAGCGAGCGCGCCACCAGCCAGGCCTTATACACCTGCTCTGCTTCCTGGAGGTGGTTGGTCGAATGTAGACAAATTCGGTGCGAACTTGAATGCCGCGTACGACGCTGCCAGTTACGGAAACACCAACTGGGACCAGTTCAACTTCAGCACTCAGGAGCTGGACATGTTTGATGTGTACATGAATAACAGTGGATGGATGGGGTATCTGCTTTAATCGACGGCTCATTACTACCACTCCCAAAATTCGCATTCCCAAAACTAGACACGCAAATGTTGACAAAATTCAACTCCACCCAATAACCCCCTCTCCCAGAAGCTTTCTCCTCCGACCATCGACGATGGATACTGTGCGGCCCACGACACCGTCCCCGCCGACACCGAGGTTGAGCCTCAGATCACCTGTCTTTGAAGCGCTGACCATGTCGACAAAGAACGAATACAAGACGGGATTGGACGGGTCATATTCGTCCTCGGAATCCGAGTCGGCAGCGGAATGTGACGAAGTTGAGAGAGGTTGACCATATTTGCTAGGTGAGATGTCAGCGGATACAGCACAGCATAACAGGGACAGGGACTGAAGCGGCAATTCGACTCACTGTATCCTCACGTTCAAGAGAGCGTCGGGCCCGCAAAGTTCGGAGGCGTTACTAGCTGCACATTGGAGAGTGGTCGTGGTCGCTCCTGGCGCTCGATTCGACAGTTTCAGTCGTCCCCGAAAGGATGATTGTGGGTTAGGGTGGATGATGGCGATGAGGTCGCCGGACTCGGGAGCGGGAGGGAGATGAGAATCGCCACACATGGTTTTTGGGCGTGATTGAGATGGAATCAGGCGTGACGGTTGGGAGGAAAAGCTATGGTTTGTTGTATGAGTACAAGACGTGATGTTATGATGGATATTCATTCAGGACCATGCGACATGCGACCTGCGACGGGCATCTTGTCTTCATATACTCTCTCCCCTTGGGGGAAAACACGGGACGGAGATGGCATTGTTTACGAGGAATAACCTGCTCAAGATCTCCAATCAATCAATCACTTACACACTCAACTTACTCGCTCAATCCGATCCATTCCAGCCCTTTCCCTCCTCGAAGGAGAAAAAGAGCAAGATTGAGCAAGATATCATACCCATGCCACAGTGCCTAGCCTCGTCCTCATCTCCCTCGACGTCCCCGCAGTTGGGTTTGGGGGAGGAGGTGAGCATGTTTTGGGTTTTTGTCTAATAAAATATTGTGGCTGAGAAAAGAGCTAAGAAGGGAGGGGGTGGATGGACATTCTTGAGGGAGTGACGATGAGGCTTGAGGCTCAGGCCGAGGCTGGGGGGGGAAGTGAATGAGCAGGTTTTTTTCTAAAATTAATTAAATTGGAGGACAGGTCTTGGGGTGCCTCGTGGGAGGGGCCCAAGCCCGCCCGGATGGAGTTCCAGGAGTGCCTAGAGGTACGAGGTACTCACGTGTAACCTAGGTGGTTTCTCCAGGGAGCCTCAAGAGCCCCGAAGTTAGGCTGGGCATGGCTAAAGGTCGTGAGCTTGGACAGTCCGGCGGCAGCCTTACCTAACCAGGTACTGTTGGCATCATCACCTGAAGAATTCCTTGGGCTCCGCATGACACCAGACCCCAAGTGAATACTCGGTACAGCAACGCATCACGGCTTGGCTCCCGAATGCTTGTGTGCCAGTTACCATCTACTTGCACATCCTGTCTGCCTGTCAACCTGACCAATGCTCTCTCCCAACCATCCTGAAACCAACCACAGCGTCACTCCCTCCATCACCATCATCACATCAATCCATCGCCACAGCCAACGCGCCCGCCACCGTCCCCAACACCAACACCCAGGTCCTCACATAATTGTGCCACTGCCACCGCTTGATGGTCTCGGCGGTGCTCATCTTCCCGTCTCGGTCGATGCTGCGTTTCTCGTTAAAGGCGTATGTTAGTGCCATCTCTCCACCACCGGGCCCGGCCAGACGATCTGCTTTTCGCGACAGGGCGCCGTTGGTCCGACGCAGAAAGGTCAGGGCGTAGGGAACCCCAGAGGCACTGGCCGATGCGGCAAGGATGTAGAGATATCGAAGGAGAGATCCCTCGGGGGCTATACGCACTCTTCGGATCAGCAAATCCACGACAAGGACCGCCTCCACCTCGGGATGAAATGAAACCCTCTTACCGTGATATGCCAGGAACCCAAAGGACAAGCCGTTGATGACGCACATGGGTCTAGAGATCTGCCATCCAGCACAGCGCGTCAGAAAGGAAGAACCATCACCAGTTTCTAACTCGGATCGCGAAAAAGGACCAGGTTAACTGACATGGAACCCCATGAGATACTGGTAGCGCCATTCTCGCGCGGCCAGGGCGTCCGGGGCAAACAGAATCGCCGGCACGGCAGCATGGGACAGGGCCCAGGTGTATCCTGAAATGGACGACCGTCGGTCAGTCAGCGTCCAATCATTCATCCCAAAACAGATATGGGCAGGCAGAGAGCCGTGGAAAGAAAGGAGAGTGGGTAAAGAAGACAGACCTGCAAATATGCCTGACGAGGCCAAACCACAGACTTTGGCGAGCGCAACGACGTCCATCGTGTCGTCTGGGGTTGAGATGAAGTGAGTTGAGCTGAGACGAGCGGAATTCCTCCTCCGACACCAGGGGTATGGCTTTTTCGATCGATCTTCAGCGGTAAGGTTGGCTCCCCGTCGAATGGATTTTATATTTCTTTCCCACGATGTTACTTGTCGTTATCACCCCCCCAAAACCAGGGTAAGGGGTTATTATCACCTGACAAGCGCGAAGTACTTGGTACCTAAGGTAGGTAGGGGGGTTCAGTTTCGGTCTGGCACAGGCACTATTATCCACGAATGCAGGGCAAACACAAAAGGAGGGAAATGCGCCCCCCTTTCCCGCCTTGGGGTACCGACCGAGTCATGTTTTGATTGAACCCTGCGTCCACCATTATTACGAGGTACCACTAGGTATCACGCATTCGCGGACACGGGCACAGAGCAGGGCGTCAGATCAGCGCTAGTCGGCGCCGGATACGAGTTTGCGCGGTGCGTGGGTTTAGGCGAGACGGGCACGCTTCCTTCTCTGGCCCCCAGCTCCAGCCAGGAGGAATGGTGGACGATAGGCGATGGGCGATGGATGAGGGATCAGGACTTGGGGGCGCAAAATGTTAATTACTATTTGATCAAATACTCGGATCCTCGTAGGAATCACCCTCACCTTACCTGTCAAGCTCGCTGACCAGATTCGTGTGTTCTCTGTGTCTCTTTGTTACGAAGGCTTCCAATGATTACCATATCAATCAGTACTTGTACTCATTCGTACGAGGTATTATCTGCGTGTCCGCTAGACAAAATCAAGACGGGCTGCGCATCGAGGATAATACGGGGTACATAACTTAGTACATGTTGATTTTATGCCCATGTTGCGCGCCTATCATCGTCCGGCATCCATCATCGTCGTCATCACCACCACCACCACCTTCTTTTAGCGATCCATCTCCCTGCTACCCACCACATACGTTACTACTACCACTACCACTACGATGCCATGTTCCAACAGTATGTACGAGGTAGTACCGCGTAATAGTCTACGGACTCACAGACGCACGCCTAACTACCGATAACCGCATTTACTACTTTGAGATTTAGGAGTTTCTCCCCTCACACCAGACCAGACCAGACCAGACCCAGAGAGGGAATCAATCCGGGGGGAAGGGTTTCCACGCGCGCGCGCAAGAACGAGCCATGTTTGGCACATACGCCAGACACAGACACAGAAGACACGCGAGGTGTGTGCTCGATGTGTACGAGTATGTGTCTAACATTTACTGTAGCTAACGAGCCAACGAGCCAAAGAGCTAAATATGCATGTGTGGTCATGGACCATGGCTTCATGGACTCACGGTATGCTCACGGTCGGTAGCCACGTCGCTCAGTCCAGCCCAGCCCAGCCCAGGTACTACAGTAGTACTACAGTAGTAATAGTACCTCCTCCTCCTCCGTAGATGCTGCTCTTGCATTTCATTCCTTGAGCATATATACACCTGTGTACATCGTCCAGCGTTATGTATGTGTGATATGTACTATGAAATAATCAATAATCCCAGAAATCCCTCGCCTTCTATTCGACCTGTTGACTTTTGACTCTTTTGGGTTGCGCCATTGCCCTCTCAAACTCCGCGCGGAATATATATACCTCGTATATACCTTGTCTACCTCGTGTCTACCTCGTCTCTGGAGATATATACACAATCCTATGTTATGCTAAGCTATGCATGTGAGATATGAGTTGTGAGATGGGTTTTGCTGGATGGCCGAACCAAGGTATATAGGTAGGTAGGTGGGCTAGGTAGCCGGCCCTGTCCCGAGACAGCGTGGGTGAGTGGGTGGTTGGATGCAAGGCAAGGTGTCTGCTGTCTGCCAACTCCTGCACGTTTCCCGCCCATCTGGTTTCGACATCTCCCTCGTTCTCGTCAGGAGGTTGAAAAGCCGTCGAATCCAGTCCATCTCTTCCTTCCTGGACAGTTCACCACCGTATCCTCCGCCGCCACTTCTGCAGCGGCGTCTCACCACCCGTGTCTCCCCTGCGGTCCTGAACCCCCGAGTCGACACCACCCTCGCTCCCCGCCAGGTTGTGCTTGTCGCTCAACTGCAGATTGGGCAGGAACCAGACCATGACCATGGGGACCGCGGACGCGACCAGCGCGGCGATGGTCATGAAGCGCAGAATGTCCGAGTATGCGTGGTTGACGGCGTTGCGCTGCGCGGTGCCCGTCTCGGGCAGCACGACCGCCGTGATGGAGTCGTAGACGCGGTTGATGGCCGCGGGGTCCGTGTCGGGATCCATCCAGAAGCGCAGCCGGCCCTTGAACAGGCTCGTGTAGATGGTCCCCGCGATGGCGGAGCCCGTGCTGTTGCCCAGGTAGATGCACAGGAGCTCGAGGGCGGTCGAGTGCGCGAGGTCCGCCCGGGGCACGACGACCTGCGCGACGACAATCACCACGGTCCCGACGGCGCCGCTGCCCGCGCCCTGGACGACCTGCATGGCGATAATCTCGGCGAGCGAGTTGTCGGCGCCGCGCAGCCGCATCATGAACCCGTACCCGATCAGCCGGACCACGACGCCGATGAGGAGGAGCCACTTGTACCGCCGCGACCGGTACATGAGGAAGCCCGTGCCCAGGCCCGTCAGCACCTGGACGCACCCGGCCGTGTAGGTCAGGAAGGTCGCGTCGCGCGGGTCCAGCCCGTGCACCACCGTCGCCCACGCGTACAGGTACGTGTGCGTGACGCTGTAGGCGAAGGCGTCGAGAAATCCGATCGCAAACGCCAGCGTCACCGAGATGTTCTTGAACAGCCGCGGCGGCATCGCCGGTTTCGTGGCGAACCGCGACTCGTACACCCCCAACCCGACCAGGCACAGCACGCCCAGGACGATCAGCGTCGGCACCCACGGCGCGCGCCAGCTGCCGTTGGCGTTGCCGGCCAGCGCCACGGGGAGCAAGATCATGGCGCACCCGCCGCTGAGGAGGAGCATCCCGCCCAGGTCGATCTGCGCGGCGAACCCGCGGATGGTGGTCTTTGTGTGCACTCTTGCGGCGCCGCCGCGCACCCGCTCCAGCCGGCGCTGGAACCCGAGCAGCGGCACGATGACGCTGAGCGAGCACACGGGCATGATGATGGCGAACATGCCAATGCCCCAGCGCCAGCCGATGGTGGCGAGGGCGCCGTCGACGATGAAGGCCGAGCACCACGGCACGATCATAAAGGGCAGGCTGACCAGGGCGTTGGCCAGGCCGCGCCACCGCGACGACGTGATGTCCGCCACGATGATCTGGTTGAGGATCTGCATCCCCGTCTGCCCGACGCTGTAGACAATGTACCCCCCGATGTACTGGCCGAAGGAGCGCGCCGACGCGCACAGGATGTACGACACGACGTAGCACGCGATGACGGCCCCGTACGTCTCGGCCCGCCCGACCACGTCCGAGATCTTTGCCAGCGGCGGCTTGAGCACCGCCGCCACGATGGTGCCCACCGTCATCAGCGCCCCGAGGAGCGCGATCTCGCCAAAGTCCGACGCCGCGTAGTTCTGGTAGTTGTAGATGGTCGTGTAGTCGAGTTCACTGTCGCGAGCCCAAAACTCAGCAAAATGTGCTGCCGCACATGGTCAGTCTCTAATGGGATCTAGGTCATCTTACAAGATGGTCCACATGAGTGCGATGCTGTTTGGTTCCGCCATCTGTTAGCCGGGTAAAAGGCACGTTTAGGTTAAGGTGAGGTGCCCCTGTTCAAGCACGCAGGCAGATGGGTGAGAAGAGGGAGGGACATACCCAATCCACATCCACGTTCTCCCATGTTTTCCCCAGGCTGCGTTCAGGGCTTTCTGGTTCTCCTCCTCCGATTCCGAGTCCGTTCGGGACCGGGCGATTTCTTCAGCCGTCTCATTCTTCTCCTCGTCAACGATGGTAGTGTCACTGCTCGCGGGTGATGTGCTGTCGTGGGAGGAAGGGGATATGGCTTGGGCCGACGGTGGCTTTTGGTCCGAGGGCATCACTTCTTCTAGAGGAGGAGGAGGAGGGTGCGGACCAGCACGGCGAAAGAATCGACAACAACAATCAGACAATAGGAGAGACAACAGGGACAAACACAGGAATAACGAAAATAAAAACCCAGCGAGAACAGAGGGACCTCCCCGAGTAGATGTGATGCCCCCTCCATCGGGGAGTAAGGTCGATCCATGATACCCATATACAACCCAGCTGAAGCGTAGTCAAGTCGTCACCCACAATGCAACGACACGATCAGCACGCAGGAAAAATTCTGTCGCCCCTGCTGCTCGATTGACAGTGTTAAGGACAGGCCAATGTACCAAGAACACCCACTGGTGGGGCAAAGTCTCTCTGCTATACCCAAGGATGAAGGAGGGGGAAACAAATGATGAAGAACAAGACAATCCACCAGGGGGGAACAGCGATGTCGGAAAGCATTAGATGTGTGCAAGCCAAAGCATACGAATCCGCAAGTGGATTCGGACGTCGTTACCAAAAGGGACGTGAGAGGGTTTTCGATGATGCCACAAGGGGGACCCCAGACTGGACTCGGAGCATTTTTGATAATCTCATCAGATAATTTTCATCTAATCAAGATAAGATGATCGCGATGACTTTTCGTGTCGTGGGCTTGTCGAGGTGCTGATCGGTCTTGGGTGTGCAGGGACCTGGGTCGCTATACACCTGCAATCCCAGACAAAAGCCAATGGCACCAGACGGCGCAACATTGGCATGTCATCATCCATGCAGTAGGCCCAGTTCTCCTGTGGGACCACCCAAGCCCCGAAAAGAGGAACGGGCCATCGATCATTCGAAGAGGCATGTCGGGGCCAGACAACGCACGCCGAGATCCCTGCAGAAAGATTTGTGTGGCGGTATACAAGGAAAAGATGGAGAGAAAGTGGAGGTGGTGGAGTGTACGTCCTATACATACAACACAAAAGGCGGAGGAATGACCAGAGAAAGAGGAGAAGAAAAAAAAAAAGAGAGTAGCAATCCAAGAGAAGCCGAGACGTCGATCAGAGGCTCGATATCCACAAAATGTCCGCAAATGACGCCATTTCAAGGGCTCGTCTCTACCGCTAACGTGTTGTGATCAGAAACGTCAGAAACGTTGCATGCACTTTTGTCGTGCTGAGGTTGTCCCTCAAGACCCTTTCCTAGAGACCGAGTCGTTCACATGCCCGACGTACTGATGCCGGAGTAGTGGTTAATCCACGCGAAAATCTCCCGGTGCCAAACGAGGCTGTTCTCTCGGTTGAGGACCCTAAACCGAATGGTCAGCCTGCCATGCAATCACTCTACAACAGAGTCCTCACCAATGATTCTCATCAGGGAAGCTCAGAAACTTGCTCGGAACGCCCCTCTCCTGCAACAGGTTGAAGAGCGTGATCCCTTCGGCGATGGGCAGTCGGTAGTCCAGCTCATTGTGCACCACAAAATGTGGCGTCGCCCACTTGTCGACGTGGTTGATGGGATTCCACTCATCATATTCATTTCGGTTGGCCCACAGAGTGCCATTCATCTGTTTTGCGGTGAGCGTGAGCCACAGTCTTCGAGGGCGGTGCAAAACCTACATCATGTTGCATAAACCACAGCTCTTCAGTCGAGTAGGAAGCGACCGTATTGACCATCCCGTCATGCGTAACGAGGGCTTTGAATCTCCTGCCAAGCTCATGACCTTGGATCCAGTTTGTCATGTAGCCGCCGTACGACGCCCCGGCTTCGATTCCATTCTGGGTGTCGATATATTCAAATGTGCTGTTGACGTGCTCCCACACAGCAACGAGGTCCTCATACGGGAGACTGCCCCAATTTCCTTGGATTGCATCCTGCAAAGCCATTCCCCAGCCAGTGCTTCCGGTCGGATTCGGCGCCACGACCACATAGCCTTGGTCCGCCCACACCTTGAAATTCCATCTGGTGCTCCAAGAGTTGTAGTGCCCACCTTGTGGACCGCCATGGACAATGAATGCCAAGGGGTATTTCCTGCTCCGATTAAACCCTTCCGGGTAGATAACCCAGCTCTGTACCCGGGTGAAGCTGCCCAGGGTGTAGAACTCCGAGACGTCCGTCGGCCCCAGGCCCGCGAGTTCGGGGTCGACCTGGTTTGACCGGAAGAGATCGGTAACAAGCCTGCCCCTGGGACCAATGATGTAGAAGTCACGGGAAGACCATATCTTGGAGTCTGACACCAAAAGGTTACCGTTCGGCAACACATAAAACGAAGCAACGACACCGGCATTGGTGATATTTGTGGGCTTAAACCCTGGTCCAGCCGTAAGCGGAACCTGGAACAAAGGTTCGTTACCCAGATCAGGTGCTGCGACAAAAAGGGAAGTGCCATCGGCAGACCATCTCAGTTGATCGGGAGTGCTATCCCAGTCCTCTGCTAGGCTGGTGATATTGAAATGACTGGTATTGACATTGGCGACGTAGATCTTGTTCTTGTCGGATTCATAGGAGATCCCGTCCATCTGGAAATATGCGATCTTGGTGCCATCGGGAGAAAACAGCGGCCTCGCTGAAGCCCCTTTGGCGTTTGGAGGTGTCGAACTTCCAGAAAAGGCATTGATCGGTACGGGCACAGATGAACCATTGTGAGGAACAAGATAGATCTGAGAGGATGTATAGTTTGACAACGGCAAATCAATGTTCTTCGTCAAGAAAGCGACCGTGGATCCGTCCGGCGTGATATCGTAGTCGCCGGAATCACCAAAAGGCTGGACGGGACTTTCAGCCCGAGTAACATTGGCAAGGCCGGTCACAAGGTTCTTCAGGCTTCCGCCCAGAGAATACCTATCGCCCCCAGTCAGCGTGCCAGCGAACACGGCGTTTCTCCTTTCAGTGAGCCAAGTGTCCCAATGGCGGACATAGATGCTCGTGTAGATTCTTGCTGAACTCAGGGGCTCTTCGGCCAGCTCCTCGTTGTAAGCTGTCCCATTTGGCCATGCCAGGCAACTCAAGAGGAAGTTGATGTTTCCGGAAGGGGTTACCACCGCCTTGAGCCCAGAATAGGGCGCTGGAAGTGATGCGATTAGATACCTATGAGTGTCAACCTAGTCATGATATCTCGTCAATGCAGACACACGCTTCATCGATGGCGTTGATATCACCAGCATACAGGCTGATGCCGCCATTGTCTTCTTCGTTGGTGCCGTTAATGTAGAGAATGCTCGTGTCGGACTGCCCAACCCAGACAATCTCCGAGATATCGGAACCGTTGTATAGTAGAGAAGTTTCACCAGTGGTGAGATTCATTAGCCGCCACACAGTCTCTGCCTCATGGGTCTCCCATGAATAGCTAGTTGCACTAAATACACCTAGTTCCTTTTGACAAGCATCAGCCTTGTGTTACCAATGTCAGGCTCGACTTACTCCTGACGGATTTGGGACCAATTCACCGCGTCGTGGCGCAGCGAGCATCTGTCTAAGAAGAAGTTTAGCAAAAAATACAGTCAGTTGGGTCCTGGGCAGGACCGACTCTGGCGTAATGGATAAGACAAATGGCAGAACAGCTATTGCTGTCGCCAGACTGCGTAGAACCAACATTTCCGAAACTTGTGTCGTAAAGAGCGGTGTTGTGTCCTCCTTTCTCTCGCGTGCGAGAACGTCAGGCTAAATGCAATACTTCAGGTGAAATGCAAGGTCGCTGCTTGATAAATGCATCAACCCATCCTCTTCATTCCCCCACCCGCGGTCCCCTGCCGCATCTACCCGAGCAATGAGCCATGTTGCATACGGCAGGCACCGATAGTACTTGGATTGTTCAGGAAGCAGGTCACTCGATAAGAAAGAGAGTTACATCAACAGTAGTCATGGAATGACAATTGGCGAGACATGGGCCTGTGTTCAAACCAGGGCCAGGAAGGATTCTGCAGGGATGGACCTTTTGGCACCCCGATTCCTTTGGAAGCCTTGTCACCTTCCTCATGTATATATGGGAGAGAAAAAAGATGGAGATCTTGTTCGCATCTGGTTTGGGGATATTAGCTTGGCTGTAACTGAAGCTAATGACGAGCTTCCTGCACAAGTATAGCCGTCACAACCATCAAGCTTTGGGTGGTACCAAGAGATCCCCAAGCCTTCCGGATCCCTTGGCTTTGATCTGGGCATTTGGGTGGTGCAGAGCAGAGTTGCATCGTGCGCTTATCGACCCGATTGTGTCTCCATGGCCAAGATTGGGATTTGGTGGGATTGAGTAGCAAACCTGTATCGAGTAGCCGAAAGACATATGAATCTCCCTCAAAGAGGAAGTTTCCAGCTGACGTGACGCAGGTTTCTGAAGACGAAATCGCTGGATCAAAGCAAGAGGGAGATAGTCAAGTGGATTCTCCGGATGGCTGGAAATGGAAAGCTTGAGGGAACCATCCGCCAAGGCTTGAAGGAGATCGACGCGCCAATGGCTTGGCATATTGAGTGTCTTGTCACGTGCTGTCACGTGATATACTGTTTCTGTCTTTAGATTTTCCGCTTCCGAGCCAATCGCCCTTTCTCACACCTTGATGGGCATCGATCAACACGATGGTGGCCCTTTCTCAGTCGGATGTAGCGGACATCAACACTCTCTCACGCTATCTGTCTTGCTCGCAAGTCTCTTCGCTCTACGCCTGCTCTGCCGTCGATGTCGTTGTCTTCTGTGGCAACGCAATCCTGCCCATTGCCGACCACGTCTTCTCAGTCCTGGAAGCGCGTCAAGATCTGACAAAGGTCCTGGTCATCTGCGGCGGGATTGGACATTCTACACGATTCCTCTATGAAGCTGTTCGCGCCCATGACCAATACTGTCGGCTGGCCGATGAAATTGATGGGCTTCCCGAGGCTGTCGTCTATGAGCGGATTCTCTCCGGGTATTACCCCAAACTCCATGGACGAATCAAGTCGGGTGAGATGAAATGCATTATTGAAGCCAATTCGACCAATTGTGGAGCCAATGCCATTGAGACGCACCGAGTGCTCGAGGCAAATTCGATCCCACCGCCCAGATCCTGTATCATCGTCCAGGAGCCGACGATGTCGCTGCGCACACTGGCTGCCTTTCAGCACACTTACCAAGACGTGGAGCCGTCTCCCGAGTTTCTCGCCTGTCCAACGTTCATCCCTCTGGCTTCTCTAGATGAAAATGGTATGCTGCGTATCACAGCAGACACATCAGGTATTGAGTCCTCCGCACTTTGGGATAGCCACCGTTTCATTGACCTTCTGATGGGGGAAATCCCTCGAATACGAGACGATAAGAACGGATATGGCCCAGAAGGAAAAGACTTCATTGTTCACGTTGATGTTCCAGAGGAAGTGGAGGCTGCCTGGGCGCGGCTCAGCAAAATCCTGCACTTCAAGCGCTGATATGCTATATTGAGTCTTCACTTGGCTGCAACCCGGCAGCGTGTAATTGTCTATCAGGGACAGGTATACGACCTTGAAAAGCTGAGTGGACTTTCTGGCCAGATGCGTCCGGCTCAACCGTCGACGTGGAAAGTTGTGTTTCTGAGATCCCCGACTTTGCGACATCACTCTCCATATCCACTATCGGATACTCGGTCGCCGACCACAATCGTCGTCCCCGTTAAACTTCATCCCACCAGGTTGGGTTGCCTCTTCCACTCTGGCCCTCGTACTTTTGCCGGCGATGCGAAGCACAGTCTTTTGTCTGTCCGGCCACGGTGCGATGTCTGTGCCCTTTGCACGGTTTGTTCTTTTTGGCATGCTTGCACAAGTTGTCCTTGGTGATCATGGCGCCTTTGCAGCCCGCGTTGGGACAGTGATGGTGGATTCGGATGGTTTCGCACATTGTTGCGTTTGGTCAGGTGTTGTCGGGCTGATTGTTTGCGACTTGCAAAGAGACGGCTATGCTGAGAAGGTCGACACGGACACTGACACTGGCAGTACAGGACAATACTTCTGACTGGGGGGGTTTGGCCTGGTTGGAACTTGGATTCGATATGGTCGAGACTGGAACGGAAGACTTGGAGAATTGGAAGACGGAGTGTTTGGGTCATGGGTCATTTATGGTCGATGCGTTGAGGCTCTTCGTGCACCCTGCGTCGCATGACACCCCATCTTGTCTGATGTTTGATCAAGGCAGAGCTACAAGCGGGTTCCCGCCCTCTGGGTCCTGAGCGAGCCCGCGACGTCAGCTCCAGAAAGACACACCCTTTGTGGGTGGGGGGTTTGGGTTGGTTTGTTTCCATGTGTGTATGCGTGTATGTGCGTGTGTTGTCGTGTTTTCCTGTTTCCCAAATGTTACTACAAGCTTACGTCTTCAAACAATCTCAATCTCGTAGACGGGTGGAGGAGGCGAGGGTGTGTACCCGTTGTTACCTATGTACATACAAACATACATAGCTACTTCGCTTCTCTACCACCTATCTACCCACTCACCCACCTACATACCTCCTCGTACGTACATACCTGCCTACCTGCCTACCTGCCTACCTGCCAACCTACCAAAACAGGCAAGTGACACGAACCAGACTTTTCAAATCTCAAGCTCCAACGGGTGTTTGCTTGCTTGCTTCCTCGTCTCGTTTGCTTCCTTGCTTGCTTGCCTGCTGCTGCTTGCCCCCCCTCCCCTCCCCGCTAACTGACGATGCCCCTCTGTTCTTGTTTCGTTTCAGACCACAAGATCACGAAGAGCAAACTCGGTAATGGGATCGATCAGATCAGATCGGATCGGATCGCTAAGCTAAGCTAAGGTAAGGTGAGCGGTGAGGCTGGCTGGTAAGTGGCACATAGTACGTACCTAGTATTTAAGAAACGGGTAACAAGTAACGAGTAACGAGTAACGAGTAACGAGTAACGAGAAACAAGTAGCAAGTAACATTGGCCAGTGGTCCTGTGACTGGTGGCTGTCTGACTGGCTGGCTGGTGGCCGTTGGTCGTTGGCCCAGATGAGAATTTGCCATTCGTCCAGGTCACCGGACTGATTGATTGATTGTGATGTGGAGGGTTTTTTGTTTGTGTGTGTGCCTCTCTCTCTGCGAGAGCAGAGGACGGGAGGGGAGGAAGTAGATGCACACATACACACATATACACAATAGATATAATAGATACATGACCACATACATGATAGGGACAGCGGTACATGTACACACAGTACATAGAAGACTCATATGTAGATAGATACAGCATATACCTACCTACCTACCTACCTACCTACAGCAGGTACATAGGTAGTATATCCAGACCAATTACAAAACCCACCATACCACCCACCCCCCTTCGTCCCTTTGTCCGTTGTCCATCCATTTATTTCCCTCCCCAAAAACCACAAAACCACGACGTGGAAAAAAACGAGGAACCACAGGTAAAGGTTTCAGGAATTCATAATCATAACTCATATTTTTGGGGGGGTCGTCATGTCGTGAAAAAAGGTCAGCAAGCGATACCGACCAAAGGTACTAACTAACTAGTAAGGTAAGGTAAGAGTATTAAATTACAATGCGGGATGGGGTATGTATGTAACAACAACGGCCGTCCAGTCCAACAACCAGGACGTAGAAAGGAAGGAAAGGGGGTATCTGCATGCATGCATGGATGGAGGTGTGTGTGTGTGAGTGTGAGTGTGTGGAAAGAACAAGGATTAAAAAAAAAGAAGAGAGAAAAACATCAAAGGCCACACACATCTCACACAAAACACACACATGCACACAAACATGGGCCACACAAGATCTCTCCCGTGGAACAAAGATTCGTCAAACGGAATTCTGTTCTTTTCTTTTTGAGATCTTCCCGATCGGATCGCCGTGATCCACCCCCCGTGCATTACCCTCCCATGCCGATCTTCGTTCACATTTCGTTTTTTCCGGTTCTGGGGATTTCGTGGCTTTCGTAGCTTTGCTTTCATCTTCGTCATATGTTCCCCGTGGTAGAGGTGGTGGAAGGGGTGGTCCTCTCTTTTGGTCGGTCGGGTGGGTGTACCGTTCCATGCCATGAATTGGAATGGCAAGAGAACATCAAGTCACGGCAAACTTGGTCTCGGTCTCGGTCTCGGTCCCGGTCGCAATCTCTGTCGTCCATGACGAAAGTCCATGGTAATGGCAAGCCCATCCAATGGGAAAAGTGGGAAACTGATGGAGTCTCTCGGTTTTGCCCTCTCCATGATGAAGTTGTGAGAGGGAACCAAGCAAGCGAGCACACTCAAGCAAGCAAGTAGACAGCGAGATCCATCATACACACACAAAACAGGTTTTTCCCCACCAATTGACAAGTCAAGGGGCGAGGCAGGCGTAAGGTTTGGCAAAAAAAGGGATGCCTAATGCCTGAATGCCTATTACCTTGCCTTGCCTTGCCTAGCCGGTCAGGCCAGTCTGTTTGCCGGTCAAATCACGACACCCCAACGTCGATCCTGGCGCAGTTGGCAATGGTCGAGCGCACTCGCCGGTGGAACCCGCCGTCGGCAGCCGTGTCGTACATTTCGCTAATCTGCCGGGGTAACATGCCTACGCGGCTGATTCGCTGTCTGACGGCCTCCTTGGCAGGGCCCAGGGCGTTGGCGATGCCGTCCACCCCGATCCGGAAATTGTAGCAGATGAGCTTGTCGTGCTTGACCCCCGGGTAGTTCTCGGACGAGGCCGCGACCGAGAACTTCAGCTTCGAGTTGGCAAACGCAATGGCCGCCGACGGCGTGAAGCAGTACTGCTCCAGCACTTCGGCTTGGATCGCCGACATGTCCAGCTCGGGTTCGGGTTCGGGTTCCCAGCAAGGGGACGAGCACACGCTTGTCGCCGGCGTGGAGACAGGTGACGAACTGCCGCTGGAGATGGAGCTTCGAGGAGAGCCACGTGGTGATCGTGGTGATCGTGGCGACCGAGGCGACCGCGGTGAGCGAGGTGAGCGAGGTGAGCGAGGTGAAGGAGGTGCATTCATGTCGGCATCAAGCCCGTCAAAGGCGAGCGCCAAGGTTCGGAAATGCGAGGATGAGCAGGCGTCCAGTGTTCGGGCATAGAAGCGAGTCTCGAGAACCTTGAGCCGGGGGAGATCGCCGACACAGATGTCGACGAGAGTGATGTGGTCCTTGAGGATTGTGTCGGCGTCGGTGCTGTCGCCAAAATCGACCGCGATGTGCGTCAACGACGATTTGATCAGTGGATGGATATCCGGGTCCGACAGGAATGCCAGGGCGTCTGACGACGACCGAAAGACCAGCGCATTCAGACTGTAAAATAACGTGATGGCCTCTGACCGGATCAGCTGGCAGGTATCCAAGAATCCACGAGGGTCGTCTCTGGGGGGCCGCGATGGACGGAGTCGACGTTGCGACGGACACCTCAGCCTTAGCGGTTGCGACTGCTGGAAGGCGAATTTATAGATGAGATTCCTGACCTCGGGGGGAAGGTTCAATAGCATGGAAGACATGTCTGGAACTGGTGACGACGACGCCATGGTTGGTCGTCCTGTCTGGCGTGAACCCGCAAAGGTATGTTTCGAGGTTCAACAGGTTGAACCGATGCTGAAAGAGAAAGGCGACAGAGATAGAAAACAACAACAGACAACAGTTCGACCGTTGAAAGGGGGTACACAAGATAGTGACCGGGTCTGTCTCTCTGGGCTACAGCGACAACAAGAACTCGGGGAATAATGTCGTTGAGAAATAATAATCGAATCCACCAGGGGTCTGTGCTATCGGGTTGGTGGCGTCTTGGGGCGTTGCCTGTGTGCACGGCGGTTCAATAATTGATCCAGCAAGGCGGTACTCGTGAGAGGCAGCCCGGGGCCAAAATTGTACAGAGGGCTACTAAATTAAGAGTCGAGTCGATCCCGCAATCTCGTTTCAGAGAGCATCGAGGCGAAACGTGTTTTGGTGTTACTCGGTTCCTCGTCCACTTCAAAGGTCCAACACACACAAACACAACCTCTCTGGTCAAGAAACCAAGGGTGGGCTGAAAATCCGGGGTGGGAAAAGTCGAAGAATAACCCGCTGGGAAATGGGTTTTCCCAAGCTTAAGATAGTACTGTACCGAGTAGGTAGGCCAGGCTGGTTGAGTAACGAGAGTATGTCCAGTATGTCGTAGTTGACGGCCGTGTGGAGAGTGGCAGGCAGGTTCGAGCGAGAGACTCTGGCTGGAGCAGGAGAATGAGAGAGAAGGGGGGGGTTTCGCTTCAAGAGAGAAAAGGGCGAGGTTGGTGATGGGCATATACTCGCTAAAGTGCCATCTACCTTTTTTTCACTCTTTTTGTCGAGGGTGACGCTTGGTGGTGGAGGTTACCGTCGGTACTAGTTACTGGGGTGGTTGGTTGGTGACACGATTTGCGCCTCGCACCAAAGAGAAAAAGGGTCGGTTTGTTGGACTGTGACTTTTTCCTTTTCTTCGATGATACGAGTAGATTTTTGTTTAATTGACATGGGACCTGGCATGGCGCAATGTCTCAGTTTAGCCCCTTGTACCGTGGCCTCGTACCAGAAGAGGCAGGGCAAATCTGGGCTATAGCAGGTTTAGCTGCCCTCTGGGAAATTGGATTAAGGTACCTGCGCAGTGGGGAGCCGGGGTGGCTACGGAGTATCAGCCAATCATGTTTGGTAAAAGTGGAGTTTGAGCGTCAGGGGCTGCTGTGAGTGGCGGATATGCTCGGGGCTTGGGGCACTAGTGTCAACTAGCCGAGTCTTAGCAGAGATATTAATATCCGTAGCCTAATGCAAGCCACAAGGCACTGCTCCGCTCAGCCAATCATTTGGGCCTCCCTGGCAACCGCCCCAGCCACGGCCTTGCCAGAATCCCTGATCCAGCGAACTCCTTCCCTGAGGCTTCCGCTGGACCCCTGTTCATCTTGTGCTGTGCTGGTGCTGGCTGGAAACGACCATCTACAGCACTGGGCCCTCGGACTCACTGCTACGTCACTCGTGACCACATTCCGATAAGGTACGAGTACGACAACATGGTCACACACCACACCAAGGATGGGGGAGGCAAGATCCAGATTGCCAAAAGTGTGATTGTCCGCTCGCGCATCATCCGATCATGGTGATACTCGGTAAATGTCTGGGGGGTGCTACCTCCTTGATGGTACTTTGTAAGCTATTATCATCTACTACTTGTGCGTCCGAGGTACTCCGTATGTACCCCTCTGACAAGTCTGCCCGGCCTCCCTGCGAGGTATGAGGAAATCTCATGCCATCATCATCATCATCACCATCGGAGTTTTTCTCCCTCTTTCTCTGTTCCCCTCTTCTCTCAAAGATTTGTGCCACCACACGCCCCCCCCTCCTTGGTTCCATTTTAGACTTTCAACGCCATCTTTGTACTCACCTCTCCTACGCTAGCTCCACCCCCCGAGGCGAACTCGTGTTTGTCGTCCTGTGCCAATACCTTTGCGGTTAATTCGTGCCTTTGCATCTCGGTCGCATCCGCAAAATGTACCACCACCTCGTCACCAAACAAGGCATTGATCTCTTCCAGCGACTTGCCTCGAGTCTTTGAAAGAAATTGGGTTGGGTCAGTAATATCCTCGTCAAAAGAGACTGGAGTCTTCTTTCCTTACCTCGGGACACCAAAAGTAAAAGATCCAGATGTTGACAAAGGTCAGGCAGATGAAGACAATATAGTATTTCCATTTGATGTTTGCCAAGGCCGTCGGCGCAGCCTCGACATAGACCAACGTCGAGAGAAATGTCCCGGCGAGAGACCAGGCCACGCCCTGAGATCGGATGGTGGTAGGGAAGATCTCCGCTTTCATGCGGCCCAAAATATGCATGTCAGCGGGAATCCGGGGGATGCAACCTTTTTTTGCTGCGAGTTCCGATATGGCTCGCGCGAGACGAAAGAAAAAGATGACAAAAGAATGAGGAATGTTCCCCCCCGCCCGTGCACCACAGTCTTACCATGGGCTCACAAAAGGCCGCCTTTCCGACCACCACGCTGGGATGCCGGCAGAAGCCTTACGGCCCCGCTCCGATCAGATCAGGGCACCACCCGTTCGTCGTACCACCGACTTCTATTATTGCTGGCTGCGCTGGCCGGGGAGGGTCTCATGCATGGAAGGTGAAGAGAAAGTGGGACAAGAAAAAGAGAAAGAGAAAAAGGGAATCACTCACAGCAATAAACATAACCCACCACATCGATGCCACCCCCATAGAAGCTGATGAAGCAGAAGGAGAAGAACACCCCCATGGACAACCCGGCCTTGTTGGTGGTACCCGCATACTCGGCTATCATGGCGGTTTCCAGGCACACCGACAGCATGCATCCGGTGAGGCCGGCGACTATATTTTAAGCGACCGCCGCCCTTTTTAGCCCTTTTGCCATTCCGATGGGTCACACAACAAAAGGGAGGGGGAATGAGAGTTGGAACACTTACGCAGAAGTGGTTTTCGTCCTACTCTGTCCAAGAGCAGCGCCCCAATGAAGTTGGAAATGGTCGCGACGGTGACATAGGCTGCTCCCAAAATCAAGGGCACTCCGCCGGTGAGTCCGAGATTCTGGTACAGGGATACAATGTATACTGACAAACCCCATCCCCACCCAGCATAAGAGTCAGTGCAAGCTGAGACTTTGACGCAGTGTAGCCTTGTTTTGCGTGTTTTCAAAGCCGGGCTCTCGGAAAGGCTTACCGTAGATCACCTGGGCACCCGTCGATTGTGCGGCATACTGGATGAAGAAACCCATCCAGAAGCGCTTCCGGTAGGTCTTGTTTGTGAACATGCCGCGCCATCCCCACTGCTTCCACGCGGCCGCGTCTACTCGCACCTGCTCGGTCATTTGGTAGAATTCCTCGCGCGCATATTGGAGACCTGCTTCGTCCTCGGCTGCGCCACCGTGCAGCCGCCTGACGATATTCCAGGCCTCCTCGCGTCGGTCTCGGGTGAGCACTGTTGGACCAATGTGAGCGTTCGGGGCCAGGTAGGCCATTTGTGCCCAAAAATGGTGACTTACGCCAACGAGGGGATTCCGGGATCCAGGGACCACACACGGCCAACGCAAGGGGCGGGATGATGGACAAAGAGATGGGGAATCGCCATTGGAAGGAAAGGTTCGACGAGTAATACGTGCCAGCGCCCACCCAGCCGGCAATGGCGTATCCCAAGACAATCCAGGTGCCGTGTTGGCCGACGAGAAAGCCTCGCGCGTTGGGAGGTGCTGATGTCCCCGTTAGCAGCAACACCCACTGAATCTGGTTGCGAAGGGACACGTACAGATTTCAGATTGCATGATGGGAATCAAAACTACCATCATGCCTATTCCAGTACCCGCAATGAAGCGCGAAACCAGGAACATGGCCATGTTGACGGAGCCCGTCTCGAGGGCACCGCCCACGACGTTGACGGCCGACGCCAAATACATGGTCTCCTTTCTGCCGCGGGCTTCGCACATCCAGCCCACATGCAGCGCCCCAAACAGTGCTCCTGCACAATACAGGCCATTGATGGTGCCGGTGATGGCGTTGGTGTAGTCCGAGTTGGCTTTGAGGTTGAAGTATTGGATGAAGCCGGGCTGCCCGATGGTGTTTGAGATGACGGAGAAGCCGTACCCAAAGGTAAGACTGCCCAGGGTCAGGACCAGGATGATGCGTAGGTTGTAGAAGGTGTATGTCCTAGCCATCTTGTTACACGTACTGATAGCAAAAGGAGATGGCGAGATGATTCATGAATGTTGCATCTGGGGCGACTTGTGGGGTCTCCACGCATTGATATACATTGTTTCCATCTCCATACTGGGGGTTCTCGCTAACACGCGACCACGATACTCGTCGTGGAGAGACCTTGACAGTCAAAGGTCTGACTACCACTAGGCCTTAGCCTATACCAGGCTTACCCGGTTATCCAGCCCAGATGATGGCCATTTCACCCGACCTTGTGGCGACGCAATGGTAGACAGTGTTTTTGGTGCAGGGCTTCCTATTCCAGCTGGGTCTTTACGTATTGTTTTTTTTGTAAGGCACAGGATGGCTTTTGTCACCTTATTGCGGGGGTGACAGGGAGATGAGATGCTCTGCAAGTACGAGGTACCAGATGTCGCCTCTTTCGCATTGCAGGGCGTGAGATGGTCGTGATGTCTTCATTGGAGAGACAAGCACCGACCCTTGGCAAACAAAGGGGAAAACCTGCATTGTTGGCGTCGTTGGCACCGTCGATCTTCTCTCCATCGCTTTCTCCAACTTTCACCTCAAAGGATCATTGCCGATATAATGCCATAAGGCCAGGTGCTGAGGGGTGGGAAACAGCGCATGGGTCTCTAGCGGCTGTCAATGCCGCATACGCACGATCGGTGCGAGTCGGGATCGCTGGGGATTACCCTAAACCAGAAGTCCAGGTGAGTCGTTCTTCTGCAAGATCCATCCTTGCATCCAGAGACAGGTGGAGGATGAACCGAGGGCGGGCAATGGCCACAAAAGAGGGGGAAAGGGTGGGTGGTCTTCTTGTATTCCCTCTACGGCCACAATGGACGAGATGAAGGTCTAGGGACGGACCTTTCTCCTTTGACATATCGAAGGGGTACGCTCTCTATACTACACGGGCTTTGGTGGGCTCTCTATTGAGATGCTCTCAAGGCACATCCCACCATCTCCTCATCCACGTCAGGCGGTATGAATACCAGTAGCCTGACGGTCATCTCGGCCTCGATTCCGCCCCCTTGGTCTTACCCCGACCTTTTCGTCTCGCGCCCACAATCACTATTCATAAGGAACAGCCGTCTGGCCATTTCCCGGGACCATAGCCTATGAACTGACGGACCCCCTTCTCACCCTCCTCCCAACCGCCCTTTCGCCTTTGGGGAGTTGCCGAAAAAAAAAGAACACAATGGCTCCACCCATAATGGACCAGCCGCATCAGACCTCTTCGACGCAGCGAGGGCGTCCTCGACAGCGCTCGGCCGTCGCTTGTACCTGGTGCCATGCCAGGCGTGTCAAATGCAATGCCGCGGCCAAGGGGACGCCATGTTCCAACTGCGAGGCCGGCGGGCGCCACTGCATGCTCATCGAGAGCAAAAGGGGCAAGAAGCGGAAAGTGTCGACCTCTCCCTCGGCCACTCAACGCGACCTGTCTAGTATTGCCCAGGCTTCGCCTACAGAGACAACCCCGGGCCATGGCAACGTCTACGACCCCCTCAAGGGTGTGAGGAACCAGCCCAAGAATCCCCAGGAGAGCCATAAACCTCGGACAGGGTCGACCTCAACGGGTGTCTCTGACAAACCTGATCCGGCACAAGACTCGCAGGAGACTCTGTATGCTCAGGTGCTTGACAAGGCGACCGATACCGGAATGCTGCAGCCAGATGTCAAAGAAGGCGTTGTCCATGTCATGTACATGGGGGAGACGTTCAACTTGACGCACCTGTTGCGCCAGACGAACCCGGACTCTGCACGGTCTACACGAAAGAGACACTACGTGGTCCGGTTCAATCCCAAGAACCGGACGGCCGACCCTGTAGAAGAGCAACAGGAGGAAGAGGAGGACAATGCGCTTACGTCGTTTCTCCAGCATCAAGGCTGCTTCCGCTTGCCGTCCGTCCATACTTGCTACCAGCTATTCCAGACCTATTTTGAATATGTTCATCCTCACTACCCCATCCTTGACCGCGAAGATTTTGCTGCGCAATACACTGATCTGCAGAACCCAGCGTCGTACCTGTTGCTCCAGAGCGTCCTGTTCATGGCCTCGGGACACTGCGAGCTGTCGGTCCTGCTCGAGGCCGGGTTCGAATCGAGATACCACGCGCGAAAGACTTTCTTCCAGCGCGCAAAGGCCCTGTACGACAACGACCACGAACCCAACAAGGTGACGGTCGTCCAGGCCATGTTTCTCATCAGTTTCTGGTGGAACGGGCCGACGGATCAGAAGGACACGTGGCACTGGCTGGGCATCGCCATCAGCCTCGCGCTGACGCTGGGCATGCACCGATCGACGCAACTGTCCGACATGAAACCCAGGGATCGGTGCCTGTGGAAGAAGATCTGGTGGTCACTCTTCGCCGAGGACAAGCACGCGGCGACCGCGCTGGGCCGACCGGTCCACATCCGCCGGAGAGACTGCGACGTCGAACCACTCGAGATTGGCGATTTCGACGACGAACCGCGTGTCGCGAGACCAGACATCTTCGGCCGCCCCGAACGGGTTGACGGGCTCTATGTCATCGCGTTGGTCGAGCTTTCCATGATCGCAGAGAGCATCGTCGAGAGCTCCTTTACCGCCTTCAACGCCACCACCTCGGACAATGCCGACATGTTCCAGTCGTGCTCTCAGGCACTGGAGCAGTGGCGGTCGGGACTCCCGCTTGAACTGCGCATCGAATGCACCAGCAACTGCCTGTGGACGAGCATGCTGCACATTGCACACAGGTAGGTACCTGTAACCTAGACACATTTCCCCTCTTCCTCTCTCGCGCGCGCGGATAGGATAGAATAGGATCAGAATACTTCTCCCGCCCCTAAATCTCCTGTTTCTGTTGGACTAACCATTTGTCCCGCGTGGGTGCGGGTGTTGGTGTGTGGATAGTTGGTTCGAGATCGTCACGCACCGGTCCATCTCGCCGCAGAACCTGTCGCCGCCGTCGATGAAGACGGCGCACTGCCTGGCCATGGATGCCGCGAACCGCATGGTCCGCATCGTCGAGGAACTGCTCTCGCAGTCGCACATCCTGCACTGCCCGATCCACATCGTGCCCGCGCTCTTCGCCGCCATGGGCATGCAGGCCGTCGACATCTGTTCGGGCCAGTCGATCCTCGAACAGCTGGGTGTGGTCAAGGTGCGCCTGGCCATGATCGCCTTGCGCGAGCTGCAGAGCACCTGGCCCGTCAGCGGCTGGATCTTCCGCCTCTTTGCAAAGATCGTCCGCCGCATCCGCCACGGCGACGAGCTCCTCCCCCACGAACCTGTCAATGCTTCGCCTCCCGTGCTGATGAAGATGAAGATGAATAGTCAAGATGTCGCTGCTGACAAGGGCGACAGTCCTGTACCGCAGAGCCAGGTCGTCATTGACCAGCAGCATCAAGAGCAGCACCAACAACAATCAGTGTTCACCGGCAAGGCTCAGTACGGACAAGGACAAGGTCAAGGTCAAGGTCAAGACCCAAGCCTCACACCGACGACGACGACGACAGCAGCGTACACAATATCGACCACCAATCCAGCCGGACGGTATCTCTTCGCCGAGACATCCAGCCTGGCAATGCCCGTGAGCTATCCAGCAGACTGGGGGACCATCCTCGACGACGGGGCCTGGGCTGATTTGGAGTATGAATTTTGAAAATTGAAGAGCAATAAAACACCTGAGTCGAAACATGCTCAAATTAAAAGAGCCTTGGAAGACAGACGTCTGTAGTGCGTACGATATGAGGCAACGATACCTGAGACCTGATTGTTATTGTGTCAGAATAGACACCAAAACCCGATACCCATCACAAAGACACACTCACACTCACATGAAGAGCCAATCCCGGCATCATGGGCGGGAGTTTCAACTCCTGTCTATTCCTCGATTCCCTAGTCCATTCAGCCTCTCTCCCCCTCTAGCTTTGTGCAGCTGTATAGCACAGCATTGTTCAAACAAACCGAAACGCCAGCTGCCCAAATCCTGGCAAGGAACCCAAAAAGACAACTTTTCCCTTGTCCCGTACAGCGCCCAGCGCCCACTAAATGCCCCCATTGATGGTATCCCGCACATAAATGGTAACCTGGTTGTAAATCCCAACAGCAACGTCTTTGTAAAACACGTATTGACTTTTTGTATGCTGCACTCCTCGCACAAAAGAAATTCGATCGTAATCCTAGGTCTCCCAGGTCGACTCGGTTGACCGAATCCCGCGTTCAGCATGAAACAATCTCGTCCGTCCCGGGAAGCGTCTGGCTCTGGACGTGGTCGGTAGAGGATTTCGGTATCGACAACTGATGCCCACGGTTTAGCGAGGCATGCTCAGTTATTTGCTGACCTGGCTCAATTCGCCCTCAGTCTTTTCGCAACGGAAGGATGGTGGCTCCGTTGGACTTGGGCCCTGTCTCGACCTTTCCCGTCACGACTCCCTCCAACTTGGCGGTGATTTTGGCAAAGAGTGGTTCCAGCTTCAAGTTCCAGAAGTGGCTGGCCACACCGACACAGGCAGCCATGACGACAGTCGCCAGGGCTCGCCGAAAACTTCCCGGCAACGGGTATCGCTCCATCTGATACTCTTCGCCATCTGGGGCGTGGTCGGTTACTAGCTGTTTCGCTTGGCCAAGGTGCAATGCCCACGCGAAGACGGTCCTCAGAAACATGCCGTGGATGAGGTAAATTGCAAAGCTGACCTTCCCAAGCCACAGAAGAGGTGGTCGGCTCAACATCCAACGGGCGTGAGGGGAGATGAGAATACCAAAAACAAGAAGAACTCCTCCCAGAGAGCCGTACATTCGTTCAAGAGCGCTTGTCGCTTCCGAGGGGAAATATTGTGTGGCGAAATCACGGAGCCATGCCGACCAGGATGCAGCTTCAGCAAAAGAACTAGGGTACGACATGAAGACCAGAGAAACCAAAATGACAGGCGGTGAAATGTAAGGCGAGTAAGGAGCCAATCTCTTGGGTATATCCGAGAGACTGAGTTCGCTCAGGGCAATACCCAGAAAGCAGCAGAGACCTGTCCAGGCTGCTGAGGATTAGCTTGTGCCTCATATGGAGCACTACTGGCAGGCAACTTACGATCACCAATCAACTGACTCCAGTTCAGAGACCAATACGCAAGGAAAAGCAAAGTGACTGTGCGCCAGGTAGGAGTCATGGTTACCACCAGCAATAAAGCGCTGATAATCATAATACTCCCTTGGAGTAGGTATATCAGAGCCCATTGCGGTTGATCATATTCATTTTCGTCGCCGTAAATCCAAGTCGCCCACAGAGCCCCGAGTAGGTCCAGGACTGCTTGCGGCCAGGTAGGGCTGGGCTCGGGAGTGTTGGTGTACAACCAGTATGCATCGCTCTGTGCTGACATGGAATACAGGTCCAAATTGCAAAGAAACCACGAGATGATGGTGGCAATGGTCGCCGGAAGGACAAGCCGAAAAACGCGACTGAACGACGACAAGGCTAGTTTCCGCAAGGCCTTATCGACTTGGTCTGTTCTGGCAAGTTGAATGGGCTTCAGTGCATTGACGAAACCCATGAGGATGAAAAATATGGCCACCCATGAATGACCACTGGCCACAAGGCGAAATATCGGTCGTTGGAAAAGGTATGGACTGTCGCTGAAAGGGGCACAACATGGCGGAACCAGCGCTCTCGCATAACATATCACAACATGGGAGGAAACCACAAATACTGCTGCAATGCCTCGTAGACCCTAGCTCTAATGTGTCAATAATCGTTTGTTGCTGCATTGAAATTTATCAAACGCCACCTACATCGGCCCAGCCGGTATCTTTCATGGCACGCTCTTTAACATCGGGAGGAAGCCGAAAAGAGGTCAATTGCTGAAGAGCCCGACTTGCTCTGTCCACCATGACGCTGATGATGATGATGATGAACTATGTTGAACATGGCAAAGGGACGAGAATTGCAGATGTGCGTTGTTCTTTTGCAGAAAGGCGCGCTAGAAAAGGTGCTGGTTCAGCCTCAGGCACGTTGGACGTGGGTTGTTTGACCCTAGAGTGGGTGACAGGGCTGGTTCAGGGTGTCTGTGGGCATCGACTGGTCGGATCGCCGTGTCCCTGTCCCGTGCCGCGCCAGGCGAAGGGGGCGAGGTGGTGCAAGGCCTGCAAGATGGTGGAGGTGGTGATGGAGGCGTTGGCGCAGACAGTGTTTGGGCTGTTCGCTTAGTCAGAAACTGCGCGCCTGGAGCATCTGTGCGCGGTACCAGACAGCCAACTGATGCGGTATCTGTCTCTTCTTATCTGTTTCAACTTGATCCATTCCTCTCCTCATCAAACGCTGCATGTCATTGTTATCACCGTCCCATGCCTGCAGATCTCGTCGTGACTCCCCTTGACCGCTCATGCACCCCTCGACGCGTCATCGCTTCTCCTGAGTGATGAACAACGATCAGCGCCACTTCTCTCTTGGGATTGGGAACTTGAAACACAGAAGTAAAAGACCCTTGCAGAGGGCAAGACCACGCACGCCCCACGCGTACGAGGTATCGAATACATGGAGCAGGTGCATGGGCAGAGCACACATGCCACATTACAATAATAAGGGGGAAAGTCAGACATAAATCTATGGTACAGACACTGTCGGGTCTCCAGGTTGGTAAATTCGAGGGGTATGGCATCTCTTGTGCCACCCTGCATAGAGCCATCGACAACCTCTCAAGTGTTACAGTAAAACCTCGCCATTCCCAGCACAATGGATCAGCAATCATCGTTCCCCTGGATCTTTGCAGGTAGCACGAAATCAATGGACACAACGCTAAACAGAAAATCGACATCTCCAAAGCACCACCCAGTTCCTTACAGAATCGGGGACCGTGCCTTTTGGTTTTCAAACGCCCCTCACATCCATTACGTGAATATCGCCTTTTCGAACGCGGCCACATCTCCCCCCGCGACTCTGACCGCCTTCAGTGCCGCCTCACTTAGCTTCTTTCTCTTTTCCCTCGCTTCCTGTTCTCTTCGTGCCCTGGTCTTGGAACTACCACTAGGTGCTACGTCACTCAGCAACTTTGCGGAATCCTTGGGCGTGAAGTTCACAAAATCAATCACCGCCCCTCCGCCGGTAGGCGTCTTGGGAGCTTTTGGCGTCCGAGGAGGTCGAGATGCCGATCTCGTCCGTGGCGTTGGAAGTGGATCTTGTGTGGCACTGTCCTTGATGGGCCCTGACTTGTGGATCGATTTCCGTCGGCTGTGACTGTAGTCGGTGACGCTGCGGGTTGGCGATCGCGCAGGGTTGCGTCGGGGACTGACGTTTGTTGGTGACACTGACGGCGACGGTGATCGGGATGGTGACCGTCGTTGTTTTCGAGGTGTAGTGAAAGGAGAGAGGTCAGGAAAGACGTGGGATTGAGGCGGTGGAAGAGGTGGATAAGAATACATTGGACTGGGCACCATGGTCGCAGGCGGATAAGGCAAGGCAACACCAATAGGGGCAGGGGCTGGTGGAAGGTAGGCCTGTGGCTCGTAGAGCACGGCTTGGCTCATCTGTTCCAGCTCCGGATAGTGCTCCGGATAGTGGATTCCGAGTCCTGTCAGTGAGTTATCATTTGGCTGGTGCAGAATCGGATGAGGCACCCGTTTCGGAGTGGGGGCAGCCAGTGCAGGGTAAGACTCTTCTGGTGCCAGCGTCGGTAGCGGAGGATGAGCAGTCATTGCGGGCGGTGAAAAGACAGCCTTTGAGTGCATGCTGAGGTTTGTATTCGAGGTATGCGTTCTACCCCCCTGCGAATGGGTTGAGCTACCCGATGATGGCAGGCTCGTGCTGGTTGGTGACGGCATTGAGTTTTGCCCGTGCATGCCATGTCGGTCGTGCAGAAAGAACGTGTCAGATCCATAAGACTGCTGGTCGAGTTGTGGCCTTTCATACTCTGGGCTGAGCAGCGCTGGATCAATGGCGTTGGCTTCTGCACGGCCTAGACATCTGTACTCGTCAAAATATGCATGGCCTTGGCTGGTAACGACGTGATTCTGGTTCATTATAGCTGTATTCATGTCACGGGCGAGGCGACCCTGTTCGCTCTGCTTGTTTACGGCGGGGCGTGGCTGCAATGGACGTTCATAAGGCATGCGCAGGTGGAAGTTCTGAAAGTCTTGTTGCCAATTGCTTGTATCGCCATGACCGGCGCGCGGCGATATTGGGAGTTGCGCATACATCGGGCTGGGTGACAAGGTGGTTTCGCGAGAGAAGGGAGGCCGACCATACGTGGTCGGGTCAAATGCTCCAGTAGCGGGCGAGGTGAAGAACCTCTTTGTTCGGCTGGGCGATGAAAGCTCCAGTGGCGACACGGGACCTTGCGCATGATGCAAGTTGTGGCCCATGGTGTTCATTGTTTGCATTTGTTCTGTTCGCTTTGTCTCTGCTCTGCGTGTCTTCTCCACCGCAAGCCTAGGAGGCTGTTGTCGCTGCTTCAAACACCATATGCCCTTGCGCCATGGTTGAGGAGGTGAATGCTCGACCTTCGCCGCTGAAGCATCAAGAGTAGGGAGCTTGTATTCATCTTGGTTGAAAGCGTCGGCGAAAAGGGCTTCGAATTGGTCGGGATGAGCCTTGTTTTCCTCATCACTGCCGTCCAATCTGTACATCTCCTCGTTGAAGAAGTCGTCAAAGGAATTGCCTCCATCGGGGATATTTGGAAAAAGCATCTTGAAGGGTTTGTCTTCTGCTTGGATCAAGCAGTCAGGAGAGCTTGTAAGAGACATTGGCAATCTTGGTAGACATCGTGAACGCTCGAGTTTTGTCAAAGGGATGACAGGGATGAGGGCAAGATGTACACCACACAAGGAAAGTAAACAACATTTCTGAGCACCCGGGAAACCCAGTAGCGAGGCTAGATTTGTGAGGAATGCGGCCAGAGTGGAATTCGTTGTATCCTGTGATCCGAGCGTTGACGGGATCAAGTCACCTGGAGAGAAGAGGTTGTGGAGGATTTCGAATTCTCTCAGGAAAGCCGTACTTGTGTCTTAAGCCAACTTTTGACGATATAAACATAGTGATCGATACAAAAATGTCCAGCTATTCGCTTGTGACAAGCAGTGTGGTGCTGCATATAGAATCTGGACCTCCTGGCTTTTGGTAGGTTCCTTGAAGCCCCCAATATCTCAAACCATATGTCATTCATTCTTTTCAGATCTTCACTCACCGTTCCCAAGAGTACCGACATGGTGCACTTGCGGGTTGCTAGAAATATGTATTACCGGATAGATCCAAAACCAATGCCGAACGAATATCGCACTCTTAACCATGGTCATGACATTCTTGACTTCTTACATCCAAAGAGAGCCCGGAACGAAGCCAAGGGATTCAAGTCAGGCAGGAGCATTGTGTTCGGTCGATATGGATATCACGCCATATTGCACGAGTGCAGTAGTTGGTGGTGGCAGTGGTGGCAGTGGCGGCAACAACTGCGCTGAGTCATAACTTAGATGGAGGCCACCAGCAGGGCGTCCGTTGGCGCCGGCCACCAACGTCATTGGGGGCCTGCAGGCTGATTTTGTGGGGGAGGCAAACAACACGAGGCCGACTGAGGACCGACTGAGGTGCAACCTTGGATTTATCAGCAAACCAGAATCTGTCAAGGCTGGGAAGAGAAAACATCGGAAGGCGAGTCCTTGGGAAAACTCTGGCTGACCCCCTCGGTACGGAACCCGGTAGATTGCGCAAGAGATCGAGCAATGGGCAACACAGCGTGGGTGATAAGAGGGTGGGAGGAGATAACCGCCTCCGGTATCTGGGCTCTCTAGCCGTGGCAATTGCTCACGCGGACAACGAAAATTGAGGTTTGAACCAAGAGGGGAAGCCTGCAGCAACGCGGGAGGACGCTGGCGTGGTCGAGAGTCAAGAGATTGAGTTTGATACCGGCTAAGATGCTGTCCTCCTTTCACCTGGGCGACGGCTGTTTGGTGAAATGAATCATGCCAGCGCTTCTAGTGCAGCTGAGAGGCTTCGGTTGCCTTCTGGGGGTTGCTAGCGTCCCTAGCCACCCTCCTTCTCCTTATTTTATTGGCCCGGCCACCGCTGTCCACCTTCCCCCACCTGTCCATTGCCACTCTGTCACTGCCTGCGCTCCCACGCCTGCCGCCTTCCCAACTTGCTCCTCCTACTTAAGCCGCTCCTCTCTCCTCTCCTACTCATCTTCCCTTCTTTATTACCACTCACTCCAACCTCACCCAACTTCACCCTTCCACAGGATCAACTTCCTTGCGCGATCTTTCCATCATCTCATCAACATACAACATCATCCGCTTCATCCTTCAACCCCGCAATCATGCAGATCTTCGTCAAGACACTTACTGGCAAGACCATCACGCTTGAGGTCGAGTCCAGCGACACCATCGACAATGTCAAGTCCAAGATTCAGGACAAGGAAGGCATTCCCCCGGATCAACAGCGTCTCATTTTCGCCGGCAAACAACTTGAAGATGGCCGTACCTTGAGCGACTATAACATCCAGAAGGAATCTACCCTTCACTTGGTCCTTCGTCTCCGCGGAGGCATGCAGATATTCGTTAAGACGCTTACCGGCAAGACGATCACGCTCGAGGTTGAATCGAGTGACACCATCGACAACGTCAAGAGCAAGATCCAAGACAAGGAAGGCATTCCTCCGGACCAACAACGTCTGATCTTTGCTGGCAAGCAATTGGAAGACGGCCGTACCCTCTCCGACTACAACATCCAGAAGGAATCAACCCTCCATCTCGTCCTCCGGCTTCGCGGAGGTATGCAGATATTTGTCAAGACACTTACTGGCAAGACGATTACACTGGAAGTGGAAAGCTCAGACACGATCGACAACGTCAAGTCCAAGATTCAAGACAAGGAGGGTATTCCGCCCGACCAACAGCGACTGATCTTTGCCGGCAAACAGTTGGAGGACGGACGAACACTGTCGGACTACAACATTCAGAAGGAGAGCACCCTGCACTTGGTGCTGAGACTGCGTGGAGGTCAGTAAGCAATGATAGTGGCAATTCGGGATCGATGAATCATGCGGCGTTGCGGCTTTCTATGGCGGAAAATGCCTTTGGGTTCTCTATGACATGACAGCGGACAACATACAGATAGTCCTCGGAATCAAATATTGCAGTTGGCGTAAATGCTAGCTGCAAGCTGGTTTTTGTCAACAAATGTTTCTTCTCATAATTAGATCGTGCGTGGTGATGTTGTTCATCCCTCCAGGCTGGTCATGTGACTCGTATCTCTACAACGTGGTAGGAAAATCACTACCGATCATATCAGAAGGTAGGATGACACGAAGCTTGATTTGCTTACCCTATGCGACATGGCATCGATGTCTCACAACATGATTGTTATTGCAATGAAGGGGCGGTGGAATTCATGAGCCATGAACTCCAATCCACTTCTCTTCACGATTATGTAAATCGGTCATAACGAGTGGAAGAAGTGATTCGATGCCGTCAGACTTCCTTCTTCGTGTGTTTCACTAAGTAGATTCCCTGTCTGTCTGTTTGTTTCTTGCTTCCTTTTCCCCATCCATCCATCCATCCACCCACCCTTTCATCCATGTCTGGACCTTTCACCATGTACCAATCGGTTCCAACATTGGGCCAATGATATGAGGCACGGCAGGGTCATCATGATCCTGGTGGTGCATAAACGACGCAGAGTACCAGAGGACCTGGTCCTGCTGTACAACGTCTTGGCCCGGGGTATTCATGATCTTCTGGAAGTTGGCTTGGGTGCAGTGGAGCGGGCCCGGAGGCCAATCTCCATCGATGCGCTTGCAGCCGTCATCGACCGGGGCGTCGGCCTTGACGAGCCATAGGTCGCCGACGCCGTAGCCGGTCGTGTCGCCCGCGTCGCCCTCCTTCCTGTCGGCCTTGCCTGGCATCAGCCTGTAGCCCCGGTTCGAGGCCGTGTTGACAATCTCCCAGTGTCGGTTGGTATCCTTCTTCATGTTGCCCGTGTACTTTTGCGCGATGCACTGGGCGCCGTCGCACTGGCGGACCTCGTTGTTCTTGGACGTTTCAATGTCAAAGTCGAAGCGCCAGTACGCGTGGTGATGATGCTTGACGCACACGCAGTGACGACTCTGTTGGAGCACCCCGCCGAATCCCCACCGCGGCGCGATCTTGCCATTGGCACCCAGAGTCCATTGAGAGACATATCGGTACCAGTCCGCCCACAGTTGCGACCTGATGACAACCCGGTCGTCGTAGACGTCGAACGAGACACCTCGAAAGCCCTCGTTATCGAGTCTGCCGTCGATGAACGTGGAGGATCTGCCTCCTGTGCACTCGCGGAATCCGGGCACCCCAGGAGCATCGGCACCAGGACAGTCAAATGGAAACTCTCTATCCACCCAGTCTCGATATGTAGGCCCGCAACCCGGAGACTTCTCCAGATAGTTGACGTTGAGAATCGGTAAATGTGCCTTCTTCAGCACCATTTTGTTCTTGTACCGTACGTTGTTCAATTCCACGCCAGAGCCAAGGCTCCCGGACGACGCTCCAGGTCTGACCACTTCCAAATCCCAAAGGACATTGTTTTGGAGGTCGGTGATTGTCACATGTGCCGTCCCGACCTGCCGACCTGACGCCATGACAGCCTCGTTCTCCGGTGTTCCTGAACAGCTTGGCAGTGCCTGGATGAGCTGGACTGGCGTCGCGGTCCGTGTGTACATGTTGACGTGGAACGAGCGCAGTGTATCGTTGCTGCTGTTGCCTGCTTGGATGTGAAGGATTCGAGACGTTGACCCATCAGAATTCGATTCATGTATGAGGGGTGGCATTCTGCTGAAGACGGTCGCATTGGGCCCGAACCCGGCGATTGAGGCTGCGTCGAGCAGTTCATCCTGGTTTGGAAGTGGCTGATCGTTCGTTATGTCAAGAGACGCAGCCGATAGAGGTCCAAGGGCGTCGTCGACATTCACGTAGACCGTCCTGCCATGTGCGTAATCTGCTACAACGGCTCGAAAGCTGTTGCGCTCATTCTTCTCGTTGGGTTCACGCAGATTGTCAACGTGGAGGAGCCTATGGGTTGTTCCGTTCAGGGCCTCGTTAACCTGCCCCGTCAAGGCATCACGAACTTGGCCAGAATCCAGGACTCTTGACACTGCAGTCTCAAGAGCGTTGCGATGCACCTGTGTTGTTGGAGTGCGGATGAATAGTTTCAAGGAGTGGGTGGTGGTGGTGGAAGCCAACACCGATTGCTCCTCCCAAGCAAACGCAAGGCTGAGGAGAGCCAATGCGGAGAGGAAGATATGATTCTGCAACCGTCAGTAAGTCTCTAGATGGTATTGCTTGACGCCCTGAAACTTTACCATGTTGAAAAATTGCTGGTCGGATGGTCTTGTCACCCGAGCCTTGGATGAGGGATGGCATCTAATATATAGATCTGCCTGCTGTCCACATGGACCAATTGAGATCAAAGAGCCACTCCAGTTGGCCAGCTGAGAGGACGAGTTTAGTAACGGGTTCGAGGATCAAGCACAGCAGTATGCAGCCTCTCCCGTTCGCTAACAAGTGTCCAGGATCCAAAGCGTGACTCCCACTATGGGCTCAATGCATGAAGCCCCAAGAGACCGGATTCGCTGATTCCCATGCATCCTGGAAACACAAATAGTGGCAAGCCTGGCAGGTTGCCTCGTCTAGACCCAAGGACTGTCCAATGCATGCCCGTCAACCTTCCCCAGAGCGGACAGCTGAATGTACTCACATAACAAATCTGGCCCTGCTTGCCCAGCAAGGTCCAAAGAAGGTCCGAAACGAGGAACCACATTACATTTGGATGCATGTTGCAGGGTTTTGTGTTGACGTTGATAGCGACCAGCCCGTGCAGCACTCTCTTGTGCATATACTTGTCGTGAATTTCAGCTCCTCTCGATCTAGCCACAGCCTGAAGGTGTTGCATGAGAAGCGGCGGGCCTTTGACTGCTGTATGCTGCTTGCCATCGTCACTTCATTACCTCCGATGTGCAAAAAGCCTGTTTTTCCGTCACAGATTGTGGTCTCGCAGGACGCATCTCGATAGTTTGACTAGTATGGTCGAGCCGGTGAACGATCAACTCTGGAAATGCCATGATGCAAGTTTTGCTGTCGTAGTAAAGAGAAATACGAGTTCCCCGGCCCTCCACGGACAGAGAACAGGGCCCTTCAAAGCCCAAATGCAAGAATCTCCGTCGCCTTGCAGAGTTCAGGACCCTAGAAGAAATATTTCGTGGTTGTGATTGGCTGAGAGAGGACGATCAACAGCCACGGAAGGTTGCGGTGGCGAGCTGACTAGAGGGCCTCGAACAACAACAGAGAGCAATGGACTTTTATGAAGGGAAAGCGAAAGGATGAAGAGTCGATGCCTTTCCGCCGATCTTTCAGGCTTCTCCAATACGGAGTCTGTGGCGGCGAGCTGAATAATGAGTCCAGAACCTCAAAGGAGAAAAGCGAGGCTGTTTACGTATGGAAGGAGGGGTTGAGGTGTGCTTTGAGGAACCTACATATCAAGCTTATCCCAATCCGAGCTCTCAGCCAGCCACTAAATCCTCCGGGGGTTGACATACCATTTATCTTTGGACCTGTCCTCCGTACCGAGTAGGGAAGTTCCATCTCCACCCCCGTCCACTATCATAGTCAGGCTTCTTTTCCCCTCTCTGGATTAGCTCACTTGATATACAGGAACTTCGACCTCAACAATAAATGTCTGTAACAGCTGGATGTGTCTCTCGGGGGGCAGCGGCCGCAGTCTTTCCATTGACTTTGTCCACAAACCAGACGATCACAGCCAGGATCAGCAGGGATCTTCTTTCTCAAGCCTTGTGTAACCCCAGTCTGTTGGGACCACGCGACTATATCCATCTTCTGGAGGATGGTGCCATGTGATTGGCTCGACGGTGGGCACGTTGTCTCGGGGTAGAACAAGGGAGATTGAAGAGATCGAGGGTAGGGGTAGGATCCAGGTTTACAGATGAATCGTGGTAGCATCAGCTTCGTAGCAACGACCAAGGCAGGCCATATCTCCCAGGGCTGATCGACTAATTGATGATGGATCAGTTGATGAAGCGGCAACAAGGTTCGTCAGCGCAGGCACTAAACATCAATCTCTTCCTCAGATCCAATCATTCGCTTCATACTCACTTCTATGGATTTGGACTCTCAACCGGTCAATGTGTATGTTCTCTTCTATCTCAGGGTGAAGGAGACAAGACTTGGATCACACTGACTTTACACAGTTTACTACAGTTACCTATCGTCCTCTTTTTATTCGTTTGATGCATTCCCTTCGCCATCGATTCCTGTCTTGGCTCGGTCGTCCTATTCCCTCCGACCTTATCCCACATCAAACTAGTCTGTCTAATGACCTAGGAGGGTACATTCTCCTCGAATATATTGACGAAACAAGGGGAAAGATACTGTCAATTACCTGGGAGTCAGGTCGGATGAATGAAACACTCAGAAACAACTTATTCCGCAGCCTCTCACAGATCATACTAGCAATGACGCGAGTTCATTTCCCTCGGATCGGATCATTACTCATTGATGATCGGGGTTTTATCCGCCTAGAGAACCGACCACTCGCTCTTCCCATACCCGATCTAGAGAATGACGAAGTCCCTCTTGATATCACGAGGAGCCAGACATACTACACTGTCGACGCTTATGTCGACGCTCTACTGTCTTGCCATGACAGCCGTCTACAATATCCGCTTAACGCGGTTAATGGCCATGGGGACTGTGTCAGTCAGATGTGCGCCATGGTGCTTATGCGCGCTTTACGTCACAAGTTCTTTCAGGCGAAGCTCAACCACGGCCCTTTTACTCCTGTTCATACTGATCTACATGCCTCCAACATCCTTGTGGACGATCATTGGAATGTCACTTGTTTCATTGATTTGGAATGGACTGCAGTTCTTCCACTTGAATTCATACAACCTCCCCACTGGTTGACTGCCAAGGCCGTGGACGAAATTGACGTTGACGAGTACAACAAAGTTCGGGAAGATTTCATGGAAATCTTTGAAGGGGAAGAACGACGGGTTGGTCGTCAAAACGATAACGTTCGTTGCTCGGCTATTATGAATGCGACGTGGAAACTGGGCACCTTCTGGTATGTGCTTGCCTTGCAAAGCCCGACCGGTCTCCACTCACTCCTGTACGACCGGATCCAATCACGCTTTCATGAAATGGATGAGAGCAAAACTGAGTTTTATATATCGATTTACCCCTTCTGGACAGAAAACGCGAATGATTTCATCAGAAAGAAGGTTCGAGACAAAGCTGTTTACGACAAGAAACTATGGGAAGTTTTCAATCCAGACCAAAATTGCTCCCTTGAGCAGGCCGCATGATTGAAGCAGAATTTCGCGGACACCGCACATGTCAAATGCTTCACTTTGTCCCTGCTTGCCCTTGATCCTCGGTGCTAGCTTCACTCGACTTTGTTTCGTCCTCCGGAACTAGTTTCTGGATAGCTTTATCCAGTTCCATTTTGGCTTTCTGTGTTCTTTAGTCTATCGATGCTTTCGCGGAAGACGAAAGTTGGGCGAGCGATTTTGCATCTGTTTCTATTGCAATGCCAGCTGTTTCGACGACAGGATTGAGATAATTGTCTGAATTCACCGAGGCGGTAGAATTTCTGTCCGTCATTGGAACCGGTGAGCTTGATTCGGGTGAGCCTTAGAAGAATACTCGGATCTCAGAGAGTTTTCTTACCTTGCACACTTGAGGGTCTTGACTTGATTTAGCTTTGAAGCGTTGAGATTGCCTTGGAGGAAACCAGGCTGAGAACATGCTACGAAAAGAAAGAGACGAGCGTTGGGGCTGGACCCCTTCATAAAGTTGTCATTACATGTCCCGACCAGTGAGCCTGTCTGCACTCGAGTTCTCATGAACCCTGCGATCTGTTGCGAGGACCTGTCTTCTGATGTGTTGGGCGTCGAGTGACGGCGGCTTCCCTTCCCATCCAGGTGTTCAAACCGGACAAAGGATCCTGACCGTGCATTTAGGCACCCATTGTGTAACCATCTGGGTCATCATGCAGACGAACCCAAAAGTACTGAAGTGCTTGTCACACTCTTTGTACCTCGTATATACTGGGCGTTGTATCGAGATGTTCCCCACCGAAAGCTGTGGGATTGGACGGGGAGGTTAGCTTTAACTAGACCATTTGAAGTAAGCGCGCAAACATTCAAAGCGGCACGAAGTTGCACGTGAACTCAGAACAAGAAACCGAGTCGTGTTAGTAGTAGTACATATCATGTGGCCCTCTCTCTCTCCATGCAATCGTTTCGCATTTGAAAAATACCTTGTCAGTGCACTTATTCCTTCTGTCCAGGTTTTCAAAGAGAGTCCGTTCCTCTCCTTGGTGCCTAGAAATGACCGCGCCTGGTTTGCCACTTCTGGAACCTTGTTGCATGTGGTCCATGAATGGTCTCGCCTTCTAATGACTGGCAGCGACTCTGGATTTGCGCCGTGATCTTTGTCTTAATGCGTGCGCGACATGCCTGACTACTTCTTTCATGTCGCTGTTGAATTATTTACAGACCCCACCTTCAAAGCGAAGCAAACTGACCAACACCAGCCTCCGACCCTGTCGTCCTTTTTCAGAGCCTTAAAGCCCTTCACGAACTCTGGAGGAAGACGCGACTCCCGAGATCCTCTTTTTGACCGCAAGAAAGAACACCTCCTCTCAAGCCGTACTCGCCCACAACAACCAGCGCAGTCGGAACAGACTCCTCGTGACATCTGCCACTCCGATCCCAAGGATCACCGTCTAGACACAATCATCCTTGAAAGTACAGATATGTCGGAATTTTCTGGCGGGAATGAGGAGGGTTCGGTCGCCAGCGAAAACATAATAGGAAAGGGGATTGGTAGCGTGATGTCGGGCCATCACATGAAAGGACGATACGAACCCTTGGAAAGCCATGATAGCGCAGATGGATGGGGTATTGTTCACCTCTACAGAGATGCGGAAGAGACAGCAGGGCTATACAAGGACTCGGTTTACCGGTCAAGCGACCTCTGGAGCGACGGCCTGCGCAACCCGCCGTCAGGGAAACCACACCCTCCGCCAAAAGACGAGGAATGCACAACTCTGTGCATCCTTGCGGTTCCATCATACATGACGCCTTCGGACTTCCTCTCGTGGGTTGGTGAGGATACGAGAAGGGAAGTCAGCCATTTCAGAATGGTGCGCACCTCAAGAGCGAACCGCTACATGGTCCTCATGAAGTTTAGACACGGCAAGAAGGCAAGAGAGTGGCAGCACGAATGGAACGGTAAGGTTTTCAATAGCATGGAGGTGAGTGGCCTGTGCCAGCTGCTTGAAAGAGATATTGACTAGCCTGCAGCCAGAGACGTGTCACGTCGTGTTTCTTAAGTCGGTGGAATTGATTCAAACTTCATCATCCGCGGACCAGAGCATGGGGCCCAGCTCACCTACGACAAGCTATCCTCGCATGTCCAATGATCCTTTCATCCCAGCCTCTGCGACAACAAAGCCACTTGCACCACGAACCCCGTCGCTTGTGGAACTGCCTACTTGTCCGGTCTGCCTTGAACGCATGGATGAAACCACTGGGCTTTTGACCATTCCTTGCCAACACGTTTTCCATTGCACGTGCTTAGAGAAATGGTCTGGCGGTGGCTGTCCTGTGTGTCGGTACACCCATGACGACTTCTCATCACGACTAGCCTCATCCAAATTCAAGAGCAAAACATCTACAGGCGAGTACGAACCATATGATGGCCCGCTAGAGTGTGAGGTCTGCCATGTGGATACAAGCCTTTGGCAATGTCTCATATGTGGGAAGATTGGGTGTGGCAGGTACGAAGGCAAACACGCATACGCACATTTTGAAGAGAGTGGACACACATTCAGTATGGACCTCGAGAGCAAGCGGGTCTGGGACTATGCGGGCGACGGCTATGTTCATCGGATCATCCAAGACGCGGCGAAACCAGGTGAGAAGTTGGTTGAGCTTCCAGGCAGACGACGTGAGCCGACTGCTCTTCAGGGAGAGGAGGATCTCGAGGTTGCAAAAATGGACAATATTGCACTGGAGTACACACACTTGCTCACAAGCCAGCTGGAAAGTCAGAGGGTTTATTTTGAGGAAGTCGTCCAGAGAGCTGTGGACAAAGCCTCGGAAGCAACCAAGAAAGCAGACAGAGCGATAGAGGAGAGTCGCCTCGCTACTGAGAGACTGTCTACGCTAGAAAGCGAACATGACTTTGTCGCCAAAGGTCTTGTCCCAGAGCTGGAAAAGGAAAAAGCACGACTCGAAAAACGAAGTGCCAAGTTTGAAGAAATGGCCAGAACCATCAACCAAAAATACCAAGAAGAGAAAGCGTTGACAAAGTCACTGATGCAGAGGATTGAGCACTACGAGACTTCACAGGAGACCCAAGTGGAAAAGCTGAAGCAGACGATACAGAAACTTGAGGAAGAAAATGCCACAAAAGACTTGCTAATGGAGGGGCTGAGGGACGAACACCGCGATGCGATGATGCAGATCTCCGCCCAGAGAAAGTTGCAGGAAATGGTGGAGAAAGGGGAGCTGGAGCAAGAGGATCTGGAGGGCGCTGTCATCGAGGCCGGGCCCGCTCCAGCTCCGAAGAGAATCTTGCGCGGAGGGAAAGGAAGGAGAGTCTTGAACAGTCCAAGCCAGCGCCTTAACGTTTCCAAAGACCTACCTCAACAGCAGGCGGCAACCACCTCCAAACAACAAGTATCCTCTGCCTCCAGAGATACCCCTGAGGAAGCTCCTTCTATCTACAACGACATTTTCGGCGAAAGTTCTCGAAGCCAAGACTGGGACGAAGAGAAGGCGAAGAAGATCCTCGACGAGTGTAGGGCAAAACTGCTCGGGGAGGGTCTACTCGTCCCATCCGCGCCGACTTCGACCTCCGCGCACGTCGAGACCGAAGGCAGTAGTGACGCCGAGCCTGACGGCGAGGGGGGCGGTGATGAAGCAAAGCCCAAAGGGACTGCCACGAGGAAGAAGAAGGGAAAGAGAAAAGCCAAAAAGTGAGGGCAAGGATGAAGCCCGGACTAGGCTCTGCTGGTGGATAACGGTGATGTGTACTTCATCCAGCATACACTCTCAAAGGTCCCTCTTCCACAGGAATACCTCTGTCGACGAAGCATCCTAGGGACGTGATACATCTTGGCTATCTGGCTAGCGGTCTCTTGAGGAACCCCAAAAATTGTACAACACAAGTGGCGAGAGTTTCTAGATTTGATAATTGGATACCCTTTTGTGTATCACCCACCGATTCTCATCCCTCTTCTTGGGTAAATAAATGTACATGAGATTCCTCCTTCGTTGAGAGACATCCGAGATATCTCTTGCCTTCCTTCGCAGTGACATCTTTTGTTTTACAGCGGAACAGTGTTGGTTAGCAGGATGGTACAGTGTATGATTTGTTCTTCGTCGGCGTTTTGACGTCGTGTTGATATGTACCTCGTAGTGGTGTCTATGTTGTTGGTGGTCACAGGTCACAGGTCACAGATCACAAGATATGGATTGTGCGTTGTACGGGGGCGAGGATTGAATGGGAGTGTCATCCCGCTCAGGTTGCTGGTCGAATGGGATCGAGCTTGTGTGTGTGTGTGTGTGTGTGCGTGAGTCGTGTTGATACAGTCGGAGCCAGGATATGTCGTTGACTTGACTCTTCGGACGTAGCGGACAGGATTGGTCATGGACCACAGAGTAGAAGTCATTCGAATAGTTATTGGAGGGAGGTCCCGATAACCCCAGATCAAAGCCCCCCAAAAAGACGAGGGTTCGTTTCTTCCTTTATTTTCATTCCAGCTTCTGCACCCCGAAAAAATAATTCCCAAACTCCTCGCTGCCCTGGATAAACCGCCATCCCAGAGCGGGGACGTAGACGACCCCCTGTGTGACGAATTCTCCCCACCGTCCCGGTGCCCTTCCGGACTCGAGATATCCCTTCAGCTCCGGCGGGTTGATGTACTTGTTCCAGTCGTGTGTGCCGCGCGGCACCACGCCTATCAAGGGTGCTTCGGCGATGAGTTTCGTCGTGAGGTAGGCGATGGGCGAGCGCGAGATGGTCGATCCGATGAGCCACCCGCCCGGTTTCAGGTGGGGGATGGCGATTTCGAGAAAGGACGAGGGCGAGTCGATGTGTTCGAGAACCTCGAATAGGGTCAATACATCGTATTTTGCTTCGTCATTGGCTGGTGCGGGGAGGTCTTCGATCGCGCAGTTGAGATACTCGAGCTTCCCTGGAGCGGCGAGGCTAGGGTCGGACCGCTGATTCTCCTTTGCGATCTGTATGACATTAGCCGTTGGGTCGATGGCTGTTACGCGCGAAGTCGTGGGGAGGCGAGCGGCGGAAGAGGCAAAGATGCCTCCGCCACAGCCAACGTCCAGATATGAATATCTCTTCTCGCTCTCATTCTCGGTATCGTGCTCAAAGGTGTCCGAGGAAGACCTTTGCAAGCACGAGCGGATAAAGTCGTGACGGAGAGGGTTCATCAGATGGAGTAGGCGAGAAGGACCGTGAGGATCCCACCATGAGGAGGCGAGGCGGGAGAAGTGTGTGACTTCGGAGGCAGAGACGGAGGATACTGTGCTCGCATTTCCTGCGGTAGAGGAGTGAAAGCGGCGGCACCGTGGGTTTGTACTTTGTGCCCTTGCTCTTTCCCGCATTAGTCTCTGTGAGCATAACCTTGCCATCCGAGGTGTTTGTAGGGCGTCAATCGAGCATGTTACCGCGCCTTTTGTCGCATGTTGGAGGGGTCCAAGTGCAGTGGCAGCCATGGCCTTGCGCCAACGAGTGTTCAATTGGATGCGTATCTCGAGTCACGGTGTTGAGGAGTGGCACAGCGGATCCGGCCGCTAACGAAGCTCGACATTATCTCCAAGTATCAGCATTTTCTTGACTGGAGTGGGTGGTATTCCTTGTGCAGCGTGGGCAGCCTCGAAAATCATTCAAATGTCAATCAACGTCGAGCTGGGGAAATGGAGTGGAGCCTTGCATGTGACCGCCACCAATCAAAGAAAGTCACCACCGGAGCCTCAGCAGTCAGTACAACATTCCTCAGATCTCAATTCACCATGAACAACATCCACTGCCTAGTGGAGTGTCATGCTCACACGTCTGAAGCATGAGGTTCTTCTAGCTCTCTAGGAAATGTCAGAGACCCTACAGAAGCCTCATTGTCCTCCCCTCGCATTCACACGAAACCAGAAGGGCGTAATGCAAATGCTTGCACTCATAGAGTGACATCGGTCTCCAGGGCACAAAAGATCAGAGATAACAATGTCCGACAGATTTTTTGAGGGTACCAGGTGCGAGTCTCTCACGACCTCTACTGAACGGAGAGATCATACGACAGTGCGAAAGGCCGTCGAACCGCCGTTCGCGACCCACCACTTTCCTACGAGCGAACAAGTTGACTCTCGAAGGCAACGTCGCTAAATGGGCCATTGGTATACAGCGAACATAAAAGATTCAGGATGAGAAGGAATGTATCTGGGTTCGGGATCTATTATTTCGCGCATGAGCAGGACCCGAAGAGAACCTCGAGTTCAGCTCTACTCGTCACAGTATCGAACAAGGACACAAAGCGATCAAGGAACAAACTCTCGCCCAACAGGTAGTCGAAGTCAGCCGGAATATTGGAAACCCAAGGAAATAGTCGGATATACAAGTACTCGGTACAAGCACGGACTCTAGCTAGAGCATCCCGTTTAGCCAAGGTCTCGTCTGCATGTTCTCTCGGCAGAAGACAATTTAACCGGATACTTTCGGCATTTTGACTGATGCTGACTCCCCGCATGCTCAACCCCGGGAAACTCGGTAATGCGAATTGTGCAAATACAAAGATATTGCGGGCAGTGTACCCGGCAAAGTCTTTCACAACCGTCGTCTTCTTCACAGTAAGCAAAAGCTTTTCGGCAGCCACTTATGGCAGAAATAACCGCGCCGACGAGCCGCCAGATCAGGCGGAGAGCCAATCTGGTGTGTATACGATGCCACCAGAAGAAGGTGGGTTCGACGCTGCGCTTTGATCTCTTCCATACGGGCGCTATGAATGTTTGACACGCGAGTGACCGGTATCAGATCAAGTGTGACCTCAGCTCGCTCACGACCGACCGCGAATGCAGCAATTGTCGGGCGACCAACTCCAGTTGCTAGTAGGTTTCAATTGCTTGGTCGCTGTCGAGATCTCCTTACTTAGAACACTACAGTGCTCGACAATCCCGACGCCGGGGTGCTCACCACCGTTTGAGTGCCAGCTCTTCTGGCATTCCACCATCCGCTACTGAAGATACTGTTGCAGGCACCCCTTTAGATCGAGCCAGCTATACGCCGGCCGATCTGCCCGAGAATGTGTTCAAAGATGGTCAAGCGGGAGATATCAGAGTGGGCCAGTCCTTCGTGAGGAAGGCAGATGATGGTGTTAGCGAGCGATACGGCGCAGAATCCCTTGGCTCTAGACCAGCTGCAGTGCCTGAAGCTCATCAAAGTCATCGCGAGCGAAGCTATTTGGGACAGTCAGGGTTCATGTCCATGTTCGACCATCCATCTCGGGATGACTCTGATCAGAGTATCAGCCCGTTAATAACACCGCGTCATCCCATCCCTGAACTGTCTCTCGTTCTGCGACAGAGCTATGCTGAGACGTTTGTGGAGTATTGCTACCCCTGGTGTCCGGTCCTACACCGTGCAGACCTTCTTGACGATCGATCCCCCTTTGCACGATCCTTACTTCTGCAACAAGCCCTAGGGCTCTTAGGGACCACAATCAATCCTCCAAGACTTTCACATCAAGCTCGTCGTGTCCACTATGAGAGATTCAAGGTACTGTTCCATGGCAACACGGAACGCAATCCGTTGGTCAGGATCGTCGCGATCATCCTAACGTACTGGTGGAGCGCTGGCCCGCCCAGTGTTGTCAGTATGGATAGTCAATACTGGTGGACATCCATAGCAATCCGACTGGCTCAGGAAATTGGCCTCCATCGTGAGGCAACCCCGGGACAATCGATGCGACTGGGTGAAACAATAACCCTGAGACGATGTATCTGGTGGACACTATTTGTAAGTCCTTTCGGTTTCTGTTCCCGGCCTTACTGATCCCCTCGTAGTCAAGAGAACGCTTGACGTCGGTGTGTCAAGGACGCCCGTGCATCATCCACTCCGAGGATACCAATGTCAAACTCCCAAGTCTAGATGAGTTCCCTAGCGATCGGCGAGATCAGGCCGAAATCTTTGTATCCTGGGTTCAGGTCTGCGAGATCATCGGTGACCTGTCCAAGCACTTGCGTAATCGCAGCGACGCAAATGGATCTACCTTTGAGCTTGCTCAGAGGCTTATCAAATGGGCGAATGCATTACCGCCACGCTTGAGGCTGCCATTCAGCACTGCGACGACCTCCCATTTCGACCGCAACGTCCACCAGCTCCATCTGCCTTATCTGTCTGCCATCACTCTCCTCTACATGAGTGCTTCGACGCAACCACTCCCCAAAGCATATGGTGCGGCCGTTCTCTCCGCTTCCTGCGTCGCGCGTATCTTCGAAGACCTCTTGGCTCGCGGGTCGATTGCATTTCTCCCAGGCGTAGCTGGTTGGTACATCAGTATCGCCATCCTAGCCCTCCTACATGCACGTCGCATAGAGCCTCTCAAAGCAGCCGCGAACGCACAAATCGACATTCTATTCCTTGCTCTAAGGGAGATGTCTCAATTGTGGCACTCCTCTCGGATGTTTTTGTTGGGGTTTGAGAAGCTATTAACCGGCCTCAACCCGGACACAACGACACCTTCGTCCCAGATATTAGGCAGCCAGCCGGCCCAGGCGCTGGAATTAAACGAGTTGAACATTGCGGATGGCATCGACTATCACGATTTCTTCCCTGGCGCGACACCCGAGACGACGCAGCTCTTCTCTGTTCTCTTTAACCATCACCCGCCTTCCATTTTTGTGGAGGCAGAATGGACCAACGACCTCAGCTTGCAACTCCAAACCATGTTCGGTCATCCGTACGATGAGCTGGATTTCGGACTTGCTGTGAATGACATTTGAATTTCTATTCCAGATCCATGCCGGCATGAAGCCGCAAGAGGTCCCGACTCACTGCAAGTTGAAGAGAACACGTACATTGAACAAATGGGCGCGAAGTTGAAGCCGGGAATGGACGCCAACATAGAACGCCCTGCAACGCGCATTGAGTTTCCGGTCAGAGTCAGTGACCTTGAACATGACCCAGGAAGATTCTTGGGTTAAGTTATACGGGCGTCAAACGTCAGAGCTTGGACACATCGAACAGCGCGACGACATCTGATGATCTGCCAGCCAATACTTGCAGCCCTCGCACAGACTAAGGCTAAGATTCTCTGGGGAAGATCCGAGTGATGAACATTAGGGATAGCCTCAGTATGTAACTACTGCCACAAAAGTCGCTCTCGCCGGATTTTTATCCCATACTGATGATGAGAGAGCTCTTGAATCTTCATGGTAAATACGCTTCTGCTCCGATGGCAACAATCTGCTCCTCGCTCAGAGACCGGTGCCAATGTGAACACAGCACTTGTCGATCTTTGGGCAGATGGACGTCGTTCTGCAGTGTTTGATAAATTTCTCGGAACGCTTTGTGTTCACAGCCACCCCAGAAGACTACCCGGGCTCAGGTCCGACGGCCACGGTACCGACTTCACAGCGCCTGAGTTTGTCGACTGAAAGAGTTGGTTCTGTTCGGCGTACGCCCTGTGGTTCGTCGGCGGTGGCTTGATCTACCACTACCGGGGTGGCACAAGCTCAACCTCACAAGCGGAGGGATTTCAACGAGCCGTGGAAGTGATAAGGCCAAGGTCAAGGTCGGACGCTTAACAGAGTAACAAACTCCATCCATTATTAGGGCGAATACAGGTCTCACGTTAAAGCTGGCGAGGCCTGGCTAGGCAAAGCCTAGTCCAGAGATATACATGGCAAAGGATCCAGCACGAATCGCCGATACCAATTTCCCTCTACGGTCTTGTCCTGACCACGGTCAGTCGGTCGGTCGGTCGGCCACCGCCCTCTGGCTGCCCTTAGTACTATAAATATTAACACTAGGCAATGGGTAAACGTGGGCTGAAGCCTTATCCGGAACCACTCTTCCTGTCGGCGTCCAGCGCCGCATAGACGTCTGCCATGCCCTCTTCCTTCCTGCTGGTGAAGGCATGGGGACCAGGCCCCGGGTCGTTCAGCAACGACACCTCCCTCCAGCGGTCCGGGTGGGTGACCTCGAGCACGGTCCCCGGCGGGAAGCGGTCGCGGTCAAAGGCGACGGCCATCATGCCGCGGGCGATCTCGTCGGGGGTCGACAGCTTGTCCTTGTCCGGGTCCACGAACCGCAGGGCCTCCGGGTGGTCGTACATGAGCGGGGACATGGTCGGGCCCGGCGCGACAGCGACGACGCGGATGCCCTCGAGGTCCTGCAGCCGCGCCATGCCGCGCGTGAAGTTGCTGACGCCCTGCTTGGCCGCCCCGTACAGCGGCGTCAGCATGCTGGGTTTCTGCGCGCCCGTGCTCGACACGTGCACGATGGTTGCCCCCCGCTTCCGTTGCTGCACCCACTTGCGGATCGCGATGCGCGACATCTTGAGCGGGTGCTCCAGATTGATCCGAAGCAGCTGGTAGTGGTCGTCGTCGCGGTCGTTCCAGAAGTTGTTGAACGACGGCTCGTACACCCCGGCCCCGGGACACACCACGTCCGGCACACCGCCACCAAATTCGCTGGCATAGCCCTCAAACGTCTGCTCCAGCTGCTTCCAGTCCGAGACGTCGGTCTTGAGGAACGCGACACGCGGCGAAGCAGAAGAAGACTGTCCGGTTTTGGTATTGGTAGAAGTGGTGCCGCCACTCTGGCCGATCGAGTCCAGCCACGCCACCGCCTCGCGATGGAGGCCGAGGTCGCAGATCAGGACGTTACATCCTGCGCGGTACAGGTGCTGGACGAAAGCCAGACAGATTCCTGTCGATACGTTAGAATGCCACACTTGATCGTAGTGGATGGATCGAGGGGGAATGTGTGTTTTAGTGTATTTGATACATACCTGATCCACCACCCGTAACAATCGCCCCTTTTCCTCCGAGATCAACCCGAACCTGGCTCTGACTCTGACTCTGGTCCTGGACTTGCGCCATCTCGTTTTCTGAGAGACAGACGGTTTTTTTTTTTTTTCTTCCCTCGTCTTGATATCTTTTGTCTCCGTTAACTCGGCTAAGTACTGGGTATGGACCACCCACTGAGGCACTTGCTCGATCACTCGTTCGCTCGCTGGCTCGGTCACCAACAGACTGACTGACCGGCTGAATGACTGACTGACTATAGTCGACTTACCCACACACAGACACACCCGAGTAAAGTCTCGAGTAACGGACAGAGTCTAGTCAGTCCACTCCGACTTATTCTGAGGGTTGTGTAGTCTCCACTCGGAGAGACCCGACACGTCAGATGTGTAACTGATTATCCTGTACACAGTACGTACAGGAGGTAGGTGGATGATGTACGACGCCTATATACTTTTTTGCGTGTTAAATGGTGTCTGTCGGTCGGCTATGAGGGACTGCCGCACGCTTCGGCTTGGGCTTGGACTTGTAGCTGCGAAATTCCCCCGCAACTCGGGTAAATCGAATGGCGTGTGGAGAAGCAGGCGAGCAAGCGGACACTCAAGCGGATAGACAACGTCGATAGACAAGTGTCTTAATCGTGAACCTTTAGGTGTGTTTTAACCAGCCAGGTCGGCTACGAAAGGAAAAAAAGCCACATCATGTGTTGTATCCGTGTCTTTGCCGAAGCCGGCGCTTCTTGGATCGGCATTACATTGTGTCGCATTGCAATTGTATAGCGTTGCGCGATAACGAGGTACTCGATGATCAGAGTAAAGATAGATAGGCTCGAGTGGGCAACCTCGATTGAAGTACTCAAATCCTGGTCAGCAACGACTGACCGAGTGACTGATTGACTGACCCTGACCCTGACCCTAACTCTAAGGAGACTTGGGGAGAACGACGCAAAAGGTACATTTTTGAGACCATGACTCCTATCGAGGCAGGTCGGGTCGATTCATAGAATAATCTGTGCTAGCACAAGATATCCCCCCCTCCGAGGATTGCTCGCTGGGCCCAAGAAGACGAAAATGTCGAGAGTTGGAAACAAATCGGATAAGCCTGGACAGTAGGCTCGATGGACGATAAACCACCAGCACTTCCGGACGATTAATCTGACGGTCCACTGCATCCGACAACGCTCAGACCAGCCTACAGCGTATACCTAAACGACGGGCTCTTGTCGCCGAGGTCTGCAAGCTGCTCGTCCGTCAAACCCTCCGCGGCTCCACTGCGCTCTCTCTTCTTGTTGATGACTCCGTACGAGATCCGCAAAGCAATGATGGCCACCAGGCCAAAGACGACAAACATGATCTCCAGACCGTGCCCAAGCAGATACTTGGGCGCGTCGACGCTGCGATAAAAGTTGCTCGCCATGGCCCCTCCGAGATTGCCGAGGCCGATCTGTAGAGCCATCCCGACGCTTCGTTTGTAGCTCCCCGCGAGGTTGTTGGCGATCCAGGTGACGTTGCCCGGAAAAGCGGGGTAGATTCCACAGGTCGCAATGAACACGCCGGCATACACCACGCCAGGGATATCTCCAGCAGCGGAACCTGCGATGGCGATGACGAAGCCAACCAGAATGGCGCACACGGGGAAGAAGATGTAGGGCCAGCGTGAGGCTCCTCTCTTGGTGGCTCTATCCGAAGCCCATCCGACGATGACGGCCAGAATTGCAGCTGTGATATAGATCGGAACCGTCAAAAGCTGTGCTGTCGCCGACGTGTAGCCAAGCTCCTTGATGATTGTCGGCAGGAAGAAAGAGATGCCATACAAGGGTACGACGATAGACCAATACATGAAAAGAGACAGGTATATTTGCCAATCCGTGAGAGCTGTGCCAAGGTTAGCTGTATTCTGAATAGTCAATCGGGAAACGAGACCACGAGGCTGAGCTCACGAGGCTGAACCAACAAGGTTCAGCGCTAACCTCATTGGTAGTAGAAAGAAAAGGGTATCCACTTGCCTCTGATGACGTATTTCCATTCAAAATGCTCGCTCTCAGCGACCATTCTTCCGCTCTTCTTGCTCCCTTGGTACTTGAGTCGATGCACAACCCATGCCCTCTCCTCGGTCGTCAGGAAGCTTGCGGTGTCGGGGAAGTCGTGCAAGAGAAAGAAAGCTGCGACCGCAACGACAACAGTTGCGATGCCCTCGAGAATGAAGATCCAGCGCCAGCCTGCTTCGCCAGCGACGCCGTCCATTTTGGCGATGGCGAACGCAAGTAAGCCTGAAAAGGCGCCGGCCACGCTGGCGGCGCTGAAGAAGAGGCTCTGGCGGAAAGCCAGTTCTTCGGTGCAATACCCTGGAAGGCGCTGTCAGCATTGCATGTCCTGAATAAAGATGGCCAAAGGCTGACCACAGAAGAGGTTACTCACACATTGTCAGATAGTATGCAACACCAGGATAGAGGCCAGCTTCGGCGACACCGAGGAATATACGAGCAATGAGAAGGCCGTGGTAGCTTTGAACAAGACCCATCAAGGTCATGACCGTGCCTAGCTTTGTCAGCTTGATGATCTGTCTGTTAACGCTGCAAAAGACGTACCCCACGCTACCATGATGGATGGCAACCAAACGGAAGGCCTGAGGCGCTTCAAAAGCAAGTTTGAGGGGATCTCAAATGCACAGTATGTGAAGAACTAGTGACGATCGGCATTAGTCTGTGGCTGTACTGGCACGGGATCAAAACTCACAAAGACCGTCGCGCAAAGGCTGTATTCTGGGCCGGAAAGACTCAGGTCAGCCTCCATGCCTTCGATCTTCGCGTTGCCAATGTTGCCTCGGTCGAGAAAAGACAGCAGGTATAGGATCGCCAGCATGGGTATCAGGCGCAAATCCATTTTCCGTAGGACCTTCTTGGGGTCGACGTGTGAGGTGTCCACCCCCTCGCCAGTCCAATTTGGGTCATGGTGCTTTGATTTCTATATCGGCAAGGAGGTGTTAGCTAACAACGAGCAGGTGGAAGCTCAAGGTCTTCGATTACATACAGCATGCTCATACACCACGTCCTTCTCGTGGATCGATGGCTTCTCCACATGCTCTTCGGACCATTTCTGGGGCGTCGCGGAATCAGTCTCAGCCATGATGAACTGTAGTGCTGGCTTATGAAATTTGTTGTAGCCTCAGTGACTGTGTGACAGGACAGACCGAGGATGGAGGTGTTGATCTCGAGGAAACGGCTCCAAATTTATAGATACGTCAACACTGTCCAAGATCAAACCGTTGCGTGTGAGCCTCTGACATGTGCCCAGGCCCCCGGAAGCGAAGGACCCTGCCAATCGCCAACTCCACGTTTCTCCGCGTGCTTGTAGGAGATATACCCCTCTGGGGGTAACCCTAGCGGGAGCGAATACCTTGGCGGAAGACTCTCACTGGCGGGGAATGGAGCCCAAAAGACCGGACCCGAAGGCCTTCGCTAAAGAAGGGATTGTCATTGGCTGGATAGCTCAAATCTGACGCCCCAACGTGGTGTTATTGCCTTCAGCCAACGGATAAGCTCCCGCACAAGGTTGTTTTCGGATCCGGATGCAACATCAGGGGGAGAGGCAGCCTTCTGCATCCAAACCGCAAAGGGACATCTTTCGCGTAGCAGCCCGCACTCGAACGTTGGAAAAAAATACACAATTTGCCATCGGACAAATGGCTGTGTAGAGAACTATTGCTGATTAGAACCAGTGGGTAAATATTCCAGACATGAGGATCTCCTTACCCACAGTAATGCATTGTCACTTTGGACGGCCAATTGTTTCACTTGCCACTTCTGAAAAGACCGAGCCAGAATGTCCAGACACTGTTACCTTGTATCAGCCTCAGCAATCCGTGGTGGTCGGATATGGACAGGGGGTGGCGTGATCTCGTCGGTTGATTCTTCAGGTCTCCAGCGATCTTACTCATTTGGTTGTTTCCGTTGTCCGGCGAACTGACGAGGAAATCGAGCGGTCAAGTTCTCACACAACCGATTTAGTGTAAGGCGACAACGGCTGGGGTGGAAATTCAGCTGTCTCAAACTCCGCTCTTGTTGTCTGGACCGATTTGGAGACTTGCGGCAGTTGCTCCAAGGTTTGCTTCAGAGTACAACGCAGATTATTGTAAGCATCTGCGCTAATCTTTTCGGCTCCAAAGTCTCTCTCAATGGCGTGTTGCATGAGCTTCACCGCTGCAACGACATGGTGAGGATATGGATCGATCGCAATCAAGGGGACAGTCAAGCTTGCCAGCTGCATAGGGGCGATTCCGGTGTCGGATACGGTTGGCTCAGACTGTAGTCGTAAGGTATATTTGTTATTTAACCCAAAGACGAGGCAATTCATGACCCAGGTCTCTGCATCGACTCTCTTTGCCGAGAAAAGGGAGAGCAAGTCCTCCCGTAGAGTTGCAGTCGCAATATCAGTGACCATCAGAATAGCCAAATTATAGTGTAGCATGAGTTCGTCTGCAGACAGTTTGAGTAACGCAATTTCGTAAGAATTCAGGGGCGGGGAAAGCTTACACCAGCGAAGTCTCGTTTCTTGATTGAAGAATTGTATCCGCCGCTGGCATGCGATGAGCAACTCTCGGTAGGTGATGTTAAATTGATCGATGGCGTTGGACACAGAGCTGAAGGCCCTGAGCACCTCTGCCTCATCATGACCATCTCGCAGAGATTCTTTCAGATTGGCGGTCAGTTTCCAGACCAGCAACTTCCACGCTGCTCCAGCCGCTATGACTTGATTTGCTTTCTCATCTGTCAGGTCGACATCAAGATTGCTCCAATCTCTTGTCGTTTCGCGGAAGATACCAATACAGGTCTGCACCATACGCCAGGATGGCTCAGACTCAAATCCAAAAAGTCCAGAAGAAAGCAACGGCCGGCAATTCAGGGTTAAAGAGGCAGAGGTGTCGAATGTCAGAGCTGCCCAATACGCAGTGCTCTCAGCGATGATAAAATTAGCGGTGGCAAGTGAGGCAGGACTGGCTCCAATGGGACGGTTCGAGTTGGTGAGGTTGACTCTTGTTCCGTTGAATTGGAGGCTCTTTTGACGTGCACGAAGTGTCTGAATCTGCTGCAGTGCTGCATGAACGCAGACTTGTCCCGATACTCCTTCAAGTTCTTCTTCTTCAGATATGCCCACTGGGATGGGTGTCAGGGCAAACAATAGCAGAGTCAACATCGATCGATAAGAAGGTCTGTTTATGACTTTGAGCATGTCTGTATGCGCACGTCGCCAGAGACGACAGACGATGTCTGCCTGGGATAGTCCTGGCAAACTATGTTGCTGCGTCAAAGGTAGCCAGCGAGCGGCAAAAGACTGGACGGCATGGTCAAGGAACTGGTTGAGTTGTGTTTCTTTCTCGTGCCTGGCAAGATCTGGTGAAGCTCCAGGTTCGGATGTTGTGTTGGCCACAGCGTCCTCTTCGTCGATGTGTCTGTCGAGTTCGCTGCACACGCGTCGTATACTAACGACGTCCGCCAGGCTCTGTTCTCCAAAACTAATGCTGTCAGCGACGTTCTGGGCTTAACCGATGGTGACGCGCTTACGCGAAAGGGTTGCTGTGGCGACCCATCCAAGATCCAAAGATTGTTTCAAACGCCCCCTCGTATATGGTATGAAGCCATTGGCGTTCAACAGCATTGACCGGTTCTGGGGTCAGATGAGGTTGTATCAGCAGAGGTTGTGAGAGTTGATCCGAAGCCCAGCCCCACTCATAGGTCGTCCTGTAAGGGTTAGGAGAGCGCTTCATTTACTTGTAAGTGTTGGAGCATACCTTGCCAATGGTTCACCTGAGGCGCTCTCTGCGTGTTGGTGAACGAAACCGCGCAGTGATTCGCCAGCCGTGTCACTTTTGTTCTCTTCGCAAACCGTCGATTCTCGCGTGGACGCCCTAGACCGTTTCCTCCTAGGTTTTGCGTTCTGGCTTTTGCGGTTGGATACAGCAGTGCTTGTACCCGGCTTCATCCACTGTTGGGGAGAAGATGCTCGGTCAGCGTGAAAGGTCAGTCAGAGCAGCCAGTGGGTCAGGCAAACCTCGAATGTACACTTTAGCTGGCGATTGAGGCACCTCGTGCAGGACACGAGCTCCTGCTGATCCTCTCGGTTCCGGCGGGCCCTGCCCGCATCACAACCGACTCTCGCCCTGCGGCACTCGTCGCAGCTAGAGAATTGGACGCGGCGCGGGACCATCTCTCCTTGAGACATGATGGTGCGGATGGCAACCCGGGGATCCACAACAATAACGCCGATACATGAGAGATGTTTGTGGAGGAGAATGGAGTGTTGAAGGTGAGGCGATGAGATGAAGTTGTGGTGATGCGGCACGAACTTTGCGGGAGACGCTAAACTGTGTTGGTCGCCGGCAAGTACCCAAGCCTATTGATACTAAACACCCAAGCGGCTAGGTAGCCCCCAACCCCGCAACCCGCCTAGAGAATGTTCGATAGGGACCCCCAAAGTAGAAATTAGGGCTTCTAGGCAAGTTTGCGGGGGTAAGTCACGCGCTGAGCACCCCCAGCCTTGGGCTATTTACATACTTTAGGTACATGCAGGTACGTACATATATCTATAGGAAGGCTCTCTCGAGACCTGAAGCTTCTTGACAGTGCGAAGTCTTTGACATTGTCTATACCAACAGATCACACCCCAGTTCAGATTCCTCACGAGCTTTGATACTCATAAAATCCCTTCCCGCTTTTGACACCGAGAAGGCCGTCTTTGACGAATTGCTGGAGATATTGGCGAGGCTCAGGAGGGACATCCTTTCGCTTTTCTGCGTAATGCTCCTCGATATTGAGCACAACGTCGAGCCCAACCACATCCATCTGCTCAAAGGGGCCTTTCGGCGTCTTCAGAACGTCTTTGAAAATGGCATCAATCTCCGCCGGAGTAGCCACACCCTCTGCCGCCGTGAGCAATGCTTCTCGTTTGATTGCGGCCCAAATCCTGTTCCATAAAGACTTCATTAGTGCTTCTGAGAAGCTGAAGGGGCCTGAAAGCATCGAGAGGTGAGCACACCTGTTGTATATGTAGCCCATGGAATCTTTCTTCACATGGAATGGACTGAAGCCATGATCCCGACATTGCTCCATGAGGAGTGGGATGATTTCAGGATCAGTATTTGCATGACCCATGAGTTCAATAGCTTGACGAGGTCAGTAGAGAGCAGTTGATACGACTTCACTCGGGACTTACCAGAAGTCTCTGGAGGCCAGTCTTGATGATATATCTTGTCAGTTTACAGTGCTTTACTCTGACATTGACAGAGTATCTTACAACAATGAGCACTGAGAATGCGTCGCTCATGGGGCAATTTCAGGCCATCAATGATTTCGGAAATGCTATAACTGCTCGAGTTGGATGCAATGATCGTCTCGGGGGCCGCCAGCTCGTCGAGTTTTGTGATTATTTGTCGCTTGAGCTCCAGCCTCTCCGGTACGCACTGATTTTGATATACTCATCAATTTGACGTCCTATCTCACAGCTTCAATGGTATCTGCGTACCTCGACAACCAACCACGTATTCTTCAGTCCCTCAGGTAACGAGTCCGAGGTAAAAGTCTTAATCTCACCCCATCGTTGGCTCGGATTCTGAGAGGCAGCCCGAAGTTGGTCAATGTACTTGACACTATCGGAAAGTTGCTTCGCCTGGGCATCAATAAGATGAACAGCTCGGCCCTGACTCGACCACTTTGCACCAGGGCTGGTCAGTATGGGGTCAGACTCAACGGAGGGATGGAACGGATATTCACCATGTAAGCGAGCCGTCGGCCTTGCGTGCCTGCACCGACCAATGCGGTCGCCCTTCCTGCTAACATGTCGGCAATGAAGGGTGAGTCTAGCGAGCTGTAACGGTATATTTTTCGACCTTGACGAGGGGTTGGAAAAAGTTGCGTGAGCAGCTACTCGACGATATACCGAGTGATGCCGGATCCGAAGAGTCTCGGCAAGTTCACCAGACCAGAGAACCGGTTAACTATTAGAGGCTAGAACTCTAGAACAAGCCCCGAAAGCATGTCCATTTGTAAGGTGTGGCGACTTACTGGTAAACACCCATTCCTCAATATCGGGACTTGGACATTCAACAAACACAAACACATCGCCCGGCAAGGGCCGCCACATCGCCCAGCGGCTCCGTCGAAGATATTATCTACCAGCCGCAACTCAATCTCTTGAAAGTCGTGGGGTTTCGTCCGCAGGGAATCGATTGACATTGTCATGCGGATGACGACAGATCTTTTATGGATAACCTGACATGATGTTCTGAGATTATGAACCACCACGCATCCTCACCGCGGCCAAGTGTGTCGAATCAAGATGTAACGGGAAACTGTGCTATCATACCTGTTCATGATCTTTGGAATGGTGCAAATTCTCGTGCACTTGGGAATGGACTACATATACGTAGCCAGCCGTCGCCCCAGTTGGAGTGATGGCATCGATTCAGTAAGCGAACAGAGCGAAACTGTGCCAAATCGTGAGGTTTCACATTCGGCCGCCTACCAGAATGCGATGTCGCTTCCTGTCTGTTGCCATCCCATCAGGATATTCTCTCTTGACCGTGGATGCACATGGTCAGCGCAACATAGACGAGAAGGAAGTGGGAGGTTGAGGTCAAGTTCTGTTGTATGTGATCAACCATTTGCTTCACATTGGCTTCGCTTTGGCTTGTGGAATGATGGGAAGGGCGTCATTGCTAAAACTAATACCAACCATACCTCCCTACCCTCTATGGCTGCCTATAGATACTGTATATTGTAACCCTTCAGACAAAGATAACCGATCAATGCGGAGATACCAGCCCATTAAGAGCATGAATGGGTGTGTACCATGTCCCTGAAAATCCAAGAAAAAGGGTAGCAAGCCGAGCAACGGATAGAAAAGCCGAGATCATGAAAGATATAGATATACCCACCCCACGATCTGCCCTCGCAAGACCCAAGAAAACTATGAATCGCTCCACGTTTGTAAGATTTGGTCGTTCTTTCCAGTGATAGCCTCGCACGTGTCCGGACACTGACGGAATGTATGGTTCATCGAGGAAGAAGAAAGAAAAGACGGAAATGCTTGGCCCAGATCGCCACGGAATGCCATGGACAAATGGACAAAAGCACACAAGATGGCGTTATGTACGAGTACAAAGTGATGATGCGCGGGTTGGATTCCATGTGGCCACGGATTGGGGACACGCATTCCCTGACACTTCTCTTTCCGGGCTCGGCGAAAGCGATCAATTGAGCGAGGGGACCTTGGCGCCAAGAGCCAAGATTTTCCCAAGGTCTTGACTCCGCTCGCTTACAGGCTCGTCTGACTTTCCATTGCGTCAACCAAGTCCAACCCAAGAGCCCCGGACGATGCCGACTCGTCGCTGCGGATTGCTTCTGGCGAAACAGAGTCCCCAGCAGGGAAGTTTCCCTCCTCTTGGGACTTCTTGGGGGTGTTTCCCCTCTGTAACCCTATCACCCGCCTCCACCTCCGCCCAGGCTTGGCCGATTCCGCACATATGGGAGCGCCGTGCACTGCTCCTCGCCACATTTCCACCGCGAAGTAGCCTTGGAGGGGCACTATTCCCATGCCAAGAGCGCAGACCTGCTGTGTCAAGACCAGATATCGGCGAGATGACTCTTGGCTTCAAGGATAGGGACACGGTGGAAGTCTTGGACCTGATTGTGCGGGTTCAGGCCTTCGGGGGTTGAACACCCCGATAAGATGCTGCTTCAGCTCTATATAACGAGCGGCATATCCCTTGATCTGGGAAGGGGGGATCCACTCTCACTCTTTTCAAGCTTCACGTCATGACTCACTGTTGCTTGTCTATGTCATAGAATCAGTTGTTTTGTCGAGACACAGATATTTCGAGCAAGCTAGACTCCTTCATCAAACTTATCTGGAAGCAGTAAAACCTCGACATCCCCCTTTGCCCAGCCCATAAATTCAACCCGCCTTGGATAGCCGCCTGCTATGGGCAAAAAGGGCACAAGAGCGGAACAGAGTTATCCGAAGCACCCTTTCCTCCTCTCTCCAGATGAAGTCATCAGTCATCTAGAGACCAGCACCGACGTGGGCCTGAGCAATGCCCGGGTCGAGGAATACCAACAGAAGTATGGACCCAACAGGCTTGAAGGCGATGGAGGGGTCTCTTGGTATGCCATTCTGGGGAAGCAAATCTCCAACGCCATGATTCTGGTATTTATTTTCCTCTACCAACCGTTTCGCTTTGGAGGCGTAGAGCCAGCTAACCGTGTTACAGGTGTTGGTGCTCGCCATGGCACTCTCGTACGGCGTGGAAGATTTCGTTGAAGGCGCTGTCATCACCGCCGTCATCGTTCTCAATGTCGTCATTGGCTTCTACCAGGAATTTCAGGCCGAGAAGAAAATGGACGCTCTGCGGTCCCTCTCGTCCCCTTCGGCAGCTGTGGTCAGAGATGGGAACGAGATGACCATTCCCTCGGCAGAAGTCGTCCCCGGTGACATTGTGTCGATCAAGACTGGTGACACGGTTCCGGCTGATTTGCGACTGTTCGAGGTGATGAACCTCGAGTGCGACGAAGCCATCTTGACAGGCGAGGCGCTGCCGGTTGCCAAAGAAGTCGAATTCGAGACCAAGCACGGCATCGCCAAAGAAGATCTAGGTCTGGGCGACCGACTCAACATAGCGTACTCGTCTTCCACGGTGACAAAGGGCCGAGGCCGCGGCGTGGTGGTCTACACCGGCATGTCGACGGCCATTGGAGGGATCGCTGCCTCGATGCAGGGAAAGAAACGCAAGCCCAACCGTTCCATGTCGAGGAAGAAGTACGGACCCATGCAGCCCGTCAAGGGAGGTGCGCTGCGTACATACGACGGTGTGCGCAAATTCCTCGGTCTCACCGGCGGCACGCCTCTACAGATCAAGCTCAGCAAACTCGCCTACGTCCTTTTCGGTTGTGCCATCCTCCTGGCCATCATCGTGTTTGGGGTCAACCGATTCAACGTCACCAACGAGGTTGCCATCTACGCCATTTCCACGGGCATTGCCATCATCCCCGAATCTTTGATTGCCGTCCTCACCATCACCATGGTTGTGGGCATGACACAGATGCGGAAACGCAAGGTGGTCGTCCGACAACTCAGTGCACTCGAAGCCCTCGGGGGTGTCACCAACATCTGCTCGGATAAAACCGGCACTCTTACCCAGGGGAAGATGGTGACGCGAAAGGCATGGATTCCCGGAGTCGGCATCTACAGCGTGGAGAATTCCAACAACGCGTCAGACCCTACAGAAGGCACCGTCACGCTCGGCAAGGCGCCCAGGTCGCGGCAGGAAGTCGAGGCGGAGAGACTTGCCAGAGAAGAGGCCTTTGACCGCAAACGAAGCACTGCGGGCATCTCTTTCGATCTCCCGAGCGAGAAACTGCAAAAGGATGCCGAAAAGGCCTCGGAGAAATCCGACACCGACGTCAAGTCCAACCCGGAGGTCACGCCTGAACTCCAGGCGTTCCTGGAATCCGCGGCCCTCTGCAACCTGGCGACGGTCCGCAAGGTCGCCGAGGACGGGGAGGAGGAGAAGTGGAAGACGGCGGGCGACCCGACCGAGATTGCCCTGCAGGTCTTCTCGCACCGCTTCAACTACGGCAAGAAAGCGCTCGAGGAGAGTGGGTGGGTACAAAAGATGGAATACCCCTTTGACAGCTCCATCAAGCGCATGTCGGTCGTATATACGAAACCCGGCCTGGAACACTCTCTCATCTTCACCAAAGGCGCGGTTGAACGTATCATCGACCTCTGCACGTCCGTGGGCGTGGGGGATAAGCACGAAGAGATGACTCCGACCCTGAAGGAAGCCATTCTGGAACAAATGACGTTTCTCGCCGAACAAGGTTTGCGAGTGCTCGCCATCGCCAGGAGAGACACGACTCTGGAAATCGAGGAACACAGCGACGTGGACCGGAGCGTTGTCGAAAAGGATCTCTGTCTGCTGGGTCTCGCTGGTCTGTACGACCCGCCTCGCCTCGAGACGAAAGCCGCCGTCCAGGCCTGCACGACCGCCGGAATCACCGTGTCCATGTTGACGGGTGACCACCCGTCCACGGCGACCGCCATCGCCAAGGAAGTCGGCATCATTCCCAAGAACATGGGTACGCTCGCACCAGACGTGGCGGCGGCCATTGTCAAGACCGCGACGGAATTCGACAGGATGACTGACGCCGAGATCGACGCTCTGCCGACCCTACCCCTCGTGGTGGCGCGCTGCGCCCCAGAGACCAAAGTCCGGATGATCGAGGCGCTGCACCGACGGAAGAAGTTCGCCGCCATGACGGGGGACGGGGTCAACGACTCGCCGTCGCTGAAGCTCGCCGACGTGGGCATCGCCATGGGCCTGAACGGGAGCGACGTGGCCAAGTCGGCGTCGGACATTGTGCTGACGGACGACAACTTTGCGTCCATCGTCAACGCCGTCGAGGAGGGCCGCCGCATGTTCGACAACATCCAACGCTTCGTGCTGCACCTCCTCACGTCCAACGTCGGCGAAGTCATCCTCCTCATCTGCGGCCTGGGATTCCAGGACGACACGGGGTTTTCCGTGTTCCCGCTCTCGCCGCTGCAAATCCTTTGGATCAACATGCTCACCTCGTCGTTCCCGGCGTTCGGGCTGGGCCGGGAGAAGGCGTCGCCGGACGTGATGGAGCGGCCGCCGCACGACAACAAAAAGGGCGTCTTCACGTGGGAACTGATCACGGACATGCTGGTGTACGGGACGATCCAAGGCACGTGCTGCCTGATGACGTTCGTCTTCATCGTGTATGGGCCCGGCCCGGACGGTCTGGGCCAGGACTGCAACCGCAAGTACAACGACACGTGCGACGTCGTGTTCCGGGCGCGGGCGGCCGTCTTCGCCGAGCTGACCTGGCTGATCCTCATCTCGGCGTGGGAGTTCAAGGCGATGCGGCGGAGCATGTTCCGGATCAACCCGCACGACACGCGCACGTTCCCCTTCTTCGCGGACATCTGGGAGAACCAGTTCCTGTTCTGGTCGGTCGTCATCGGGGCCGTGTCCGTCTTCCCGGCCGTCTACATCCCGGGCCTGAACACGTCCGTGTTCAAGCACAAGGGCATCTCCTGGGAGTGGGCGCCGGCCATCGTCTGCGTCTTCGTCTTCGTCAGCGGCATGGAGGCCTGGAAGTACGTCAAGCGCGCCGCCGGCTGGTTCAAGGAGGAGGAGACCGAGGGCATGAAGGGCCGCCGCCTCGGGCCCTCCAGCGCCGTGCTCTCCCTCCGACAGGGCTTCTTCACCATGACCCGGAGTTTCACCAAGAGCAAGTCCGAGGAGAAACAGCGCACCCCGGTCACCATGGAGTTGGGCACTCGGGACAGAAACGCCCGGCAACCGCATGTGCTGCCCAGGGTGAGGGAGGACGTTTGAAGCTAAACTTCCCAGTTTTATGTGTGTGTGTATGTGTGTTTTTGTGCCTGCTTTCTTTACTGGAGGTTTTCCGCGCCAATGTGTAATACCATAAGTTTTATATATTATGAAAAACTTACGCAAGTATAGACTGATGATAGATCATGTCAAACGAGAGGTTTTTTTTTTAATTTTTGTGTGACTCTGTGGTAGATTGCTCTGCTGTTTGTCGGGGTAAAGTAATGGCATAGACTATGATATACGTCTACTTTGCCTACTATTGCCAGAACATATGCTTTTACACCGCATTGATTAGGCTATTTGGTTGTAGCTCATATTCTACAGTCCTCCAGTGGCGCGTAGAAAGCCCCTATTCCGTCCGAACAAGCGGGACAGTTGCCTGCAGAGTTGCAAATGCGCAATAGGAACATATTGACAGGGAGAGCCAAAAGCCGGCATATCCAAGAGCAGCTTCGCCGCGTGTAGTTGACCATTCCGATTGGCACGGGCTGTTGTACCCGCACTGGCGGCGTCAGAATGCAGTTCGATTCAGGCGAGTCGTGTTTCTGACCGTATCAGGGATTCCCTCGCTCCATTTCCGCCTTCGCAGCTGCAATCATCTCCTCTAGTTCACGGACACCAAGCTCATGAGACCCGTGAGGCGCCAGTGCCTCTGAAGCACGCTGTACTGCAGCGCCTCGCATCGCAGCGGCTCGGTCTGACAGCTGAAGCATTCTCAAAACGTTCCCTGCTGACTGAGTGTCCAAACTCAAAATGAGGTCGTCGAGTTGGCTCGAAGTGGTTGCTATATCAGACATCTTTCTGTCACTGCTTCCCGGAGTGAGTCCGAGGTGTTGGCTTAAAGCTTTTGCGGCGGGTTTGATGCTGTCTTCCGGCTCTGTGCCTGTCTTCTCAATCATAGGTTTCGTATTAGGGCGAGCACCAGTCTCGACATGCTGAAGTTGCACATCCAGTTCGTGCAACCTGAGTCGTCGAGATTGGAGGCTCTCCAGCCTTTTCGAGAGACTAGTGACGGCTTGTGTGAGGGAGAAAAGTTGGTTGTAGACCTAGCAGATTGCCATGTGAGTGAATCTCAATCGAATGATTTAAAGCAATGGACCTTACCTTTTCATGGAGGGACCTGTTGTTCTGCTTCTGCGCACGGCGGACATCCTGGAGAGCTGCCTGAAGGGCATTTCCGTGTTCTTGAGCCACAACCATTCCCATAACATCATCAATCTCCTTGTATAGAGAGCCTAGATCTTCTTGAACAGTGTCGATTGTACCGTCAGAGACGACCTGAGCACTAGAGGCGATGTCTGCTCTGCTGAGTGATTCAAGATACGCACGATCCAGACGATCTTTGAGAGTCTGCGCGCGAAAATACTGTAAAGCACGCGTAAGTTTGTTTACTCTGTCTGCTAGCGCATCGAGGGCGACTTCGTGTTTCTCCTGAGCGCCTGAGGATGAGAGGTCATTGAGATCGGAAAGCACGCGATCGTCTGAGTTGAGCAGCTCCGTGACAGTTGCCGGCGTCGATCTGGAGTCTTTGATGACGCGATCGAACTCGGCTCGCAATGTTAACCTCAGATCCTCGAGTATTTGTTCATTCTTATGCATAAGTCAGCGGGTGACGACTTCTTATCTAGCGGTCAGATGGCAAGGGGAGATTTACAGCAAACTTGATATACTGCACTTCAGCAGCATGTTTTTGGTCGAGGTCTTGTTCTTGTCTGGTCTTTCGTGCATCGAGAGCGTTTTCAACTTCCTCGATATGCTTTAGCTGAGCATCTTGCGCACAGAGGATCCGCGTCCGGCGCTCAATCGCCCTGGTTGAAGACTTTAATGCTGTGATCGCCGACTTGAGCTCTTCATTGGTCGAGGGGAGAGTGGTCGATGTGCTTTCTCTGGAGGCTGAGCTCCATCGCTCTGATCCATGCATCAACTGCCATCTGGCTCATTGTCAATTCGTTGCTCGAAGCAGCAGCGCGGGAACAACCAACGTTGCGTTTTCATCCTCAGTCAACGGATTCGGTCCGTTGCGCCTTTGATGCACCCATCCTTCCAACAGCGAGCTGCCCTCGGCTGATTTCGATTCGTGAAGTTCATGTGTGTGGAATGGAGTGCTCTGTTTCAGAGGCGCTTTGAGCGTAGTATCGGCCCATGCATTCAGGGGCATCATCACACCGAGGCAAGAAACTGGAAGACGGCGCTGCAGGGATGGAGGAACATGTCTAAAGCTTGGCAATTCTTCGAGTCCGTTTCGTTTTGTACCGCGTAGGGGTCTATCAGCTCAACTCAAAAGGGTGTGAAATGCCCGGAGTATAAACCATATCAAGCACAAAATGGCAAGTATACATTTTGGGAATTATCTAGATGGAATTGAATTCTACATGTTTTTGCTGGCGCCCCCGAAATTCTGCATCCACGGCCAACAGATAAAGGCTGTTGACTGCACAACATCAACCAGCTTATGGCAGAGACCATCACTTCCATTGTTTGAAGGGGAGTACATTTTACCCAGCCAGATATACACAGCCAAAATAACTCCGCCGGAATTGCATGTCGCCGCTCATCATGAAAAGTGCCAAAGGGGAATCGATAGCGTTGTCGTATAGCTTGAATGCGCTCAATAAATCGAAGGTCATTATAGAGGTCTCCCGCCTCGAGTACCATTTTTCGGCGGCCCTCCTCATTGTCGCCTCCGGTGCCGATGCTCCAGATCGGGTTATGATTGTTTGATATGACCATTAGCAGCAGTCCCGTTCACCTGCCCGTTCGCTTTCTGTGCCTTGGACTCGCGATATTTGGCAATATCTTGCTCCACCATCTTGTCCACCCGGCTCTTCAGTTCCGGCCTGTAACCAAGCGCAAACAGGATCTCCAACCAGACAAAGAGTGGAGCCAAGAAAAATGCCTGGAAGATGTTGTCCAGCAGAGCAGGAGCCCGTCCTTCGAACACTCCATGGCCCAGGAATTGTGCAATCCACGACGCCACGAATGCCGCCGCCGCCCAGAAGTTGGCGGTCATTCCGTGGACAGCGACTAGGTGATGGGCGTATGCAGTTCCAGAGAGAAGCAACGCGGCGAACGCCGTTCCGGCCACTGGCTCGAGTAAGATGTATAGCCCGCAGTAAGACAGGCAGAAAAGTGTGCCGGCATTCAGTTCGAGGTTGGGGATGGTTATCGATTGAGGCAACTTGATCAGTGGACCGGAATTCGTGAACTACCAGAGAGGTAAGTTGCCGTGCTCGCCGGATAGACGGGTCCTATCTCATACCAGGAGGAATGTAGTCCACAGGATAATGGGAACTCCGACCATGTGTATGCCAATATTGATCTGGATCCAAATCAGCGACTTCTCTCAAGGGTCGACGTTTGTGACCGTACTGCGTCATGGTGGTATGCGCCATACTGTGGGAAAATGGTCAGTGGGACAAAAGGCAGAGGGGTCGCAGGCTGCTCACGAAGCGCAGTTGTTTCTCCAGGTTGAGGGCCATCTTAGACTATGGTCACAGAGGCTGGAACGGAGGGCAATGAAAGATAGAAGTCAGCTCATCGAAGTAAGCGCAGCGCAGGCAATGCCTTGATGGGCGAAGGTGAATCTTCAAACTTCCCACTTGGACAGTTTTAATTATTCCGGCGCACATGGCAGTTTAAATGGGCGGAACTGCAGGTCTCACCACCCGGGCGTCATCGCCTGCGCCCCAGATCCGAATTACTCCGCACGCCGAATCGACTTCATTAGCTGGATTTCGTCTATGCAGCATATAGAAATAGCAATAGACAATGCAGTTATTAACCTATATGTTGTACTAATGGACAAAAGTCCAGCTGCTTCTTGCAAGTAGATACCAACCAAATGCCCAATTACCGCGCTAGATGCGAGTCTTGTTCCCAAGTGTGTGTCCGCCATCTAACATATTTTGAGTCCCTCAGAATGTTTGCCCGAATCCTCATGTAGGACTATCATGGCTCGTGTCCATATTCGCTGTTGAGCGAGCGACCTGAAGTATTAAGATGCCTTTTTGTCAAGGAAAAGGAAAATTGAATCCTGCAATGCAATCCGTTCCTCTGTCCAGGTTGTTGTTATCAACAACTCTCTCACAGTCCAAGCTTGTGCTTTTTGATGCGCGGTATGATGCCCACGAGTACCAGAACGCTTGCCACAATGACGGCCCACAGCTTGATGTGCAGGAATGCCTGGTTATAGTATGTCTGAGTGGCTGCGGCAATGACAGCCAGAAAATAGACGGCGAGAACGTATCCCGAAATTCTGCCTCATTGTTAGGCCACAGAAGTATGGCAACCTTGTTTCACGTACCTGTGGTATTTGTACAGTGACTTGGCTCGATCAACAGTGCCAAATATCGTCTCAGGCAAGTAAAACGCAGCGGCCCCGATCAGCCATTGCAGGAAGATGAGTATGTAGGCCACCAGTGCCATTTTCCCATGCACACTTTGGAACCGGGTCTCAGGGTGTGAAGCTTTGTTTATCTCGATAATAACCAAGCCGGCTATGAGCAATGCAACGGCCGACGTATTGATCGCCGAGTGCACATATGTGCCTGTAATTTTGTCCTTTTGAGCCGCCGTGGGTTGGAGGACGAGCACACCTTGAACGAGGAGGAGGATGGCCAGGGAGTTGAGCAAAGGATGGTAGGAGAAGAATATGAACCCGGTCTTGAACACTGCAGCCCAGACCAGAGCTGTCAGGATCACGATGCCTACTTGGGCGAGAATAGCTGTTCCCTGTCAGCGACGATGCCAAAGAGGATGTTGGCTTCGACGAGTTGAAGAGGATCCATACCTGTTCCCGTCACAAAATTGAACTGCATTCCCTGTCCTGGCCGTTGTGTGACGTCTCCTGGCCTTCCCAGGAGCGGCTCCTCCTCTTCAAGGGCGGGATTGCGCTCAGGAATACCCGTTGCTGAAGCCATGTTCGAGGTTGGCTGCTACTATGCACGGAGTACAAGAAATTGGGGTTCGAGCTGGGTCAGTGGGAGCACAGCTGCGACGATACAAGTCGGTTCTGCCTGGTGCAGGAAGAGATTATCAATAGAGGGTCGCCCCAGAGAATATCAAGGATCATCACTCCCTCTTGCGGAGCACCATGTTGCCGCTAGGCCCTTTGATTTCGGTGTGTAGACACTGCTGGAAACTATCGAGCTGACCAATTTGATATGCGGATTGGACGCCCAAGGATGCCTCCCCGCACAGTGCAATACCGAAGATGGATGACGCTATCAGATTCGGGGCATTCGCAGAAGCTTTCCGTGCTTGTCGGGGCATTGTTTATCCAGCTGCAGCCGCCCTGTCTTGCCTGTCATTTTATGCATTTCTGTTGTGATTTTGCTCGTTCCATGTCGAGGCCGCTTATAACATCTTCTTGCGTGCAATGTAATGAATTGATTTCCATCCTCAGCTTTTGTCTGTCGCGTTGCCTCGCAATAATGTTGCTCCAATTACGAAAGGGGGAAGGCTTCTCACCGCCCTTTCCATTTCCTATGTGCTTATGCCTCTTCGTTCCCTGACCAGCGGCTCAAACTGCGAGACCAGCCACAGTAAAATGTACCCGTCCCTCATCCTTCCATGGTCCACGAGTCCATCAGATCGCGAAAATACATATCGCACAGCTGGTCTTGTGAAAACAAAAGGAACACTTTTCCTGCTGCCTCCACCAACATCCGCCTTGCGCGATACATTCAATGCACCGCCACGCCCCAGAACCCTCATGTCCTCAGGTGCAGTTGCACTTTGCAAACATTTTGAGCGTGGCGGTGCATCGTCGGAGCATGGCCGAGCACACCCATTCTGGACCCTGCCAACGGGGAGCAACGAGAACAAGACGGAAATCGCAAGGGGAATATTGGAGGACATGCTTGTGCAAGCAGTCTGGAGGAATGTGATGCTGTTGCACCATGGGGTAGCAGTGTACGAGATTAGGAATGCACGAGGATATGGGATGAGGTGGACACTGGATATTGAAGAGAAGAAAGATGATATTCCATCGGATGTTCAAACGATGACCGCCAACGGAGACACCCTCGTCCCGAATGAAGAAGATGATTTCCACAAGGACTGGGTGATTATCAAGACGACCTTTCGTGGGTTCTTGGAGCCTATCGCTGGAATGGATCACGAGCTGCCCGGACAAGACGCGAGCACAGCTGAGGAGTCGTTACGTACGCAGGAGAAGCTGCGCGAAGGATAGAAAGATTGCTGAAGATCCTTGCGACAGTGGACCAACCGGGCCCTTCTGTATAGTTGATAGGTGCGCAGTCTTGCAGGTTCACAAGGGCTACAGCACGCAGGTACATAGTTGTGGCCATGACGGTGGTGATAGCGATCAATGGCCTCTCGTCCTTCTATTTCTCGGACTCCCCTCCTCCACATTCCATCTTGAATCCTACCGTAATCACCTCCCACCCCGCCTGCTCCACCCCCACCACGCACGGGCGGCTCTCGCCCTAACTGTCCCTAACAATTGGTTGGAGGGGCACGAGGGGCATCAATCTTGCCGATGCCCGCCATTGACAGCCACAATGCCAGCCCCGTACCTAGCTTCTTGTACCACGAGAACGGTTGTGACGGTCAATGCAACCCATGCACACACAGTTCCAAGCTTCATTCAGGCTTTGGGGCATTCCTGTTTGAACCTAGCCGTCATGTGCCCAACTGCATTTCTCCCTCGGCAGTATCATCGGTTCCTTACAGCTCCGCTGCCTACTACTCACTACTACTGGTGACTCCGTCTTCCTCACCAGCCTGCCACGTTTTACCTCCTCATCTTTGCTCTCCAATTCTCCTGTTCATTCGCAAGTTTGGCTACACAGCGAAATTTGCAAACACTCTTTCCGCCGCAGAGCATGCCATAGAATCGCGTGTTTTTCCTTGACGGGTGCCTCCGGGCTTGACATGCAGGTCATCGCGGTTATCTGCAGCCCCAGATCCGAGTTTACAAGGTTCTTATCGAGCTTGTTTGTGGCGGTGAGATAGCACAATGGCTCCCGCCTCTTTTGCCATCGTGTCTGCGCCTTTGTCGGTAAAACTATCAACCAAGAGCTGCTTCAGCTTTAGAGACTCAGGTACTGTTGGAATCCTGTTCCATTGAGAGAGCCTGAGGTCCAGGCTGACATGTCGACCCAGTTCCCAGGATCGACGCCATCTATGGTTGTGTACGGCAGAGCCGTCACGCGAGGCGACATGTGCACTCAGTCAGTGGCGGGCTGGTTCCGCTCACCTCGAAAAATCAACATCAACATAAAAGTCTGATAAAGTTACCACCGAGGGCTGTCACTGTATGGTCGAGATTCAAGTCCGACCTGCCGGTTGAGCCAGTTCTTTATTCGCAACTGACCATTGGCGTTCCCAAAGAGACCCTCGCAAGTGAACGCCGCGTTGCTGTCGCACCACAAAACATCCCTTTGCTGTTGAAGAAAGGTTTCGCCCGTGTTCTCGTCGAGCGAGGCGCTGGCATTGAAGCTGAATATGCGGACGAGGTCTACGAGCATGTTGGCGCCACTGTGGTCGACCGCGAGACCGTGTGGGCGGAAAGCAATATCGTGCTCAAAGTCCGTCCACCGAACCTGGAGTCGGAAGTACCCAAGATTCGAGAGGGGACTGCCCTGATTTCGTTCCTGCAGCCCATGCAGAACAGACCCCTTGTTGAGGCTCTTGCTTCCCAGCGCGTGACTGCGTTTGCTATGGACATGATTCCGAGAATTTCGCGTGCTCAAGCTTTTGATGCGTTAAGTTCCATGGCCAATATCGCGGGTTACAAAGGTGTGCTTGAGGCAGCTAATCACTATGGTCGCTTCCTGACCGGTCAGGTCACTGCTGCGGGAAAGATTCCTCCCTCAAAAGTCTTGGTCATTGGAGCTGGTGTCGCTGGGTTGAGTGCCATCACCACCGCCCGGCGGCTGGGTGCAATCGTCCGCGGGTTTGACACTCGTTCTGCTGCTCGAGAACAAGTTCAGTCCCTAGGAGCCGACTTTCTGGAAGTATCTGTCAAGGAAGAAGGCTCCGCAGCAGGTGGTTACAGCAAGGAAATGTCCAAGGAGTTCATCGAGGCGGAGATGAAACTCTTCATGGAACAGTGCAAGGATGTCGACATTGTCATTACTACTGCGGCCATTCCCGGAAAGCCTTCTCCTAAGTTGATCACGGAGAAAATGGTCAGTGCCATGAAACCCGGCTCGGTCATTGTCGACCTTGCATCAGAGGGCGGCGGGAACTGCGAAGTTACTCAACCCGGCAAACTGATTGTGCATAACCACGTTACCATCATCGGCTATACAGATTTCCCGTCTCGTCTTCCAACACAGTCAACCAGTCTGTACTCCAACAACATCACGAAGTTTCTGCTGGCAATTTCCCCCAGAGAGAATCACTTTGGCATTGACCTGGAGGACGAAGTCGTGCGAGGCTCCATTGTTACGCACGATGGGAAAATCATTCCTCCTGCACCACGACCTGCACCACCTCCTGCACCTGCGCAGCAGCATCACGAACAGGAATCCAAACCTGTTGCTCTGACACCATGGCAAAGTCAAGCCCGTAATGTCGCAGCCGTGACTGGAGGTATGAGTGCAGCTCTTGCTCTGGGGAAATTAACGTCCCCATTGTTCATGGGTAGCGCATTTACTGCTGGCCTAGCCGGCCTGATTGGCTATCGCTCGGTCTGGGGTGTGATTCCTGCTCTTCATTCTCCTTTGATGAGCGTTACCAACGCCATTTCCGGCATTGTGGGTGTAGGTGGCTTCTTTATCATGGGTGGCGGCTATTTGCCAGAAACGGTCCCACAAGTACTCGGTGCGCTGTCGGTTCTGCTTGCTTTTGTTAATGTGTCAGGTGGGTTTGTCATTACGAAGCGCATGTTGGATATGTTCAAACGACCTACGGACCCTCCGGAGTATCCATGGCTGTACGCGATTCCCGGTGTGCTATTCGGTGGCGGGTTCATCGCCGCAGCAAGCACAGGTATGGCTGGACTCGTGCAGGCCGGATATCTGGTGAGCAGTCTGCTCTGTATCGGTAAGTGCCTTAGCCATTCTGTCGACAATGCATACTTGGCAGCTGATCCTTATTATTCTAGGATCTATCCAAGGACTTGCATCGCAAGCAACCGCCCGGACTGGGAACCTGCTTGGAATACTGGGTGTCCTCGCCGGCATCATTGCCTCACTCGGCGCCGTAGGGTTCTCCGGGGAAGTGATGACACAGTTTGGCACGATTGCAGCTATTGGTGGTATTGTTGGTACGTTCCATTCTGAATCTGGTCGTTGATGGACACGAGGTGCTCATGATGACAAACAGGCGCCCTGATCGGACGGCGGATTACCCCTACCGAGCTACCTCAGACGGTTGCTGCCTTGCATTCCGTTGTTGGTCTCGCCGCTGTCCTCACCAGCATCGGCAGCGTACTTGCTCATGTCTCGGATATCTCGTCTTTACACATGGTGACAGCGTATTTGGGCGTTCTCATTGGTATGTTGCCTTGTTATTTCGACCCGGAACTCTCTCTAATGATATTCAGGTGGTGTAACATTCACTGGTTCTCTTGTTGCGTTCCTCAAACTCGCAGGACGAATGTCATCTCGACCTACCATCCTCCCAGGTCGCCATCTTATTAATTCTGGCCTGTTGGCCGCCAACGCTGGCACTATGGGTGCATTCTTGACCATGGCGCCTGGTGCGCCCGCCGTGGCTGCAGTATGCCTGTCGGCAAACACTGCGCTCAGTTTTGCCAAGGGCTTTACCACGACCGCTGCTATAGGAGGAGCAGATATGCGTATGTTTATGCTTGTCTCATCTTACACGGCCCCTTGCTGACCACCCGTGCTAGCCGTGGTCATTACGGTGTTGAACGCTTACTCAGGCTTCGCTCTCGTCGCGGAGGGCTTCATGCTGGACAACCCCTTACTACTGACTGTAGGCTCGTTGATCGGTGTCAGCGGTTCGATCCTATCGTACATTATGGTAAAGGACCCAATCCATCCAACGGATTCCTGGTTTGGAAGTATTGCTAACACTTCGTCACACCACAGTGCGTCGCGATGAATCGTTCACTTACCAACGTCCTCTTCGGTGGCATTGCGCCAATCGCTCAAACGTCGCAAGAAATCAAAGGTCAGATCACCAAGACCACCGTGGAAGAAACGGTCGAGGCGCTCGCCAACGCCGAATCCGTAATCATCGTAGTGGGTTATGGCATGGCCGTGGCGAAAGCCCAGTATGCCATTGCCGAAATCGTCTCGCTCTTGCGCTCCAAGGGTGTCAATGTTCGCTTCGCCATCCATCCCGTCGCGGGCCGAATGCCGGGACAGTGCAACGTGCTACTGGCCGAGGCGAGCGTGCCGTACGATATTGTCTTGGAGATGGATGAGATCAATGACGATTTCCCGGAGACGGACCTCACGTTGGTCATTGGCGCGAACGACACGGTGAATCCGATTGCATTGGAACCTGGAAGCCCCATAGCCGGGATGCCCGTGTTGCATGCGTGGAAGAGTAAAGGGGTGGTTGTGATGAAACGAGGCATGAGCAGTGGATATGGTGAGTTACCACAAACCCGCTCTCCTCCCTCTACGTTTTCCCCATTCCCAATCTCATACCTTGTGATCCTTCCCACCGTTACATTTTATCCTCTTATGTATAGTATGCGCTAACGACGACCCCCAGCCGACGTCCCGAACCCCATGTTCTACATGCCCGGCACGAGGATGCTGTTCGGCGACGCCAAGCAGACTTGCGACGCTCTCAAGGCGGCCTTGGAGACGAGGTACAAGGCGCAATTCCACGTCTAGAAGCGCCAACGCCTCGCTCATCGATAACGCACTTGGGTAGAGAGACCAATGGAGCAACCGTTTTCTTTTACACGGGATATTAGATTGCCGGACAGACTGGGGAGTCAATTGTTACAAGTTTCATTGAATAAGGGGCGGAGGACCAGACAGGGGAGCGAGAGGGGAACGGGACGGGCCTGGATGCTATGCAAGACACGACGGTGAGAGGGCCACGGACATGATGCGACACGAAACAAAACGACACGCTACGACACGAACACCCTCGTTAGTGGTCATTGCCAACATTGAAGAATATGGGTATCATCCATGCTCATACATACATACGTACATACGTGTGTGTATGTATGGGTATGGCCATGGCCGTGGATATGTATATGGACCACGATCCAAGACTGTCATCCACAAAGCTGCCGGAACGTCATACGGGATTCGTCCGTGGTACGCACCTTACCGAAATCCGAGTCCCGAAGCGTTGGAAGCCAGAGGTCAGAAGCCAGAAGTCCAATTCGCAGGACCGAGTCGAAGTCGGGCTGGTTGGTTCGCTGGCTAGCTGGCTGGCTTGCTTGCTGCTTGCTGGTTGATTGGTTGGTTGAAATGCACCGTCTTGTCGTCCGCGCCCGGGGGTTCAGAGATGGAAATGGAGAGGAGAGGGTTAACAAGATCGAAGATCGAATGTCGACGACAGATGGATAGATGAATCGAAGAATGGATGAGGCATTGAGACTTTCGCTCCCTTGTTTGCTTTTGTCTATTTGAATGGATGGATGGATGGACGGGTAAGAAGAACTACATACATAGACTAGTTCTATACGTGAAATCGGGGTAGATTTTGACAACTGACAACTGCAATGACATTGAACCTGAACCTGAACCTGAACCCTGCATTTACATTATTTGCACAGAAAAACAACAAGAATAGGCGCCTAGCCAAGAAGGCATCTTTCTATCCATCTATATTATATCCCGCTGTCTATCCAACGGAGAAAAAGAAAAGAAAAGCACTCCGACAGATGGGATGGGTGACGTTCTTTAAGCGGAGGCACAAGCACACAAACACCAAGACGTAGTGGCACCATCGCGACGCGGCTCACTTTTGCCGCACATCGACGGTCAACCCATCCAGAGACGTCTCCATTCCCGGCCGGACAAACGCCTTCGCTTCCTTGGTCAGGGTATCCGACAGCAGCAGCCTGATGGAGCCGCCGTCGACAAACCCAATCTTGCGGGCGACCCTGTGGCTGGCGACGTTGGAGTCGAACGAGGCGGCCCAAATATTGGGCACGCCCATCTCGTCTGTCCACCAGCGCAGCGCGGCCTTGGCGGCCTCGGTCGCGTAGCCCCTATTCGCGTGCTCTTCCGCGACAGCGTAGCCCAGGTCCGCGTACGGGAGCGGGTGGCGAAGGAACAGGGAGATGACGCCGACCAGCGTGTCGGTGCCGCGGAGGTAGACCAGGTGCCAGGGGTGCGAGGGGAAGGGTCTCGCGGGATCAAAGTCCTTGGGGAGAGGGTGGAATTTGGTGCAGCGGACGTCGGCGTCTTCGCGGCTGTGCAGGCCTGTGTCGCCCACGGCGCGTCTGGTAAAGTCGCTGTTGTAGATGGTCAGGACGGCGTCGTAGTCCGAGTCGCGCGCTGGGTCGAAGATCCGGAGATGAAGTCGTTCCGTGTAGATTATCGGAAAAGGTGACTCTGATGATGAAGACATTTCTTTCGCCCTCCAGGGGAAGAAACAAGGACCCGTTTCAAACCAGGCACAGAAGACTATTACTTACTCAGTCCTCCCTTTCTTCTTGACTGGTGTGTATGTCATGGGCGAGAAAGAATTTGCCATGGAAATTTGACAAATATCTTGTAAACATCCATATTTGAGCCCATCAACGGTTGCATCCAGACATGCACAAAAACCCACCGTGAGCACTATGCGACGAAAAGGATCTCCGGTTACATTCTGCCTTTGTAATCTTGTACCTGGCCCCCTAACCAGGTATAATATTGATCCTTCTCGTCGCTAGCATCTCGAGTATGACGTGGTCAGGCATAAGAAGCCACTCTCAATGGGTAGGATGTCAAGTCAGGCACCCGATGTATAGAGAGCCTCGTTCGAGCTGGACCAGGAAAGGAATCCTCGGCTCTGGAACGGGTACACAGTGACATCGTTATTCAGGTTGCATTTCACAAAGTCTTCGGAGAGTAAGCCGGCTCGGTTGGTGGTTGGCAAGGTGGCTGCAGCTGCAACTGAATTGTGTGGTTGGTATCGCTGATTCACGTGATGATAAGGTTATCTCTCGGTCACGTGGATGGAATACCAAGAGATCCCGCGTTTTATCTTTGCCGGGCGATTTCGCTCTCACACACCAAGCAAGGTTTGTGCTTATCGTGCTCACCGACGTTGTCCCTATCCTCAGACCCGACCCATGCATCGTTCCCGAATTGAGCGGCAAAATTGTTGAGCGGCTGACACGATGGTGCAATCGAGGAAGACGGCAGCCGACGGCGCAATTCGGGACTTTCAGCCTGGTCCGTGCTGAAAGCAGCCTTCACCATCGATCCACACACTACCACATCCTGCCTGATAGATAGCGGCGGGTCAGGCACTTGTCGGTGTCATGCCAGGTAGATGTCAACAGTAAGCGTCCTCCTCCCATTCTTATCTTCTCTGGCCTGTTCGGCTGGCTGGATCGATATCTCTCGCCCTTGGTCGTATTTGTACAAGGTGCCGGCGACAGATCTCTTTGCCCACCGGTGCATCTGGCAGAGGAACCAGTCGTCCTGGTTGTCCTTGGCCCAACCGACGAACAGCTCCACCCTCAGATGTTTGACCCACTTCCAGTCACTCTGGTGCAGTGCCTTGAAGAAATCGTCGAGGGAGAGACTGTTGCAGAGCACAAAGAGCCTCTCTGCTCCCGCTCGCTCGACCACCGGCCGGACTTCGTCGAAGATCTGTCGGCTGACCCGCAGGATGCGGTTGTCACAGTCCTGGTATATGGAGGAGTTGTGGGAGCAGGCGTCAAGGCGGAGTTGTTTGTCTCTCTCGGCACAGTGGCAGGGGTATATCGTGGTCGGTCGAACAAGGTAGGACCATATTTGCAGACGAATCTCGGGTGGAAGAGTGAACAAGGACGTTTCCATTGTTGTAGGAGGATCTTGTGCGCGCACACAGAAATAGCAACCACGACCAAGTCCTGAGTCCTGACGCTTTCAAAGTGTAAAGATCGGAGGGTGAAATGTATCGACGGTTGTATTTTTTGTGAAGAGTCAGAGCTGGGTGACGGAACAGCGGTGAGGTGAGATGAGGTGCAGACAGAGTTTTTTTGACGTGTATGAGATGGGAGGAGCTGAAGCGCAATGACTCGCGAGACCATCCACACACACCCTCACTCACTCAACACACACTCTCTGTCTCTCCAATGCGCAATGGCAGAGAGAAGAAAAATCACGAATACGACAATCGTAGGAAAATGATAGGGTGGACAAGGCTCCCAAGTTTGGGCTGAGGTTGTTGGGCCACAACCACAACCACAACCACATTCCAATTGTTCGGATCCCTACTTGGCCGTGGCACATGTTTTTGTACCACCACCACTACCCTCGTATTCCCTCAACCATGAAAGAGTGACACATCAAAGGCCAAAGGGTCGTGATTAGAACCAGTCTGGCATACATCGGATATCTTGACCGCCGCTCTGGCGCCACACCATACCTTGTACGAGTACATACATACATACATCATTGTGGGAAGTTCAGCCGGGTGGGTTTGACGGATACCAGGCACAGGGCGCAAAGCACAAGGAATGACCCACTATCGCTCTCTCTCGGCCCCTGCGTAGTTAGACCCATATGTACGAGGGTACCAAGTATGTACATAGCGTTTGGATCCCGTTCCGCACCGACACCGATACCGATAAGAGGCTGAAAACCCTCCTAAAACATTATCATGGTGAGCAAACGACGGTGAAATACTCGTAATTTAGTGCATGACGCACGCATGCATTGTGATTGTGATGGGCCCCCGCCCAGCCTAGGCAGAGATCCACCCACCACGCATCCAACCATCCATCCATGCCATGCCATTCCAATAATTAGTTGCCCGAATCCGGCTGATCCGTCGAGCAAGCACTCCAAAAAAAAAAGAAGAAAAAAAAGAGGAGCATGTTTGCTGCATGGCAAGGAGGATTACGGGTGTCTATCTAGCCAATTGTCTAGAAGGTAGATAGATAGGTAGGTATGTAGTGGTCCACTCGGTACAAAAGTATAAAGTATGAATCATGGTTCTGAAGTCGAGGTCGAGGATGATTATTGATGACTGACTGACTGATTGACTGACTGACCAACCGTGGGAAACCGTCGGGAAAAGGTTGAATGATTCGGCGAAGAGAGAGAGAGAAGAGGTAACAAAAAGGAAAGACCTACATATATTACATACATACTTGCAGCCAGTCCAGATCATTTTTGCTGCTTCTTGCTGTTCAGCCAACTGGAATGGACCAGTGTCATTAAATAGTCAATGCGTCTGTGGGTATGTACAGATATAGACATGAAATCGCCAGGAAAGGAGGTATTCATTCTCAGCGGCTTCGCCCCTGACTAACGTAGTTGTTACACGCCCGATTTGTTTATATTGCGCGAATGCTCTGGTGCAAAAGCAGTACACGCAACTGAGAGGTATCCCCCTGCGCCATCTCTGCAAGAAGTAGAAATGCAGTGCGATTGATGTCGTTGCCAACTTCGACCCTCACTTTACATGCAACGCGCCTGGGAGCTTACTCATAGCCTCCCTTAATTCCGCCCGTGTATCACAGGCCGCAAAGACGAAGCGGTCAGGTCTGACAATCACGTACTTCTTGCCCTGTATCTCCTCGCGAAGCCGCAGCTCGTCATAGCCGATCGGGGCAGGTCGGTTCTTGCAGAGGAGCGCATCGGCAGCGAATTCGTCTCCGGTCGCGATCCGGGCTACCTGCTGGGCGGGCATGTCTTGGGCAGATATCGAGGCCTTTGTGTCTTGGACGAGCACCGTGGCTTCCTCACCAAGAACGAGATTGCCCGAGAGTTGGCAGATGGTCTCAAGATCTGTTGTAAGTGGCTGGATCTGGCTGACTTGGTCAGGCAAGACGAGCAGCTGGAACAGCCCCTTTTTCTCCGAAGAGAAGATGAAATCATCCGTGAACTCGACCTTGTTTTTCCTGAAGTTGAATGCATAGATTTGCGGGAGGAGCAAGCCACCTCCCATGTCTCCCAAAAATGCAAGTCCGGGACTGTATCGATATTTTGTCATGCCGAGTGCTCGGGCGCCTTTCTGGAGTTCTCTCCTCCAGCTGGGCACCAGTTGAACCGCCCACATATACCATTCGCGAATGAAGACCTTGATAGGGTCCGATTCTGTCACATATGCCCCATTCTGAATGGTGGCGGCCAGTGAGCGCTCAAGCTGTTGCTTTCGTTCGGTATACCATGCTGTCAACACGGCCTCGTGGTCTGTTGTCGGGTGCTGGTGTAGCAATGCAAGTCTCCAGGCCAGTGCCGACGCATCTCGAAACCCAGAGGCAATGCCTTGTCCGCCTATCAACCAGTCAGATTGGTCACAAAACAACACCAAAATCCACAGAAGCGGTTGCGCTTACCAAAAGGAGGGAAGACATGAGCTGCATCACCAGCCAAGATGACCCTTCCCAAAGCCCACTTGTTGCAGCTCCTCGCCACAAAAGAGAATGGTCGCGATCGCAACGTCTTGATGCAATCCTCAGGAAACCTGACAGGGTGTTGGAGACCGTACCAGCTTCCGGGATGGGTGAGATACGGATAGATGATCTTGCTAGTCTCCCCAGGTGTGGCCATTTTGTAGCCGTCCTCGCCTGCCAATACAACGAACTCGAACCTCCACAACCGATCTGATTTCAGGCCGAACCTTCCGCATACTGACGGCCGCTTAGGATTGCAGAGAAAGCGAAACTGTTTCGGGAAGAACCGATCGTAGACTTGCTCAGGCGTGTATCCGAGCCTCCACAGGGGAAAGTCTGGGTGAGTCTTTTCGGTGGGTAGAGTGATTTGCCAATTCAACGCGACCCAGGTCTCCTCGTAGTCCGACCTATGTCTCTGTTCAGCATGAATCGTCTGGGAAGAGAAGGAAAGAGGCTCACTCTTTGCATCGTTCCAGGATGACGCCTTTCGGCTCGAGATAGCACTTCCTGACATAGCCCGTCTTCCCATCTGCCCCGACCATAAATGGAGCTGTTACTCTTCGAAGCTGTCCATGCGCATCCTTGTACTCGACGGTCACTCTTTGAGGATCTTCCGATATCCCAATCACAGTAGACTCGGTCCGGATTTCAGAACAGGGGATTTTGTGGATCTCGTCTCGAATCGCCTTCTCCATCGCTGGCTGCTTGTGGCATATGAACCCAACATGCCCAGTACCTCCCTCGGTAGTCGCGTAGTCCATGGTGAGGAGTGGCTTTTTGTAGAAGTTTGGCTCACTGCCAGTGACAAAGTTGAACACCTCCATACCTGGTTTCATTAATATCAGGCAAAGAGACCTATTTCCACATAACAGCTGTACAAGGTGTTTCACTCACATGTCCCAATCTCTGTGTATACCTTGTCGTAGATCCCAATTGACTGTAGTATTCGGATGCCGTCTTCGTCCAAAGCGATGCCTCTCGGGTCAGTTGTAATGCCTTCCTCTCTTTCCAGGACGATGTTTGGCACTTTCATCGCCCCGAGCAGGGCTGACAGCATCGTACCCGTCGGGCCGCCACCGCATATGATGACTCCAGTCTCCTCAACATCAGATATCCTTTGAGACATACTGTCAAGCAGAGTATTTATGAGGAATTCCTGGTGTCTCCAGCAATGCAGTTGGTGTAGTTCTGACCTGTCGATCGATCACAGGACAAAAGACTGACGCACTGACCAGAATCGCGTTCATGAATGAAGTCAAACACGGAATTATATGGCAAACCTCCTAGAACACCGACCCCAGCTACTACCACCGGCAACCCTGGCACTTTGAAAGTCCCGAGGATCATTCCCAGGCGCCGCAAGCAAGAAATGTGGGACGGTCCTTGTGGGGTTATTTGTGAGGTATTGAGGCATGTTGAGCGTTGGCTCTTTTCAAGCCGAAGAATGACAATCATAGACTCGCACCCACACAAAGTCAACTGATCTTGTGGATGTACGGCATATTGGTTGTTCCAAAGCTGCTCGTACTGTGGCGGACCCTTCGCCTTCAGACCAAACGTCCCACATTCTGTAGTTTATATCCCCACAAAACTTCTGGCCAGATTGAGGCGGGGTAGAGCATGCACTATGGCGGCGTCGATGAGGACCGTGGGTTTCAAGAGCCAGTTCAGCTTGAAGTTCTCAAAGTTCGATGCCTTAGGGAATTGTACCGAGGGCGGGATGCTCAAGGGATCATGCGCGATCAACCCCGGCGAAGAGGAGTAGAAATGAGGCTTCCAGCAGCATTATCCTTAGGGGCGGCCTACGGTGGTGAGATATATCTCGGGCCGACGTGATGGCATTGATCCGCACACGGATTGGAAAAAGGACTGGATATGATAGTGTCGATCCTGTTGTCAAAAGGCTAGACAGACAGAAAGCAACTGTGTCGCTATCGCAGGCTGTCAGGCTGCGATGCACGTGACAAGAGTGTAAGAGATCTCTAATTGGTCAGCCTTGCGTAGATCCAGGCTTGCGCTTCCCCTCCTCGGGCGGGACGGCCAAGCCTTCAAAGGTTCCCCGGATTTCTCGACGAGCCGCGCGAGTCTCTTTCTCTCCCCCCACAAACCAAGAGATTCTTCTACCTTTCTATCACGTTATGAGCAGGCGGTCGGTGGTTGAGTCACTCTATCACACTGATATGGAGGCATCTTTGTCTCCCGGCCTGCATACTCCCGGCAATGCCTAATCCCACTGCGGTGCAAGCTCCTAAAGATGGTCCGCGGGGCCGCCGGGGCGCCAAAATCAGACAATGCTCAACCTGTGGTCGCACCTTTGCGAAGGCTGATCACCTAGAGAGGCACATCAGGTCTCATACCAAGGAGAAGCCTTTCGTCTGTGCGAGCTGTGGCAGGAAATATGGTCGACAGTAAGTGGTGACCGCGATCGAAAGTGCATGTGCGTCAGCTAAGGTCCCTTTTAGCGATACGCTGCTGCGGCATCAGAAAGAGCACTTGGCAGAGGATGGTTCTCTGGCTGCCGTGAAGGATAAGCGCCGGTCAAGCAACCCATTGCGATCAGAGGATGACCAAAGAGGGTTTTCTCCCACAACAATACCGCTTGACTGCACAGCTGTCTTGCAAGAACAGCCTGACCCAATCCTGATTTCCACGATTAGCCCGCCTCTGAATGTGTCGCCCTCTACTTACCTCAAGGATGGCAAAAGCTATCAGGAGGGCCAAATGGACACCACCGCCTCAACTGATGTCTACTCGAATGCAGTCCCCCCTGATCAGTCAGGGAGTGGATTTGATCCTTCGCTCGACGTCTTCAACTTTGATTTCGAGGCTCAATTTCCTTCATGGCTGGTGGACAGCGACTTGCACGGTGGGATTTTGGACACTCCTCTGGTCGCTACTATGGCAGAATTGCGCCCTGCTTGGCCCGAAAGCCCCATCGCTACGTTCGGTTCGAGCAATCACAAACCTGTCTCCAACACGAAGAGGCTCTGGTTCATGGCCAACGAGGACGCTCAGGAAGAAGTGACGCGATCTGGGCCGGCGACACCTCCTGGATCTCGGGACGAAGTTGACGATACGTACCGTCAGACGTTGACGCAAAGTCTGCAAATCCGGCCTGTCCAGGAACATACACTTCCATCGGCGGACTTTTTGAATCTGTGCGTTCGGTCGTATTTTGCACGATTCCACCCGGTATTTCCAGTGGTGCACGCACCCACGTTTCGTCCTTCAAAAGCCAACTCCATGGTCCTGCTATCAATCTGCTCAGTCGGGAGCCTCTTCACGGGCAGCGTGCATGCTATTCGACAGGGCGTGCACATATTCGAGAGATTGCACAAGGCCGTCCTTGCGAATTGGGACCGACTGATTGCGCAAGGTGTAGATCAACGAATCTCTCTAATCCAGACAGCCATCATCGGGCAAACCTTCGGTTTACTGTCTGGAGAGCCGAGACATCTTGCTATTGTCGACGCTTTCAATGGGACACTAATTTCATGGGCACGCCGTTGGTCGACCTTCAAAACTAAAAAGATGGTGGGACTGGACCTCAATGTCAGTTCCGCCGAATTGGATAAGAAGTGGAGAGAGTGGGCGAAGAACGAAGAACTGATACGGATTGCCCTCAGTGTGCACATACACGACGCCGAGCTTGCCGCTACATTCCATCACGAACCGTTCCTTCGCCACAATTCCAGACAACTGCCGGTCGCCGCATCAAATCAGACGTTTATGGCCACTCGGCCTGAAGACTGGCGCCAATCGTACCTCAATGACCCCAGCAACTTTGAAAGCATTGGTTCTACGCCGGCGTCAATCGATGCCCATCTGGACTTTGATCTGGCTGCAATCCCCAATGACAGCTATTTCACGGCATATACAGTTCTGGAGGGCATATGTGCAAACATTGTCGAAAACCGAATCAATGCCCGTTCAACGCCGTCAAGGACTGAGGAGATATTGAACACGTTGACGTCTTTCTACCGAACGTTCCTGCAAGAGTCGGCCGCGTGGGAAGCCGATCACATGGACATGAGCATTCTCTGGCATCTGGCCTTCATGATCATGTTCGCCGACTTTGATCTTCTGGAGAGAGCCATCGGGCGAAACGGACCAGAACTATCACCCGAAGATCAACTTGCCGTTACCGCTTGGGCAAACTCAGATCAGGCCAAGAGGTGCGTAGTCCACGGGTTGATTGTGCAAAAGAAATTGGAGAATCTTCCGCTCGGTTTTGAGCCCGCCATCCACGTACCTAGGGCCATGTTCAGAGCGGGTATTGCCTGGTTTTGCTATACTCGATTCGGCTCTCAAGGTGTTGGCCAACGAGCAGGGGCCGCTGAGGCCCTGGAGTTTCCAGAGTTCAAAACAATTGGCGTCAATCCAGCGTTACTTCTTTTCCAAGCGAGTGGATATAAGCACGGCAAGCCTACCACGACTGAGACCAATGCGGCCCTGAGTGGACTGACAGACCTGTTGAGGCGGATCGGTCACTGGGAAATTGCGCGACGATTTGCCGCCATTCTCGGTGCTCTCCTTCACAACGAAGCTGACTAAAGTCTTGAGAGTTTCGATCGCGTGGGCTTTTTCAGTAATCTGATCATGCGTGCTCCAGCATGGCCTCCATGGTATCTGTGGTCGCCCCTTGTGGCAACAGAGCGTCTTCCCACAAGAGGAAGCCACATCGTGATCTCTGCCACAACATACACCCGAGATGGTCGTATTCGAATATAAAATTTGACATGGCTTTGCCTCTGACATGACAGCCGCATCGATATTGCGAGCTCAAAAACCCCTCAGCTGACGAGGTCGCACGTACTACGAAGCCGAAGTGGACTTCTGCAAGCTGGCCCGCCACCACATGGCATCTAGTGCAATAGGAGCAACACGGAGAACACCCGAAGCATGAGGACAAGAAAGAAAAGCAAAAAAAGGACGAAAATCGGCGACTCCAGGTAAGGTCCTCGATTCCAATGGCGACGAGGCGAGGATCACCTATTGTGGGTTGTAGCCTCTCGTGGGGGTTGCCGCCTCGAAAAGGCTCTTCCTCCGACATCCAATAGCCCCAATAGATCAGCCACCAGGACCATCGTCATCCATTCACCTTGAATCATTGTGGAGGCAAGGCTGTATCTCGCTTCTGCGCACGCGGATAGTCGAGTTGGACCTACTCAATCGGGTTAGTCAGCCCCCAGTACCCTTAAGGTCCTCACTTTTTGCTTGGGCAAATCCTTGACGCTGTCAAGCAATTAGCTAAATCTCACGGCAAGAGCTTACAGTATCCGGTTATCCTGTTCGAGGGGGGAAACGGTTAAAAGGCCGGTACACGCTGCCTGCGTGGTGGTCGTGGTCCAATTCTTGTCTCTCTATACTCCTGCGGACGAGCACCATGGCCTCCAATTCATCCACCGACTTTGGTGGAAGCACCTTCGATCCAGAGAACGTCAACCTGACCTCTGCTGACCCTCGAGATGTCATCTGCGCCCTGGCCGAGTCCGGGAATGACTACAACGGTCAACTGGGCGCCAGAATCTCAGCCCTGTTTGTGATTCTCGTCGTCTCATCGGCCGCGACATTCTTCCCCGTCATCGCAAAAAGGATGCCCCGTCTTCACATTCCGCTCTATGTTTACCTGTTTGCGCGGTATTTCGGTGCCGGAGTCATTGTCGCCACGGCATTCATCCATCTCCTCGATCCAGCGTATGGCGAGATTGGTCCTCAAACTTGCGTGGGCATGACAGGTGGTTGGGCCGATTATTCGTGAGTGTGCCGTGGCTGCATTGCCATCAACTCCCGTGTCGACGTGACAAAACAGCTGACCCTTACCGATAATGTAGATGGTGCCCGGCCATTGTGCTCACGTCGGTGGTCGTGATCTTCCTCTTCGATTTTGGAGCCGAACGATATGTCGAGGTCAAGTACGGAATCGACAGTGAAGCAGACCTGCAGGAAGCGGTAACCGGGTACACGGACAGGACACCGAGCGAGGCTCAACGCGAGCGGGCGGAGAGCATGGCGTCGATGCGGCGCGAACACGAAGAGCGGCGGAAGTCGTCGGCGTATGAGAAGCGATTCGTCGAGGATTTCGCTGTGGACCAGGAGGATAGCGAAGCACGGCAGAACTCGTTCCGGCAACAGATTGCGGCTTTCCTGATCCTGGAATTTGGCGTCATCTTCCACTCGGTCGTCATCGGTCTGAACCTGGGCGTTGTGGGCGACGAATTCAGCACGCTCTACCCGGTCCTGGTCTTCCACCAGTCCTTCGAAGGGCTCGGTATCGGCGCGAGAATGTCGGCCATCCCATTCAAGTCCAACAGCTGGCTGCCGTGGATTCTCTGTGCGGCCTACGGGCTGACGACACCCCTTGCCATTGCCATCGGTCTCGGCGTGCGCACGACGTACAACCCCAACTCGTTCACGGCCAACGTAGTCAGCGGGGTCTTGGATGCCATGTCGGCCGGCATTCTCATCTATACTGGGTTGGTCGAGTTGCTGGCGAGGGATTTCCTGTTCAACCCGCTGCGGACAAAAGACAACAAGAGACTGGCGTTCATGATCGTGTGCGTGTTGCTTGGTGCGGGTCTAATGGCATTGCTTGGGAAATGGGCTTGAGAGACTGGGTTTTGTGCAAGTGTTTGTTGACCAACCATATAGACTGCGACGGACGAGGAGGATCTATTGGTAGAAGCGGTTGTCTCAAGTACCTGTCGCTTTCTCCAAGACATGCCTGTTGCAGATGTTTTTCAGGTTCTGTCCATATACTGTATGTAGTACAACTGTTGCCCGAGTCTGTCAGCAAATGTTACAAGAGACACGGCAAGCGAGAAGAGAGATGTCACATACCGGCATGATAGTATTCAAACCTGTCTCTGTGCTTTTATGACCGCGAGGTCTCAACGACGAGGCTCCCGTGGGTTATACATTGTCTAAAGGATGTTACGCGGCTCTATTCCAGATCATCAGCGTTGGACTTGGCTTGTTCTTGTCTTGATTGCTCCCGCGGCCCGCCAGCCAAGCCTAACTTGGCTATTGCAGTACAAGTACAAGTATAAAGTGCTCGTTGACACTAAGCTAGTTGACAGTAGTAGTAGATATCTGCCTGGGGAGGATGCCTCGGTAAGGGAAGCTCTGGACATTCTTAGGTACTTGGGTACTTACCCAGCCAGTGCCTCATACAGCAAACACCATCATCCGGATCATCCCCACACAATCTTTGTCGATTCATGGCGCTTTATCTCTCAAGTTCGAGTTCTGTCGATATCTTATCTCTCATGACCCCTTGATCGTCCCCTATCCGCAACCGCTGTCCATACACAATCACAGCTCCAGTAAAGAAACCCCAAGGAGCTTCTTATCCATCATCCGCCCAAGGCAGCGGGCGCTGCCCGGTTGGCTACTCGGTACCGAGTACAAACCATCCCCCTCTACCAAGTCCTTCCAAGCTCCCAAGATCCTCCTCCTCCTCCTGCATGGTTCTCGGGCCGCTCCCCCAACGGGTCTCATCACAATCTTTACTGGTTTAGGGAGGTCGATGGCGGCTATTGACCGATAAGTCTTTGCCGCCAAGTAGTGGCTCCCGAATACTGGGTCCTTACAACTGGCCTCTCTTATCAAGGGACATGTCCGACCTTCGTCCTCCGCCAAGGTCTAGACCATACATTTTGGGTGTCCTTGGGGACGTCGCTTATGGTGGTGCTCGTTGATTTAAAAAGTGGAGGGCAAGTTAAATATATGGATGGATGGATGGATGGCCATGTGGGATCTGGAAAACTCGTCCCTGTCTCATCCGCCATCCACTTCTGGAGAAGGTGGGATATTGTTTTTTTTTTTTCTTTCCTCTTCGATCTCCCCTCTCTAGCTTTCCCCCTCCCCTAGTACTTCCTCGAGGGAAAACCATATCATATGGCCGGCAACATGGTCGCTGACGCGAAGACCACTGCTGAGATCCACAACGATGCCATTGGAACTCCACACTCAGACGTCTCTCTGCCGGGCGACAAGGAATCGACACTCGAGGCACGCGAGATCTTCAAAGATGGCCACGAGGGCGTCATGTTCCGCACCGTCAGCTGGCAACGGGCCACCATCATCTTCCTCAAGATCCAGTTCGCCATGAGCATCCTCGCCGTGCCGGGGGCGTTGGCCACCTTGGGAGCTGTCGGGGGAGCTCTGTCGATCGTGGGGTGGCAGACATTGAACACTTGTGAGAGAGCTCTACCTTGACCCAGGAGAATGTGACGGGAGATGACCACGAGAATAACTGACATGTTTTCAAAATAGACACGGCCGTCATCTTGGGAGACTTTCGCAATCGTCACCCTGAATGCCACAGTAGGTCCACTCCCTCCAGGTCTCTTCAGGGGTGGCTTGATTAGAACTACCCTCCCTCGTCTAACCTCCAAATACGCAGCACTCGCCGACATGTGCGGCCTCATCTGGGGTCGCGTGGGTAAGGAACTCGTCGGGCTCCAAATCCTCGTGGCCCAGGTGCTCATCACGGCGGCGGGGATCGTGTCGTGCTCGACGGCCTTCAACGCGCTCTCGGAGCACGGGGCCTGCACCGTCGTCTTCAACTTTGTGTCGGCCGTGCTGATCACGCTCTTCTCGTCGGTCCGGACGTTCTCGCGGATCGGATGGCTGACGTGGCTGGGCTTCACCACCTTCTTCATCGCCGTCTTCATCTTCGTCGTGGCCGTGACGCAGCAGGACCGTCCGGCCGCGGCGCCGCCGACGGGCGACTTCGACCTCGGGTGGGTGGCGATCGCGCACCCGACGTTCGTGGCCGGGATCACGGCGAGCGCCAACATCTTCATCAGCGGCAGCGGGTCGCAGATGTACCTGCCCGTCATCTCGGAGATGCGGCGGCCGCGCGACTACCGCAAGGCGGCGGTGGTGGCGGGCATCCTCGTCGGGGCCATGTACCTGACCTTCTCGCTGGTCATCTACCGGTGGTGCGGGCAGTGGCTGGCGACGCCCGCGTTCGGCAGCGCGGGCACGCTGTTCAAGAAGATCTCGTACGGCGTGGCGCTGCCGGGCCTGGTCATCGGCGTGGGCATCTACCAGCACGTCGCGGCCAAGCTGATCTTCGTGCGCGTCCTGCGCGACTCGCGCCACCTGCAGGCAAACACCCTCGTCCACTGGTCCACCTGGCTGGGCAGCAACCTGGTCCTGGGCGTTCTGGGCTTCATCATCGCCGAGGCCGTCCCCATCCTCAACTACCTGCTCGGCCTCGCGGGCTCCATCTGCTTCGCGCCCTTTAGCCTCATCTTCCCGGCCATGCTGTGGATGTACGACTTCAAGGCCTTTGCCCGGGGGAGTGGCGCCCAAAAGACAATCTACGCCTCGCACATGCTGATTGTGCTGGTCGGCATGTTCATGGTCGTCGGGGGGACGTAAGTTGAACCTTTACTTCCTGTTTTGATTACCTGCATCTCGCTTTAACCACGCGCCATTTTTTTCTTGTCTCCCTACCTTCCTCCCTTTTGCGAGTGTGTGTGTGAGTGAGTGTATGTGTGAGTGCGGATACGACTGATAGTGTCACTAACGTCTCGCTCGGGAAACAGATACGGCGTGGCCGTCTCGATCAAAGACGCTTTTGACAACGGACTGATTTCCAAAGTCTTTGACTGCGCCGATAACTCGGGCACCATTTCCTGATTTCTCGGAGGCCGGTGGGTGGTCAGGTCACCAGCCAGCGGATGGACACGGCATACAGCGAGCGCACAGCACAGCATGGCACGACCGCGACAGAATTTTGAAGAAATGAAAGTTTTTTTCCTCAGAAAGAGAATTCGCCAGTACTTGTAGTTAACACGGGACCACTGTTGTGTAAGAATTGTGGATTGTGAAGTAATTAGTACCTCGCTAGTCCCAGAGCCAGAGCCAGTCCAGTCCAGCCCAGGTCTCAATCGCGGTCGCGGTCGCGGTTGCAGTCGCAGTCGCTGAGCCACATACCATACACCATACACCATATTCTACGGTGACGGTATACGAAATGTGATGTCCAATATGCCACATGCCATACCATGCTCAAACCCACACCTACACATTCTCCCCCTTTCCATAACCCACATCTACACCATACCTACACCTACCTACCTACCGACCTAGCACGTCCACGCTGCCGCCTTCGAGGGTATAAAGGCTCTCACAGCATACAGAGAAGAGCGGAATGTAAAGACATGAACCGGGTACTCGGGTTATTGTCTTTTCTTGGGCCATGAGCGGGGCGGGGTGGGGGCTCGTCATCTGCATATTGTAGATCGACATTGAAAGGTGGCTTGTGAGCTACCGGGCCGGACACAGACACGAACCGTAGTCAGGACTGGGTAGTCAGCACTGCGCGGTGGTCGTGGTGGTGATAGTGAGTCCTAGGTGGTAGTCGAATTCGTCCTCTCTCTCTCTCTCTCTCTCTCTCTCTCTCTAGCAAGAGTGTCTTGGTTGGCCAAAAACATGACTTGAATCACCGTGTTCTGTCCGTCATCTTCGTCTTCGTCTTCAATCCACTGCTTCGATCGCTACATGTATACAGAAGGAGAAACTCCTTTGTGAACCCTCACTGGACGACAGGACAGGACAGGACAGGACAAGATGAGGTAGCTGAGGAGGCTGGCAACAGAAAAAGGAGAACTTCAGCCTCGTCACGTGGATTGCCAGCTCCCCAGCCACCCACATACTCTACATGCGTACATACGACGACTCCCTCTCCCACGACTGGGAAGTGATTGACTGGCTGACACATTGGCAATGCTGGGCTAGTTGATAAGCCCCTACCACACTAACTCTGGGGAGAACAAAACGTGGAAGAATCCTCGGTCAATATTGAGATGCTCCTTGAAAAGAGGTTTATCTGGTGGAGGTGTGTATGTACATCGGGAATGGCGTGGCAATGGAAGGTGCTGCGGAGCTGTCGCTTTCACGACCAAGAGTTCTCTCTCTCGGCAATGAGAAACTCCTGGCGTGATCGGCGACCATCGCTAAGCGAGCCATCTTCGAGGGCGGTTGAAGTCAATGGCCCAAGCACGCGCCACAGCATACACTCCTCAAAAGTAAATGCATGCTGGAATGGGTGGTTGTGTATTGCGAAGCCATCCTTCTTGACGACGCGGTAGGCATTTTGACTGCAGCAGCCTTCTGATAGAACTCGAACTTCGACGAGAAATGTCACGATATCGGCACATCCAACTGACTGCATGATTATTTCACTTGCCAGTTGCATTTGTGAACAGTGCGGTCGTCATGTTTTCCCGCAGTTGAGCCTCAGGAAAATGTAGCCGAGATAGTACCTCGTACACAAGCCCTTTCTATCACTATTCCTGAATTTTGTCTTGCCCTCGTTTTGGATGACGGACCAACATCTCAGAACTTGGTTTGGGATGACGCAGGAGCACCGAGCTCCACTTGTCTCATACCTGGTCCTGGCAAGATTGATTTCTCGGAGAGGGTACATGCGGCATCTTGAGATTCTGTCTCATTGTCGATGATATGCTCGTGCTCGAAATGCGGGTTCTCCATGCACAATCCTAGGCATATTCGCTCGAGGTCAGCAGCAAGAGAGCTCGCGAGTCCCTTTGCTCCCCTCAAAACAGTGCGGATTCTGGGCTCTTGCAAAATGTGGAGAATTCTGAAAAGAACCGCTTTTGCCAGCGTATCCGAGAAATTTGGATCCAGATGTTCGATTTCTTTTCGATCAGAAGTCCAACATGTCACAGGCTGTCGATCAAGCCGGCCTCCGCTTCACAAACTCTTCCAGATCACTCCTAGTGACGACTCCCAGCACGAACTTTCTACCCCCATCCGTCACCACAGCAAAATCTTGTTTAGCACCTGTCGCCAGCGGCCCGATATCCTCGAAAAATCCTTCAAGTTCCCATAACTCGGTCTCCATTGTGACAACTTGATATTTCTTTCCGCCTCCTCGCTGGAATTTCACCATGGCTTTTGAAACTGGGTCAGAAGGCTGCAGGTGTCCTGACTCGAAGAGTTGCTTCAGCTTAGAAATCGGCAGGTAACCCAGAAGGGAGCGAGTATTGTCGGAGAGGACGGTCAAGTGCGAGTAGTCATGGGACGAAGCCGAGAGCATGGCAGAGGCAAGTGACGTGCTTGGAGATGTCGACAGTGCAGGGGGCAGGTCCAGGTCTGCTACAGTGGCGCCTCGATATTTATCTGCCCAACTAGACAATCTTGCAGCCCGTTCGTCTTCTTCAGGAGGAAGTCCGTTGGGCTGAGGGACGATTGTCGGGCCCAGAGGCACGCCCTGCTCGAGATGGGATTGAGAATGTTCCATGGCTTGCGTCAGTGTCAGATCAGAGCAAAGTAGTGTTTCTGGTCAGAGATCTGAAGGTGCTATCGTGTCATACTAAAAGGGCGAGACATAGGTGCCGGCTGCAATGGAGGAACCACAAGAGTTTCTTCTCAATTTTAAGATTGATCTCGTGATATTTGCGGCTGAAGGCTTCTGTGAGGAGCCGTAGTCGTGACGTACTGGGTTGACTGGATGGGGAGAGCACGGATCCAGCATCCTCTGGAGGAACAGCCCACCCAAGCCATCTTCCCCAGGCCCGAGGGACAGGCCCCATCACTACATTCATTACCTGGACAGCACTGCCAATCACAGAGCTGCGGTGATAGCAACACTGACGTCCAGCTTGTAACCCCCAGTCCCCCTCGCTCCCACATGCAGTTGGTCGCTTCCTTGAACCAACTTGCTCCCTCTTCACCTCTCGACTTTTTTAATCGTCACTCGTCGTTCATTTCCACAGTACCGCCATCCATCTGCCGCAGTCTATTCATCCATCAAGACTCGAGGTATTTCCCCCTCTTACGCACCATCCCTCTGCCTTCACACAACAACAGCTCGTTAGCTCGTTTACTTAGCTTGCTCAATTAAAAACCCCGGAGATAAGCTGATCAGGATACCCAGAACAGCACCATGGTCGGGCTCTTCCCCAACACGACGGCCTTGTCCCAGGCATTCACACCTACCTCTCCGTATTACAAGCCCGCTCCGAAACCAATTGAGAACCTCGAAAAGCGTCGAATCTTCTCCTCATGGAGTGCGGCCGAATCCGCCAAAGACAAGGCGGTTGAACTGAGCGAAGCTGCCCAAAAAGAATACGAGAAGGCCAGCGCAAAGGCCCAAGCCAAAGTTGGGGGCATTGAGCTCTATTCCGCCAAGTACTATGCCGCTTGTACCGCTGGAGGTATCCTGGCATGCGTATGTTGATGGCTTTGCTCCTGCACCGTGCTGTCGGAGTTAACGCGCAACACAGGGTATCACTCATGCAGCCGTCACCCCTCTCGATCTCGTCAAATGTCGTCGTCAGGTCGATCCCAAACTTTACAAGGGCAACTTTCAGGCCTGGGGCACCATCGCCAGGACTGAGGGTTTCCGGGGCATCTTCACAGGTTTCGGCCCGACGTTCTTTGGGTACTCGGTGCAAGGAGCTGGCAAATATGGCTTCTACGAATACTTCAAGCATTTGTACAGCGAACTGGCCGGTGAGGATAATGCTCAAAAGTACAAGACCACACTCTACTTGACTGCCTCCGCTTCGGCCGAATTCATTGCCGACATTGGTCTCTGCCCTTTCGAAGCCGTCAAGGTCCGTATGCAGACCACCATACCACCTGCATACTCCGGTACCCTCAATGGGCTGTCGACAATCACGGGTAAAGAAGGAATTGGCGGGTAGGTCCAAATCTGCAGAGTTCGGCGTCTGGTGATGCTGACAGCTTTCAGTCTGTACAAGGGTCTCTATCCTCTATGGGGCCGACAGATTCCGTATACTATGATGAAGTTTGCCTCGTTCGAAAACATCGTTGCTGCCATCTACAATTACCTGCCCGGCAGCAAGTCCGACTACGGCAAGGGTGCTCAGACAGGAGTGGCTTTCGTCGGTGGTTATCTCGCTGGTATCCTCTGTGCGATCGTCTCGCATCCTGCGGACGTGATGGTCAGCAAACTCAACGCAGAACGTGCCCCGGGTGAAAGCTTTGGAGGTGCCATGGGCCGCATCTATTCCAAGATCGGCTTCTCGGGTCTCTGGAACGGTCTTCCTGTCAGAATTGTGAGTTTAGAGCACCGGACAGTGGAAGAGAATACGCTTTGCTAATACTCTCAAACCTCTCCAGGTCATGATCGGAACCCTAACTGGCTTGCAATGGATGATCTACGACTCGTTCAAGATCTTCATGGGCCTCCCTACAACTGGAGGTGCTCCGGAGAAGAAGCAGACTGCTTAGATGTAGAACGTGTTGTCAAAGTCAACGGGGACGAGAGAAAGATGGGAAGAGAATTAATTTGCCAGGGCTGGGCGGCCGTTAAACGAATTACTGTACATGACACCGGGCACTGGCTGCCAGAAGGAAGGATTTGATAGCTCAACTCCTGTATGAGTTTTAGGACAATCAGGCGATGATTAAAGATGTGACAAGCCTTACGAGGTACAGAACCGTGGCCCCAAGCTCCGTTCTCCGTTCTCCGGACTCGGTACTGCTGGGTGGGCATGCATCTTCGCTTGGTCCGACTAGTATACAAGTGCGAGGCATGAATGGACGAACGGGGGGTCGGGATTGGCCATTGATAGCACAAGGCTGGGCATGCCATGTTAGCGAATCTTGGCCAACGTCAAAAGAAAACTTGGTGTTTGGTCCCAATTTCAGCCGTCAATCACTGGACGTCATGTTGAGCAAACCGACCATGGGCGGCTGCTGGGGGCGCTCCGGGCGCTGGGCGAAAGTCACACCATTAATTTGCTGCGCCTGGTGGCGCCCGCAATTGCAGTTTGTCAGTTGCAATTGTCATGGCATTTCTTGGTCTGCTCGGATAGCACCGAGTATCCTCTGCCCATTATCAGCACCTCACCGACTCATAGTTGGTCATCCTCTGCCTTCTTCCCTTCAAATATCCTACGCGAACCAGCCTCAGCCCTTCTCAACTTCCACAACCCGATCAACATAAGCTACCCAATTTGCAACTCTGAGAGACATCGATATTACTGCGGTGAGTGACTCACCTTCACCTTTCACGCAAGCTTCGCTTTGGGCTTGTGGGGCCGTCTTCCCTGGCCCCGTCTTCATTGTCACCCGAGTTCGAATCACGAACAACGCGCACCCACAACGTGCGCAGGGCCGAGAACTGGAACCCTTTGGCTGACTTGTACCTCGTACTCCGCACAGACCCCGAACCACCCCGTACATGACAATATGACCAACGTCGTCTCTCACGGTCGCGGAGGTAGGTCGAGCATGCCTCCAAGCACATCCCAGCGTCCTAACTTTCACAATTTAGGTGCCGCCAACATTGGCCCCGATGATCAGACCTACGTCGATGGAGGGATAGTGCGTGAGGGCCCGGTTGGTGACCAGGGCGACGGACCGTACTCAGCAGGTCGCGGTGGTGTCGGAAACATCGAGCATGATACGAAGCCAGTGGCGGGCCCGCCGCACGATGCAGATGTGATTCCCGAAACTGCCACCCGTGTTGCGAAACTAGAATCTCATCACGTCGGACGAGGCGGCGCAGGAAATGAAGAGCATGTGCACGAGAAGAAGCACGAAAGCTTTATCGACAAGATCAAAGCATTCTTTGGCTCTTCATCGGTCAAGAAGTAAGAATGACATGACTGGAGGGGACGAGTTTCGAGAAGCTGAAGCGATTGATGATACCCTAATAATACCGTGGCTTCTCCGGGCGTTGTCAATCTAGAAAGCAAGCTTTGGGCGTGGGCACAGGCAGAGAATCCTAGACAGAGAGACTTAACAGGCAGAGACTTGACAGGGGTGTAGCAGAAGTGCTAATTACTCTGTAAATGCATCCTCTACGAAATCAGTCACATGGGTCATCCCCCGTGCTTGGGTGGCAACCACCGTGTGCCTCATTTTCCCCCCAACCGCTGGGCTGTCAAGCAAGGGTGGTTGAGTCAAGTGGACAATGGGACAGGCTGGAAATCTCGCTGTAACCCAACAACCGCGGTGACCTAGGACAATGGAGGACTTTGATTCGAAGACGCCCCTCATAAAGCCCAAGGCATCCTTGAGCTCCAACTGGTTGTGACATTCAGCGACATGCAACAGCATGCAACATGCAGCAAGTGAAGGGGTTGAGGGGTTGCCTTCTGCCACCGACTTTTGCATTGGCAAGAGTGGTTGGCCAGAGCTCAGGCTGGGGCCTTCCGGGCTGGGTGGCATTAGGCGACACGGGGCGCCAGAGCCCGTCATCAGCCCTGCTCATGGAAGGTAGATCCATCACAATCCTGTGTGACCACCCTCTGTGATCAACCAACTCGACCTCGCATCTTCTCGTCAGGTCCATTATTACCTCGCACCTCTTCGCAATAATAGCCTTGTCCAACCTCTTTTTGATTGTCTCACGATTAGTCGGTATTTGATTCAACGTGTCGGTGGCTTCTCGCGGCTGCCGCTGCTCACGCCGCAGTCGCCGTATTTACGTTGACCTTTGCCCCCAACCGCCCTCAACCAACTGTACCTGTTGTCAGGCTGGTTCTGCGAATTGCCCATCTCTTGTTCGATCGGTCGATCATTCTTGAATCCTCCCATCATCTGAAAGCCTCTGGTTGCCACAAGACTTGGGCCTGACACGGTCCCCGACGCACGCGTTCCAGTTCCCGATACACCAGCCTTCCTTTTGGGGAGGGGTTTTTTCCCTTCTGCAATGGACTCTTCTAGCGACCCAGATTTAGGAGAGACATATCATTCAACCGAGAGCTACGGAGAGGAGAGCATCGAGGGCAGCGAAAGTCCCGAAACCAAGCACCGCCAGGTGTCGCGCCAGGTAATTGGGCGCAAGCGGCGCTCAAGCGAAATAGAGGACGATTCAAGCGCAGAGGCAGATTCTCCTCAAAATCACGAGACAAGTCAGATACCCGGAGTCGCGAGGACCATCGAAAACGAGGCCCTGACATTCGAAGTGGGATGCCCAGTATTCAGGTCGGATTTGAGAAACACCCGGAAGGATGAGGACATAATCTACCATTACGATTGCCCTCTAGAAATGGCTGACCTCACCGTTGGCTTTACTGTGTGTCCAGGCAAGAAGTGGGAGTCTGCAAGCAGGTATCACACTGCTCAGTGTAAGTTTGGTCCAGCGAGTCCAACATCTCATGTCCTGTTCTGATACGAGTGCTCACGCATACAGTCCAAGGCCGGGACCTACGCTATACTGTAGGTCAATATGTGTACATCAATAACAAGGAGATTGTACCAGATCCACCGCATGCGGACGCAACAGAAGAGGAAAGACTAGCATATGACAAGAAGAATTGCTGGGTTGGGCTACTATCTGAATTTAAAGCCGTGGATGGAGAGGAGGTATACGCCCGGGTGTACTGGCTCTATTGGCCGGATGAATTGCCTATGGGTCGACAACCATACCACGGTAGAAGAGAACTGGTGCTCAGCAATCACGTTGGCATCATCGAAGCGCAGAGCCTGGTTTCACTCGCGGATGTCAGTCATTGGGATGAGACGGATGACTCAAATAAAAATATGCTTGGGGAGAGATACTGGCGCCAAATACTGGACGTTACTAAAATGCAGAAGCAGTACCCTCTTTCCCTCCGTCCCCTCAGTCAGCTCCGGAAGTTCTGCATCTGCGAAGGCTACGACAACCCCGAGCAGGACATGTTCCAATGCCCAGACAAGAACTGCGACACTTGGAACCACGAAGCTTGTCTGATCGAGAACATGGAGCAGAGGGCATGGGAGCGGTTCAAGAAGGGGACCCTGACCGATGAAGGGCCAGAGACGGAACAAAATGCAACTTCGTCGCACATACGGTTGAAACCCACCAAACATGTGGCCACTCCCAAGTCGAAAAAGTCTAAAGCGTCCCGTAACAAGAAGAAACCATGGGCAGGCAAATTGGAGGGCAAGATATCCCGTGGCCGGAAGGTCGAAGATGACAACTACATCCACATTGCAACCATCCGGCAGTTGGTGCCTCAAAGCAAGGACGAGAAGGATAGTTCCTTTAAACCGGTCACGTGGAACATGGAGTTCAATTGCCTGAAATGCCACCGGGCGTTGAATTCCTCGAAGTAAACGGTGGTACGCCACGCTCAGCATATGAGTATGCGTGATATGGATATCGTTGAAGGGTCACTAGCACTTCCGCAGTCTCTCCTGTCGGTTGATTCAATCGGTTCCATATGAGCATTGATGGCACGAAGTCTGGGTCAGAATGGAAAACAGGCCATTGCATTCGCACAGTCCGGGCTCTTGGACCTGAATATCTATATGTTGTCGTTCCAAAAGGGGGAAAAGGGAAAAGTATTCGCACAGGAAAGTTAGCTTGTCAGGTGGCATGGCTGTCTTGGTCTCGGAGGAGTACATTTTACCGAGTAGCACTTATTAATTGCTTCTGTAATGGTTAACAATCGTTCATGTTGGTGGTATTCATTATTGCCTTGTACCGAGTACTCAGTAGACTGCGATGACACATGGACATCACATGTTAAGTCACATGACACGGTTCGGCACCACAACGAGCCGAACTGGCATTTCCCCTGCGCTCCCTGCGCTCCCTGCGCCCTCTCCGCCCTCTGAGCCCTGCCCTTCTTTTTCCATGTTGTCTGTACTCGGAACTTGTACGAGTACGACGGCCATTGTGCGAAGGCCAGTAAACGCAGACAATACCTCTCCCCTTCTCCACATTCTTTGAGAAAATTTGGATTCGGCCCTGCCTGTGATTCGAGGGTCAGAGGCACCAGCGGGTACATGAACCAACATCCTTGCAGCCTCCGCATTTCTCTTTGCTAACAGTTGACGGAACAACAGCCTCCCATGCCTCTCAGACGAGTATCCGACTACGAGGCACTCGAGCTATCGTCACGACTCTACTGCTCTCGTCATCGATTCGCTCTTGCCCCAATTGACCATCCATTGCCCCCCAGATCTCGCAATCGGCTCGGCATTGCCATTCGGGCCCGTGTGTCTTTATTCAAAGTCCCAAGGCCCGGCCCTTTGGGCGGTTTTCCATCATGGCGCATTTGTCACCATCATTGCCTGCATTCTTTGATTGCCAACATAGATATTCTATCATCGCCCCGACTCTCTGGCCAACATGCCCAAGAGCTAGTCACTCGAGACTCCTGGTATTGGTTGTCTGCTTGACCAGACCCTCTCTTCTTCCCCGGTAGCTCGGACTTAAGGGTTCTGGCCCTCAGGCGCAAGCCGCATATTGGGATCACAACATACACATATTGGCTCTACACACCGCTGCCGCTACTCCTACATTGGCATATGTTCACGGGTCGACAAGTTCACACTTATCATTCTTTCTTGCTATTGGAAAGCCTTGGGTCTCGTTCCTGATATTATTATCTTACATGCAACATGACACTCGAATCCGAAAAGAATGTCGAGGCAGCGGCCGAATACCTCGAGCCAGAAGGTACTTCTCCGAGAGGCGCAATTCAACCTCCACAGACAGTCGTCGCGCAGGATGAGACGCCTTCGCCTGCATCGTCCAGTAACCCGGCTTCAGAAAAGTTTCTCGACCAGGCAAACGATACAGTCGCAGAGACGCCGCGAGACAATGGGTTCCCCAATCAAGTGCAACCTCTGGAGAACCCCCTTGAAAAAACAAAATCCAGAGCCTCCGAGTTCTCCAGAAGCCGGACCGTCATTATCATGTTCTCCCTGTGCATGGCCCTTTTCTTGGCCGCGCTGGACGTGACCATCATCACCACAGCTTTACCCACTATTGCCCAACATTTTCAGGCCTCGGCGTCGGATTATACCTGGGTTGGTAGTGCGTATCTACTCGCAAACGCCGCCAGTGTTCCGCTATGGGGCAAACTCTCCGACATCTGGGGTCGCAAGCCCATCATTATGCTGGCTAACGGAATCTTCATGGCCGGAAGTCTGATCGCCGCCCTGTGCAATTCGATTGGCCTCCTTATTGGTGGACGGGTGATACAGGGCATTGGTGGTGGTGGTCTTGTAACGCTGGTCTACATTTGCATAGGCGATCTGTTCAGCATGAGAGAAAGACCCAAGTACTTTGGTATTTTGGGCATGGTATGGGCCATCGCTTCTGGGGTTGGCCCCGTTGTCGGGGGCGCTTTCACCGAGGGGGTCTCCTGGAGATGGTGCTTCTACATCAACTTGCCTCTGGATGGTCTTTCTTTGATTCTACTCACGTTCTTCCTCAAACTGGACACCCCCAAGACGCCCTTTATGGCCGGAGTCAAAGCCATTGATTGGATTGGTGTCGTCACAATTGTCGGCGGAGTCGTCATGTTCCTATTTGGCATGACCTCGGGAGGCACAACCAAGCCCTGGGACAGTGCCTACACATTATGCCTGATCATTTTTGGCATCGTGGCTATTGTTCTGTTCTTCCTAAACGAGTGGAAGCTGGCCAAATACCCCGTCATCCCTCTTCGGCTCTTCAAGAACGGCTCCAACCTCGCAGCCTTGGGGGTCTGCTTCATCCACGGTTTCGTCTTCATTGCTGGGAGCTACTATCTCCCGTTTTACTTTCAGACCGTGCTTGGCGCCAGCCCTCTCCTCTCCGGAGTATATCTTCTCACAATGGTCCTCACGTTGTCCTTTGTTTCGACGGCAACGGGCCTCTATGTCAAAAAGACAGGTCGATTCCGCGATCCCATCTGGCTTGGGCTCTGCGTAATGACTCTTGGGTACGGATTGTTTATCGACTTGCCTGCGAGCCCAGATTGGGCCAAGATCATCATCTACCAGATCATTGCAGGTATCGGAGTGGGCCCGAATTTCCAATCCCCCTTGATTGCATTGCAAGCTCACATCAAGGGTCACGACATGGCTGTAGCAACAGCGACCTTTGGGTTCATCCGCAACCTGTCCACTTCCATCTCGGTCGTATTGGGCGGTGTAGTCTTCACCAATGAACTCTCCAAGAAGTACGGTGGCCTTGTCCCTGTCCTAGGACCAGAGCGTGCGAGGCTACTGACTTCCTCCTCATTTGGTGCCACTACCTCCATCGTGCGCAGTCTTCACGGACCGGCTCGCCACGCCGTTGACAAAGCATACACTGACTCGTTGAGGACGATGTGGATCTTCTACACGTGTTTCGCGGCGTTTGGAATCGTGGTGAGCTTTTTCATCAAGAAGAAGGAGCTCAGCAGCACGCACGAGAAGGCGAGAACGGGGATTGAGGAACAAGAGAGGGTGAGGCAGGAGCTGTTGCGGGAGAGGCAAGAGAAGCAGAGGAGTAGGAGGGGCACTTTGGAAAGGGACGTCGAAAAAGCGAGCCCCGTGCCCGCCAGCACAGCGCGAGAACATGATGGATAAACAACGCACAAAAGAATCGATTGGGAAAGAGGTCATTAACATTGGGACATGAGACAGACAGTGGAAGGGAAAAAACCATGGCCAGCTCCTTTTTTTTTCTTGTTTAATGTTTGGGGCCTCTGGGAACTTTAGACAGACATTATTGAGCGGGCGGCGTTGCCTTTTTGAGCGGATTGGATACCTGCACACCTGGATACCTGCCCACATACATACATACATTCATTACATACACAGCTACCTACCTGCCTGCCCATCTGAGTCTATGCACGCTGGGTACCTATGTGGTGTTACGTGTCGTGGTTGTTGGTGTTGTCTATGACAATGACCATGGATTATGACTATATAGCCCGACTGGATCGTCTGTCCATGGCAAAAAGGGGGCAGAGACAAGCTGGTTGACCGCTTCTTCAAGACTCGACTTCTTTTTGTCTTTTTCTCCTTTTTCCTTTGGCAAAGACAAGTGAGCCACTCTCTCTCTCTCTCTCTGTGTGTGTGTGTGTGTCTGTGTGTGTGCCCTGTCACTGACCCTGACTCCGCGTTGTGTTCGCGATTGTGTCTGTATCTGTGTATTCTGGCTGTCGAGAACCCATCCGATACTTCGTACTCGAAGCTGGAGAACACCGCCCCCCCCCTCCCCCCCCCCTTTCTCGTCCCTCCGAGATCAGCTCGTCAAGAGAACAGGAGTGGTCTGTTTTGTTTTGATTTTGGGTGGATTCCTGGTGGCTCACTCAAGTCGTGTCCATTTGCGTGCCCCATTCGCTGGTCTCTGGTCTCTGAGCTAAGGGAAGACAAAACGTGCTATGCACAAGACGGTAGCGGACGTTCCATCGCATTGAATAGTGTTCAAGTGCTGCTTGAGGTTTGTTGGCAATGACTAGCCTTCTTAACGCGTCGATGACTCTAACTGAAGAGCTCATTCGACCGTTTAGTCTGGGTGGCCATGTCCACCGGTTTATTGGTCCAGTCGAGGGCCTTAGTGCAGCTCTGTTGCCCTGATGGAAGATGGTGGTGGGGGAGAGGCCTAGTCCGCATGCTGGACCAGCTAATTCACGCCGACAGCATTGGTGCCACTGTCGAACAGTGGAGGCAATCGTCGGCAAACAGCCACGACATTGTATAGTGATCACTGATGCTCGATGCGTTGACCACAACAGCAGCAGCTCCCCCCCTTCACCTTCTGTCTCGTTTGCTTCTCCATCTTCCCGCCTTTCCACCTCTGCCGCCCTTCCAGCCGTAGTCTTTGCGCGATTCTTCTTCTCTCTTGTCCATTTCCGCGGCTCGTTCTCTCCTGTGTGCATCGGCGTCCTTCTCTGCTGCAGCCGCAGCCGCCGCCGCAGGACCACTTTTCAGATGAACCCCAAATTTGCACTCTTTCCCGTCCGGACAGAACCCGGCCAGATAGAATTCGCACAGCTTTCTCCTGACGTGTCGGTTTGGACATCTAGGGCCCTTCTCGCAGAAACCTTTGTTGTAGTCTTCACACATGGGCAGCTTGGAACCCTCCTTGACGTGTACGTAGAGACACTCGTCGCCGTTCTGACAATACCCGTTTTGATTGTAAAACTGGCATTCGCTCATTTTTCGCAGGTTGTACTCGTGGAGGTAGTCGCAGGCGTCGCCCTTCTTGCAGAGACCCTTGAGCCAGTGCTTGCAGACATAGTTATCATTGGCGTGGCGACCGTAGTGATGTTGTTGGGAATGGGGTGCCTGCGCTTGGGTGGGGGTGGGATGGCGGTCGGGGCAGCGACGTCCGCGGGGACAGTGGCCTGTACTGGCGAAGTCAGGACAGACGGGCACGGTGGATGCGAGAGCGGCGAGACCGTTACTGCGCAGAAAAGGTGTAAAGCTGAAATTGTACGTTGGTTGCGCCGAAGTGGGATTCTTGGGAAGGGTCGCGTCTTGCACGGTTGGTGTCGATGAAGCCACGGACGCCATGGCTGGTTGCTGGGAAGGTTCACTCGAGGAGGGACTGCAGAGGGAGGCGATGGACCTTCTTGGCCGTCAAGGTCAAGGCACAAGGAATCAAGTTGATGGTGGGTAATGTGCTTGTAGCTTCTGAATAATACAAGTGCCTGATGGCAGTGGTATCTTCCAGCATGTCTCGTGCGTAGTTCCGAAGTATTACCGAGACTTGCTCGCCGTGTCACCAGTCACTTGTCTCCCCAGTACAAAGATGTAATTATCAAATGGTCGGGACTGAGAACTCGAAAAGGAAATTGTCGTCGAGGGGAAAATGTATCCCGATCCATTCACTCTTCCTCCCACTGCCGACAGATTGATTTGACTGATTGGGACACGTTCACATCGGCCCCTCTTCCGCAGCTCTTCCGCAATCCACCTGATTCCTCCTTATTTCTCGACGGTGCCTCTTCCGGGTGAGATTGCAGACTCCCGGGTTGTCCCCCTTTGACCTACGAGTACCTTGTGCCTCTTACTGCTCGCTGTTTATCCCCTGACAGATCGGCTCCTCGCTCTTCTGTTCCGCATCTGCCACCTGCGGGGCACTTTTTTCCCTATTCTCCAATGCTGCTCTCCCCCTCCTTGCGGTGGCCCCCCCACGTCATTTTCTCGTAGAGAAAACATGCTCTACAAAAACATTTCTCTACGTCCATTGTCGTGTTCTCACTCTTCCCAAAAGTAAAAGTCCTGGTATCACGCGTTGCAGCATCATGTCGGTCACCACTCAAGCCACAATTGCCAGCTTCGGTGGGAAGCTCCTCAAGCTCGCTCACAATGCCTCCACCACTGGCTGCGAAATGAAGTTCAACCTTTACCTTCCTCCTCAAGCCGCAAACAACAAAGTTCCTCTGCTCATATGGCTCTCTGGGCTCACATGTACCGGTGACAACTGCTCTGAAAAGGGCTTCTTCCAACACGGTGCCAGCAAGAAGGGTATCGCCGTATTGTATCCTGACACAAGCCCAAGTAAGTCACACTGGGACTTTGCCAATTAACGCATGGACTGACGGGAAGCAGGAGGAATTGGGATCCAAGGCGAGGACGACGCCTACGATTTCGGCACCGGGGCAGGCTTCTACGTCGATGCCAGTGCAGACCCATGGTCCAAGAACTACAAGATGTACTCGTACATCACCGACGAACTCCCCAAAACCGTTTTCGAGGCGTTCAAGGACCAGATCGACTCCAGCAAAGTTAGTATCAGTGGACACAGTATGGGAGGCCATGGTGCTCTATCTCTATACCTGAAGAACCCGGGCAAATACAAGAGTGTCAGCGCCTTTGCCCCAATTGCCAATCCCTTGAAATGTCCCTGGGGCGAGAAGGCGTTCAAAGGATATTTTGGTGACGACTGGCAAAAACTGGGAGCCCAACATGATTCGACAGAGTTACTGAAGCAATGGAAAGGGGGACCTCTGGACATTTTGATCGATGTGGTATGTCGCTATGCTTGAGTGTGCTCGTCCACTGCTGACCTCCATAGGGAACTGGTGACAATTTCTACAAACAGGGACAGCTGCTCCCCGAAAACTTCATCGCAGCCGCAAAGGAAATTGGACAAGAGAACGGAGTCAACGTCAGGTTTCAGCCAGACTATGACCACAGTTACTACACAATGGCGACTTTCTCGGATGATCACATTGACCATGCCGCGAAGTACTTGTTTGCTTAGTATGTTGATTGATTCACAAACACAATAGAAGCTGACAGGGATAGAAGCGGAATGAAAAAGAATCAGAAGCTTTGATTATGCCAGCTATTCACTGTGAAGTCTAGTTCTGTATTCAATGCTTTCCTGTGGTGCTTCACACCTTGCCGTGCCATCTGCTTTCCTCTCTACCATCCCTATTTATTCCTGCCCCCTTCATGTCTCTTTCTCTTTGGCGTCCTTCCCAAAACTTTCGAATTTGATCAGATTACTGCCCAGACTTTCCCAAAGACCCTCTACCTCCAAGTGAAACAGTACACCAACAGTGTTCATCCTCTCCCCTGCCATTACGCTTGATCATCTCTGCTCCTAAGAACTTTACACGACTCTCTTGCCATCAATTTCAGATCTGCCCGCCCCTCCCGGCCGAAATGGACCTGGACTACAGCTACCTCGGCGCGACAGACGGGGTGTGCTCGGCCTTTGACAAAAACGACAACTTTTGGCACCAGAAGACTGCGTTCGAGTCAAGACCCAACGTCAAGCTGTCCCAGTCGTTGGACCATTGTGGCCACCCGATCTCCTGTCCTCAAGTATGTGATCCCCCCTTTTATCATTGTCACGTGACGAGGCTGAACTGTGAACTGATGTATGGATGCCACATGAAGTCCCAGACGTCGGCTAAGCGGCAAACGGAATGCCCAGGTCAGAAGAAACAGGTCACATGAAGAAAGAGTTGTATTTTGTCGGTTTAACTGTGTGGACATGAACACTACTTGGTAGCACCGTTGTCTCGGGCAGGTCAGACGACGGAGGACGACAAATTCATTCAGATTGGCTTGGCCTTTATGACCTTTCATCTGTCAGTGTATGAACACACGAGCTGGAGACTTTCACTCCCCATACGCAATGTCAGAGATGAGGGCTCCCACGCGAGGAAGGAGGCGGACTGTATTTGTCACCTTTCAGCTCGGATCAGATAGGATAGACCACCCCCTCGAAGAGCCACAGGTCAGGCAGACGCTGTTACAGGCCACGATTGTAAAGTATTCTCGGCTGATCGCACGAGGCCGCACTCACAACAACGGACAGATGACGCCCGGTCTCCTCAAGTGCCTGAACTGTCGAGTATTGTCCATGCATGCACAGCAACAGCAACAACCGGGAGGGTGGGGGAGGCAGTCGAAAAGAAGCATATCATCACCGCGCTTGATAGAGATCGCCTGGGGTTATTTTGAAGGCTTCTTTTCGATGTGGTGTATGTTTCATGTTCTGTACCCGTCTAAGTATTTATCTATCCATGAAAGACCCAGGAGTCTATAATATTACCCCATCTAAGTGTAGACACATCAGACCTGTGATCTTTTACCTGTTCGTCAAACCGCTCGACCAGGTAAAGGAAAAGGAGCTCCAAAATCTCGAAGAATAGACTCCCAAAACGCCCTTAGCCATTCAGATTGATTTTGTATGGGTTGGTGGAGTGATCATAAACAGTCTTCATGTATCGACCCGGCCGTCCATCCATCAACTCTTTTAGTTGTCTTCTGTATACGTCGACCGCCTCCTCCACTTCGCACCGTAGCGGAAGATGAGAACGGGGATCGGCGCGGTGGCAAGACTCAACGCGCACAAGATGGTGAACCCCCCGCCATACCCCACGGCCTTGACCAGGGGCTCGACGGCGAGGGGGAGAAACGTGCCCATCAGGCACCGCGTGACGATGAGCGCGGTCATGGCGCTGGCAGAGTACAGCTTGAAGGCGTCGACCACGTAGGCCATCAGCGGGATGAAGCCGAGCATCAGCGCGGCCCCGAGCAGGACGAGGACGAGGATCAAGACCGGGAGCGGCAGGCGGAGGTCGGCCGTCCACCCGTACAGCGCGACCATGAGGGGGAGCGTAAAACCGCCGACGATGGCCAGCGGGAGTCGGTACTCGGGCTGTCCCCCGACCGGCGAGCCTTTGTGGGTATCGCGCAGCCGGATGTAGATTCTGTCGAGGAAAAAGTTGCAAATGACGACGCTTACCAAGGAACCGACACCTAAAGGCATTGTTAGCAACTAGAAGGTAGCAGGAGAATTCCCCAAAAGCAAGAAAACATCAAAATCTAGATTTGGGGAGAAAGGGAGAGGGGGAATTAGGGAACGTACTGAAGCTGATGAACGTCGACCCCGTCAGGGCGGGTGAGAGGCCGTAGATCCCCTCCAGGATGTCGGGCAGCGTCGTCGACATGACGTAGAAGTAGGTATACACCATCGATCCGAAGACGGACATAGCCTGCAGGACGCCCGAGTCGAAGAAGACGACAAAGGGTCGCAGGATCGAGTCCCACAGCTTCGTGGGTCCCTTCACGTTCGCCTCGGCGTCGTCCACGTCGACCGCGGTGCGAAGCGCGAGATTACCTGTCTCCTTCCTCAACCGGGCCACTCGGCGATTGAGGATGGCCACTTTGTACGTTTCGCGGAAACAGGTGAGGAAAGTCACCTCACAGGCGGTGGCCAAGATCACGCCCACCCAGAGGACCTGACGCCAGCCCAAGGTCTCGGCGATGGCGCCCGCGATGGCAGGACCGATGGCGCCTCCCAACAGGGGTGCCATCATGACGAGGCTCATGGCCGACCCGCGCTGTTCCGAGACGAACATGTCGCCGACAATGGCTGGGTTGAGCACATTCGAAGCGACCGCCACGCCCGTCAAGGCCCGTGCGGCGATGAAGAGCGGCGTGCTTTGGCACAATGCCGCCAGCACCGTGGCGGAGATGAACAGCACGTTGGCGACATTGAAGACTGGATATCTCCCAAACGACTCCGACAGCGGTGCGAGCACGAGGGGGCCGAACGCCTCGCCAAGTTCCCATATCGTGACTAGCAGGACGCTGGCGGACTTGCTACTTGTGCCATTGAGATCGTGTACAATCCGGTTTGCAACGGGCACGACCGAGATGCAGGTGAAAGTCCTACCAACAAAGTCAGCCCATCTGGCAGGCTTTAAGCAGTTGAATAAGTACTGACACTGTAAATGCCATAAAGGCCAACAAAGCCACGATCCCCCATTTGTAGTGATTCGGCCAATCTCTGGGGTTTTCCGGGTCGCCGTTGGGGTCGAAATCAATGATGTCTGTTGGCCGAACGGTTTTGTCCGGGCGGTGCTCGGGGTGAACCGCATTTCGAAGCAATGGTTGGGTTTCGTCCATTGTCCTTGTATGAAATGTTGGTCGAGCAAATGGTGGTTCGCGGGATCTTAGTCTAGAGGATTGTGGGGGACTATATATGTTGCTTGAGCATGTAGAAAATAATGCTAAGGGTGCTAAGGTACAATTTTTCTTTCTCTTTCGTATAAAACCCGCAGAGTGGTGGCGGTAACGGAGTTGGAGGGGCAATATTAATCAATCAGCAGAAGTTTATGTAAGGTTGATCCCTCGGCACCAGATGGCGCCAACGGGGTAGCATGGGGCGTATTTTAGATTGAGAGCCTTCTATCATGTACGCGACCCGTCAAATATTTCATCCACCTAAGTCGAGAAGGGCCCATGAAGGCGAAAGGGCGTGAATTTGGCTTAGGAGGGTAGGGAGTGGCATGCCCGTCGATAACCGAGGAATAATTGTCGATAAAGAAACATGAACCAATGAGTTGGGTTGGCCTCTGGTTGATTAAGAGGCAGCCCCCAGCTCACAGAATTTAAGCCATGTTCAATCTTTGAATGTCCACCCATTCCCGTTGGATTGGGGGACCCCAGCCTGGTGGCCAATGTGATATTGTACCATTACTCAAGTATAGTAGATGTACGGGGAAATGTCTTTGCTTGTAAAGGAGTGATCTCTCGGCCAATTGACAACTCACCAGATCTCCATCTCTTCCCTCGACCTACTCGTTCGGCCACGTCCCAAGGGTTTGGACTTGTAGGATCTGGCTTCGTGGAGGGTTTCATCTGGGAGCCGTACAGGCAAAGTGTCAAGACCAATGGACAGCCTTCATCTGGTAGTATCGAGGACAGCCTGAGTCTCTGGCAGCGATTGTAAAGGTTTTTGGGTCAACGAGAGGATAATCTCAAGACATGCTTCGATCTTGACAAAGAGTGGCTGTCGGAGCCTCATCGTCTAGGGAACGGAATATTGTCTTATTGATCTTAGTCAGGGGGAAGAAAATAGAAGGATTTGAATATGTGCGTCGAGGTACGTCAAGGTGCGTCATTTGGCGGTTGGTGGCCGAGGGTCCCAGGTGCAGGTGGTTTGGTGCCAAGCAGAGTGAAAACTGCTCTAAAGTCACCCCTAATTCGGAAGAGGTGATGCCGCCCTGTGCTCACCCCCGTCTCACCCGAATCGGGTGCGAACTCTGTGACTCACGTGATACAAGCATCTATCAGCTTGCTCCCTTTCCCGAGTCAGCCGTAGCAGAGAATAAGAGATGCTTTTGCCGTAAGAAATGTATTGGGATATTTTTTGACAGCAATTTTTTGTAGTAGGATTTCTCCACCCGAAACGTTGAGTCAGCCTTCCGCCATATTACACAAGGCTCGAAGCAATGATACCTACCTAAGCGCCTGGCAGCTGAATCGCTCGAGGCTGTGAAGATGTCTGCTGTTACTACAGCCTCGTGCTGCACTCACTTATACTCTATACCTCTTTCCCTTTGGCCCAGTGACAACAACAACATGGCTTGAATGCTATCGTAATCTGGTTGCTGAATACCACACGCGGGATAACGGCTTGACTGAGTTCCCTGTATAGCACTGTCTATGGTCTACCCGCCTAAAGTTATCAGGACGTCGCCTGCCATCCAGTAAGTTCCTCGTAGGGACATGAAGCCTGTCCCGCTCTCCGTAGCCTCACCTCAGCATTGCGGGCCGTCCGCGGCCTTGGCGATGCCATCAACACCTGGACAGACCCAAAAAAGTGAATGCCTTCTGATTTAGAAACATGTGGTCAAGAGTCATTCGCTGCGAATGCACAGCCTGGGTAGCCAAGAGGGAAAAGGGGTGAAGGCAAGTGGATTGGTGTTGCTGCAGGAAGAACTGAGACAACTGATCCAGTACTGTACACATCTTCAGATTGGCGACATGGCCTGGCTATTCGACTTCTTGGCTGTTCTGAAGTACTGTGCAAAAGAACGATGTAAAATCACGATGTTCAATTGGCCTCAGTAGTGCAAAGTTGGTCACAGAAGAGCGTTATCACGACAGCATGAGTGATGATGCTTGCAATGATGGAAATTGCAGTACGAAGGCTATCCAAGCCCAGTGTGCGCCTGCGGTGGTGTGCTAATAAGACGAAACTTTTGCTGCTATGAAGTTCCTCAATTCCTTTCCAAGTTCGCATTGCTTGTTCAGGAGCCCTAGGTTGACCTCAACCTTGGGTGTAGGTGGTGCACCTGCCTTTTTCCTAAATTCTCAGATTGCGTAACGTGTATTGGTTTCGCGCCTTCCTTCTCCGAACTCGAAAAAGGAAAACAATTCAAACAATGATTCGGAGTAGGCCGGTGAGAGTTGTGTTCCCATATACTACTACTGAATGGTTGCCTAGCGTTCTACCAGTGGGGGCGAAGACGAAGACGGGGAGGCCTCTCGGCGGTACCCGCGCCTGCCGCGCCAAGCCGCGCCTAGGGAGCCAAGGAGCTTACAGCTATTTAAGTAAGGGTTCATCCTCCCCTCAACCCTTTCTCCTCTCTAAGCAAAATGTAGTGAGGACTTCAGGTAACGCCCTGTTCTCTTCGAGGGACTGTGATGAACTGTATGCTCAAACAATCGTGAACCTAGACCTGCACCCGACCGCTGCCGTTTAGGTTAGTGGATCTGGGAGCAGTTTAAAATAATGTGTGTTCGAGCTGATTTCTGAGTCCCATATCTATTTTCTGCAAATGGCGAGTTGATGACGACGGTTATAGATTCTCGTCATGAGCAAGGATCTAGGGCAATTTATATAGCGCTTTTTAAGTCACGACCGGGTGGGCAATGAACGTATCATATACTAGTTTTGAGAAGAAACTCGTGACAGTGGAAAAAGCAGTGTATTATACAAACAGGCGTTCTTTATCACTTTCGTAGGGTAGAATAGCGTTCATCTTCCACTTGCTTTCCAACTTTCAGCCAGCGGCCAATCTAGGGTACCTCCAACAGGCAGCAGCTTAGTCAGAAAAGTGGCCTCAAACAACTCCCTCACTAAGGTGATATTCGCAAATCTAATCCTAGGGATCGATTTGTGCATGTCTGGTTTAGGCATACCCCGCGATTTGCCGTTCTAGAGTGGAATCTGTCCTGGGACAACGAGCCTGGGACAATGAGATCTCCAGGACGTTCCACCTAGGCTGCGGGGGGATCACAGGACACCTGTTGCGACGGGACGCCTATCCCATCTACCCGGCCCATAACTGATGTCCTAACCATTGGCCTGAGCACGAGCAAGGACCAGTTCGTCCGCCGCGAGTTCCTGTTAACACAGCTAGCTCATAGCGGTGCTGGAGGTGACTAGAGTTTATGATTCGTAGTAGGAGGGGGATTACATTCTACTAGAGGAGGAGGAGGAGGAGGAGGAGGAG